GTAATTCGAAATAAAATTAATAATAATTCAAACATATTTATAATAAAAATGAATAGATCTAACATATCACAAATAATATATCTATTGCTTATTTTTTTCTGTTTGAACGGCGTAAAGGTTTATTCTCGGTCTTCATGTTTCTTATACGATTTCTCATCTCACTTTTTGACACCTTCTTCTTCTTCTCTTCTTCCTTAGCCATTGATGTTGAAAGAGCTTCGGCTGATGTCATTACACCATGATTTTTGCATGCATTTTTTCTTTTATTCGCTCTTACATATTGCTTCGGACTTGAAAGAATGTCATTCAAATTATCATTTTCATTAGCCATTGAATGATCAGGTGTTATCACAGAGGTTGACGTTCACAGATTCATCCATCTCCATTGATTCATAATGTAATCTAAAAGTTAAAAATCAATTAAATAAATATGTTTTCAACTTCGTTTAATAAATATTCGACTTACATATCATGAAAATCTTCTTCCATCATTAAATTGGTAATTAATAAACGTAATTGGTAAATATTTAAGAAAAACAAACAAACTTAATTGATTCTATTTCACGAATGAAAATTATTTTTATCAAAGCATACTGACAAAAAAATTGCTCATACAAAAAATTTTTCAAATCTACGCCGTTTCTTTGCTTAGTAGATGGCGTGACAAAAATTGAAAAAAGCAACTCAAAATAAAACACTTTTCCAGATTCGTAATCAAAAAAATGTTAAAGCAGAATTAATCTAGATGAGTTAAAGTGTTTATTTGCTTTTTACAGATTCAAAATATGTTTAAAATAAGTTATTAAAAACCTGAAACAAAAAGTTGCTGAAAGTGAAAAAAAAGTCGAAAAAATGAAGAGAAAAAAAATCCAATTTTAAATGACAATATCTTTATTTCTTTGACGAGATTAGGAAATTGTTGTACTACATTTTGAAGACTCACTAATAATGATTGTTCTGTCAAAGTTTCAGCGCAATCGATAGTGAAAGTTCTTCAAAATCTTAATTTGAAAATGCGAAGTGAAAAATTCATCTACAGCGTTTCTCATCTACGCTGTGACACTCATCTAACTCATAAGAGATTTCATGATTAACTTAGATAGAAAAATTTTAAATTTACTTCTAAATGACAAGAGTTTGAAATAAAATTGCACAAACAAATGGAATGAGAAATGAATTGTGAAAAGTGTGAGATAAAAAACTTTCAAACATCCCCATAAAAATAATTGTCCAAGTAATAAAACTAAAATGGTTGTAGAAAATGTTATGCGACCGTCCATTGACAAAAACTTTTTTGCAATATTAGATTTTATGCTTTGAAACTCCGTCTTTAAAAGATTTTATGCTTTTTGGAAAAACAACGAAGAAAAAGAAGAATAATCAGAAACAATCCAAATCTATTTAAACATTTCATAAATTTTATGCAAAGATTTTCAAATCAAAACATCATTCGTTCTTATTTATGCTGAAAACATTGCAAAATAACCATTTTAACATCAAAAAATTATACAAAGTTTTCTTTTTTGTAGAACATTTATTCTAATAATGAAATAAAAAAATATTCCTTCAATTTATTCAGATGAAAGTTTGTCATTTACTTAAATCATTCCAATTTTTTCTTGACAAATAAAAAGTGATTTTTTAAAAATCTAAAGCTAATTCATTGTAATCTCTTAAATGATTCTTTTAAAGCTTCTTCAGTTGAGAGTATACTCGTTAAATAAAACAAATGTTTATGGACACCTCTCAGATGGCGACAGGAAGAATTCTAATTCAACTAAAATTGCAAATGTTGCAAAAATAATATAAAAAATTGCAAGGAAGCCGCCAACAGTTTTTCTTAATTTATAACCAGCGATGGCAATTGTAGCATACAAACAAGCAACAGCTAGAATTAATGTCATGATTGTAAATTCAATTCCGAATGAATATATTTGTATAAACGCATCATTAAATCCCGCACCATCAACCATTGTCCTTATAAACCATGGCAGTCCCAAACTAAACAGAACCGCTAAGTTATTAGCTCCAAGTGCATTGCTAACTCCCATCTGCCCTGATCCTTTTCTTGCTACAATGACAGCTGATATTGCTTCAGGCATGCAACCTCCAAATGCTAACAATGTAAAACCCATAATTGCATCAGGAATACCAAAAGTATCGCCAATAATTACAACCATCCAGAAGATAATGTAAGCAACGATACCAATCCATAATATACAAATAACGAAAGATGCTGCAAACCATTTCTTTTGTGTGATTGGGTTTGGTATTGTGTAATAAAGAATAAATCTTATTGGCCATGTGAAAAAGTACCAGAATATATCAAACCATCCAACACCTCTTGGAATCTCCCAAATTTTGAATTCTTCTTCATCAACTTCATCGATTCTTGATAAGTCAAAAGATTTTCTTCTTTCTCGTTTCATTGGTGGGTCTATGACATTAATATCAAAAGATTGTGCTCGATCTCGAGAATTTGACATAGCTGCCGATGCATGTGCAATATCAGAAACTGTGTCGCTTTCAAACGCTGGGTTGTCATACTTTGAGAACACATTGTTGACACTTCTTTGGCCATTTTCAATTGGTGTTGTTGGTGATAAAGGTGGCGGACTCACAGATGTTTGATTGACAGTAAATGGCTTCACATTATAAGGCCGTTGATTAACGATATCATAATTTTTAATTCTTTGACACCACATCAGTTTATCCTCAACAATATTTTTGACAAAGTTTTTGATTCTTGGATTTTGGAACATTAAAATCCAATAACCAACGTAGAGTGTGACAAGAATGCAAGTTTCCCACCACATAATTACGCCATCCCACGCAAAAATCACAAGTATTGATAAGTTAATTGAAAATAAAATTGAATCTCTTGTTATTGGCCACCAATCGATTTGAATTGGTTTCTTCGTGAACATTGCAGCACTGGCAGCAACTCCAAGAGTGTTGAAAAGCATGCTTCCTACGACTGCTCCAAGTCTGAGATTATTGCAAGGATTATTAAGGATTTGACGGGTTTTTAGTAAATTTTACTCACCCCATGTCAGAATCAGCAATGAAAATAGAAATTGTGTTATTAAAGAATTCAGGAGTAGTCGTGGCTGTCGCCATAAACGTTGATGCAGCAACATCCTATAAAAAAAATCATGAGAATTAGATTTTAGTACTCTGACGTGTAGAATGATTAATGAAATAAAATTACTGTCTTAAGATTAAAAAAAAGATTATCCGAGATTAACTCACGAGACGGATTGAAAAGATAATTTCAGATAATTTCTAAGTTGCGTCTCTTAAATATATTTCATATAGTTCGATTTACTCACTGGTGTTATTTTCAGCACTTCACATATTCTTTCAACTGATGGTAAGAAATATTTGTCACAGATGAAAGCCAGGACAATGAATAAATACAAAGAAATGGCAATATGGCATGCAATCCAACCTTGCAATCTTTGTTCACCTAAATTAAAAATTCCACATTAATCATCGAACTTAAATTTTTCTTTCAATATTTTTTACGTGTTGTAAATGTCCAAAAATTTTCAATTGCTGTTGTATTAGGCGGACATTGTCGTTCGAATATAGTTCCTGAGTCATCATTTAAATATAAAACTCTTTGGTAAGGATACCAATGGAAAGTATTTTTTTGTAATTCGACTGTTTCTTCAAGTGTGAGGTTTGATGTATCAGGATTCAAATCTATTTCAATGCACTTCATTAATATTCAAAACCATTCACTTCAACTGATAGACTTACTTATGAAACTACTTTGAACCTGTGACGCATACAAAGTCACAATAACTAAACTAATTACTAATGATAGCAAACTTTTACGCTTTAGCATTTTATTTTCTTTTTTCAGAATATTTTTTTTAATCTATCAAAAAATTTCAAATTCTTTCACTGAATATTTGATAGCAAATTTAACATTTCCACTGTTTTGCACTTGAACCCGCAAATGCGCTTGATTGACTGAGTTCACCACACAAGAAATTGATGAAAAGAAGTAAGTAGGAAGGGAAGTGATATATAATTACTGATAAAATTGTCTTCACATCGATAAACCAGATTTTGTAATTTAAAAATGTTTCATTATCAGTCGACGATTTTATTTTTTATAAATCAAAATATAATTTCATTCAAAGAAATAAATGACGCATCAACGTTGTTACAGATAAACTATTCACACTCAAAATTCAAACGAATTAAATATCTATGAAAAGAAAAAATAAACAAAAACTTAACTTTTTGAGGGATTATAAATGATTCTCCGAGTGATTTAATTGATGTGTTGACTGACGCATTTACAAGTCTTATCATATCTATTGTCCTCTGTAAACTAAGGCTAGCTTATATTTCTAATATCTCTTCCTAAATAATAAACATGAACATCAAAACAACAAATACATAAATCATCATGAATTTACGTTGTTTAAACTGAATCTCAGCAACCTTCTGGCACAAATAAAACATTAAGTTCCACTAAGATAGCAAATGTCGCAAGGAAGACATATCCAATGCCAAGGAAAAGACCGACAGTCTTTCTAAGTTTATATCCTGCTGCTGCCATTGAAATGTAAAGAATAGCGACAGCAATCAGTAATGTCATGATTGTGAATTCAATTCCAGAAGAAAATATGCGAATTTGTGCATCATTAAATCCCGCACCATCAACCATTGTCCTTATAAACCATGGCAGTCCCAAACTGAACAGAATGGCAAGATTGTTAGCTCCAAGTGCATTGCTAACTCCCATCTGCCCTGAACCTTGTCTTGCCACAATCACGGCTGAGATTGCTTCAGGCATGCAACCTCCGAAAGCAAGAAAAGTTAACCCCATGACAGCATCGGGAATACCAAAAGTATCGCCAATGATTACAACCATCCAGAAAACTAAGTAAGAAACGCCACCAATCCAAATGATACACATGATGAATGAAACAATGTACCATTTCTTGTGAGTGATGGGATTAGGAATCGTGTACTGCAATAGGAATTTTATCGGCCATGTGAAGAAAAACCAGAATATGTTAAAATATCCAACACCCTTAGGAATCTCCCAAAGACCATATTCTTCTTCTTCTACCTCCGCATACACTATTGACAAGTCAGTCGATTTTCTTCTTTCTGCTGCACTTCTTGGAATGATTGGAGGGTCGATAGAATTTATGTCAAATGATTTCCTTCGATCATCAAATGAGAACTCAATTACATTAATTGATACGCTTGAAGCATCAAATCCTTGATTGTAATAAGGTTTAAAGTTCTCTGTGTTACCATTTTCAACGCTAATTTGTGAATTGTTTGACAGTTGACGTGTCACTCCATTTTCAACAAATGGTTTTAAACTGTAAGGACGCTGATTTGCAATATCATAATTTTTAATTCGTTGACACCACATCAGTTTATCTTCAACAATGTGCTTGACAAACTTCTTGATTCTTGGATTTTGGAACATTAAAATCCAATAACCAACGTAGAGTGTGACAAGAATGCAAGATTCCCACCACATAATTACGCCATCCCATGCAAAAGTCACAAGAATTACGATATTGATTGAAAATAAAATTGAATCTCTTGTTATCGGCCACCAATCGATTTGAATTGGTTTCTTTGTAAATAAGGAAGCACAAGCAGCAACTCCTAGTGTGTTAAACATCATACTTCCGATTATAGCGCTTAATCTTAAATTTACACAATAGTTTTAAATTTTTTTAAAGAAAGTAAACAAGACTGATAAGATAAGAAATCTTCACATACCCCATATCTGATTCAGCGATAAACGTAGAAATCGTATTTGCAAAGAATTCCGGAATAGTCGTAGCTGTCGCCATAAATGTTGACGCTGATTTGAAGATAAAAATTAAGTGATTAATATCCTATGTGACTATTTATATCATAAGTCAATCTACCTGCAACATCCTAGAATAGAAAATGATTTGGAAAATTAGATTAGTCTATTTAAAAATAAGCAAAAGTTCCCGTATTTCCCCTTTTAAAGAAGAACAATCGGCAAGATTAAGTAAATAAAGATAAAAGCTTTTATATTTGTTCATACACTCGAAAGAAAGTTTGATATAACTTATGAGGTTGCAATGGAAACAGGACAAGTAAATAAATGATAAGAAAAAAAGAACCAACCATATCCTAATAATCAACCTATTAAGAAATTGTTGATAAGAGTTGGAAATAAGTCATTTCAAGCCTACCTGAGTTATATTGAGAACTTCACAGATCACTTCTACCGTTGGCAAGAAATATTTATCGCAAATGAAAGCCAAAGCGATAAAAAGGTAAAGCGCAATAAAAATGTGGATCAGGAAGAGCCCCTGCAATCTTTGCTCGCCTAGGTAGACAACCAAAAGTAAATAAAACAAAAATTTATCACTTATCAGTGCAAAGGCTTAGAATTAAAAAAAAAAGACAGAAGGGGTTAGTTTCATAATTAATTTCAATTAAGAATTGAAAACAATATAATCTTCAAATAGAAAATTCAGTTAATCTTTTTAAATACTCACGAGTCCAAATTCCATCTGGGAACTCTTCAATTGCACTTGGTCGATCTTCTAAGCAAAATTCTTGGAGTTCTCCATCTGGTAGTGCATGATAAGCAATTCTTTGGTATGGATACCAATGATATGTCGATTTTTCAATTTCTAATCGCTCTGTCAGAGTTAAGTTGTGTTTCAGGCGAGCTTTAAGTTTTTTGGAGAATTAATAAATTTATTAATATCTACTTAATCACAGAAGTATTCCATGTCACAAAATATTCAAAACTTAATATTTTAAAAACTTCTTTCTAAATGATCATAGCAAAGAATTATTTAGTTTCAAATTTAATAATTAATTATTTTTCACCTTCTAATCTAAAATTTCCATGCACATATTTTAGACTTAAAATTAAAATTAATGTTGGAATCCACAAAAACTTTTCCATTTTTTTTCAGATTTTTTTCTCAATTTATTCGAACAATTTAAGAAAAGTTCTTCATAAATTTATTTTTTATTGCACTTTTTTACAAAACTTAAGCTTTAATAATAATTCCCTAGATTTTTATGATTTAAGCTCTCAGAATTAGGTATTTCACTATAATTATTTATACACGGTATATACACTTATTTAATTTATTTATTCTAGACGCTTGAAGAGCTCGAAACGAACTGAATATCAACCTTGTCTTCTGTAAAACCTCTCGACTGAAGGAAAAGCTTTTCGACGTTATCGAATTTTTATAAATCAATGAAGCTAAGAACATCAAGTTTAGGTATTATCTATGCAGGAAATTTTTATGATGGATTGAAAAGGTTAAATAGTTTAACAAACTTTAAATTTCATCGTTTAACTATCTTCATAAATTTTGTAAAAGCATGTTTACAAATGTTAATGCTTTATGCTTCGAAAGCTACAAATGCACAAGTTTAATCGTCATAGCATTAAAGAATTAAGATAATGAAATCTATATGATCTCTTTGAGGATTAATTGTATATCTGAAGAATAGACTCGTGAAAAGATGACATTGATATCTTATCAATAAATACTTTGCTTTGCACTCTAACATTGTAGAAATATCCGTCAAACGGATGTTTATTTCCTTTTAAGTGTAAATATGTCGTTTAATCTAAATTTTTAGTTTACATAACAAAAGGAATTCACGTTTAGTTGGCTTATGTTCTTAACATTATCCAAAAACTATATTAAAAACGTTTTAGATAAACATTTATGATAAAGTAAATGAGATCAGAAACAAATTTTGGCTTTATCTATGTCTCATTGTTTAATCCTTATGTTATAATTAGAATTCACGTGACAAGTTGTCACTTCCTTCTTGCTGACGAATTGCGAGACAAAATGACTAATCAATTTTAAGATTATTCCTTCATGTTTAATTTTTTTAAATCATCTTTTGGCAGAACAAAATAAAAACATTGCAGCAAGCTTTCTTTTTCAATCAAGTTAAAGAAGTTTAAAAGAAAAGTATCATATTTAGTTATCTCTTCTTATTGAAAACAGAAATTAGCAAAGAACTTACTTGACTTACCTGTAGATATTTTGGAAAGCATAATTTATCACCTTTAATTGATGAGAAATGAATTCATCAAGATCAGATACGTTGCGAGGAAGAAATTCCAAAAGCGATTCACGAACATTGAACTTAATTTCATCATCGATGCGAAACAAGCTAAACATTTCAAAACCAGAGTCTAACTCTTCAAAACCTTTACTTCAATTAAAATCAAAATTAAATCTAGAAAATTCTGATGATTCGTCAATTCCTGAAGGATTAGTTCGCTGTGAAATTTGTAATCGCAACTTTTTAGAAGATCGTATAGCAAAACATCAGCTCATTTGCGAAAAAACTAAAGTCAAGAAGCGTAGGACGTATGATGCCGCTAAGAAAAGAGTTCAGGTACAAACACGATTTTTCTTTCTCTGTCTACTTGATTTGATGAATGAAATAAAATTTTTATAGGGAACTGAAGCTGAAAATTATGTAATGAAACCGATGTCAAAAGCATGTACTCCAAAACCTGTTCCACTACCAAAGCCAAGTAACTGGCGTGCAAAACATGCTGATTTCATCAAAACGATTCGTATAGCTAAACAAATTCAATCATACGTTGACAAAGGTGGGAAGCTATCAGATTTACCACCACCTCCACCAAGTGAGAATCCCGATTACATACAATGTCCTCATTGTTCTCGTCGATTTAATGAAGCTGCAGCTAATCGTCATATACCAATATGTAAGAATATGCAACATAATAAACCAAAGCCTAAGCCATCTATCACATCAAAATCTTCAAAATCTGGAAATGCAAAATCGTCTTCTAAATCTTTCTCAAAACGTCGTTAATGTTTTATTTCTATTTTTCGTAACATGGCAATATATTTGTGTGAACTGTGTGAACTTTCATTTGAGTTTTTTTATTGCTAACTTTTTCACAGAATTTAAAATGAACTTTTTTACCAAATGATGGCACATTATTTTTAACCGCTTTATTTTAAAATTTTTGGCGCGTCAGAGATCGTGTCTTTTCAACTCAAAACCAGTCGAAAGAAAATTCTCAGTCGCCCGCTTTTGTATTTTATTTTTATTTAGTGTTTGCTTCGTGATTTCCGTAGAAAGTCGTCGTTGAAAAATATAAGTCTCGATACTTGTACAATGTCTGCTTCATCAAGCCTAAATGGCGCAATCAATGATATCAATTACACGAATGGTGGTTTGATACGTAACCGAGAAAGAAGTGGATCAGTCTCGAACTATAACAGCAAAGTAACAGTAGTACTGGGAGCACAATGGGGTGATGAAGGTAAAGGAAAGGTAGTGGATATGCTTAGTGGAACTGCCGATGTCGTATGCCGGTGTCAAGTGAGTAAAATATTTTAAAATTAATTCAAAATTTTCAAAACAAAAAGGTTAAATTTTCCATTCCGAAGCAATCTTCTGCACCATGTGATTCATTGTCATATAAAAAAATATCAAATTTTAATGGTTCATCCCCGTCAATGTCGTTTTAGTAATTACGCGCGTTTAAAAGTTCTTTAGCTGATAAGTTCAGTGTTTTTAAAGTTTCCTTGAAATTTTTAGCAGTTAGGTAGTTAAAATGAGATAAGCATCTGAATATCAACGGATGATTTGATGACACTTCTAATAAATTTATAAAACGTGATAAGAACTATGAGATTACATTTGATAGCGTTAAAAATTTGTTGTGACAAATCATGCACAATCATTGCGCTGATATTTTTTAACTCGTTTTTTCCTTGACTTATTCAAAATGTGAAACTTTTAAAATTTGCTTAGATTTGAGTTTTAGAAAAATATGTGAATATGAATATCAAATCACATGACACTGATGAAAAACAAACCATTTTAAGTACAGTGGTGAAATTCTTCTATTGAGCCCGATAACGATCTAACAGGCGTCAATCGTTCTTACTTTTCCTCACTGACCTTGAAGACGCACTGAAGCGACACGAAAATTTTCAATCATCTTTTCTATTTCGTTATTATTTAAAGTTTTTATAGACAAAGTCATCGATTGTTTTGTTTTCTTGTTTCATTATCGATAAACCAGCCAGACCCTGGCCAAATTCAAGCAAAATAAATGACTGGCGTTTTGCCAAAAACTTGTCAGATGCGTTCAAGTAAAAGAATAGAAAATACCTAAAGAGAGTACTCGTGTTATTATTCACCTCTGAATAAATTGGATTTTTCACAGATTTTCAAAAGAGAATCATCAATTTTATTCATTTTTATGTTCGTAATGAATAATATTTATTTTTAGTTTTTCTAATAACAATCAGAATGGGAGTTAAAGTAAAAATATTGACTCCGTCTTACATATGAAAATACTAAAAAACTTTCAAACATCATCACTTGAAACATTGTGATTGTGACACAAACACAATTTCCCAATATCGACCTACACGCTTCTATTTTCTTTTACATTGTTTGTTAACTTGAAAAGAGAAAATGTGATACATAACTAATGAAAAACAAAAACGTTTCTAACGTGATTGAAAAGATTTTTCTTTCTTTTTTCATTAAAACACTGTTCGTTTTATGATGTCATAAATTTTTTCCTTTATCAAAAGTCTTCCAGTTATCAGCTGTAAATTGATGATTCATTTAATAAGCGACAACGTTTTGTTCTTACTTGTTTTGAAATGCCCATGAAGGTTGTTAATTTGTTTTCATAAAGTCACATGTTGTGTTATTTGAAATAATTAAGAAAGTTTTAAAGTTTGCAGCTGCCTCTATTAATCTCAATTCAAAAATCATTGACGAAGAGAATTAAAAGTTGATTTCAATCCAAAAGATATAAAAAATTACAATGCTATGCATCAGAAATGATTGAAATATTTTCATTGCAGGGTGGAAACAACGCTGGCCACACGGTTGTTGTTGATGGGAAGGAATTTGATTTTCATCTCTTGCCCAGTGGAATCATCAATGAGAAGTCAATATCGATAATTGGTGAGTCAGATGTGTTCATATATCGAAAAATTTTAATTGAAAAGTTATTGACATTTGTCTAAGATTCCGCAGATGAAAAAATGAGAATTTTGTAATAAAAATAAATTCTTTCGTTCTTGTTTGCGGCTTATTATAAAACCATTTAATACAAAATATTGTCAAACTTAATCATTGTTATTGATGGACTTCTTCAAATAATAAACAACGAACTTCCGCTCATTCAGAGATAAAAAACTTTTACTTATTTATGTTTGATTTTAATTCTACAAATCGAAGGAATTGATATCAAATTACAAGAAATTCTCTTGTTAAATATTTATGCTAAACCATGTTTGTCCCATCGCCGTTTATAACGGAAGAAATATCAAAGAAATCTGTTTTGAAGGCCACTAAAGTTTTGTCAACAACAAAACCAACGTGATAGAACGCAATGGCACCGAGATTTCTTTTCTACAAATTACGTTAATTAAAAATTTATTCGTTTTTTTAGGTAATGGAGTTGTCGTTCACCTCCCAGGATTATTTGAAGAACTTGCAAAGAACGAAGCAAAAGGATTGCAAGACTGGCAAAATCGATTAATTGTGTCAGATCGCGCTCATTTGGTGTTTGATTTCCATCAACAAGTTGACGGCTTGCAAGAAGCAGAATCAGCAAAAGGTGGAAAGTCACTTGGCACCACAAAGAAGGGAATTGGACCGGCTTATAGCAGCAAAGCAACACGTAATGGTATTCGAGTCGGTGATCTTCTCGGCGATTTCACCAAGTTTAGCGACAAGTGAGAGTTATCTAGAGATCGTCTTAAAATGTGTTCCGTGCGATAACTTTTATTTTTAAGATTCCGATCGATTGTATCGACACATCAAAGACTGTTCCCAGGCTGTGTCGTAGACATCGATGGTGAACTCCTTCGTTACAAGGATTATGCTGAAAAATTACGTCCATTTGTCAAAGACACAGTTTTCTATCTTCATTCAGCTTTACGAAACGGAAAGACAGTTCTGGTTGAGGGCGCCAACGCTGCAATGCTTGATATTGATTTTGGAACGTATCCTTATGTGACGAGTAGCAATTGTTCCATTGGTGGTGTCTTAACCGGACTGGGAATCCCACCTCAAACAATCGGAGAAGTTATTGGAGTTGTCAAAGCTTACACAACTCGTGTTGGTGACGGGCCTTTCCCTAGTGAACAACTGAATGTGAGTTAGAAATGTTTAGCAGGAATGTCGATTGTCATTCGACAACCTTACATTGACATCAATAAATTCTAAAAATTTAATTCTTGCAGGAGACCGGTCGGCTTTTACAAGAACGAGGAGCTGAAATTGGTGTCACAACCAGAAGAGTTCGACGTTGTGGATGGTTGGATTTGCCAGTTTTGCGTTATACCTCACTTGTTAACGGCTATTCAGCCATTTGTCTCACCAAGTTGGATATTCTTGATACGCTTAAAGAAATAAAAATCGCTGTCAAGTGAGTAATAAATTTAATTAATGACAGAAATGAGATTTTAATATATATTTTCAGCTACAAACTTCATGGAGATGTCATCTACAATTTTCCTGGTTCAATCTCCGATCTTGCTCAGGTAGAAGTTGAATATGCGACACTTCCAGGCTGGGAGCAGTCAACTGCAAATATTCGAGATTTCCGCGATCTACCTGAAGCCGCTCAAAATTATGTTCGGTTTATTGAAAAAGATTTGGATGTGCCGATTAAGTGGATCGGCGTCGGGAAAGGTCGAGAATCAATCATCAAAGTGTATTGAATATAACTTTGATTTCTTTTAATTAAATATTTTTTTTTTATCTCCTTCATCCCAAAAACATTTAAAAATTCATGTTAAACATTTTTTGAGGATCTTTTTAAAACTTGGATGGTTCATATTTTCAGAAAACTTTTTTAATATAAATTCTATGCCAAAAAAGAAAAACAGCAACTTGCATCAAATTGAAACTGCACATTTTATGCTGATTTATTTTGAATGTTCTCAAATGCATTCAGTTTTACTTTTATTATTCTTGATTGTACAATAAGAATTAAACGATGATGAAAAAAAAATTTGGGAAAATTTTAATTTTTTTTTTGTACTTATAAAGCAGTAACAATTTCTACGTTTATTTTAATCGCACACTTATCGAAATGTAGCGCTTTAGAACATACATAAAATAATTAAAAATCAATTAGCAGTCAGATGCAAGAATAATAATAAACCTAACATTTCACCTTAACGAGGACACTTATTGAGTTCTGATTTTATGTCGACGTGGGACAAATAGGAAATGAGAATAAACGTCGATTTTAAGGAAATCAACTTGAGTTTTATTTGCTTTTTTTCAGCATGCATAAATGGAACGACACACATAACAACAGTCATAAAGTTTTTAGTACATTCAACTGTTGCTGTTTTCATTTGTTTACCTCTCTTTATCATGTGCGTCCTTCAATTATTCTTTCTTCATTTTAAGCTTTAATTCTCACTTTAATGATTAAAGCTCTGCTTTATTCAAAAGTTTCTTCTTGTTTTAATTCCACTGATGAGAGAAAGAGAAATCTAAACTTCTTCCAAGGGATAGTTCATGTAGATTACTATTGAAATTGCCACAAAATAATTTTTGTTGATGTTAAAAATAAATAAAAACAAAGTTTGTGTTATAAATATTGCAGCGAACTTCACCGTGACTATCTTTGTAGTGCGTTTACTCAGCATAGCCTACCAAGTTTCCATCATGAACAATCCCTTGGTTTGAGAAGAGAATAAAGCAGAAGTCAAGAGAGGAGCGGGATATATTATCGAGTGCGCGAAAAGATTTTTAGTTATACGCGATTTATACAACAAAACAGATGCGCTAGAGACGAGATAAAAACAAGTCTCACAAAAATAAACACAAAAAAAAGTCATTTCAGTCTTTCACAAGTTCTAAGAAGTGAAAATTCTATTTTGTGCACCAATTTATAGGTCAATTTTTAAAGATTCAATTAAGCATCTACCTGCTGAGAAGATTAAAATCATAGAAAGATTGTGTTTGAAATTTAATTTTTTGTTGAGAAATTTTTTCATGTTTTAAGCAATTAAATTTAAGAAGAAGAAAAATACAAATTCATCCAGTTTAAAGACAAAAAAACTATAAAAAAAGTGAGTTCATTCATCGGTTTCTAGGTTTAAGATTGTGCAGCTGATAAAGCTACCTGGGTAGTGATTTTATTTCGTCTACTGAAATTATTCACGTTTAGATTAAAAACTTGCAAAGTCTGATAAGGTGAAGAATTAAGGTCAACTATTATAAAATTGTACTATAATTACGAACATCAACATTAAGTAAATAATAAATGAGTCAGTGAAAATTTCATAATCAAATAATGTCGGTCATTGACACGCTTTTCGCAAAGGAATTTCCCTAAAAACTTTAAAACATGAAACAACGAAAATAATATGAAAACAATGCAAATTTAATGTCTATTTTTATGCTTGAAACATTTATTTTTCAAACTACTAATTTCGTAACACAAAACAACATGAAGTAACTTTTTCTTCAGTAAAATTAAAAATCTTTTAAATTGCTTCCCTTTCTGCCTAGAATTTTCCTACTTGAAGGTCACAAGAAGAACATTTTTAATAAATAAATAGAAAGAAATTTTCATACCACGTGATCAAAATTCTAGAAGAATTTTCACTGATGTTCAAAAAATGGCCCAGAAACAAAATGATGACCCTTATTTGATCCCTCAAAAATCAACGCACCTTAAAATTAATATTATTAACAATTTTGATAAACATATATTTTTTCTCAAACCCCTTTTAGGATCATCTTAGAAATTTAAGCAATTAACAAGTAGATAACATTAACACAAGCAATTAACTGGATGAAATGTCTAACAATAATTTTGATCAGACATCTAACACCAATGCTGTTTCAGGAAACTTATCAAAGCAGGAATCTGTAATGAGCATATACGAACCCACACCAATGAGTCCAACAAAAAGCAATTCAGGAAGCAATGGATCGTTATTGAAGCCTCCGTCACTTAACACCCCAGACAATTCAATTGAAAATCCAATAACGCGTAAATTCAGTTATGGAAATCTTGGAAATCAAGCAGAAGCTCGAGTTCTTGTTTTGTTTACTGGAGGAACTATTGGTATGATGCGAAACGATAAAAATGGTAAGAAACGTTGGTAAATATCGAACAAAGAATCTTTCAAAATATTTAAACTCTTAATTGAAGTCAACATCATTCTCAAAAACGTCAAAGTTTGTTGATCGGATGTTTCATTAACACTTCATTCATGATTTGTAAATTATTATTTGTATAAATAGATGTTCCAAATCAATAAATCAATTCTGATATGCATTAATATTATTTAGATTAAACGATGTGTTTTTCATGATAATTTCTTTTTATTCGATGCAACGTTTAATCTTTAAGAAAGAATAATTTGTAATTTAATTTTAAATCAAACAATTTTCCAATGACATTTTAAATTATCAGAAGCATGATTTTGTGATAATTAAGGGCACAATAGTTTGATGCTAATCAATTTGTTGTGATGAATATATTGTAGTACTTGAGCCCATTGCCAATCAGCTGCTTAAGCGGATGCGAAAATATCCCCACATGCATGACGAAGAATACGCATCGAAGCGATTTGGAAAATCTTCTTTGATGGCACCTTTGGTTCTTCCACATGTTGAAGGCGAACATCGGAGAATAATTTATACAATTTCTGAATATGAACCGTTGTTGGATTCCAGCAATATGACCTTTCAAGATTGGATGAAAATTGCAGAAGACATTATGGTAACAATTGAAGATTCCTCAAACATTTCCATCGTAAAAATAATATCAAAACATATTTTTAGCAATCTTATGAGTTCTTTGATGGATTTGTTGTTCTACATGGAACTGATACATTATCTTACACAGCTTCCGCGCTTTCATTCATGCTTGAGAATCTTGGCAAAACTGTAATCATCACCGGATCCCAAATCCCAATCTTCGAAACACGATCTGATGGCAAAGACAATTTCATGGGTTCACTCATTATTGCGGGAAACTACGTGATTCCTGAAGTATGTGTGCTTTTTAACTCCAAACTCTTCCGCGGAAATCGGACGATAAAAATTAGTTCGGCATCACTTGATGCTTTTGATTCTCCGAATGTTTCTCCAATTGCTAAATTGGGACTCAGCGCTGAAGTTGATTATCGTCTAATTTTTCGTCCATGTAAAGTAGCAAAATTTACTGTTCACTCAAAATTAGATGAAAATGTTGGAATTTTGAGAATCTTTCCGAACATGCCAACTCAAACCATAAAAGCATTTTTGCAACCACCTATGAAAGGAGTTGTTTTACAAACATTTGGTTCAGGAAACATTCCAAACAATCGTCGTGATTTGCATGAAACACTTAGGGAGGCAACAGATCGTGGGATCATTATTGTTAATTGCACTCAATGCATCACTGGATCAGTAGCAGAAATTTATGAAACGGGACGTCAATTGCTAGACTGCGGTGTTATTCCAGGTTTTGATATGGTAAGTTAATCTTAATCTTATTCTAATCGAGATTAAATTAAATTAATCTTTCTCCTAATCAAGATTAACTTCAAGATTAACTTAATCTCGATTTTCCATTTAATCAGGATTAGTAAATCCATCACTTGTTACTTTTGTTTTCATTTATCCAGACACCCGAAGCTGCGCTAGCAAAATTATCTTACGTTTTGGGAAAGGATGATTGGAATTTGAACACAAAGAAAGTCATGATGCAAAACAACTTAAGAGGTGAACTTACAAATGGTAAAGCCCCGCAACTTGATGACTATGATTTAGTTGATGCTGTCGCACGTTCACTTCATCTGTCAACGCCAAAAGAATTGGAACAGCTTGGTGCTGTATTATTTCCTGCTATGGTGAATGCATCAGTCGTCAGTGGTGATACAAAGAAAATTGATATGTTGAAGAGCTATGGAGCAAATTTGTCTGCTATCAATTATGATTTAAGAACAGCTTTACATGTTGCTTGTGCGGAAGGAAACGAAGATGTTGTAAAGCATTTACTTCTCAATGGAGCGGCAGTTCACATACGTGACAGATATGACAGAAGTCCTCTCTTTGAAGCAATAAACCATGATCATCATGAAATAATTAAATTGTTGTTAAAATGTGGCTCACACGTGACGGGATCAACAAGAGGATTAGGAGACAGCTTATGCGGAGCAGCAGCAAGAGGTTTAATAAAACGTCTAGAGTCTTATCGTCTTGCAGGCGTTGACCTATCACTTCAAGATACATCCGGAAGAACTGGTGAACATATTATTGACTCCGTAAAATTAGTATCCTAAACTTATAGAAAATATTTTCCTTTTCCATTCACAGCTTTACACTTGGCAGCACTTCATGGTCATGTCAACGTTATTGATTATTTACTCAATCATGAAGTGGAGTTTACGAATGACCTACTCGGTCTAACACCCTTGGATTATGCAAAGAAAGGAAATAACCTGTCAATCATTACTAAGCTCGAATCAAAAATCCCCCATCTAAATGGAAATTCTGATTAAACCTTTTTTTCATTTTCTCAATAATCAAGAAGAAGAAAACTCATGAAAATTTTATCTGTTGACTACGTAGGATATAAAACAAGGAAAACATTTATGAAACAGCTTAAATAAATGATTATCTACTCAAGAAAAATTCTCTTCACGATTTCATTTTTATCTGTTTATTTTCATTTTTAAATGTTAAATGTGGGCGAACAATAAAAAATTAATAGAACAGTATTTACTTAAAAATTCTATAAATGCTGAAACAATTATTTGGTTTTACCTTTTTCCTACTTTTCAACAAAACTTTTCAGTAATAAAAATACCTCAATAGATTCAAACCATTAATTTTTTTTAGCTTAATTAAACTTGGAGGAAAATTGCCTTACATGAATAATTAACCTGAGCTTTAATTCTCTTAATCTTTCTACACGCTGTCATGTCAAGTAGTTTAAAAAACTTTTTTTCTTTATTTAGTACTGTAAAAGGCTATAATAAAAAAATCTGTTGTTTTCCTTTTGAATTCAGAAAAGAGTTAAGAAAATGGTTGAATGGCTTTGACAGAAAATCTCTTTGTGTTTTCATGCAGTGTTAATAACGCTGGTAATATTAAATTTCTTTCTCTGGTTTAATGATTATTCTCAAAGAACTTGCGGGGTCTTGTAACGCTAGAGTATTGCTTCCGTAATTGCATTGCTATTGTTTTCCTATGACAACCACTACGGAAACAAATTGTGAGTGGAGTCTTTTTGTTTTTAAAGCTTAAGCAGCTTTCATAATTATTCATTGAAAGAGATCCAATTTATTATTTTCTAAGATCTTTCATTCAATTCAACGAGATTCAACGAATGATGAAATTCAAAAAGAAAGTAACGATGAAATTAGGAAGTAATCAAATGTTCTAAATAGATATGTGACTTTATATATTTCATTTATTTATGTTCATGTTTTCATCATAAAATTTTCTCATCAATTAACAAAGTTCAGCTTTTATTAGGTTTAGGTATTCATATAGATAAATGAAACTTTGAAAGAAATTAACCTTCGTCATCAATCTTAACAAAGGTAAAAGTTTCACTCAGATAATTGCGTGGGAGTATATTGAGTTCTATCGAAAATAAAATGGCAAGTCTCATAGGAAAAATACTTCGAGTTGTTTCAGTAATTGGCCCACACAGATCATTCTTTGAAAGGATCGGTTTACAGAAAACAATCTCAATATTTTTTATTTCTTTTTGAAGTTAAGATTTTCGAAACCTGTTTCTTAAAAAGTAAACTTGTGAATGTAACAGGAGAGGTTAACATAATTTAATATTATACAGCAATATAATTAACAACCCAAGTAAATATAGAATAAATTTATGTAGCAATTTGATAAGAAGTAAGATAAGCCTAAATTTCATAAGAAAAAATATGATTTCGGCAATGAAATTGATTTGATTCTGAAGTTATCTTGAAGTTTTTCATTTAATCTTTTCTCTTTTCATTTTGTACTTGAAGATTTCTCAACCATCACAAAGATTGTATCCCCGATGGTTCTACCCATTCCCAAAGGCAAAGCATGTTCTCAGAAAAAATATTTATCTGTTGATTTAACAAGAAAAGAAACACTTGTTGAGTCAGTCTACCCTTGATGACAAATTTTTCATCAAGTAATTAATTGAATGAAATAATTCAAATTTTACAGACGGAAGTTAAATTGCCAGCTTTCCAAATTCTTCGTTTTCTTTAAAAATTTCCGGTGTCGAATGCTACAAAACGTGTACACTGAGAACAAAATTTATAGCTTATAATAAAGAGATCGGGACAATAAAGCTTTTTTCCTATTCTGCAAAAAGTATTTTATATTATCAGCGTTATGTAAAAATTAATAGTTGTGCAATATGGAACTTACAGACAGTAATATAGGGATTTTGCAGTTATGCAATATTTTTCATTTGAGCCGCATACATATCGCTTATAAATAAGCCTTTTATTAACCATTAATATTAAATAAGAAAGCGGTTCAAATTTAAATTTTTATAGATTTTTATTTATTTTCATGCGTTTTATTCAACGATTACATAAATTTATAAATTTACCATGCACAGAATGATAAACATACGATAATCTTGTTAAATCTATGGAGTTCAAGTTTATTTTTGCTAGTCTTTGGCTTATATCATGAACTTCCAAGCAATCAAGATTATCGTTTGTTTTTACAATTAAAATGGTTTTATATGTTAAAAAGTAATTGGAGTTTATGCTTACAATTTTGTCAACGATTCCATAAATATTGCAATAATTTTCTTCATCAAATGTTTCAAATACACCGTGAAATGAGAACAAAAAAAACGATATGCTTCAGCTCTGCTTGCTTTATTCACAGTCGAACCTCTAATGCGCTTACATGGTGCTGGTGTGAAGATGAATGGAAGAACAATCAAAGCCAACAACGATTGATCGACATGGTCAACTAAAAAGAAGTAAAGTTTCGAAACTATCTTAAAAGGAATATTGAAGTTACTTACCATTTTCATACTGTTTTAAAATATCAGATGCAGTGGCTTCATTTCGAATTTGTTTCGCTTTTCGTATTATTTTGGAGCATATTTTTGATATGGAATAATGTAAGTTAAGTTCCCTTATTTCAGGTGCTCTTTCATAGGCATCAATCAAAAACTAAAAAATAAATTACAAGAAATTAAAATGTGATAATTTAAAATAATTAAATAACTCACCAATTCATATCCAGCAGGAGTGCGAAGATACGGATATTTGTTCACGTAGTCAATTGTGCATATTTCAGTTTTTAATATTTCTTCACGAATGTCATAAGTTCGTTTCCATGCACTTTCAATAGCGTTCTTATCATTAAAATCATTTCCTTCTATGATTTCCATAGCATCTGTATCAATTGTCGGACCAAAAATATCCATTGAGCTATCGTTTTGTTCTAATACATGCCCAACACGCCTTGCTTCTCTTCCAATCAAGCCGACTTTGACAAGAGAATTTCTCAAGTTCAAATAACTTGAGTATAACTTTCCAGTTGGAACACATCCTCTAGTTGACGGAACAAAATATGTTGACTCCACTTCAGTTGGAAATAATTCGACTAAAATGCTGCTTAAATGCTTGAAGTCGTCTTTGTTGAGTCTGAAAGAAAAAAAATTCAATCACATGAAATGACAAAGAAGAATTTTAACCTCACTTTCTTTCATGATTCTTTCCAAGCACAGAATGAATTATGTATCTTGATAATTTTCCACGATGTTCCTCTTCCAAACATTCATTTGTATCATAATATGCAAAAGGTATTATGAATTCAAATGATTCAGTGACGGTCAGCGACTAAAATGTGTAAAAATCATGATTTAAAAGCAAAAAAAATTAATTTCATTTTACTTACGTCTTTAGTAGGAAAAACGTCCATCCTCCTCTCTTCACTTAAGTAAATGATTATGAACTATTGTTTTTAATTGTTTTTTGATTGAATTAAAGCATCAAAACACTAAAATTAATATTTTCCTTAATTTTTGATGACTTGCACAAATTTAAAAGCTTACTAGGAAGTTTCGTATACGAAAGTCATCAGTCGCTAACATGTCGGACTGGCAGCTTTTGCTGTCAGTTATAAAGTAAAATACTGTCAGTATTCAAAAAAAATTATTAACCGTTAATAATTTCATTAATAAAGTGAAAATTATATGTTAATAATAAAGCCTTAGAAGCAGTAATAAAAACTTAATTGCAGCTTCTAAAACCATATTGCACAACTGAAAAAGTTTTTCTCAGTGTATGGTTTGAGATATATTTTTAAATTAGAAACGTAATATGATAAATTTAAGTAATAAGCCTTCTTGTTATTTTCTACAGAAACTTTTTAAAGAAGAAAGAAGTGAAACATCAAAAATGTAGAAAAACTCTTGAAACCATAATGAAAATAATAACTAATGAAAAGATCTCCAACAAAAGAATAGATAATTTCAAATGAAGGAGCCATTGATTAGGTTATTTCAAACTTTCCTTTATACTGATGTTTGTAAAAGCTTTTACAGAATTTCTCCGGTGAAACATCAAAGAGTTGCTTCTGAAGTAGATACCTATTTCCTATTTGAAAAACAAAGCTGTTTAATTTACATATTTATTTCTACTAGGCAGTTATATTTTTTCATAAAGGAAAGGAAAAACTCATAAGTATCGTAGATCTATTTATATTCATTAAAAACAAACAAATATTTGTGGAGCTTCATCATTAAAAAGCTTTTTAAAATAATTTTCTTCCTCAAATTGTTAAATTTGTAAATTGCTCATTAGAGATTTTGGTATTTTTGGTACTTCAGTTAAACTTCATTTAAGTACTCGAGATACAATCAATTAGGTATTTGTTGTTGATTTGTTACAAATTGAAGATTCAAAAAAGTTCAAAAAAGTTCAAGAGAGCGAAAAGAAGAGAAAATTGAGAGTGAAAAATATCCTGAAGACCATCCTGAATGCCTTCTTTTATTCAGTCGTTGATTTGACGCGTAACAAAGAAGGTTGTCAGATAAGTCAACGTCAGTGAATATATCTATTAGTTACGAAAACACAAACACAGCAATTATTCTTACCAATAAAGCTTAGCAAATGTAGAAAGTTATTGAAATGTGAAAATCTTCGTTACTTATATCTGCATTGTTAGATATGAACTAAGAGGATTTATATTTTCTACAAGGATGGAATTATAGCAACGCATAATGTGTGTTTGTACAAAGCCTAAAAGAATTTAACACAAGCAGTTGACATGTTTTCTAATGGCCTAAGACAAACAAAACCAGAAATTACTTTAATGACTTGTTTAGTGAGAAAAAGTTTAAGTTGAATAAAGTTTTAAGGCATTAGAATATATTTTCCCTCTACGATGGATAAAATTTCTACAGATTTGCTCAGAAATTGCACAATCGAAGCATTGAACAAATACTCCGATGAATCAGTTATTAATGATACTGAAATTTTAAATAGCAATCGCTCATACGTTTTGGATATTTTGGGCGAATTGTATTCACAATATTCAGAAAATGATGGAAGATTACAACTTTCCTTCAGGTGAGTTGAAAACAAACCTCGCAAAAATCATAAACAATGAAGAATGTGATTGTACTTAAATAAAATATGAAAGAAAATCAGATCTCAAAGAAAAATTCAAGTTATCCGGGGTTAACGAAGAATATTTTATTCGTTTTCCTCAAATTTATGTTTGAAATATTTTATCTCATAAATTGTGAAGCTTTTTTCGGAGAGCGAAGCTTTTATTTGTACACCACTTGAGAATAAACAATAAATNAAAATATGTATGAAACGTAAATATGATTAAATTAATCCACATGGCAGATAATGATTTCACTGATGAGTAGAAGAAAATTAAATATCAGATCATTAAATCCTTTCACTTTCATTCAATGATGATCCTAGAAGATTAAAATCTTGATATCTTTTCGCATTTTTCTTGTTTCCACAGCTACAACATCGTTTTTCTTGTTCTAACATACGTCATACCTATAGTCAGTATGCTTATCTGTTACACTTTAATGGGAAGAGAGCTTTGGGGAAGTCGATCCATTGGCGAGCACACGGAAAGACAATTAGAGTCGATCCAACTGAAGAAAAAAGTAAATAATTCTTTTAAATGGCTCTCGAATTTTGTATGTAATGAAGTATCGTTGTTGGATAATTTATGTAGGTTGTTCGGATGTTTGTTGTGGTGGTCACCATATTTGCAGGTTTGAATTGGCTTCGTTACCATTCACAGGAGATTAAATGAACGAATTTCTACTTCTTCTTTCTTTGCTTCATGATTTTGAACAATTTTTTGGATTTCATAACAATCTTCCCAGTGTGTTGGCTTCCCTATCATTTATTCTTCATTTATTCTTACCACGATAATCAAATCATGTCAACGAGCTACGTGCAACACCTTTACTTAGGCTTCTATTGGCTGGCAATGTCAAACGCGATGGTGAACCCCTTAATTTACTATTGGATGAATTCCAGGTAAGCTTTAACAATCCTAAACGTTTTCAATTTGCATATCTAATCCATTTACATGAACATATCAATTTTCTATCCATCTTTCCAACAGGTTTCGGGTATATTTTCAACGAATTATTTGTTTTTGCTGCTTTAAGGCATGGAACAAAACATACACCAAAAAGCACGTTTATGGTAAATCTCATACTTTCATTATATTTTATAAAGAGTACACAAATGTTGTTTGAACATGGTTTCCTTGTCATGATTTTATTGATTGTACAAGCATAATATTGAATTAAATATTAAAGAGTTTGTTGTTCTTTTTAAACTGATATACTATCAAAACAAAAGCAATTCTGAGTCGATTTTTGTTCACAGATAGGAGAAATGTACAAAGGAAAACTCTGTCAGTGAAATGGTCCCATAACATAGCTGAAACTAAATTATGCGATGGAACAGCAGCAAAATTATCATGTGAACATTTCGTTCAATCTCCAACATCTCGATTAAATGACGTGACAGCTGGTAGTTCACTAAAGAAATCGACAGATGTTCCTATCAACAACAAGGATAATGCAAATTATAATCATCAATATTGGTAATATGTATTGATAGATATTCGTGGAAAAAATATGAAAAGCTTTCAAAAACTTTGACTAATCTTTGTTTGATGTTCATCATAAATTAATTCTATTTATGTTATAAAAGGTATAATAAATTGTTGTTCTTAATAAAATGTATAATTTCACAGTCTATCTGAAAAGCAGTCAAAACCAAAAATGTTTTTGTTTTCAAGGATGTTCAAAAATTCTTTTAAGCTCTCATAGAAGCGCAGCCTTGGTGTTGTGGGCACCGCAATGTTATTGTCACATGATGTGCAAAGAATTCAAATTCCCCATGGAGAAGTTATGCTACATTTTTTAACTAAAGGAATATTTGTGAACCTCGTCGTATGAATATTTAAGTAATTTTTCTGTCATTTTGGTCCAAGAAGTTATGTAGACTCTGATACATAAAATGTATGCTTATATGCAGAACATTAATAAGAGAAAACACATGTTTGAGTCGTGATCTGAAAACATATTTCGCAAATCATTCAAGCGTCCTTCTTCTTACTTTTTTTTATTGAAATCTTAGACATTCTGCTGCTTCATGATTGCTTCTTTTTATATGCAACATATGGATTGGTTTGTATTTGATGAAGATATAATATGAAAATTTTCTGGAAAAGTTCATAACAAATTGAATTAATTTCTTCATCAATCTCTTAACAATTTCCTTTCATGTTCAACAGATAAAGATTAACTTTATAGAGACGCAAAGAAGCAAAGATTCAGCGAATTTGTTAACATTTGATATTTGTGAATAACAGAAGGTCAGTCAGATCAATTACTTTAAATTGCGAAGTTTAGGTTTGAGGGCCATTTATGTGACAAGGAGACCTTTCTGGATGACTGAGGAAAATAAAAAGGTCTTATTTTTAAGCGGTGACAAGCTAAATTCTTTTACTGCCGAAACGTTTGTCTTTTATTTGAAAAAGGACATCAAACACTATTGAGAAAGGAAAAATATGTCAAAAGTACATTGTAAGCACTTTACAGAAGTTTTTTAAATTATGAGAATAAATAAAATATATTAAATGTTGGATTATATGAGGGCACATGAAAATTTGACTCACTTGCTTCTTTTATTTCATATGCATTTTAAAAATTGTGGCAAAAGTACATTTGCTAAGTTGAAAAGTTTAAAAAGGTTTTTTCCTCGACATATCGATTTTCTTCTATTTTTAATTTGCTTTGTGAACTTCAAGTTTAAAATTTCCTTACAGTTTTTTTATTCAAATTCTCACTGTGAATTTTCACTCTCCACAGAAAGTCATTTTTCTGTCAAGGACGTTATCAACTTTCTGAAACTACATCAACACACTTTAGTGAAAGTGAAGGGTAAATATGACTGCCTAAATACACAAAAAAAGTTCTCTTTAAATTAAAAGCTTGAGAAAGTAAGTTAAACCCTAAACTATTCTATAATCTGCAAGTGTTTTCTCTTCTTCATCAAACATAAAAATTACAAGATTGCTTTGGTTAATTCCGTACGATCCGATAAGACAAAGCTAATTTTAGATAAATATCATCATGAAATAGGACAACAGGAACAATTTCACTCAAGACGAGAGAAATCTCATAGGTTTAATGAAAAAAATTGTTATAACTATGCAGGCATCCGTTTAGTTAGAAGTTTTCCTTTTTTCCCTGCAAAATATTAATATTTCTATATGTTTGAGTACGTGATTAATTAAATCCAGCTTAATACAAACAATCGCGATTGTTTACAAACCCAAACGTTTACTGGAATATTTTGCGTTTATCAGTCGGTTTGCAAATAAAACTTATGAATTGAAATATAGACATTCAAGTTGAATCATTCATTCATCCATTGTAAAGATTCTGAGTTAAATCGTAAAACTTATTCCATCATTTCCTTCTGTCATAGATCTGATGAGAATCTCTTGATATTTAAGTAGAAACGGGGACAATATATGAAATTCGTATTAATGGTTTTTATTTACACAGAAGCTTTTCAAACTGTTTAGATAAATCTTCTAAGCTGCTTTGAAGATGACCACTTCTTTCTTTTTCAATATCTAAAGCGTTCTTGTGAATATTTTGCTTTCGTCTTAAATATTCTTTCTTTTTCTTGAGGAACATCCTTTGAACACAAAAAGCATTCAAACTTACATAAAAAATATATTTCCGTAAATTATGAAAGTATTCAATGAGAATTGTTGAAAGGATCATTAAAATATTTCAGAAGGTTAATTGACAGAGAAAAAACGCCTACATCAGAAAATTGACGAACTCAAAGGCTTAAACTCTTTCAATAAAAAAAGAACGCCGGAAAAGTCATGAAAATGAAAGATATTTTCCTTGGAAGCATTGTCATAAAAATAGTCATTTAAGCTTCAAACATTGTAAAATTCTTCTGTCGTAAAAATATTTAATGCAACAAAGCAAACATTCCAACATTTGCTATCAAAATTTTAGTATTTTCGCATAAATATTTTTAAAGTTTAAACTTTATTATTTAGAAGTATCAGAAAGTGTAATTTCCTATTAATTAGGGTTCGATGAAATCAGATATTTTCTGAATATTTCAATGAAAAATTTTCAATTAAATCTGCATAAATTCTTAATTAAAGGATCTAAATATATTCTCTTATTGATTATTAACTGTAAGTAATGAAGGGTGGGTTAGACTTGATGATACTCATCTACTTGCCAGACACTTTACATTTCAACTTTTCTAAATTTGATTAAACATTGAATAGAGAAACTTTTTATGAAGTATCATTAAAAGTTTTTTTTTTCTAGTTATTCAACGTGACCAGAAAATCTTAAGCATTAAGTAAATATTTTTTTTTAACTTTTATTTCTTTATGTTGTTTACAAAGATAAATACATTTGATAATAATGTAGAATTTTTTTTTATATTTAGATATGTATAAAAGTGTTCATAAATAAATATTTATCAAGATTCATAAATTGTTCAATAAGCAGTTTGTTTTTGTTTTGTTACTGCAGATTTAGACTTAAAGTTAATATATGAAGCCATCCTTAAGGTTCACATTGGGGAACGAAATGCTGTAATACAAAGATTTGGAAAACTGTCACGAACAAATTAATTGATAAGTTGTTATTCCCAGAATAAATATAAGAAGATACAATTTATGACCATGCAGAATTTCAGGACTTTGTATTTGGTCTAAAGCAGGTGAATAAGAAGACAGAAGTCAGCATAGATAAATACATGATTGTAGCTTAAAGAATTTCTCATACTTTTTCTGATCTAATACTTCGAGACAATCAAGCTAACATGTTAGAGCAATTAAACAAAAATAAACTGCACATCTTGTTACATGAACACGTTCAAGAGCATAACTTATAAGGGTGAGTGATAAATTACCATCATTTGCATATAAATTGAATTTCTCACGGAAATTTTCCTTTAACACTCGGTTTAAAAAAAACTTAACATGAAGTACTTGAACTCATTTTACATGTTCCTTAGAATTATTTTTGAAGAAACTTGTATAAATAATTAATACGAGACAATTCTTGAGTCAAAGCAAGTGTTTAAACTTTGACTTTTCTCATTGAAATTAGTTGAGTAGCTTAGGGAGAAATGAAGTTAAGAAAATGTTCATACTCATCCTGCTTCATCAAGAGCATCTTTAGTCAACTGATACTTCACTTCAATACTTCATTAATTTATTCAATTTAAAGTATCAGATAACTAATTTTAGAACAAGTTCTAGGAAGGAAATTTGGTCTATTAAAATATATAATGAGGTTGTTCTTCTGAAACAAACCTCCATCTTCCAGAAAATGTCTTGTTTAATCACAAAAAATTATCAAAGTATTTATTAAATGTTTTTAGGTTGCGGAAATTCTGTAGAAAGGATTCATTCAAATTAAAGTTCCATCAGTTTGCATAGTGACGGTTTAATTTAGTAAACTTGATCCTTCGTTAATAATTTATGAACTTAAAAATGATTTTTTCATTAGCTACAAATTTTAAAACAGTTCCCAATTTAATGAAATTCTTTCGATAAATAGTTGATCAACTAGGTAATTTTATTTAAATCATTTTTTTTCACATTCTTCAATTTGTTTCTAAGTTTTTAGAGCTTCTTTATTTTCAATCTTTAAAAGGCTTATTACAATTTTTACTTTTCTATAAGTTATAATTAAGCTGAAATTAGGAAAGGAAGAGAAATTTTCGAAACGACCCCTTCTTGTGGTATTTTTCCAACTCTCGAGAGGAAATGAAATAAAAACAAATACGAAAGTTAAAATTTTTAGGTCCCGAACTTTCACAATTTTGTGTGCTTGTTATTTCGTTGCTTATTTATTAGATGCGGCAAACTTTGAGGTTGCTCGCAGTTACTAAAAATATCTGATTGCGCATTATGAGTTCATTAGTAGCTGCTTGTCTTGGTATTCAAATGAGTTTCAACTTTTAAATTAAGAATCGCTGGAATATATTTAAAATTGATTCGATTCACGTCTAAGCCAAATTGGTTAAATAGTAATGTTCATGAATTGCCTCATTCGTGAATTCCTTATTAGATAAACATCTCCTTAGATATCCGAAGGAAAAATATTTCTAATAACGATTAGGTGATTATGTTAACATCATAAAGTAGTAATTACTAATTTTGATGAAGTCATTGTCAATCTCAAGGGGAGAGTCATGAAAATTTGTTCTTCTAATTTAGTTCATAAAGTTGAAAACATTTCTAACAGAAATAAATGATCATAAATTTGACTACAAGTGGTCCGTGATTCAACTTTTGATCTGACTAAAGATTAGTAAGATTTATGTGCAAACACGATTTTTTCAACTGCCTTTTAAAAGTTTTCTTGTATCAAAAATCTGAACTTCCTTTTCATTTGTTGCGCAGTGTTTCAATACTCTTGGTAATTCTCTTCTTGTGTTATCTTTATTCGTGATTCAAGATTGAAACGCAATTTTTTATTCTACATGACAAGATATAAATAGATGTATGTTGGTTATTTTTATGCCAACATGACACGATGTTTTTCTTCTTATACATTTTTTATATCCAAGAGAATCTAAATGAAAGTTTTAATCAAGAGGAAAACAATTTTTTCATTTATTATTTTGTTTCTCTCACCTGACACTTGAACGTCGCCAAGGTTGTTCAACAAATTGCATTTACCTTTTCTCTTGGTCTCGGATTTTTTTGTTCAGATTGGATTTTAAAGGAAAACAAGTCACGAAAAAAAAAGAATGAAGGTTTAAGGTAATTTGAGGACTCTTTTGTTTGTTTTGTTTCTGCTCTTACTTCCGTTTGTAAGTACTCAAAAGGCAAGATTTGGGATTGTGTTGTTCTTTCCTACAAGTTTTCCTAAATTACAAAGAAAATCATTAAAGAGTAACTTAAAGCGGAAAAGCTTGTTAGAATCAAAGGGAAAATTAAATACGTAAATTATTAGCCCGAGCGGCACAAGCGGAGATTGCAATTTCATTTTCACCATCGGCTTGCTTTTTCAGTCAAATGGGAAGCAATTCCGTCAAATTTTGCACAATATTGTTTAAAGTTTGGCATATGATGAAAATGAAATCGATTTTTAAAATTTCCTCATGTTCTCTTCTTAAGATTGCCATGTGCTAAACTTTCAAGGCAATTGTAAAGAAATTCCGTGAAGTTTAGCTCATGACTTTCTAGAGGAAGAAATTCCAATCAATTTGAAATTACTTGATAAGTTCGTAATATGCCGGTTTTTAAAGTCAGCACTTAGTTAGACTTTCAAGTATGTTTCACGTTTGAAATTTTTACAAGGGAAAATAAAAAAAGGAAATTGTATTCAAAAAGAAGAAATATCATTCAATGAATACCTTAATTAAATTAATATAATGTTATTGAAANGAAGCTTTTTTCGGAGAGCGAAGCTTTTATTTGTACACCACTTGAGAATAAACAATAAATAAATAAAAATAAAAAAATGTTAAAATAAGTATTTGAAGCAATCCAATATCAAAGCATAAGCATAGACGAAGAATTCATCTTGAAGAAATCAATCTACTTTGTTTGAATGTTAATATCCCAGCAGATATTAAAATGAAACAAAAATTCTAATGAAAATAAAATAAATTTCGTTTTAACCTTTCGTCATTGTAGATTTATCTCATAAAATTATTCATTTCCAAAATATTTGTGTCTTTAATTAGAGTAAATGTTGCTTAAAAAAATTATCCCTTTTTCTTTCATTTCCGTGTGTGATGATTAAAAATTTTTGTGCAGAGGATTTCTTTCCGACTGCCTAACTATACAAAATGAGAAACCTTACGAATTACCATGGCAGCAAAAGATTATTTGGTCTTTATTATTCGGAGCCATGCTAATAGTGGCTATCACGGGAAACTCAATCGTGCTGTGGATTGTATTAGGTAAAGTTGAAAAGCTAATCGACTCTAACGATTCTTCCGCTTTTCCTTCATACTTAATTACTTTTAATCCTTTCTAGCACATCGACGTATGCGAACTATAACAAATTATTTTCTCCTAAATCTAAGCATTGCTGACTTACTCATGGCATCTTTAAATTGCGTATTCAATTTTATATTCATGATAGATTCAGGTGAAGATTCTATTTATATCATAAATGTCTTATAAATATTTGAATTTTTTTTATATCTTCATGCTTAACGCAAGATTGGCCGTTTGGTTCTACGTGAGTTATTCAAGCTCGATAAACATTTACCAAGATTAAATAAATTCTTCTTACCTTCAGATATTGCACTATAAATAATTTCATAGCCAATGTGACAGTCGCTGCTTCAGTCTTTACACTGGTGGCGATATCATTCGATAGGTAAACGTCAACTTTCTGAAAATATGAGAGGTGAAAACTTTTAAATTAAAAAACATTTTTTATACTTTATAGATACATAGCTGTAAGCTCTCAGTGTTATACATACGCATAAATAAATATGATTTGCTAGAAACATTTAATAATTGCAGATAATGCGTCCTTTACAGCACAGAACATCAAGAAAAAAAGCGATACTTTTTGTATTAATAATTTGGTTAACGAGCTCAATTCTAGCAGCTCCATGCCTTATATACAGCCATGTTTCTTCAAGAAAGTAAGTTATAAGTGTCAAGTTTACGTATAAATATTAGTAGAAACCTTCGTGATGTTCAGAATTGAGTTAATAATGTCAAAAATGTCGTTAAACTTATCGTCAAGTATTAAAGTTATAATCATGTCTCATTCACATTTATTTACTGGTTTATCTCTGGTTAAGAAATATTAAATATTTCTGGTTATTACAGCTTATGCTTTTATTTTCAAACCATTTAAAACATGAACTTTCAAAACGCTTTATAGCTCGCAAATTTAATCAGGAATTTTAATATCAATGTCAGCAAGGGTTTAAGAAAATAATTGGATTTGCCTTTTATATTCTTAAGCATTATTGCTTCTCCATGTAAAGCAGTAAATGTGTTGAATTTTTTCTTTAATCAATTTGCATCTTCTTAATGCTTTAAGAGCGATCTACAAACATATGTGCTTGACAAAATCTGCCTTTGAAAAATGAAGATAAAAAAGCGGATTTTAGATGCTTATCCTTTTCATTAAAAAATTCTTTTATATGAAAGATATTCCAGTGGAAAGACTAGAACAGTATGCTTTATGTTGTGGCCAGATGGAGGATATCCTACTTCTAAAACAGATTATATGTGAGTATAAAGATCGCTTAGATATTTGTAGAAATCTTACTTACTTTACGTATGTAATTTCCTAAACAAATAAGCTTCAAAAATTTTTTGTGAAAATTTTACTTCTAAAGGGAAATTCTTCCTAAGATACACAAAGTTGAAAAAATTGTTCCATATTTATTTTTAATGACATTTTCAAATTTAAATTAAATTTGTCTAAGAAAAAACATCTGCAAACACCAGACTTTTACTCATTTAACTTTCCATTAAAGATACGAATTTTTTTTATCAAAGAAAAAATTAGAAACATTGTATAAATATTGTGTGGGATGAATTAAATTTGTCCTCAATTGGGTTTGTTTTATTTCTGATTTTCTATTCAAATTTATTCAAAATTCTTGGATGGAACATTTAACAGAAAGAAATTAAATAGACCTTTCCAGATACTTGAATTTCTGAGGCATAAGTTTTCTTAAAATGTAAGAAGTTTGACATTTTGATATTAATACTTGTCAACACCAAAATATTTTAAGCTTCTGTTTCAGATTAGATACATTTAAGAGACATAAACTTCTTATAATTTATAAGTACCTATTAATATTGCAGCAGACTCGAATCGATCTTCTTAACGTTACAAACATTTTTTATTTCTTATTCTTTAGGGCTTTTGACCTAATTGAACTTTTCTGAGTATATGCAAATATAATTCAATAAATATTTTAGAAGATCTACAATGTTTTGTAAATATTATTCGAAACGGGAATGTAACAAAATGATTTATTTGTATTCCAACTTGGGAACTTTAAAAATTTCCATAGCATTAATCCTCAAGGATATCCTGAAGCTCAAAATCGACTTATTGAAAAAGAAAAGAATGAAAATGTTTAACTGTTTGGAAGAAGTCTAACAATTTTTGAAGTGATAGCAGATTTAGTTTGAAATTTAACTTCTTGCTGTGAAATGATAAATAGATTTCCATTCAGTTGTATGTATTAAAGCCATAAATCATTACTTTGGTTTTATAAATATCAAAGCACTATCTAAAAAATTTGCTTCATCATTTTAATCGTCAGAAAAAATCCGAGAACTACGTTTTAGAATAATGATGTTGAATATTATCATTACAGAATCTAAATTTATACCTAGCTAGGCCATAAATCATACTGAAATAATTCATGACTGAAAATTTCACAAGAATTTTCGTAGTAATAAATTTTGAGCTAAAAATATGTATGAAACGTAAATATGATTAAATTAATCCACATCATAGATAATGAATTCACTCATGAGTATAAGAAAATTAAATATCAGATCATTAAATCCTTTAACTTTCATTCAATGATGATCCTAGAAGATTAAAATCTTGATATCTTTTCGCATTTTTCTTGTTTCCACAGCTACAACATCGTTTTTCTTGTTCTAACATACGTCATACCTATAGTCAGTATGCTTATCTGTTACACTTTAATGGGAAGAGAGCTTTGGGGAAGTCGATCCATTGGCGAGCACACGGAAAGACAATTAGAGTCGATCCAACTGAAGAAAAAAGTAAATAATTCTTTTAAATGGCTCTCGAATTTTGTATGTAATGAAGTATCGTTGTTGGATAATTTATGTAGGTTGTTCGGATGTTTGTTGTGGTGGTCACCATATTTGCAGGTTTGAATTGGCTTCGTTACCATTCACAGGAGATTAAATGAACGAATTTCTACTTCTTCTTTCTTTGCTTCATGATTTTGAACAATTTTTTGGATTTCATAACAATCTTCCCAGTGTGTTGGCTTCCCTATCATTTATTCTTCATTTATTCTTACCACGATAATCAAATCATGTCAACGAGCTACGTGCAACACCTTTATTTAGGCTTCTATTGGCTGGCAATGTCAAACGCGATGGTGAACCCCTTAATTTACTATTGGATGAATTCCAGGTAAGCTTTAACAATCCTAAACGTTTTCAATTTGCATATCTAATCCATTTACATGAACATATCAATTTTCTATCCATCTTTCCAACAGGTTTCGGGTATATTTTCAACGAATTATTTGTTTTTGCTGCTTTAAGGCATGGAACAAAACATACACCAAAAAGCACGTTTATGGTAAATCTCATACTTTCATTATATTTTATAAAGAGTACACAAATGTTGTTTGAACATGGTTTCCTTGTCATGATTTTATTGATTGTACAAGCATAATATTGAATTAAATATTAAAGAGTTTGTTGTTCTTTTTAAACTGATATACTATCAAAACAAAAGCAATTCTGAGTCGATTTTTGTTCACAGATAGGAGAAATGTACAAAGGAAAACTCTGTCAGTGAAATGGTCCCATAACATAGCTGAAACTAAATTATGCGATGGAACAGCAGCAAAATTATCATGTGAACATTTCGTTCAATCTCCAACATCTCGATTAAATGACGTGACAGCTGGTAGTTCACTGAAGAAATCGACAGATGTTCCTGTCAACAACANATTTCAATTTTAAAACTTAATTATAGCTTTAATAAGCAAAAAAAAATTAATTACGAAGCTTCAGAACTTTCATATATAAACGTTGCCACAAAAAACTGCTATGCGGAATCAGTTTTTCCTATAGCAGTTCGTGTGGTGACGATAATAGGTGCGTGTAGGAACCTTGTAGGAAAATTCACACGTGAATTTTCCTACAAGGAGACTTTAGCGGATTTTTCGTGCAAATGCCGTATGGAAATGCTAGACGAAATCCGCTAAAGGAAACCTATAGCTTCGCATGCGGAGCAGTTGTGCCGCTCGGGTAGAAATGTCGTAAACAATGTCGCTCTGAAGCTCAAAATTCTTTGTTTCCAGGCAGATTTTGTTGGATGTAATTCAAGATTTACCTGGAAATGACTTCATACTTAACATAACATGGTCTTACAGTATTAACCCTGCATACTTTCATTCAATGATGATCCTAGAAGATTAAAATCTTGATACATTTTCGCATTTTTCTTGTTTCCACAGCTACAACATCGTTTTTCTTGTTCTAACATACGTCATACCTATAGTCAGTATGCTTATCTGTTACACTTTAATGGGAAGTGAGCTTTGGGGAAGTCGATCCATTGGCGAGCACACGGAAAGACAATTAGAGTCGATCCAACTGAAGAAAAAAGTAAATAATTCTTTTAAATGGCTCTCGAATTTTGTATGTAATGAAGTATCGTTGTTGGATAATTTATGTAGGTTGTTCGGATGTTTGTTGTGGTGGTCACCATATTTGCAGGTTTGAATTGGCTTCGTTACCATTCACAGGAGATTAAATGAACGAATTTCTACTTCTTCTTTCTTTGCTTCATGATTTTGAACAATTTTTTGGATTTCATAACAATCTTCCCAGTGTGTTGGCTTCCCTATCATTTATTCTTCATTTATTCTTACCACGATAATCAAATCATGTCAACGAGCTACGTGCAACACCTTTACTTAGGCTTCTATTGGCTGGCAATGTCAAACGCGATGGTGAACCCCTTAATTTACTATTGGATGAATTCCAGGTAAGCTTTAACAATCCTCACCACAAGCTAAACGTTTTCAATTTGCATATCTAATCCATTTACATGAACATATCAATTTTCTATCCATCTTTCCAACAGGTTTCGGGTATATTTTCAACGAATTATTTGTTTTTGCTGCTTTAAGGCATGGAACAAAACATACACCAAAAAGCACGTTTATGGTAAATCTCATACTTTCAATACCTTTTTAATATTTTCACTTAATTAAGATAATTAGTGTTGGAACTTGAACAATCCCAGCAATCCTTGATTTTGGTTTCTCTCTGATCAAAACAATTAGCGGTCTTCTGAGCTAGATATATGGAAACGTTATAAATAACTTTGCCTTGACAATTAATTTGTTTTTTCATTTCAATGATATTAATTACAATTGCTATATCTGAAACATTTTGAAAAGACTAATTTCATTACCAAACACAAAAATAAACTGAATAGAGATCGTTCTTTTTTCACGAATCTTCTGTCGTCAACATAATGAAATTAAAATTTTCTTTAGAATGTAATAAGAAATCTGTTTGGAATTGATACGCACTCATTAATTATAATTCCGAATAATTTATAAATTATCTAAATTTAAACTCCCAAACATCATTAATTATTCATTTAATAGAATCAAGCCACAAACATCTTAAAATACGTTAATTTCAATGCTCAAAAATAAAAGAAAATTGAAAAACAAACCGCCAAAGCATTCATCGGTTGACATCTAATAAGATTCTTTTCCTTTCTGAAAAGATTCTTTTTCTTCTTCAAAACAAATCCTTTTTAAAAGAGAGCTCAGAATACGAATAGAATTCTAAGAAAAGCTTTGTAACTACGAGAGTTGAACACTCATTACTTAGCTATTCATTACTTTCTTAGAAGTGCAAATTAGTAACTAGGAATTTTTTCTCGTTTGACGTATTTGCTGGTGTTAACTGTTAATATGATTAAAAAGAAGAAAACGAGCTTTCATTAAGTAAAAAATGATTTATTTTTCTCATTTTCCGCTTTGAATAAAGAAAATGTCAGAACGTCGGGGGCAAACACCTTCGTTTTCTTCTGGCTCTTAATGCGACTGGGACACTACGGTTTGCGTCAAGAAGAAACGAAAACTTTTTTGCCCTAAGTAAAAAGTCATTAGATATCATAATAACAATTACTTTGACATATAAAATACATTACAAAACCATTAGTTTCTTCGCATCTCTAAGCTACAAATATTTTTTCACTACATTAAAAGAATTCATCTTTTAAATGAGTGTAGTTGTGATTTATGAAAGATTTTTTTGCGTGTGAAAATGAATAAAAAGCCCAGAACAGAAAACTTTTAAAGAAGAAACATTTAAAAAAGTTTTAAAGTTTAGCTAAATAATTTATTGTTGAATGTTCAAATATCATTTATCAAAATAATGTTTCAATATTTACATATCTTAAATTCAAATCACTGAATAATTCTTTTCTTTCCGTCGATTCATCATTCAAGCATTTCAAATATGAAATAATGAAAGCAACTCAATCATTCAACGGAAACATATTATTAACAGTTGGAAGAAAAGACACAAAAAGCCGATAGCTTCATTTTATCTTCGATATCTTGAAGAACAATTTCAAAATAAATCAAATTTTTGCATAAGCTTCCTTTCTTGCTTGTTAATTTTTTTATTCTCGGTACCAATTGATATTCAGAGACGACTTTAAAAAAGATAAATCATTGATGGGAAATTAAATTTTCTTTTTAAAACTTGTTCTTGTTTTTATTATGACCCAACCTTATTCAACCTCTACTTATCGTGGTGAAAACGAATTTTTAATTAATGGTTTTATAACTTGAGATTTAGGACATTGAGAACCTTTAATTGTGATTATAAAAGTAAAACTTTCCATTTACATTTGAAGTTCAAATTAATTTTAGGATTTCTTTAATCAGATTTTTAATAGAATGAAAATGAAAAAAGCGAAATCAATGTTGATAATGGAAAAAGGTCACGGGCACTTACAATTTTTGTAAAATTTATTAGGAAAACAAATTAATAGCTAAGGCAAATATTTGCTGAATCTCTGATTTCTCGCTCTTGATACTAATAAATAGCATTTTTTCCACATAGCGAGGAAGAAAATCTTTGTTTTTTCAAATATTAGATATTTTAGCTTGAATATTGCGGAAATGTATTCTAGGAATCCTTAAAAGTCCTTGTTATATTTTCATAACAATGAACAATTCGAAAATTTTTCGTTATATTAAATTTCTATTCTACATAAATGTATGTAAGGAACATCATAATATCTCCAAAGAAACATATTTCCATTCACCAATAATTTGATTTTTTATAAATACTTAAGTAGATCAATTTTCTGCTTTTTTAAAAAGATTTTTCCAATCTTAAGCATTCATTGTTCGATGTTTTGTTATTAGAAACCATCAAAAGATGTTTTCATCTCATATTTCGTCAACAATTATAAAAGCAACGTATTGAAAGTAATTTGAATAAAATGTTTTTAGCTTCTAAGTAAATATCTGTGTAAATTTTCTCATATGCATAACAATAGAAATGTAATGTGAACAACTTAAAAGCTTTCTGTACACATTTCTAAAAAAAAGTCTTCGTGATTGTTAATAAACATGTGAATGCCTCGATAATTGGTTTTCGGAGAACGAGAGTGAAAATTCCTTTCGCTCTCTCTGAATTTTCAACGTTACTCTCTGAATTTTAATTTTGAACTTAGTGAGCTTTTCCTGTTTTCCACAATAAAATTCAAAGATATTTTCAAAACTGACAATCGTTTGGGGAGTTGAGAATTATTTATTTGATACTCATATTTGCTTTTCTATAACGTTGGCGTAATGGCGAATTGTTTAATGGCCAAACCGTGTCAAAATTGTGACGAGGATGGAGAATATCTTGTAAGTTTTGGAGTAATCTCTCTAAATATGTGCGACAAGCAAAAAGCTCAATTATATGAAGAAGTTCTCATTGTGATCACATGGGATGGAAATGTTATAAAACTAATGAAGGAGGATATGGAAACAGAAGGTTTTCAACAGACCGTAAAGTTTCTTATTCATTCATCATCTCTAAATTTATCAAAAAAATTAAAATATTGCCCAATCATGATTGACATTTCAAGAGGCTGTGTCGAACTGGGTACAAACAAATTGACTGTCACTGATTGCTTTTCTAGCGCTATTATTTGCGATGAATTTAACTCCCAAACTGTTGTTGATGTATTAAATTTTATTAAAGATGATGAGATGAATGCTACCATGAATTTATATTTTCGGGTACAAAAACTTTTCGACGATGGAAGTGCGGGGATTTACAATTCATTGAACACTGAGATGAAAAAATATGCTAAAAAACGTCTTCAAACCAATGGTCTTGACGACCTGGAGATTTCAAACTCAGAAAGTGAACTTTGCAAAGATTTTACCTGCTTTGAAGAGCTCCCAAATCACTGTAGGGAAAATCTTGGCCTAGGTGAAAATATTTACAGAATTATCAATGGAAATCTAATAAACATCAAAAATTCTATCGCACCTTGTGGCGAAAGTTGTCCTGTTGCTCGTAAATACATTAAGGAATTTTGCAAATCAAATTTGAAAGATGACAAAACTCCATTATCAACAAAAAAATCCTTTAAAGATGAAAGTTGTTCGAAACTTTTCGATCATTTAGATTGTAAATGCCCGGAGAAATGTCAGCAGCTGTCAAAACGTTTTTGTGAAGATTGTGGTGGGCTTTTAAAATCTTCAAAGTCGACAAATAAATGCTTAAAACAACAATCTTCAAATGTTGAAACATCATATAAGAAGAATTGGATTGATAGGAATATTCAGGAAGAAGATATTCTTGAAAAGCTGTGTGGAAAACATGGCATAAATGTTGATGAAATCAGAGACATTGGACAGAAGAATGAATGTCCAGTAAAAATCAATAAATGTAGAAAGAAAAAGAAGAAAACAAAAAAGTTTGAAGTTACAAAGCAAGAAATTGATGATTGCAAATTGAAAGAAACAAATCCATCGAATCGTACTCAATTCATCAAGAAGATGAAACGAAAATCTTTTGGAGTTTATTCGTACAGTTTTGGTGAAACTTTTCCGCAGCATCGATCATGTTTGAACATTGAACAAGGAAGTGGTGATGCATCACTTGTTCCAAAGTACTTGGGATTGCGTTGGAACTCGGAAATAGAAGGAAACAAAGGTAAAAAGTGGTCTCCAGGTCAAATCAATAGAACTGTTCGATGTTTGATGAAACATTTTTTGAATCCTTTTCCCTACGATACAATTCCGTTGACCCGTCGCAACAAAAGTGGAAGAGTTGAGAAAATTTGTACAGCATCAAATCCAAAGCCTAATCCTGATTATATTCAACAACCTACTCTGAAGATACAAAAACGAAATGGAGAATATTTTGTTGCAATGAAACCCTTGAAGGAAAGAGAAAAGTTAAATATTGATTGTAATCCTTACCTTAATTGTTCCCCATTGTTGGTCAATATCAAAAAACATCCTGAAGATGTGAAAAAACATCGTGCAAAAAAAATTTTACTTGAAAAAGGTTTCGGAAAGAAATGTTCATGTCGATGTCTGAAATACTGTCGCTGTGTGAATGAACGAACAAAAAGAATTTTAACAATCGAAATGAAAAAAGTTTCGACCCAAATGAACTTGGAAAAAGAATTGGAATACGCTGATTTGGAAGAGTCTAGTGACAGTGAAATGGAAATCGAATTCACTACACCATCAGCATCAGTTGATTACAGAAAATGTCAACCCGATGTTGTTCACTGTGATACGCAATATTTGATCAAAGATTTCAATCCACCGACACTGGCAGATATTCATAAACAGAAATTGAAAGCTCTCAAAGCTGAAAAATGTAAAGAAAAACGTAAGACTGAACCACCTGTTGACGTGAAAGCACGGAAACCAAAGTAAGAAACTTAATGTTTAAATAAAAATATGCAAGTCACTAACTAATAAATTTTATCTAGAAAACGTATTGAACCAGTTATGATTGATGCAGCATGCATTCCTACCCGATTTTGCTGTTGAACTAAATTTTGATGATAAAACTTATACTCAATCAAGCCTTCTAATCTTTCATGTTGTTTTATTTGATCCAAATCACTAAATATATTCTAAATTTAACGTTAATCGTGTGATGTCGGTTTAACCTTCTCTTTCACTGTTTGGTTTTGAGTGATTTTAATTCATCTTCTTCCACTTCTACTGGTTTTTGTGGTAAAGCCCAGAATTTCTGTTAAAGATTTCATCTTATAAATATTTCAATCTTTCTTATTATTAATTATGAAGATAATCAGACATTCCTTTCGTGAAGCCTAGAGATTAACATTCTTTACATTCAAATTATTTCTAGCGGTTTCACAACTTAAAGGTCTGTTAAAACTTTTAACTCACTTGTTGCTTTCCAAACTTCTGTGCTTCATGTAAAGTGTTTGGAAGTTTGTGATGTAAGGTTTCTGGTAAGAACAACGCACAAACAAATCCAAGGAAACATAACACGCCTGTAATTATAATATAATTAATAAACTTTTAACAAGGTTTGCAATGACTTGTTAACTCACATATTATCATGTAAGGATATCTGACGTCATATTTTGTTCCTAAATAGACTACATAAGGACCAAAAACCCCTAAAGAGTTTGCACATATAGAACCAATAGAAATTCCTGACTGACGTAAGCATGTTGGATAGATTTCCATTGATTGAAGATTTACAGCGAAGAAAGTGATACTGCAGCAGAATTTGACGAAAACGACCAAAGCTAGACTAAAGTATTCATTGCTTGCGTCTTGTACGATCAAAATTATTGGAATGCAAGTTAAGGAAATAGATAAAAATGAAAAAGCATTTGTGAATCGTCGACCTAAGCGATCTCCAATCCATCTTCCTAAAACATATGCTGGAAATTCTATTAAGCTTTGCCACATGAAACTTAAGAACGGATTTCCACCCATTCGTGTTGAGTTTAAGATGAGAACAAAGTAAGTGAGAACTGCCGTTGACCAGCAGACAATAATCATACAAGTATTCTTAGCTAACCGCCAACCTGTGAATAATGATGCGATACCAAAAACATTTTCAACTTTAAGGTCTGGAAGCATTTCTTCAAGCATCTTGACAGTCACTTCAACCTTTTTTCCATTGATTTTTGCGATTCTGTTGAGTTCATTTGCACATCTTTCAAGATGTCTCTTTGTTGCTAACCATCTTGGTGATTCAATCATATATTTTGGATATAAAGCAAACAAGCCGATTGGTAGTGTTGTTATCATTAGAAACCAAACCCAATCACCAACAGCCCAAAATGTCAATGGCATGATACACATTCCGAGTGTCCATCCGATACATTGCATCATCGCAATATGTGCTCGATCTTCTTCCTTTGACGTTTCCATGGCTATAATTAATGGACTCAAAAATATTGACATCGACGTTAACATTGAACAGGCACTGGCAATGGCAAATAAGAAGTAAATTGATGGTGTAAGTGTCGTCATGATTCTCCCAACTATTATAATAACAGAACTGACATAGAACACTGGCTTTCTACCAATTCTGAAAATTTATTTCATATCTCAATTTCAATATGTTTGAATAATTGTTGCTTAAATTATCTCACGTATCACCAAGTTGTCCAAATACAAATGTTCCAACAATTTCACCAATGCGATGAAAAACGAAGGTGTTGGTCTGATAAAGCGTTTTGTTGCAAACCCAATCTTCGTCAGATACAACTGTTCGTTTGTACCAAGTTTTATCATAATCGTATCCATAAGCGCATTCAATTTTATCAGCTTCCGTAAAGTTCCAATTTTCAACAGGCTTATCAATAAAATTTGATATGTTGTACATTTTACATGAACTTATGCTTTCGACTCCACGATTATCTTTTTCACTGAGATTAAATGGAGAATCAATGAAGATTATTTAAATAATTAATCGAGAATGTTTTGTTCTTCTCACGTTGGCAGTGTCAGATTTTTCCACGTTTCATCGCTTAAACTGAAATTTTCTTTTCCTGGTACATAACATGAATGATTTGGTTCATTCAACGTCATTACAATATTCATGTAGGCCATGCTAGCAAAACAAACAAGTCCGACATTATAAAAGTGATTAAATACTTTTTGAAACTTTCCATCGTTTCCTACGACTTCTAAGACTTTATCAAACGCAACATCTTCTTGATCTGCCATGACGACACTTGAATTATTAGAAACCTTACTAGATAGCTTATCGCTACTGAAGCTGAGATGTTTTGTTTTATTTAATTTCCGGATATGTCGTAGGCTGATAACTTGCTGTATCAATTTCTACAACAATAGAAAATGGAAAACAAAAGATCCGATTAACTCAATTTAATTAATTTAATCTCAATTCTGTCATAGTTCATTCTTTCTGAAGTCTCATATTTCTTAAAGCTCTTTTGTCTCGGTTTAATTAAATCAAATCCTGACTTTCTTTAGTCTCTCTCATTACTTTAATTGATTGCAACTGATTATCATGAAATGAGCGATAAGTTAATGTTTGAACTCTACAAGAAAATGATTATTTTGTTTTTGAAGTTGCTGATAACAAACATCGTCATCGATTGGAAGTAAATAAAAATCAGAACTTCTTATTTTTCTTCTGGGATTAGAGACTAAGACATGATAAAAAAGAAACTTCAGAATCATTTAATTTAATATGAGAAAACTTTGATTGAAAAATTGAGTTGAAATGTTTGAATTTACTTTGAAAATTAAATGGAGTTTTAAATTAGTTGACCTTCAGATACTAAATTTTATGGATGTAGAGATAATATTCACTTAGTTCATTTGAGAAGCCACTTAAAACACCCACAAATTTTAATCAAAATGTTTCATTCACAAATGTAAATGCAATCAGTTCACTATTTTACATGCACTTTCATTTTTATTCTCTTCCAACTTCTCCACTTACTTCGAGGCTCGAGTGATCAACGAGAACTAAATTGAGATACACTCGAATAGTGCAGGGGCACGTTAATCAAATCATAAACACAAAAATTACACTCAAATATATGAAAAACTCTTGAGTTTTAAATCTTTGAAATACTTTACTTCACCATAAAAGGTTTCTCTTATCTCTGAAGTTAAGCTCAGACAATTGACTGTACATATCATCGGCTTTTGCTTTTATACAATAATATCATGTTGAGTAGCAAATGAATTAAGTTGAATTGCTGAACGTTTTTCAAGTGAGAAAAAAGGTATAAATCTTTTTTATCTCTTTTATCTGCGTTGATTATTTTGTTCTTTGATCAAAATTTGCAAAGTCACTTGGACCAAATTTCACTTTGTTGTGTAATTCTAATGTAGAAAAAATCACTGAAGTATCTGAAAATGGTACATGTAGGTTTTGGGATCAAGTAATATTTCTTTTTAAAAAAATTACTTATTTATTTGCATACCTTTCTGAAGTATTTACAATTTTTTCAGGTATCTAGGTAGTTTCTATAGCTTTGGTATAACTCTAGGAAGCTTAATATCCTGACATTTCCAATTTTCACTGAAAAGAGAATTTAACTTTTACTCAATTTATGCAACTGACATTTGAAAAGCTTGGGTTACGATGATTTAATAAAATGATGTATGGGGGATGAAAACCTTGATGTCTGCATGCGAACATACCTATTTCAATATTGAAGCTTTTAGTTACAAATGAACGTGCAATTTACGTGTTTAATTGCATTAAGTTACTTTGAAATTAAAATTGTTTCAAGGCTTTCACATGATGTTGCATGAAATATTCATCAAATAAGAATCAGCAAAACATTTAGAAGCAGTAGCATAAAAAAGTATTTAATTTCAAATATCATAATGTTGCTATGACCGGTAAATTTGTTTCACAAATTTCATTTATTTACAGCGAGGTTTTGTAAAGCTTTACTCAAATGTTTAATTGTTGTTTTAATTACCACTTTAAAACAGCTTAAAATGGTTGCCATTGCAACATAATTCTGACATAACATTTCCATCACCACGACATTAAATTCTTTTTACACTTGAAATGAATTAAAAGCATAAACCGAAGCTTTGTAAAGGTAGAAAAGAAATATGTTGCCATAGGTAAATATAAATCTAAGACAAACATTCATACAAATGCGTTCACGAAGTCACTTTAAAAAACTTTTTCAAATGTTGTTGTCAAGTAGGTATCTTTATTAAAAAATTCAATTTAATTTAAACAATTTCATGAACTGATGTTTGACCTAAAACATTTTAAAACATTCAAATTATTAAGATTTTATAAATAACTAACAGATACCTAACAAGATTAGATTATAATCAAAAATAAATATTCATCTATTCAGAGAAGGTTCAACATGCTAAAGTTGGACTGCATACCCATACCCAAGCTTAAGCTTAAATAAGCTAATCTTCAACAAAAAGTTGACGAATAAAAAAAATCAGAAAGCATGAGAACTTGCAGTTTCAAACTTATTGAAATACAAGATAAAATTTAAAGAAAAGCATCCCAAATAGTCTCGCTGGGCCTATTCTGCTTGGTAATGAATAAAGTTTGGGAAAAAATTTTATATGCTCTGTATAAATAGATTTTTGCTTCGAATAGAAAAACTTTTTTTTATTTGAAAGAAGTTTGATTTGCTTCCAAATGTATCTTTAGGTAGCAGATAAACCTGGTTGAGAAAAACTTAATTAAAGTTATATGAAATATGATTTTCATCAAAACTTTTTCTTTCTGAAAGCATATTGATTCTATACAAAGCACATCATTTTAGGTTTTTTCTGCTGTCAAGCTTTTGAAAACTTTTAAAACCTTTTAATCAAGCAGCTCTCAAGTTCTTATTTATTTGATAAAGTTTTTCAATTCTCACTTCAAACCATTATAATAGAATAAACAATTTCATTTTATTTCATCAGCACGTCATAAACAGTTACCTATTTCAATTAAATCAGTGACAACCTTTTACAGCTCGAAAAATATTCGTTGGAATTGAAAAGAAATATTAGATATTTAAAAAATTAGTAGACACAGATTTGTATCCTATGGTTCTCTATGAACAAGATCAGAAGCAATCGAAACTCGATCAAAATATGTAGTAAGTTTTGTCATACCTTCAACTTGATTTGATTTACATGAGTAAACAAAATTGCATTAGATTATCAAAATAAAAACCTTCATTCGTAGCTGGTAAAAAATATTCTTATAAATTTATTTAATAGAAATAACGAAAAGTTTAAATATTTATCTGGAACGTGAACGTTTTTGACTTAATAAATGACATAAGCAACAATGCGTATCTAAATCAATCGTAAGTTAGACATCGTAAGCGTAAGACAAATCATTTCATATGAATCGAACTGAAATGAAATTTTTATGAACGTTTACAAATGTTTGCTTACTACGTTTGCTTCCAGTTGCTCACGTACTCTCAGGCAACGTAGATACGAAGTGTGAGTGTGGCAATAAGTGAGAAAATTCCCAGTTACATTCGACATCAACTCATTGATGAGTGATGACTATGTTTAAGTGTTTTCTTCAGTTCTGTTAATTTTTGCAAAGAATCGAGTTTATTTAAATTAAAACCAAATATAAAAGTTTCTGATGTTAATTTTGTTTGTTAGTAGTTGAGAAGGAAAACGAAACAAAATAAGCTTTTAAAAAGTAAATCTCAAACGCCATTTTGTTCTATAAATAGCTAAATTGAGAGTTATTTTAGTAACATAAATTTTTCAAAAGGAAAGAAATTCAATAAAAGTGAAAAAAATAAACGAATCGATTGTAACATAAATAAAATGTCGACCTACGAAGAAGAAAATAACATAGCAAGAAACGAGAAGTTGAAAAATGTTGAAGAGAGCTACACAGATTCAGGCTTTCATTCGGGCTTCCAAGATAGCTGTGAAATTCAATCGGATTGTAAATCGAAAACTGATATAAGGGGAAATTCCCCATATGAAGATAAGGAGAACTTGGTTGATAGTGGTATTATTTCGAGTGGCAATGTTTCCAAACCTGAGTTGAAAAAGGTCATGAGAGAAACGTCACTATATGTGCCTGAATTTTTAAAAAATTCATTTCGGAGGCCTCAGCAACATTCTCTTGTTGATAAATATTTTGAGCGAGACGACGATGGATATACAAAGCTACATCTTGCTATCATTCACGGTGTTGAAAATGCTATAAATGCGCTCATACGGTTAGTTCCAGATTCATCATATCTTAATATCAGAAGTTTTGTGGGACAAACTGCTTTACATCTAGCAGTTTTGCTTGGACAGCACTCGACAGTGAAAATGCTTATAAACGCTGGAATTGATATCAATATTCGCGATAACCGATGTGACACTGCACTTCATTTGGCTTGTTTAATGGGAGACATTCAAAGTATAGAGATTATCATATCAGCATTCGATCCTCTTAAAAAGGAGAGATTAGTAAACATGGAACAATGGAACTACGATGGCGAAACATGCTTTTACATATCTTGCAAAGAGAGGAACATATCAATGATGAGTGTGCTGGCATCTAATGGCGCAGACGTTAATGCACGTGAAGGACGTTCTGGATATACTGCACTTCATAAAGCTGTTGAAGCGGGAGCAACTGATGTTATAAAATTCCTATGTGAAGAGTGTAAAGACTTTCACATTGATACGGAAAACTATAGTGGCTTAACAGCTTTTCAAATCAGTCTTTTAACAAGTCAGGAAAATCTAGCAAGCTATTTGATAACAAACGGCGGGACACCTTACTTTACGCAAGAGGAAAGCGATAATGAAACTGATGACGCTGACAGTGACTTATCTGATGATGACGACTTTGAAAAGAACCAAATCATAAGTAAAATTGCAGGAATTGCTGTTAACTAAATTTCTTGTTTCTTGCAGTTTCATTTCAATGTGAAACAGTTTTATTAAGTATAATATCATTATATATTAACATGAATTAAATTTCTAATTCATTGAAAAATTTTATTAGTTGTTAATAAAATATCTTTCATTATCTATCCTAGTCTTTAAGGATAATATTTTTTGTTGTCATTACGAAAGAAGAAATATATGTTTAAAAAATATTAATTCAATATTTTTTTATTGGCTTTGGACAGACAAACTTAAAAATACTTGATTACGATATTGTGCCTCATACGGAAAGAAATCTTCGGGAATTCCCATTCACTTTCACCCGGTAACTACAATGATGATAATCTTTACTTCTTGTTTTGTTTATTTTTAATGCCTGAATAAGGCATGGAAAAAACCTTTTCTTAATTGAAGAAATGACGACAAATTGATAAGAATGACGCAAATACTAAATTATGCAACCAAATTTATACTCCATTTCGATTGCGTGCTTGAAATTTTCCGATTTCGTTTATGAGAAATGTATTTTCTTTACAATGTTTCGTTCATGTAAATCAGAATATTTCCCGAAATAGCTATAGTTTCTTTTCTAAATATTCCACCGTTATTGTACTGATCCTCTGTTATAAATACACATCAACGTGGAAATAATAATACAGCTTTTTTATTTTTGGGTTTTTCCTGACTCGAGTACATCAGTATTGTAAATGTATTCTATTTTAATTTGCTTGTGTATATAAAAAAGTCTGTCTGCTAAAATATCGTCATGAAAACAAAAGCGAAACAATTTTTAATGTGATTCTCTCTTTTTCATGCTACAGCGTTGTTGGTTCATTGGGTTCACTATATTTTTATCTTTTATACAATTTTTTTTTGAATCGAAAACAGAAAATCAAAAAATAAAACAAATGTTGAGACGAGACATACATCAGGATTTCAGATATAAACCTAAGGTCGTCAACGATTCTTTTGTTTACTTTTTTTTTTTGGAATTTCCAGATGATTTCTCGAGTGTGTGGTGAGAGAGAACAAAAACGGCGCAAAAATTGAATGATACACGCGCTTAAAACTTATACAATAACTATCGACCTGTAACTTTTTTTAATTATATAATATCATAAAAGATTTTGAGCAGAAACATATTTAATGTTATTCAGATTCTCATCTACAAAAGAACTTCAATATTAATTGACCATCAGTGGAATAAAGTTTTTGTTTAAGAAACGTTAACGTTTTAATGGAATTATTTTCAAAGTTCATTTCATGTCAGTTCATAAGTAGGAACATTTCAGAAATAAATAACTAAACGTACTCTGTTTGCTTTAGCGGTTTTTTAGCTTTCTTCTGAATGAAACCTTTCAAAGAGAATTTATTGAAACACTGCTCCCATTTTCACCTTTTCAATGAGATGCTTTTTTTTACTTTCCTTGTTTTCAATACTAAATTTAAAAATATGTTTAAGTCTGATTTATTGACTTAAGTAATTGATTGATTGCAACCCCAAAAAATATAAAAGCAGTGGCAACCCCAACCGTTTTTCGTTGGTCGTTTGAAAGCTATTAAAGATTTCAAATAAATATTTGTCCCTTGTCTCGGCTTGCTAATTGGATTTTAATTGAAGTTTATCAGTGTCTAAACTTAAAGTTCTCATATCAGCGTGTAGAAAACCATGGCAATGAATCAAGTTCGCAATTTCGCTCGAAGGTCAACGATACTCGGTGGCAGAAATTATTTTACATATTCGAATCAAATTTCACAGCCTTTAGAAAGGACACCTCCTTACGCCGAAGCAAGAGAAGCAGTTTCATGCATCAAATCAGGTAAGATAATTCAGGCTCAAAAAACATTAACCTTACAGAACAAATACCAACACAACCACATTGCGCGTAATATAATTTATGCTTCAAGATAAAATTTTGGTCTGATAGAAACATTTAAAGAAGAAGGGAATATTAAAAACAACTACAACCACTAAACATTTGTCAGATTTAGAAGTAGTTTTGTTTGATTTTAATTCGACAAGCAAAACAATTGCTACCTAGGTCAAAAAATAAAACAGAAATCAATAAAAGTTCTAATTATAAATCAAGATTTCTTTTTGATTCCAAAATCATCTTTTATGATTATAATTTTTGAGACATCCCACGTCCTGATCGACGTTCAAAGTACAACATTTATTAAAATGGCCTATGCACTTATTCCGACCCTATTGATAAGCATATTGAATCATGTTTTGACTTTGATCGTTCCCTTTGAAAAAATATTCAATATTATGCATAAACTGGTTGGTAATGAAATGTTCTCAGATCATGTGAACAGGTATATAAAATATTCTCGAAATTCTATTTAAAGAAAAAGAAAAGTGATGAATAGCAATAAAAATGCTTCTGAAAGTTGAGAAGTTAAAATACAAATAAGTATAAGCAGAAACTTAATTCTGATAGGAAAAAATTTAAATTGTTCTTTTTTTTATTCATTGAATTTTTACACGAAAATATTTTGAACGAAGTTTGCGATTCGTGGTTGAATATTGACAATAAAACACTTAATTGAACAGCTTAACTAGATAAAAGCTGAAATTGGTTAATCATGCGAGTAATCGGAGTAAAAAATGTTGATAAATTCACTTGAAGGAATTCATTTCGATTTTTATTCGTGAACATTTTTTTACATTGAATTCTCTCTAAAGTTACGTCACATTTTATTTTATCGAAAAAACTTTCATCATCATGCAGGTGACACCGTTTTTGTGCAAGGAGCTGCTGCGACTCCAAATGTTTTACTTGAAGCAATGGCACATCATGGAAAGGAGAATAATCTTAAAGATATTACGGTCATTCATATGCATACTGAAGGTGGAATTAAAAGCATTTTTTGAAGATGTCAGATATTTACAATAACGATTTGTATAAACAGGACCTGCTTATTATGCGCAACCAGATTATGCACACATCTTCCGATCAAAATCTACTTTTATGGGTGGGAATGTTAGGAAGGCAGTTGCAGAGGGTCGAGCAGATTCAATTCCGATATTCTTACACGAGATTCCTTTACTCTTCCGACGTGGATTAATCCCAATTGATGTTGCATTAATACACTCAGCTTCAATTGACCAGCATGGATATGGAAGCTTGGGAACGTCCGTTGACTGTGTAAGATAAAAATTCAACCATTCACTCATCATTTATCAATTTGATTTTTTCTCATTTTAAATATTTTTCTCTCAAAGGTTCGAGCAGCATGTGAAAATGCTAAAAAGATTGTCGCTCAAGTCAATCCACAAATGCCAAGAACATTTGGTGATGCAATTATTCACCACTCACACTTTGACTGTGCTGTGAATGTTGACGTTCCATTATCCATTCATCCACATCGTCAAATGTCACCAGAAGAAGAAGCGATTGGTAAATGGGTTGCAGAAAATCTTGTTGAAGATGGAGCGACATTGCAAATGGGTATTGGAAATATTCCCGATGCTGTGCTTGCTCAACTTCATAATCACAAAGACTTGGGTATTCACTCTGAGATGTTTGCTGGTGGTGTTGTTGATTTAGTTCGTAAAGGATGTGTCACAAATGATAAGAAAATTATTCATCGTGGTAGAATTGTTGGAAGCTTCTTAGTTGGAACAAAAGAACTTTATGATTTCGTCGACAACAATCCTTTCATCGAAATGCTGGAAATCAATTATGTAAACGACACTAAAATTGTATCACGTAATCCAAAAATGACAGCAATTAACAGTGCAATTGAGGTTGACTTAACCGGCCAAGTCTGCGCTGACTCGATTGGAACGCGAATGTTTTCAGGATTTGGTGGACAAGTTGATTTCATTCGAGGTGCTGCTGAAGGTTTCGATGGAAAAGGAAAGCCAATTATTGCTTTGCCATCAACAACCAACAAAGGCGAAAGTAAAATAGTTCCGACATTGAAAGGTAAAAATGAATAATTTTGTACAATGATGCAAGTTGCATTAATTTTCCTTTTTTCCTCACAAAAATCTAGTCGGTGCCGGTGTTGTCACCAGTCGTGCCCATGTGCATTATGTTTGCACTGAATTTGGTATTGCAAATTTATTCGGAAAATCATTACGACAGCGTGCCTGGGGATTGATTCAAATATCTCATCCTGATCATCGTGAAGCTTTGGAAAAGGCGGCATTCGAACGTCTCAAGACAATGCCATCACCTCATTAAAGACTTTTATCTAATTACAACGAAAAAATATATAAAATTTTATTTTAAAAATTGTACACTCCCTAAATTTAACCGCGTACCTTTGTAGTTTATAGAACTAAAGAAGCAACACCGGAAGTTACTACTAAGTGTTCATAAATTATCGGACAATTAAATTATCATTTGGTTGTAAAGAGTAAATTTTCTGAGAAACAAAAACTTGCATTTCGAAACTTGTTAACTTATTTTTAAATATTTAATTGGGTATTAATAAAGAGGTAGCCATTGGAAGCCATTTGATGTCTTTTAAATTGCCACAATGTCATTTATTTGTTCATGGAAGTTTAAGAAGATATCATGAGCATGACGATATGACGATCATTATTTAATATAAAAATAATTTTTCAATGTCATTCAGAAGCTTCAAATTGTTTTATATTTATAAAAAATTTTTAAATGGCCCCTGGCCAAATTGGCATGACTTACATGCATATTTTGTTTTCAGAACTTTTATTAATTTTAGCAAGTGACTTTTGCTATTTCATCATTGCAACGTGAACTTTTATTCATATTTTTTTTTAAATTTTACAAAATCCCTTCAATTTTTATTCTCAAAATAATTATAAAGAGAAATGATTGGAGCTTCTACAAACAAGTACATTAAAGTCGCTAAGAAAATGGAGTTTAAAATTTGGAAAACAATCATAATAACGATAGAGAAAAGACTTAAAATCATAACTTGTTTCATGCTAAAGATTGTTATGTACATGAAGAGATAATGAGTGAGGTAAATCGACAGACAAAGCTTCGCCAACGGTTGCCACATATGATGCTCAAGAAATCTTCGGATGATTCCACCTGACTTTAGATAATGACATGCATAAATAATCCATGCTGTATGAAGCGACCAAATAAAACTATTCATTGCTTGATTAAAGGCATAAGCTTCACGACTTTCATATCTCGACCATCCAAACATAATTCCGATGATTGACGCATATGAAATTATCCATCCAATCAAGGTCTTTCCTTTGCTTATTTTTGGGTTGTGTTCTTGCATTACATATCCCAAAATCACACCAATTAGCCATGATCCGATTCGAAAAGTTGATTCATGATAAAGTCTGTCGTAAGGGATGACATCTCTGGAAGAAAATTTAATTTTAATGATAGATAAATTTTGATTAATTGCTGTAAATGGTTGAATACTTCAAGTAGCAATAAAATATGACAGAATAATCGATCAGAACGACTGCAACTAAAAAGCCGACAGTTTTCTTTCCATATTTCATCAGTAGAGAAACCAGAAGTGGTGTTATTAAGTAAAATTTAAAATCAACTGCCAAATACCAAGCATGCGAGAGACACTGCAGATGAAAATTCAATTTTAATCTCGTTTAATCATCAATCACATTTTGTGACATGTCGATAGTTCACCTTCATTCCAACGAAGTCATTAATCATCAAAAGTTGAGCCCACCATGTGTCTCGACAAATATCCTGTCTTCTCAATAGTTCGCCAATCATCGGTCCATTGAATGTAAGATTTGCAATTGAACTCGCAAAAAACAAAAGCAAAACATGGAAGGCCGGCCCATAGCGAAGATATCGTTTGAACATACATTTAAAATAGCTGAAGTTCTGTCTGTAAAGTGATTAAGTAATCAAGTCACGATTTGAAAAATTTCAAGATTTAATTAGAAGTTTTAATAAGATGATAAAACTTTTTACCTCTTGAAAGCTTTCATGAAAGATTGTGCTGCTAAAAACCCTCCAATAACTAGAAACGTTTCAACTGCTAACAAATGGAAGCCGATTAGAACCGCAGTTTCACGTTCAAACTTATTAAAGTTTTCAGTGAAATGAATTCTGGTTAACAAATGTATGCAATGGCCAGCGACAATCCAAAACGCTGCAAGAACTCTCAAACCTTGTAGGCATTCGATCGAATTTTTAGATTCAATGTTGATACTTATTAACGATTTCCAATTCTCACATACAGAAAACAAAGTGAAAAGTTTATTGGAATTAACTGCAAGCTTATTACGTTTCTTCATCACATCATAAAGAGTGCTTGAAATTATGAGCCCGAAGAGTGTTACAAAAAACAATCTAAGACAAAATAAGAAGAAAGATTAGAGAATTTTAAGAAAATATTTTTAGATTACTCACACTGCGAAGTAATCAAAAATTTTGAATTCTGTTCGCTGCTGTGTTGTTTGGCAAAAAGTTCCAACAAAATTTAATTGCTTTTGGGTGAGAATTTCATACTTTGCTAGTTCGTTTATGTCTTCAGGGGAACATGATTTGGGAAAGCAGAATCCATATTGAAGTTTCGACTTATTCATTGGTGAAGGATACTCGCTAAAAGTTTATAATTGAAACAAAATACTTATGAAAGATTCTCTCTAAGCTGAACTTACTATAACAATAGAAGATTCTTATAACGTTTTACATAATCAATATCAGCTTCATAAGAAATTAGACAATGTTGCCCATGAAAAGTTCCTATTCCTGAAGAATTCGTTTCGTGTACAAAATTTTCACATTCAGAAAACAAACCGAGATTTCGAGTTATGCCATGCAGCATCCCAGAATATTGGATATTTGCTGAAGTGTCTTTGACTAGATTATAAAAGAAAGTGTAAGGAAATTTTACTAAACAAAAAATGATTTGAAAACTTACATTTTGTGGCCCATTCTTCATTTTTATTCAAAGCATTTTTGAAGAAAGTAAATTGTTTTAAACATAAATCTGATAAAACCATTTTACCTTTTTCAATGTGTTTACTCTGTTAAATTCAAAAAAGAACTGAAGCATTTCATAGTATCAGAAACATATAAAATATAGGTAATATGCATATAAATGGGACTCGTTTACTTCTTATGGTGTGATGAAATCTTTTATTAACAAGTTTTTTTTTGGAACTTTATATCTAAGAGAAGAATTTAGACATCTTGTTTAAACTTATATTAGGAGATTTTCTTCTTCATTCCGATGCGATACCTACAAGAAGCATGCTTTAAATTATAAGTTATGCCCAAAAACAAATGATGAATGAAAGTGTTATCGTTAACGATAAAATTTGAATATATTGAACTTCACATTTCAATGACAAGTGAATTGAACTTTTTTGAACAGTCATTGAAATTAAAGCTAAACCGTCATTAACATCTTACTCTTCGCGAATTTTACGAATCTGCCTATTCTTTCGGGAGAAAGTTAAATATTTAAAGAATATAAAAACATTTAGAAAAATGCAGTCAAATATGTAATAGAATTAAATTTAGATGCTGCCTAATTGTGTAATTAATAAAATTACTTTTATCTGCTTACAGAACAGCGGTTTATATCTTTCTGCTCTGCTTCTGTTGCCTTTTCACCGGCTACTTAGAGGCCAATCAAAATAAAAAATCATCAGTAGAAGACAAGAAAGCAATTCAATACAGTGAAATTATGAGTAAAGTTCGAGACAATCACGACACTAATTGGCTGCTGGTTCTTCTAATATTCGTTATTGTTGGAATCGTTGCTGTTATAATATTTATTTTATTATATATTTATTTATTTATGATGGTTTCAATGTTTATTGAACAACAATTTTTACATCGAATATTGGAAAAACTTATAATAAAAATATGAATTTATTAATATATCAGTAAATCCCATCTAAGGAAAGATTCATTAACAGCTTTTAAGTCAAATTTAATAAATTTTATTCCTTTTTAAATGGTTAATTGAATGTTCATTTCCATTTTATGTATTAAAGAATGTTTACAGCATTTAGTTAGTTTCCTTGAAAATTTTCTGAGTCTAGCTCCGAGTTTTGAAGGTGTTCACTTCTACCACATCCTTCTTCTCTTTTGTAAATCCTCACATTCTTTAGAATCTTCATCTGATCCATCCTCTATTTCTGGTAGAAAAATTGATACTTTCCGTTTACAAAAACTTTTGCTTTTTGACCATTTGTGGCAAGTTATTTTGAAATTTGTGAAGTTAATGATATGATTTTGATTGAATTTTCCTTCATTATAAAGTAAAATCAACTCTTCTAAATTTGGGAAAGTTAAACACATTCTTTCCAATATGTCCCATGTTAGTTGAAATTGAATTTGAAACTTCAAATATTTAAGATCGATTGGCATTCTCATGATCAGATGGTCTTCACTTTGGAACGTCAACAATCCCACATTAGATGCTGAGACTTTGCCTAATTGAAGATTTTTAATTGTATAATTGTTTAAAAAGAAGCTTTTCCAATTGTATTCGATCACGTTTCCTATTTCTTGAATACAGAGAGTTTGAAGACATGGAAATGTAAGTTCTGACATAAAGTTATAAAATCTAAAAATCTCCAAATGATTTAGCCAGATACAATTTTGTGCTACGAATGTTAGACATTGTTCGACATCTCTTCGAGGGCAGCATAAAGTTAACTTTTCTATAGCTGGAAAGTATTTAACAAGGCCCATTTCAACAAAATCATCACGAACATCATAATAACGATGGAATATGTAATCAAGAGATTTTAAATGGATGTTGTCTTGATCAACGTCGGGTTCAGAACAGAACCACTGAGAAACATGTCCATAACAAGTTTTCAATCTCTTGAGTTTCATCTCGTTGATAATAAATCTAAGAATGTCATCATTTAATATATGATCGATTTCCAACTCTTCAAGCGCTGATTTGTGCGCCTTCAATAGCATAAGAAATTGTTTCACGAAATTTCGTCCTGCCCCAAAACAATAAACTGCCAGCTTTTTTAAATGATTATGGGGATTGTAATTGTTGATAAATTGAAACATTTCAGAGTGCTCAACATAAAATACTAAAACTTCCAAACGCGTTTGACTTGTCAGAAAATTTTCAAATACTTCTGTACCGAGAGGTGCTAAGAAAGGAATATCGAAGCTGTCCATTATTTTTAACTCATTAACTTGAACTCCTGAAGCTGTTAAAATTTCCATGAAATCCCAATCGCTTGCCTTCAATGTCAAAGTTTTCAAAAATGTGGGACCTGATGGTGTTAAGCTAAGATCTCCAATTGCAGAGCTCTTACGTATTGTTAGATTCTTGCAAAATTTCATAGAATTGTATATTTCCGTAAATTGATCTTGTGTCATTATCACTCTTTTCATCAGAAAGTATTGTGTGCGACCGCAGTGTCTTACTATGTTTTCTACCAAGGCATCATTAAATTTTGTGTTACTCACGATGATTGTGTGAAAATTACGATTGAAGTTCAGAATATCATTGCGTTCAGGCTTGCCATCAACTATCCAATGTTTAAAAACCAAAGGTAGTTTACTCATTGTTGAGGCATAGCTGACAATAACTTCATACCAACTGCAGAAATTTAATAGATTTAACTTTAATGAGACATGCATATTGTGGGAATAGGATTACGAGGGGAAATATTCCGAGGGGTCAATCGAGACATAGTTTCAGTTTAGTTAGAGAATGAAAGGAAGAAGACGTGCTTCCAAATATTAGGACGAAATATCGGTTCCCACAAATGGCGCTGAGAACAGCGAATCTTAAATTTAAAAGAAATCGGAGTAAAAGTGTGAGTACTATGAAATTCAATCGTTGAAGTGATAAAATAAGCGAAAGAAAAACGACGCCTCATTTGTTCGTTAAAATTCTCGCACCGTTTTAACCGCCTGACTGCCTGTGAACAAACAAGAAAAGTGTTAAGAAGTATTCAAAAGACTTCTAACAAGTAATAGAGCTACGATTAAAGACGAGAATTTCATAATTTAATAATGATTATTCTTTTTCTCGGAATTACATTCTCACCAAAATGGTGTAAGTTAGGGTAGAAGAAAATGTTGAGGAACGGTTAAAACGGTAGATGATTGTGAGGTTCAGAAAAACGGTAAATAGGTATAAAGTTTCGGAAAAATAATGAATTTAAATTGATTTTGTCGTTATATTTTTTATGAAGCTTACTTTTCGAATAAAATATTTAAAGAAAAAGAAAAAGAAAAATATATGTTGAAAAGAATGTTAAGAAAAAAGAAACGGAGAAAGCAAAGACTTCTTAGTGAAGTAAAGAACTCATTCATTATGAAGTAAGAATAAAAAGAAAGAGTCATTATTTATGAGCGGAGTAAAAGAAATTTCTATGTGAAATAGATCACCACTTATTCGTGAAGGCGGGAAAGCATTTTTCGAAGTAAAATAATTTTTAATGAAACAATTACTTCTTCGTGAAGAAAAGATTTTCCTACACAGGAAAGGTAAAAAGTTCTTCTAAGTGAAGAACGAATTAAAAGAGAAAACGAAATAACATTTCTTCGTGAAATATAAGAAAAAGACATTTCTGTGTGATTTGCGAAATAAATTAATAATATTTCTTCGTGAAATATAAAAAATGAATGCATTTCTTTGTGATTTGCANAGTTACAAAATTAAATCGATTAAGAAAGGACTTCAGGACATCAATTGAGGAATATTTCCTATTAAAAATAATATAAAATTATTTTTTTTCGCCTCAGGGGAGGATTGTGGGAATAGGATTACGAGGGGAAATATTCCGAGGGGTCAATCGAGACATAGTTTCAGTTTAGTTAGAGAATGAAAGGAAGAAGACGTGCTTCCAAATATTAGGACGAAATATCGGTTCCCACACATATAAGAAAATAATTCTTACTTTTTACAAACAAGCAATGCGTTTTTTAAATCATCTGCATTCAGATAATCGAATATAATGATCAAAACATCACTGCTTACTACATCTATTGTGACTTTATTCACAGTTTTCTCCATTACAGATAGCATAAAATTGTTTAGTTGAAAGTTTGACAAATAATGCTTAAAACAAGACACCACATTTCAAATCATCAGCTGTTAGATGAGCTTCAGCTTGGCTTAGCCGAGGCACAAGTTATTCAACTCTATTTGAAATCAACTGATAAGTTGACCTCACATCCAATTTTTTCTTTATAACTCCTTAATTAATTACTTTTTTTATTAAAATGTTTTCTATGAATTTATCCGTTTTGAGGTCTATCGATCGTCTGAAGACATTCTATTTAAAAAGTGATTGTTTAAAGGGTTATTCGTGGAAAATCTGATCACACGCACTCGCTAGGTAAACTTATTTATTTATTGTGACTTGAGTAAAATAATTACATCAAAGATGAAGGAAATTTATTTGTTATTTAATATCTGCACCACGTAACTAAGCTCCAAGGGATATAAAATATCTACATAATAATAACAACGATTTTCTTCCATGAACACCACGTGTGACTTATTTATGTCGCTGATGCTTCACCTAATTGTACAAATTTTATTCAAGTAAATTTGGTAGTTTTTTCAACGACACGCGAAAAATGTGAGTAAAATTATTCGACTGTCGAACTTAGTTCCAACTCATTTAAAAAAAGATTTCATTAGATTATAGTGAATATAAGTAATTAAATTATTTAAATCAAGCTGAACTAGTTAATTTGGAAGGTAGTTCAAATTTCCAGCTTAAATTTTTGTGAATAAAGTTTCATCTATCAAGTGAAAATTATGATATAAATTTTCGTGACAAAACGTTCGGATTCGGAAATTCATTACTTTTAAATTGGATATTAATCTGACCCTGATTAAGTTTTAATGAATATTATAATACAAAAACAGGGCGGAGGTCATCATATATTAGCATTATCCATTATAAGAGAAAGAGAGCTTCGATTAATTAAAGAAAATTATAAGTTGCTTAAGCTGAAATGTCCATCCAAACTACCATAACGTCCTTCACTTTTCATCAGTCTCTTCTACACTTTGGACTTATCACGCGATGATATCCATGAAACAAAAATCTCTTTATGTCTTATTAAATCAGCTGATTCACGTAAAAGGCGGTTGAATCTTGAACTCGTCTTTGTTTTCATTTACATCTTCATTTCTTATCAATCTTTAAAAAAATGAAAACTTCCTTAAATGAAACAAATCTGGATTAACGAGAAAACGAACTGATTATAGCGAAATTATTGGATTCATCATTGGCACACTCATAATTATTAACGAAATAGCTGAAAACGAAGACGAAAAAAATTCCAATGACGTAGATTGTTGGTTTTGCATTACACAAATTTTTATTTCACTTTAATTTTCGATTTCACTTGCTTTTTATTTTCTATATGAAAAAAATTGACGAAACAAAAAACCTGTTAAAATGATTAATTTTAATAAACTCGTATCTCTCACTTTTTGTATTAGAAAGAATCATCGCGTCTTTGTTGTGACCATCAATCTTTGTTAGACTTTTTCAAGGCGCATAATAATAATAAGAAAACGATGTTCATCTGGGATTGGTTCACTGGTGTCTTAGGATATTTGGGTGAGTGCCAAAACATCTGATTTTCATGTGTCAACGTCCGCTTCACGCTGATTCCTCAAACACATAAGATTTTGTTTATAAACATATTAAATATTAATTTGATTGCTCTTATCAGGTTTATGGAAGAAATCTGGCAAATTGCTTTTCCTTGGCCTCGATAATGCTGGTAAAACCACACTGCTCCACATGCTTAAGGACGACAGATTAGCACAACATGTTCCGACACTTCATCCAACGTCAGAAGAGCTGTCCATAGGCAATATGCGTTTTACAACATTCGATTTGGGAGGTCACACACAAGCACGTCGTGTGTGGAAGGATTATTTTCCAGCTGTCGATGCCATTGTTTTCCTCATTGATGCATGGGATCGAAGTCGTTTTCAAGAAAGCAAAATTGAATTAGATTCATTGCTTACCGACGAAGCTCTTTCGAATTGTCCCGTGCTGATATTGGGAAACAAAATTGATAAACCTGGTGCAGCAAGCGAAGATGAATTGAGGAATTTTTACGGGCTTTATCAACTCACAACAGGAAAGGTAAGATTTCTTAAATACTTTTCATTCATTCATTCCAAATTTCATTCCAAATCAATAAAAATTAATTAATCGATTTATTTTTAGGGAAAAATTTCGCGATCAGAACTTCCCGGCCGTCCATTGGAGCTTTTTATGTGCTCAGTTTTGAAACGACAAGGATATGGTGAAGGTTTCCGCTGGTTGGCGCAATACATCGACTAGGCTCATTCATTTAATTACATAATAACAATGGGGGGAGGGGAAATGAAATGATTGATAACAAAACGAATCCCATCGCGCAATGAATTGTGTCATCAAGGATGGTTTTTCACAACAAAAGGAAAAAAAAGACAAAAAAGCTTGCGAGGGCAGGAAAGTTAAATTTATCATTAAAGTTTTTCCCTCGCGAAATTTATAATTTTTTTTCTTTTTTCCGTTGCATTTGAGAAACATATTTTACAGTTTATTTTTGCTTCTTAAATACCATACGCTTGCGTACCTTTATGTTGCTCCCATTTCTTTCTATTTTATTTAATTCAGTATCTTTTTGTCGAAAGAAAAAGAGAATTTCACAAAATCTGCGAAATAAGAAAACAAATTTCCGTAATAAAAATATTTGAAGAAAAAAGATTTTTTTTTCTTTTATTACATATTTATTTTGCAGCAAACTTTTCACTTGGTGGTTTTATGTTGTCGAAGATTGTTTATATACTCCCATAAATGATACGATTTCAAGGTTCGAATCTTTGATTCATCACATTTCATTATCAAGAAGATTGCACGGGTGTGATTGGTTTAAATTCTTATCAATGAAACAATCTTGAAGATCTCCTTGATAACGACAAACAACCAACTCAGAATTTAAGCTTCAATTAAAGAAATGCCTTCGATTTTATATGAAAATGTTAATATTTTATTTCTTTGAAAACTTCACTATGTAAAAATGATATAAATGCATATTTGTCGAACTTGGTTCACTTTTTAAAGGCTTTCATGCTCACAACTTTGATAGTTCAAACGTCAATTCGTCGTTGTCTGGAAGAGGTGCAAAAAATCGATTGACGTAATCTTGTTTAACTTTTTCAAGGATTTCAGGTTTCCAATTTGGCTTCTGATCTTTATCGATTAACAAAGCACGAACACCTTCTTTGAAATCACTGCTCATGCAGCAATGTGCAGCAAGTCTATATTCCATTTGAAGACATTCACGCAATGTCATCGTTTTTCCAAGTTGCAATTGACGAAGAGTAACTTTCAATGATGTTGGTGACATTTTACTGATGAGTTTGAGTGTTGAAATGGCCCATTCGCTACCATCTGAATGAAGAGCTTTGACAATGTCCTCAACAGTGTCTTTACCAAAATATTTTTCGATTTGCTTGAGATGAGGTTTGAGGACAAATTCGCTGTTATCTTTCGACAATGAAGAATATTTGTAAAGAGTTTCATCAATGTCATTCGAATTCTTGCAATTGTACAAATCATTTTCAAGCTCTCCAATATGTGAACTGTCAACAAAATGCGTTGCAACACCAGCCTTCTGAACATCACGACCTCTCAATCGGAAACCTGTTAAGCCCAAATAGATTCCAATATTTCCAGACATTCGGGGGAGGAAATATCCACCGCCAACATCAGGGAATAATCCAATTGCTGTCTCAGGCATTGCGTAAAGTGTTCTTTCTGTTGCCACTCGATATTTTCCAAGAACAGATAAACCAACACCACCACCCATTGTTATTCCATCGATGAGAGCGATGTAAGGCTTCTTATAACTACCGATCAACTCATTATTTCGATATTCATGACGGAAAAAATCTTTTCCATCTTTAATTGATCCCTCAACAACCGCTCTGACATCGCCACCAGCGCAAAAGGATTTCTCACCAGCTCCTTTTATTATCACCAAATCTTTCCTGGGTTCAAAGTCACGAAGTGCTGCGTAGATTTGCCTTTTAAGTAATAAAAAAAGTTTTTATTTCATTTGTAAAGAATGTGAAACTAAAATCAACTTACGACACCATATCAAGGTTAATGGAATTCAATGCCTTCTCTCGATTAAGTGTAATCACGCCAGCATTTCCTTTTTCTTCAACAAGAACTGTTGAGTTTGCAGAACAAAGATTGCGGGTCGTCATAACACTTGCAAACCTTTGATGTTTAAAACAAGCTAATAAAACACTGTTGAACCTTTGAATCACCTAAATAATGCAATAAAATTTACTTTGATGTTGAAAAGCCTAAATTATCATAAATTACCATCGTGATAAACGCTTTAAAAAAAATAAAGAAAAAGTGCTTTGAGTGAGTATTGAATATGAGGTGAGTGATAAGAGCGTCGAAATTTTAAAATTTTATAGACCGTTACGCCAACATCTTGAAATGTTTAGAAAATCTTGAATGAAAAAATTAAAACAAATTTCTTTGATAAAATATCTGAAGAAAACAAAAACTTCTTATGTATATCCTTCCTTACTTTGCAATATAGAAAAGTCCTTTCGGCTGATGAATAGTTTTTGAGGTATTGTTCGTAAGGAACAACTTTACTGTTCCTTTTTTTTAATTAGGATGTTTTTAAAAATCTTCAGCTTTGCATTTTGATTAAATATCATTGATAAGTATAATAACCTACAATAGATTGTGATTTTTTTTGGTATTTATATCTTTTTTTATCATTTTCTTACCTTGTATAATTATAGAATTCGTCATAAAAGAATAATTCACAATTAAATTAAAAAGGAAATCGTGTTTCATTTTCCTTCTGTTCCACACATTTAAAGTAGGCGTTCCCCATTGTTGCCTCCCTTCGAATTATTATGTATAAAAAAAAAGGTCATTGAACTTTGCTTTATTGAAAACAGAATCCTAAAATTTCTACTTGATAACGACAAACAATCAACCCGACATCTAAAGAGAAATTTTCAACGATGCTTAAAGAAATAATACTTTATTTATTTGAAATCTCCATAATGTAAAATTGATATAAAAGCATGCTTATTGAAGTTTGTTGATTGTGATCTTTAAAGGACAGACATTTTATGATTCTGATGAATCGTCAAATGTCAATTCTTCCTTGTCTGGAAGAGGTGAAAAAAACTTATTGACATATACTTGTTTGACTTTTTCAATGATATCAGGTTTCCAATTTGGCTTCTGATCTTTATCGATTAATAAAGCACGAACGCCTTCCTTGAAATCACTGCCCATGCAACAATGTATATTGACTCTATACTCCATTCGAAGACATTCCCTCAATGTCATTATTTTCCCAAGTTGCAGTTGACGAAGAGTAATTTTCAATGATGTTGGTGACAATTTACTGATGAGTTTGAGTGTTGAAATGGCCCATTCGCTACCATCTGAATGAAGAGCTTTGACAATATCTTCAACAGTGTCTTTACCAAAATATTTTTCGATTTGTTTAAGATGAGGTTTGAGGACAAATTCGCTGTTATCTTTCGACAATGACGAATATTTGTAAAGAGTTTCATCAATGTCATTCGAATTCTTGCAATTGTACAAATCATTTTCAAGCTCTCCAATATGTGAACTGTCAACAAAATGAGTTGCAACACCAGCCATCTGAACATCTCGACCTCTCAATCGGAAACCTGTTAAACCCAAATAGATTCCAATATTTCCAGACATCCGGGGAAGGAAATATCCACCGCCAACATCAGGGAACAACCCAACTCCTGTAGCAGGCATTGCAAAAACTGTTTTTTCTGTTGCCACTCGGTATTTTCCAAGAACTGATAAACCAGCACCACCACCCATTGTTATGCCATCGATAAGAGCGATGTAAGGCTTCTTGTAACCTCCAATTAGATCAACTGTTCGATTTTCTCGACGACTTAATTCTTTTGCATGACTAAATGATCCTTCCACAACAGCTCTGATGTCATTGCCAGAACAAAAACATTTTTTTCCAGCACCTTTAATTATCACCAAATTTTTCCTGGGTTCAAAGTCACGAAGTGCTGCGTTGAGTCGCCTTTAAAATGAGAGAAAAAAGTTCTTTTGTCTTAAAACGAGTATGAAGATTTGATCCAACTTACGTTATCATATCAATGTTAATGGAATTTAATGCCTTCTCTCGATTAAGTGTAATCACACCAGCATTTCCTTTTTCTTCAACAATAACTGTTGAGCTCGCAGAACAAAGACTTCGAGTCGTCATGACGCTTGCCCAATTTGGATGCTTAAAACATGTTAATAAAACACTGTTGAACCTTTGAAGTACCTAAATGGTTTAAAGAAATGTATTATGATGTTGAAAAATGTAAATTATCATAAATTACCATCGTTAAAACACTTTAATTTAAGAGAACAGAAAACACGTTGACAAGATTACAAACTAACAATTAGACTGATAAAAGACAACAAAAGAATTTTTGAGGTCTGTTCTGATTCGATTCAAAAATATTTTGAAATTCTCAATTCAAAAAAAACTTTCAATTTCATTTCATTCGTTATAAGGCTCGAAAAATCTTATGAAACATAATTCGTTGAAGGAAAATTTGAAAAACATTGCAAATATTGGAATTATTCCTTTTTTATTATTATTCAACATAAAAACCTTGAGTGCTTCGTTTGATTTCAAATTTCAGTTCATCACCATCGGGTAATGGACTGAAGAAAACTGAAAGTTCACCATCAGAAACTTCTTCGATTGTTGATGGATTCCATTTAGGTTTCACACCTTTATCAATTAATAATGAACGAACACCATCTCTGAGTTCACTTCTTAATGCAAAGTGAACACAAAGACGCCATTCCATCCTCGCACAATCTTCAACTGGCAAGTAACGTCCCAGATTTAAATTGCGGTGATTTACTTTAACACTTGTTGGAGAATTATTTCGAAGAACTCTCATCGTTTCCTTTGACCACTCGCTTCCATCTTCATGTAAGCTTTGTAATATCTGTTCAACGCTTAATCCACCAAAACATTTATTAATGCGGTCAAGATCTTCATCAAGTCTTGTTTGAGTATCAGAGAGTGTAAATGAAAAGTCATCTAAAACGTTTTTGACATCTTCATGATTCTCACAAACTGTCAAACATTGCTCCAAGTCAGTTAAGTGTTTAGATTCAACAAAATGCGATGCCAAGCCGATTTTTTTCACGTCATATCCTTTCATCTGTACCCCCGTCATTCCCATGTAAATTCCAACATTATTTTCCAATCTCGATAAGAAATAATTAGAACATGAACTGTTAACAAATCCAACTTGAGCCTCTGGCATTGTGAAAATTGTTTTCTCAGTAGCGACGCGATATTCTGCACCTATCGCGAAAGCTGCACCCCCACCGATTGTTGATCCACTGATAAAAGCAATGTATGGAACTTTGTAGGTTGAAGTTAAATGAAAACCTCGATAAGCAGAAGCAATTGCATCTTTAATCATCTCAAGTGTTCCTGACAAAATATCTTTCATGTCACCACCAGCAGAAAAAACTTCATCAGAAGCACTTTTTACCACGACAACTTTTTTCTTGCTTTCCAGATCTTTTAAAGCTTCGTAAATAGCGCTGAAATAAATTGCATAACAACCAGCTGATAATTAAAACAAGTTTTTAAAACTTCTTACACTGTCATTTCATAATTCAAAGCATTCTTTGCTTGAAGTCTATCCAGAGTTATGATCCCTGCATTTCCTTTCTCTGAGATTTTCACAAATGGAGTTATTACTGGACGTTTAAGCAAAGTTGAAAGCTTGCGGATCATTCTAACAAAAGAAAGACTACGACTGCTTATTTATCTGTCCAAGCTTATCATTTGACTGAGTTTTATTTTAAACCATAATTAACAATTGAAGTTCATTGATAAAAAGAATAACAAACGGATAACGAGTGGATATAGATAAGAATTTATATACAAATTTGGTGTTTGATACATAAATATTTACTATATACGTCATGTAGATAATGAAACTATGAAATCAAGCCCCCAAAAAAAAAATAAACAATTTTCAGATTGCGGAGAAAGGTCTGAAGCTTTTGAACTTACATTTTGAAAAAGTTTTAAATTATCTCTGACCTAAAAATTATTAGTGAAAAAATTCTCTTTCTTCGTACATTAAAATAATCGTTGCGTTTGAATGTGAGAAGCGTGATTACAAATTATAATTTCATAAAAAAACAACTAAACGTTATAATGTAATTAAATAAATTAGCTTTAAAGTTTAAACACTTTTATATTCGAAGCATTCAAAACTTATTTCTGATTAAATTTTTATTTAATTTTTAATGTTTTGTACAGTTTCAGAACTTCTGTCAATTTCAAATGTTAATTCGTCATCCTCGGAAAGCAGACTGAAAAGATCTGATAACTGATCTTCAGTCACCTTTTCAATAGTTGGAGGATTCCACTTAGGTTTCATGTCTCTTTCGACCAAAAAAGCACGAACACCTTCATTTAAATCATTTCTTCGAGCAAAACGCATGCAAAGTCGCCATTCCATTCTGGCACAATCTTCAATTGTCATAGAGCGACCTCGATTTAAGAGACGATGGTTGACTTTAACACTTGTTGGACAATTTCTACGAAGAATTTTCAAAGTTTTTACAGCCCAATCACTGCCATCCTCATGAAGATTTTCCAATATTTGTTCAACTGTTGATTCAGCAAAACATTTATTAATTCGAATCAAATCTTCATCTAATGGTGTTAGAACATGAGAAGGTTTGGAAGAAAAGTCATCTAAAACATTTTTTACATCTTCATGATTTTCACAAACTGTCAGACATTGTTCCAAGTCTGCTAAATGTTTAGATTCAACATAATGTGATGCGATTCCGATCTTCTTAACATCATATCCCTTCATCTGCACTCCCGTCATTCCCATGTAGATCCCAACATTATTCTCAAGTTTTGATAGAAAAAAACTTGAACACGAATCGTTTACAAATCCAACTTGAGCTTCAGGCATTGCATAAGCAGTTTTCTCAGTAGCAACACGATATCTTGAGCTTGTCACAAACATTGAAGCACCTCCCATTGTCACTCCACTGAAAATTGTTATGTAAGGAATTTTATATTTTGATATCAAACAATAACTTCGAAAAGCCGCTCCTATCCCACTCTGAACATTTTCCATGATATCGCCAGCAATTAACTTAATATCACCACCAGCAGAAAAAATGTCGGCTGATGCACTTTTAATGATAACAATTTTCTTTTTGTTTTCTAAATTTTTATTCGCATCGTAAATTACGCTAAGTAAATGAAAAGTTTGAAAGTTATTTTATCTCAACAAATTTTGAACTTTGATTCTTACTTTGGCATTGTATGCTCGAAAGCATTTTTAGCTTGTAGCCTATCAATAGTGATAATCCCTGCATTTCCTGTTTCGGATATCTTAATATAAGGCGAGGAAAATTGTTGTTTAACTAAAGTGCTGAACCTGCGTGACATCGGAACAAAATATCAACAATAACTGTATGTGAGTACTGAAATATTTAAAGATTTTATTCATTTTTCTACCTGCCTTTGAAAGGAAGTTTAGATTAATTGATAAGGTGAGAAATTAGGCGAAATGACAATAAAATGTTATAACATGCAGTTTCTAAGAACATAAAATGTCATTTCCTTTCCAATGCTTTATTTAAAGTTATTTTAAGACGATATTTATTTTTAATTCAATTAAGTAAACTTAAATAAACCACGCTTTACTTGTTTTTATTAAATTTTCTATATAAAAATAGAAAATTAATTAACAATTGATAAAAAATAGAAAGATAAAAATTCTTATCGAAATTATCAATAAAAATTGTTTATTATCAATGTTTGATGCGCTCCCAGTTATAATCTTCAATTTTTGTTAATATTTTGAGTTTCAATGAATCACTGTGGGAATTTCGTAAAATTTATCTAACATGAGATATCTTTTTTTTTAATTAGCAGTCTATTTATATCGAATTAAGAAAAAAAGTGTAAGGAGATTGACCAACATCGTGGCAACAGATTAATCTAGACTGTGAACATGTTTTTTTCGCAAAATTTTATTAAATCTTCTTATGTATGCAATGATACTGTTCATAAGTGTGTTGACGAAAATAATCATAAATTGATAATTGATAAAAAAACATGTTGATAAGAACTTTATGATGGACATTTTTTTTCATTATGATTAACTTGAATATTTTATCTCTTTAGTCTTGTAAGACTTACACCAATATTTATTAAAATGAATTAAGGAAATTTTTTATGAATTAATAATCTCAATTAACCCAGGATAATCTCATAATCTTTATTTACCCATAAAAAAATAAGGAAAAGAAAAGAAGATTACCTTGAGTTGTTATCACAAACTTCATGCACATCTGTTCTACTTTTTTTATTTGGTAAAAGCTGTAAAATTATTAAAACTTTTTATCAACAAAATTCAAGGTTTTAAATTTTAAATCCTATCGGCACGTGTTTATTTTGAACCATTTAAGGAGACATCCCTGAAATCTCAATAATCAAAACAATTTCAAATTTAATGTTAAACCACCAGCAGTGTTTATTATTTACGTATTTTCTTTCACTTTTAAGTAAATATTGATTTATAAAAAAAATAAATTTCCGTTGAATTGCAAAAGTCATGTTATTGTCATGAAAAATAAATATTTTACTCATTATGTGGTGCTTCAAATTCAAGCTCTTCATTATTAGGTACTGGTTGGAAGAATCTTTCAATGTCTTGCATTGAAACTTCCTGTAGCGTTGGAGGATTCCATTTGGGATTCTCATCCTTCTCGTATAACATTGCACGACAACCTTCTCTCATATCACTCTTAACTAACATCTGCACTGCGATTCGAAATTCCATTTTTAAACACTCTGAGAGAGTCAACATTTTCCCTAAGTAAAGTTGCCGATGACAAACTTTCAAACTCGTCGGTGATTTAAGATTCAAGGTTTGAATTGTTTCCTTCGACCATCGACTATTTTCTTTTGAAAGATTTTCATAAATTTCTTCAACTGTTCCACCTTCAAAACATCTTTCTATTTGTGGCACTAAATCATCAAATGGTGAGTCAAATGTCATAGGAATTGTCGAATAACTTGCGATCATTCTTCCAACATCATCTGAACTGTCAATTCTTTCTAAATGCTTTTCTAGTTTCTTGAAACTTTTTGTTTCTACGAAATGAGTTGCAAGTCCGATTTTTTTAAGATCATAGCCTTTAATTCTGGCACCGGTCATTGCAAGATAAATTCCAATATTATTTCTTAGTCTTGAAAGGAAATAACTCGACCCAGAGCCTCCGAAAAATCCAACACCAGTCTCAGGCATTGCAATAGTTGTTCTTTCTGTCACCACTCGGTATTTTCCACACATTGAAAAGCAGCAAGCACCACCGAAACTTATACCGTCAATTAAGGCGATAAAAGGCCTTTTATAATTCGATATCAAGTGAAAGCTTCGAAATTCATTGCGAAATCTTTCCATTGTCTTTGGAGTTGAATTTTCTAAAATGTCTTTCATGTCACGGCCAATACAAAAAGATCTTCCACCAGCACCACTAATAATCACATGAGTCTTTGTCTCCTCGAATTCTCTCAATGCGTGATAAATTGCCCTAAAACAGATGAAACCGATTTACATACTTAGAAGGAATTACAAAGTTGACTTTTGTCACGTACTCAGACATTTCATCATTAATCGCATTAACTTCTTTCGGTCGATTCAAAGTGATAATGCCTGCAGTTCCCGGTTCCAATAACTTTATAAACGGCGTTATCAATCTCGAAGTTGTGCAAAAGCACCGAGCATTAAATTTGAACATCATTTTCTTTCCGAGGCAAACATTTGACTGAAGAGAGAATTTTTATTTTCTTTCGAAATGTTTGCTCGGCCTCAACCTTGTTTTTATATTTTACTCCACTGAACTCTATGAGTGTGAGAATTTTGATATTTCGGCACACATTCCCTGAACTGAATACTCCTGAAGTTACGAAAAGAGAAAAAAAAACTCGAAAATCATGTTTTCTAGCACAAAATTTTCGTCTTACTACGAAACTAAGACAACTTTCATAATTTATTGTCACAACTTGAGATATTTTCGATTAAAAGAAGAGACAACACAATGGCTAATTAATAAATTAAAGAAATAAGATAAAAATATATTTGAAGTTCGGAAAATGGTTTACAATCATAAAACACTTGAAATTGTCTCGAACGTGAGTTCGTCACCATCAGGCGATGGTTGAAAAAATCTGTCAACGTCATCTTTAGTGACATCATAAATCGTTTTTCGACTCCACTTTGGTTTGTTATCTTTGTCGATAAGCATTGCACGAACACCTTCTTTAAAATCGCTTTTAATGTGACTATGTAACACCAGACGAAACTCCATTCTTAGACAATCCCGCAATGACAAATTCTTCCCTAGAAGAAAGCTACGGTGAACAACCTTAAGACTTGTTGGTGACATTTTATTGAGTGTTTTGAGTGTAGCCTTTGCCCAATCGCTTCCGTCTTTATTTAAATTTTCATAAATTTCTTCAACGGATGCTCCACTGAAACATTTTTGTATGTTTGGTAAAACTCTGTCAAGTTCAGTTAATGATGAATGTGGATCTGATGAGAATTTATTCAAAACTTCTTTCACTTCATCATGCGATTTGCATTTAATTAAACATTTTTCAACTTCATTCAGTTTATGACTTTCGATGAAAAATCCTGCTAATCCGACTTTCTTAACATCAAACCCTTTAACACGAGCTCCAGTCATTCCCATGTATACACCGAAATTATTTTTCAGTCGAGATAAAAAATATGTTGCACCAGCATCGTTGAAATATCCTATGGCAGTTTCAGGCATGGCAAAAATTGTTCGTTCTGTTGCAACTGCATTCTCACTGGTCACTGAATACAAAGCAGCACCTCCCATGGCAAGCCCATCGACAAACGGTACAAAAGGCTTCTTGTAATTTGATAATAAGTCAAAGGTTCTTAAGCCATTTGTGTAGCCCAATTTGGTCATATCTGTTGACATTGTTATAACTTGCTTTACATCTCCACCAGAACAGAAAACTTTCCCACTTCCTTTGAAGATTACAATGTCCTTATCCACTTCCAATGATTTCATAAGTTGGTAAATATTTCTATGAAAGTAAAATATTCTTTATTAAACTGATAATCTTCTTAAGAGAATTGAAATATTTACACAAACATGTCTAAATTAATGGCATTCAATGCATCAGGTCGATCTAATTGAACAATTCCTGCCGATCCAGACTCGTACAGTTTTACATGCGGAGACTTCCTAATTGATGAACTCAAAAGCCTTCTAATCATTTTTATATTTTGAAAAATATTTAGATTAATATCAGTTTAATATCAAAATTCTTCGATTGGCACTTTGAACCTTGATCCGGTAGAAATAAAATTGAAAACAAAAATCAAATTTTATTTAATTGGGTTTCATATTTAAGAAAGTTTTAATTCGATTAATTATTAGTTACAGTCTTAGTTAAAGAAAATACATAAACATTGCTTAATTCTTTCAAAAATATCAATGTTTTTGTTTTGTATTAACATGTACTTCATAAATGCAAATCTGGAAAGTTCATCTCATTTCAGATTATTCAAGTTGAGGTAACAATGTTGAATGCTATCATAAAATATCTCGGTTCCTATAACGTTATTAAATAAAAGCTTTCAGACATCAAATGTTTGAAAACGACAGTAAAATTAAATTGGAAAAGTTTATTTCATTTCAGTCTTTTTAATTCCAAGCCATAACAGAAATGTTTGAGTCAATTTTTTTTAAATTTATTTCAAAGTTTTCCATGTAAATTCTCATAAATTAAATCTTCAGGAACGGGCTCGAAAAATCTTTCAACATCTTCATTTGTAACTTCATAAATTGTTTTACGGCTCCACTTTGGCTTATGATCTTTATCAACTAAAACAGCTCTGACTCCTTCTCTTAAATCACTTTTTATGTAGTGTTGAATGACAAGTCGAAATTCCATCTTTAAACAATCCCACAGTGGGTTTTCAGAGGACATTAGTCGAGTTTTCAAGTTGCGTCATATCGTCTTCATCTTTTTTAAAACTTCTAGAAGACTATATGGCGCAACTTTTGACTTCATATTGTTCATCCCGGAAATGAGTGGAAGTGACTGAAAATTAGTCATGAAGTCACCCATGTTCGAGGTGAAAAATCTACATGAAAATGAGGTTATTTTTTAAAATGTAAAATTTAATTTATTATGCTATTTAAATAAAAAATNATAAATAATAAATGATGTTTTTATGTCGATACTTTTTATATGAAAATTGCTCAACTTTGAATGCAATTTCAATTCGAGAATCCAATGCAATCCAAAAAGTAAGTATGAGGTCATGTGCATGCATCTTTCAGCTTTCCAAAAATGTTAATTTCAGCTGCCACAACTTGCCACATTGAAAGAAAATGCAAATTTTGTGAACGCATATTTCGCAAAATTTCGCCATTTTTGTATTGAAATGAAAATGACATTTTGGAAAGTTGCCTTTGAAAAATGTCATATTTGCATTTCATATGGAAAATTAAAATTTTAAATATCTCGCGATGCGTAATTTGTACAACTTTATGTTGTATGAAAGATATGTTCACATTTAATATTTGAACATATTTTATTAAAATATTGTACAGATAAAGTGACGTCTTCTATATAAAAAATTAGTTTTAAATATATAAACCCTCATTACGCCGTCTGAAGGGGCTGGGCCGAATTAAAAATGATGCAACTTGACGGGTATTCTTCTTAGGAACATTTGTTTCATACATGACCATGACATTCAATGGTCATATAAGAAGATATCTAATAAAGACCGCTCTCTGAAAGAAAAGTTTCCACTGTGAATCCCGGAGGCTTAAATTTCTTCCCATTGTAATACTACGGTGTGTCACTTTTAAAGCTGTCGGAGACCTTTTCTCAAGTGCTTTCAAAGTGTTTAAAGCCCAGTCACTTCCATCTTTTATGAGGTTATCAAAAATCTCTTCAACTGTTGAGCTGCTAAAACATTTATTAATTTTTGGCAGCAAAGAAAGAAGTTCCGAATTGAATGAAGTTTGACTCGACGATGAGAACGTGCCAAGAACTCTTTCAACATCCTCATGATTTTTACAATTAACGAGTGATTCTTCAAGCTGATTTAATTTACTACTTTCAACATAATGTGTTGATAAGCCAACTAGTTTCATATCAAATCCTTTGACGCGAACCCCAGTCATTCCCATGTATACACCGAAGGAATTTTCAAGTCGCGATAAGAAGTAACTGGAACCAGCATCATTAAAATATCCTATAGCAGTCTCAGGCATTGAAAAAATTGCATTCTCAGTACACACGCGATACTTTCCAGGTATTGCATATGTAGCAGCACCTCCCAAAGCCAAACCATCAACCAAAACAACGAACGGTTTCGTATAGTAAGTGATCAATTCAAAAGTTAAACAGAAGTCAATGTAAGATTTTGAAAATTCATCTCGTGTAATCTCAGTACTTAAAGATTTCATATCGCCACCAGCACTGAAAAGTTTATTTGATCCCTTAAAGATTACGACATCTTTTGAATGTTCCAACAATTTGATGAGATTGTAAAGATTACTGAAAAATATGTCAAATTTAGTAAGGATTTTTAGTTCAATTTACATGAATTATTTACTTGTACATCTCTGCATTTATAGCGTTAAGTGCATTGGGACGATTTATTTGTATTATTGCTGCAGAATTCTTCTCAGTAAGTCTTATAAATTTTGATACTTTCATCTTTCTTCTTGAGTAGTGTCAACTGAACTTTGTACTTAACTACGAAATTCTTCACTCGAATTTATTGCTCAATGTTTGTTTTAATTAAAAGAATTGCAAAAATATAAGGATGTTTGTTGGAAAATCAAAATTTTAATAAAATTTATCAGCATTGATTGAATTGCAATCGAAACTTCATTAAAAAATTATAAACAGAGTTTCGATAAAAAAAAACAATTTCATTCATGTTAAGTTCATTTGAAGTCTAACGATTTGTTAAAAGATTAAAGCACATTTTTCGTGTTTCTGTAAGCAACAAAACTAAAAATATCAATGAAAATTTTCATCAAATCATCTAAAAATAAACGCTTTGCCTAGATTCAGAATCATAAAATGTCTTCACATGGTTTTCTATGAACAATTAAAAACAAAAGCGATTAAATTTATGTTTTAATTTTATTTTGATCAGTACGAAACTTTGTTTCAATTATCATTCGTTTTATAATTATCATCATAGAATGCAACATTTGCGGTTTCAAAAACACTTTAAATGCATATTTGCTTTACAAAAATAGTTTTTCTTTACAGTTTTTCAAACTTTAGGTGTATAACTTTATAAACTTTTTCAAAGTGAAGCTCGGCTTTCAATTTTAACGTTCCTCAAATGTTAATTCTTGTCCAGCTGGCAAAGGTTTGAAGAAATGTTTAACATGATCTTCAGTGACATCATGTAAAGTTTTAGGATCCCATTTTGGTTTTAAATCCTTGTCTATTAACATAGCTCGAACGCCTTCTTGCAAATCACTTTTAATAACGTGATTGATTGCAACTCGGAATTCTCGTTCCAAGCATTCACGAAGAGATGATTTTTTACCCAAAACCATGTTGCGATGAGTGACTTTCAAAGCAGTAGGTGACATTTTATTAAGAATACGAATTGTATCAAATGCCCAATTGCTTCCATCATGATTTAAATTCTCGTAAATTTCATCAACAGTATCACCATCGAAACATTTATCAATTTGTGGTGTAATTAAGTCGAGCTCAGTTTCGCTTGAAGATGGAACCGATGTGAACTTTGCAATGGACTTTCCAATTTCATGGTCATTCGTGCATTCTTTTAATGCTTTGCTTAAATCATCAAGTCTCTTACTTTCCACAAAATGAGTAGCAATTCCAATTTTCTTGACATCATAGCCAGAAATCCTTGCCCCAGTCAATCCCATATAAATTCCATAATTGAATCGTAATCTAGATAAGAAATAACTTGCCCCAGCATCATTAATAAAGCCAATAGAAGTTTCAGGCATTGAATAAGTTGTTCTTTCTGTCGCAATTCGATAGCGAGCAGGGACACTAAAAGCTGAAACACCGCCCATAGTAATGCCATCCATAATAGCAATGTAAGGAATTTTATAAGACGAAATCAAGTCATAGCCCCGGTACATAGTGTGAAAAATACTGACGCTATTTGGAAAACCTTCCTTGCTATTATCAGAAGCTTCCTTAACATCCCCTCCTGCAGAAAATGCTTTTTCACCAGCACCTCGAATGACAATGTGAGTTTTTTTCTTCTCTAACTCTCGCAAAAGAGCATACAAAGTTCTAAAATTATAAATTGATGTGAAATAATTAATTGGCTTTTCAATATGCTAACGAAAAATTCAAATAAATCATTTGAGATGAAAATTCCCTCAAGGTCAAAAATTTTCCTTCAACCACCGGCATTTGGAAAGATTTCAATTTCCCAAAAAAATTTGATGTTTTTACTTACCTATACATGTCGCCATTTATTGCGTTCAAAGATTTAGGTCTATCTAAAGTGATGATACCCAAATTTCCTTTCTCCGTCAATTTGACAAAAGGAGATCGTGCCGATGAGGTTTTAAGAAATTTTGAAATGCTCGACCACATCTGAAAATTCATTTTTACATGATTACACAAAATAAAGGATTTTAATTCTTTATTTGTCCATAAATTAATAATCAATAAAAAGGTAAGATAGAATTTACCTTCAACTACCTACTTATTGACTTGTGCGAATTTTATTCTCTTCAACGAGTGTCAACAAAGAGAGTAAACCGTGTCAAAATTGAACCGGTTCGGTATTGAAAAAATGGTTGCCGCACTGCTATATTGCCGAGTAAATCAAGCTTCTGCCCCTCAGTTCTAACTCGCATATTATTACTTAGCGTTACGCGGGTTTGCGCATAATTTTTTGCATTTTATTTTGATAATAAGTGATAAATATTTTATCACAAACAAGTTGAAATATTTCGGTGTTCGTAAAAATGATAAAAAAATAGTGAACAGAAATAAAAAAATAAATTGCATAAAAAAAGGAAGTTCAAGTGAAAATAAATCATTTAAAGGATACTTTTGGGATTAGATTGAATATCAATTGATATAACAATCCAAAATGGAGTCCCGAGGAACGGGAGGTTTGTAAAATATTCTGAATTCTCACACCTTTGCAGCTTATGACTCATTTTACTGGATGTGTCATTAACACGAAACTTTTTTCATGATTTGCGAGCAAATCAATTTCTCCTCGTAGCTAAGAAAGTTTTCTAGTATCAAAACTTTAAACTTGTAAATCCACTTAATAATAAAAATACTCTAAAATCTTGTAATTCCAATTTAAAGAAAAGATAATCGATTGAAATGTAACATTCGTTAACAAAAAAGTGAATAAATTGTTACAGTCAAAACAAGAGCAATTGGAGAGAGAAAAAAAATAATTGGTTTGGGTGGATGTTAAACAATCTTAAGCTCTTTCAAAAAGTTGAAGCTTTAATCAAGCCATGATCGATTTATATAAGGTGACAACTTAAGATTTAAGAAAACAGTAGCGAAAGCGATAAATTTACTTTCATCTTGAAAAGGAATTTGCAAAGAAAAAATAAAAATAATAAAACGCATAAAGTTGAATCAAACTGTATGTGAATTGCATGTTTATTTGATGTGAGCTCAAATATGTTAGCGTGGGGCTTGAGTACGTGCTTCGCCATAAATGAATTTCAATGTCGCTATCAGCGGGTTAAAAAATACTTTGCGATAGAATTCAATGTCGATAGAAACTGCAACCATCGATGAATAGAGAAATAAAATCAAATATGATGCTAGTTGAGTCCATTAATCACGCTTTATGTAAACTTGTTTCGAATTTCATTTTCTGTTCCCTCTTTCTTTTCATTAGATTTCAGTTTTTACCATTTTGCCCTTTGTGATCACAGTAGCTAAGAAGAGAACATGAAAACCTGCTCAATGACATACGCGTAACGGTAAAAATGAAATACTTTTGTCTGAAACTGACAAAATATAAAAGGAATTCGCAAAAAATCGCCGAAAGAGTAATAAAATTGTTGCTACACGTCATGTTTGTTCAGTTTTTTTCCCTCTTCCAATTCGTGTCGTTATCAGCTGATAAAAGCTATCAAGCCATTAAGTAATACACATAGATACGACATCATAATTCCAAATAGTTAAGAAGGAAGTCAAATAAATTTCATGGTCCTAACTTCCATTGATATTGATGAGTTCTGTTTCTGCTTCTGAGTCATTTCGCTTATCTTTTGACTTCTAAGCTTCCTTTTACGATATCACTCTCGCCCTACATAGTTTTCCTGTCACGAAAAGAATAAGAAAAAAACTGCATTGTCGCAACAATCACTAAAGCAATTAAATAAATCTCAATTGAATCCACTCACAGTTGATTGAAAGTTTTCTCTTTCTTTATTAAACTTCAATAAGCGTCTAAATTTAACTTTTACTTCTCCAATGTGGAGAACGATTTTTAATATCAGATGATGATGGGCTTGGCTCGTTGAATCACCGATTTTCACTTCTTCTTATTGGATTTCATTGTATTTTGCTTTGTTTGTTGCAATTCTTTTTTTTATCCAAGATGAGTGGAAATAGAAAACTGGTTTTTCTAAGAAATGTGAGCTTAAAAGTTGACTGTCATAGTGCTTTATTTTCTGCTTTTTATATTTATTCAACTTTTCACGACTCTTTGCGGTTACTTGTTTGTCTATCGTTAAAGCTAGTTGTCTTGATAAACTCCCACAAATCACAGTTCCAAACGAAGGAAGTGTTGCGTGATTGAAGCACTTTAACTTTGCCCCATTTCCATTCCTTTATTCTCATTTTTGTAAAGAAATGTAATTAGGACAAGCATTGTACCTTCCTTATATAGCAAGCAGTGGAATGGAATATTGCAGCTCAACATGCTTGCTCATTATAACTAAGCTTGAAATTCGGTAGTTCCTGAAGATTAGTCTTGTGGAGCTTTAAAGAAAATTAAATCTAATAGAGCTCTTAATTAATTAGATTCGAATTATAAGAATTCAACTATTTCACGCACAGCAGATGACTTAGTTTGGTATAATCGATAATCTGTTTGATGTCCAAGGCCGTAGCATTGATCAGATGGGAGTGTCAGTCGGAATATGGACATGCAATGGGCTTTATGATTCTTTTTTTCGCGATGTGTTGGATTTAAAAGTGTCAAGGTGAACACTGAATAATTTTTTTGATTTAAATGCACAAACATTACTTAAAACTGGTTATGAAGATAAGCTTGATGACTTCTTGAATAACTCTTTTCATGCTCGGTTACACAAATGAACAGTGAATGAGCATTGAGTAAAATTTCTCTGATTATTCTGTTAAATCTTTGATGCAACAAACAGGAAGTTTAGAAGAATATCACAATTCACTTGTTAACTAACTTCAGGTTGATTTTTTTATAAATTTAAAATCAAATCTTTATGTATCATCATGACCGAAACAGGAAATCAGAATCCTTACAAGTTTTGTTTATTTTAAAGATTAATCTGATCTTCCTTCGTTTGTTTATGACATTTTTGTTGAGTCATAAGATGGTTAACTGCTTTGGCTAAATGCCAAACAATATGAAGAAAAGATTTCCTTAAGACTCTAAGTCTGACAAAGCTTGTTACAAAAAGAATGTTGCAATAAATTCTTATTTTTCATTCGCTTGTATTTGCAAGACTAACAGTGATGAACTCATCAGAAAAATAAAGTCTACAACAAAAGAATCCACGACCGTGACATCATCGTGAGCGGTTTTATTGATCGAAAGATGGAAACAAAAACTTTGCGTTACGTTTTTTTGACTGCGTTAACGAAGAATTCTTTTTAAATTGGTTTAGATTGTAATTGGATAATAAGTGAACGATTTTATTGGAATTTGTGGATGAAACTTTATCCGGGTGTGGGGACAAATCTAAACAATTACCAGCTTTAGCCAGTAATGGTCGAAGGTTGATGTCATTTTCATTATTTGACTTCTTCATTAGCATTGCGTGATTCAGTTTGAACAAAAACAACTTTTTTGGTTTCCTCGTAACAACACCGAACCACTACAAAGTTGGTTCATTATCAGTGAAATTCTTATCAAAAGATTTCAGTTGTGTTATAAAAAGCTGCGAGTTTTCATGTTAAACTCGAGTGACTGGTAAAATTACGTTGAAGGCCATCACGACGGGATGTAAACTTGACGCTGAAGCTTATGAAATTTGAGAATGTAAACGACCATCAACTTTCAGATAATATGAAATCATGACACGGCTTATTGAACCGCAAGACTTGAAGAATTATTATATTTTTCTTTCTTTCGTTCCAAATGCTTGCGAATGAAATGGAGAAATAATTTAAAGTAAACCATACTGTGAACGAGAAAACTATCACTGAGACTTCTTCTTATACCTATCAGAACTTCAGTTTTATGCTGATTCATATGACATATTCGTGAATGGAATGCTAATGGTTTAAAGTTCTGAATGTTTATCTTCTTTTGATCCATCAGTTTAATGGATATTCATTATAAATATCGAATTCTGAAGGAAGTTTCAGTTTCAATCGTCTTCCTGTCACATAAATATTTGAGATTGCATGACAGCAAAATGAAGATTTATCAATCTCAAGTAGATACTCAGACTTCTATCAAACAACAGCGATTAAAGAGATTAATTTGAAGTGTTTCGCTTTAAAAAGACTTTACAACGTTTTACATTCGGATACGCGTTAATAGACTGGCAAATGTTCAAAACGATTGAAGTTATTGTGATAAACGTTTCTTATCGAATTAAATTGAAGGCGAAATTGAAGAAAATAGAAAAGAAGAAATCAGTTTTCAATGAATCCCATTAAGAAGATGAAATTGAGCTCCAATCTTAAATCGATTATCGTCTTCGAAACGATGTCAACAAATAACAAATTGATTGAGTCATTTACTTTCCCTTCGAATTGTAAATGTGGGTAATCTTTTGGGGAAATAAATTACATAGCATCTAAATTAGCAAGTTAACATTAAATTTTATTAACTCGTGCGCAAAAATCACTTGAATTACAAATTTTTTATTTCTCGCACAATCTTTCTACTTTTGGTTTTTAAGAAGTTGCGCAATTTATCTTCGAAGAAAGTTTCATTTTTTTGCTCGCTTCCCCCTGACCAGCATTGATTTAATGTTATGCAAAGTTTCATTAAACAGATTTTGCTCGATTTGATTGAGATGGGAGTGGAAATGCCGGGAAAACCATCATAAATCTCGGCGGTTATGGTTACGCTTTAGTATTCAATTCTAACCTTATGATCGTAAACGCCATTGGCAATCAATATAAGGTAAACATTTTAAACCTTTTCGAGGTTTCAGTGGCATGTTTTTCTCTCACGTCTTGAGTGGTATAAGAAATAAAAATGAAAACATTTTCAAGTTACGACATTTCTGCATTTATTTTTATTTTATTTTTTTCATGAATTTATCGATTTCTTCACCACCAATTGAATCGATAGATTACGTTGTTCAACTTCCAGGGAGTTTATTCCAATTAATGCGATCGAGATTTAAGCGGAAAATTGCTGAAAAATTTTATGTAAATTTACTTCTTTGATGCGGAACGTCTTGGAAAATTGGAAGTAAAAAAAAATAAAAAAAATTGTTAAATGATGATGAAAGAAGTTGCATGTTTGAAGTTAATGTGCTTTCTGATCAAGCTTTTGTTTGTAACTGGGTCACCACCTGTATTTCTTCTCATCTTCTTAATCCCCACAACAATGTCGATGCTGACACTTTCATGCTCTAAATTATTTCTTGTGATGTAATCCTCGCAACATGAATCATCACGCAGTTAAAGCTCAACTGAAAGAGTGTTCATGAATAAATAAATGTGAGAAGAATAGTAAAAATATTTCTTTTATGTTTCGTGTTTCATAAACGACACCGAAAACAATGATTTGCATGTCTCGATCGAATTTATTGTTCGATTGATTTTAAACAATGTTTGATGACGAACTGTCAGATATCAAAAAATAAAGTTTGATGTCTACGCTTTTGAGCTCATACTTGATTTGAATATTTTTCCATCCATTACATAACGTAGTAGCATAAAATAGAAGACAAATTAAGTGCGTAGATATGTGGATCAGGAAGAATAAGACATAAAGTATGAAAGAAAGAAAGCCCAACTAGAACCAGACAAACAAACAAACAATGGATTTCAATTCCGTATTAAAATCACGTGTGTATGTGTGCTTGTATATCAAGTTCTCGGCTGAGTTCTTTAACCTTTTTTTTTTTCTCTTTACCGTGTCCGTTGATTATTGTTTTGATATTAAAAGTTGTAGGAAAAAAATGATTGTTTAAGTGAATGTTTCAATGCTGCAGAGCAAATGTTCTTGCTTCTCTCATGTTGTAGCTGTTGCTGAATAAACTGTTTTATTTTTCATTCAGTCTCAGTTGTGGAATCGCGCTAACAAGTTTGGATTATAGTGAAAGAGTGGTTCGTGTCGTGTCTCGCGGATTATTGACATTTATGTTATGTTCTGTTGTTTTGGTTTCTTCTCGTGATAAATTTCATTCAAAGTTGAAATTTTCTTCATAAGTGAAAAGTCAAAATTTTAAATTAATTAGGTAATTTAGTGTTAAAGAAGTTTTCATAAAATAAATTGAATGATCAAAGAAGCTCACCAAAAAAAACTTAATTTCGTAAGTTTTCTGTAAAACATTTGGAAAAAAGAAATCTAAAAGAAGTAAAGAGAAACAAAAACTGGTTTCTTGAAAGTCTCGAAAGTATTATAATTTTTTTTCGTTAGTTTGTTTTCTGTTTCTGGGACGGCACTGGTTGTTTGGGGAGGCAAATATAAGATAGAGCGAAGATAGAAGAAGTTATAATTGGTGTAAAGAGCAAACAAAGCCAAATAGTCGAAGGTGAACGATTGAAAATTAATCGCGTTCTGGTGCGCAATGGAAACATTGTGTAAATATTAAAATTAATATTTTTCTTCTGTGTGGGAAAAGCGATGATCAAGTTTGAGTGAATGCTGCAACCGGATGAATAAGAAATGAGTAGACAACGATTATGCTTATGCGACCAACGCTTTTATAATAATAACTCGCGCTCGGTTCAGTGCCGTAATAATTAATGTTGATTTAATTATGGAATAATGCAGTTGAATACTTATGTTACCCTCAAACACAACAGCCATTTGTTGCATACGTAATTGGATGGCTCAATTGTATGTCGCTTGCTCGTTACACGTTAACAATCGTGAAGTGAAAGAACCGAAATAAAAAAAAGTAACAAAACGAAAAAAAATCATTTTGCTGTTACATTTTCCAGTTTCATTGTTTGCAGTGTTCTCTATTATGAAATGAAATTGTGGATTTAATGGTGAAAAACATGCGACTTAATGGGCCTTTTTATGAATGAGAATGCGGTTGATGAAAGTGTCATGATGTGGGCAAAATTTGAATTTTAAATTCTGAAAAGTATCCGTGGCTTTTGGTTTCTCTTTAAATCTCAGAAATGGCGTTAGTTTGTCGTTGAATAAAATCAAAACGAAAGAAAAAAAATCTTTAAATGGTGCGATGAATAAAGAAATACAAAAAAAATTAAAGTGTGGGCGGTTTTGGGAAGTGAAACGCAGTGCGAAACGATGAGATTATGATTGTGAAAGTTTAAAGAAAATTGTGTCACCTTTTGATGTCATTTTAATTAATTAGTTATTCTAAGTGGGAGAAACTTAACGCCAATTGTGTAAGGTGCATTACGATTCAATAGTTTTTCGTGACTTGATTGATAGCAAAAACATGGCAATCAACATTGGCAATTACATTTTTATTGACATAATATAAACAACGTTTATTCAGTGATTGAATTTAATTGTTGTTATGAATAAACAGAAATTTGATTGAATCATTTCGAAGAATTGATTTGCTTACTTACATGCAATCGCAACTTTTATTTAACTTTAAGTGCTTAATTGTAGGTCTGACAGGCTTTCATCAAACATGACTTTGATTCAAAATTTAACTACAACTTCCTAGTTGTGTTTTTTTTCCTTCATGTTGCCCGCAGTCCACACTTTTATTGCGGTTACAATTTAATGTTCCTCAATTTTATAGCCACACACTGTTGTCATAGTTGATTATTCTTTCTCTCGCACTTTTCTTCTTAACATTGCCGCATAAATGTTTTTAAGTAATGTGGTGAAAGATGAAAATCCACAGCAAAGCAATCCGGATGTAAAAAATCTTTTTATTGCTTTGTTTATACAAACGAAAGAGCTGAATTGATGAACAGTTGCGTTGAGTTTGTTGTCTTCACACGCCCGAATGAAAAAAAAATATAAAATATAAGTCAAGCCATATAAAAGCTACAAAAAGTTTGTAAATTTCTTTTTCTTCAACCCAATTTGACTTCATTGAGACTCACGAAAAGAAAGTGAAAACATTATGAAGACAATTTATCAGCGTTACCGAAATAAAAACGTTTCATTTACTTCATACGGAAGTTGATCATTTGATGATGATTGCGACCGTCAGATGATGATTTCTTTAAAATTAAATCTTTGCTCGACTTGAAGCAACAATTTAGTAGCAATTTCACAGATTTCCGAAGAGATATTAATAAATTACTTAAATATTTGCTAATCGCTTATTCATGATTCCTTTTCGTCTTAACTTCTGATCGTTCAGATGAAATTGAGTAATTTGGTTTTTGTTTTAAAATATTTTGAAGAACTTCAGAAACATCACGCGATTGACTTCAAACTTATGGTCCTTGCTTGATAAATCGATTTTCAGCTTACAACTTCTACGCTTTTTCTCACCAGTAACAAATTGCTTTATTAGTTCATTTCAAATTCACAATTACAGCGTTGAAATTGAAAATATTCGAAGCAAATCAAAATATTACAAGTATCAAGTGATAATGAAACCATCACCGATTAAAAAAACATTTAAGCGTTGAATTTATTTCTTTTTTCATTTCCATCTTTTCCTTATATTTATTTTAATTATTTATTACAGTCAGTGCAATAGTTGAGTTTGATTACACAGCCAGCGAACTGGATGAATTAAATCTTATCAAAGGTGCCGTGATAACGAACATTAAAGTTCAACCGGGTGGATGGTGGCATGGTACAATCGCATCAACAGGCAAATCCGGCATGTTTCCCGATAATTTTGTTAAACTGCTCGACCAACAGCACGACGACAAAGTCATACTCAGGTTAGCAAGCTTACAGTTTGAATTTCATTGTCAATGTTTTGAATAAAATTGGCATGTGAGCATAATTTATGTTGGGAAAAAGAAAAAAAGATTTCTCAGACGCTTCTCATTAACGGAATCGACTTTTCTCTTCCGCTTTTTTTATTTTATTTTTGTTTCTGCAAAAAATAAAATCAACACAACATGAAGCCAAAGATAATTGGATTAATCAAAGATCTCATTTTCATTATCTTCTACCACTGTTTTCTCCCCCTACAGAGATAAAACATCAGCAAAAAATCGACGATGCAAGGTTATCTACAGTTACAAAGAGAGTAAAGAAGACGAATTGACGCTTGCTGTTGGTGACTTGATTGAAGTCTTCGAAGAGGTTCGTAAGCAATAATTATTTAATGACTTTGTTTGAAGTAAAAAATCGTAAACTTCTCAGGTTGAAGATGGATGGTGGAAAGGAAAGCTTGGCAATAAAGTTGGCGTCTTTCCCTCAAACTTCGTCGAGCTTATTGACTCAACATCACCGATATCAGCAAATCGTAAAAGTCACAACATCAACACCACAATCATTCAAAATAAAATCAACAATAATCGTTCGAGTTTGACGAACTCACGTGAGGATCTTGTCAGTAGTCATGGTGAAGGCGACGTTCCAATATTACCACCGAAGCCTATTCGTGAAATGTGTAAAGTACTTTATGCTTATGCACCAGTAAATGATGATGAATTGAAGCTTAATGAAGGCGATGTTGTGACGATTTTGAGTAAAGAATTACCGGATAAAGGATGGTGGAAAGGTGAATTGCGTGGGAAAATTGGAGTGTTTCCAGATAACTTTGTCACTTTATTGCCATTAGACAGTAAGTTGATGTCTAACACATCATTTTAAAATTTATTCATTTATTTAAAACGTTTATTTCAGCAACCGTAGTTAAAGAACGCCCGGAGCGTCCACCAATTGGTACAAAAACCATAATAACAACCAACAGCATCAACACGACCATCAAATCACCAAATACGACAACAAACTCATATCGTAAAGACAGTTTTGGATCAAAAGATTCACTAAGCGATTCAACAAACTTAATAAACACTGAACGTGGTGGATTATTTGGCAATGTTGCAGCGCATCGAAGGTCACTTGAAACGAAATCATTGGAAGTGACAGCTGAGAAGCCACCAAGGAAATCTTTGATTATTACTGATGCCAATAAAACGCCTTCGGATATAAGAAAAAGTCTTGAAAATCTTGATGAGAAGAAGACAACACCACCACCAGTATTAAGTAAAAAACCGACAGTTCCAATAAAGAAATCACCGTCAGTGTCGACTGTTGCTGGAAGTATTTTCAGTGGTTTAAAGTCAAAAGTTAAAAGTGTTGAAAGTAAACTTCATTCATCAGCATCAACAACGACAGCAAATCATGATGGAATTGATGGTATTGGAAGTAGTAAATTGACAGGTGCTGCTCATGTTGCTGATACAAACGAGAAAGGTGTCATCGGTGAAAGAATGAAGAAAGATGAGAATGAGTTTGATCATGTTGAACGTGGCAGTTCAGTACTTCAAGATGTTCGTCAGAATCGTGCCAAAGCGCCAAAACGTCGACCACCAACATCAGCTGGAACTGTTATTGGTGATTCAAATAATAATGTTAACATGAATGGAAGTCATCACATTGAAGATGTGGCAGAACCAAGTTCTCCTGTTCCAGCACCTGAAGAAGAGCTTGCAAAGCCAAAAGCACGTGAATGGGAGAAACATAAAGCGCCTTGGATGGCTGAGTTGAAAGCAAACCAAGCAAAGAAAACATCACCAAATGTTGAAGCGAAGTCATCACCTGACGAAGAGAAACAGGATATGAGTAAGTCATTTAGCAACAGTTCCTTTGGACAAAAGAAACAAGAAACATTTGAAGTTCGTGCCGCAAGTATGGAAGTGAAATCGACAAATAGTTTCGATGCTTTGAAGAAAGAGCAACCATTAACAACCATCAGCACGAGTATTGATTCAAATGCAAAGACAACAACGAAAATATCAATTACGGAAAATTCCAGTAGTGTCATGACATCGAAAGTCGAAGATAGTAATAATCACATTCGACCGACAAATGTGAGTCTGAGAAATCGTTCAATTTCACCAATCTCACGAACATCACTTAATCATGTCACAAAACCATCACCAACAAGTTCAGCAAACGTTACATCAACTCACATCACATCAGCAACAACATCGAATGATGTTAACACGCGTGTAAATGAGTTGGAACAGAAGGTAAATAAGTTGGAAACTTTAATTGTCACACAAAATTCAACGATTGATGAGCTGCGAAAGATGCTGAAAGATGAAAGTGAAAAAGTTCGATTGCTTAAAAACGATTTGGAGAAATATGCGCAATGCTTTACGCAGGTATGAAAGCATGTTGTTAGTTCTACACGTTGCGTCTTTTACGTCACCACCCACTCGTTATAACTTTTGTTGTTGTTTTGATATGCAAAGCTAATTTGCAATTGTAGAAAGTAAAGAAATGAAGTTTTTATGATAAAGAAAAAGTAAAGTTAGAAGATGGTTGAACATTCAGTTTTATTTTTGATCTGTTTGGCTTTTAAAAGTGGTTGACATTTGTAGATTCTTAAATCAACGACATACTTAGCACGTGCCTGGAGAAATTCATAAAAAATCTTCCTGTTGAGCCGCTCAAGTTTGTAGTTATTCCTCTAGTAGTTTTTGTTCCCTTGCACGAAAATTAGATTTCACGATTTGCTTCAGGAAAAGTTTTTGAATTTTGGATTAACAAAAATTTTGTTTTATTTTTCCTTCGCGGATTTCTTTTCTTAATTATCGGATAAAAGAAATCAAGTTCAAGAGAGTCTGTTGTAAGGGACAAGAAGCCAACTTCAAAAATATTTGTAAATAGTTTCAAGCATTGAGAATTTTTTGGTGACGACAAGAGTACTATCCGAGTGGAACCAACACACAAACATCAAACAGAAAAAAATTTATTTAATAAATTCAAAGTCCATAAAAGTATTTTTTTTCTATATTTTTTTAAATATAAATGATTTTTATGTTAAACATTTATTATCTTGTGAAACGATTAATACTTAATGATAACATGATTGATTGTGAAATAAGAAAACATATTTTAAAACAAGCCCGAGAGATGAGAGATATTTTTATTCCATTAGAATATTAAGGAAATAAAATCGCGAGACATTTTCTGGTCTCCAATTTTTCATACTATGATTTGCATAACATATTTTGATAACAAGATTTAAGAGTAAAGAAAATTGCCTGATTTGTTTGTGCTTCTTATGCAATTTAAAGTGATAACATGTTTATTAATATAAGATGAAAGTAATTTGATTAAAAACAAAACTGCTTTTTGTATAGTGAGTGACTTTTACATAATTTCTTTTGTCATGGAAAATTTATTTCCTTGATGATCAATTGAGAAACATCAAGTTTTGCTTTACAAATTGTACATAAGATTGATTTTTTCCGTAAACCTTCCAAATTTCTTATTTACTAAACTTCATTGCAATATCAATTACAACAGGGTTACAAATCAATTAATAATAAAATCTAATTTTCCTACCTAATGAATGCATTTAAGTAAATAAGATGAATGCTTAAAAAGTCCTTAAACTCACTAATTCATCTGAGAGACGTCAACTTTAACTCTCCAATCTTCTTGTGAATAAATAACAATCTTACGAGTATCGAAAATTTGAAGCTATTGGAAAACATTAACCACATTTAAACAAAATTTGGTCCAATTGATAATTCCATGTTTTTGTATACAAAAAACCGATCGACAAATTTATGATAAACATTCCTCGATAATCGATAAAATTTTCTTAAAAAGTTTTATGAACAAACTTTTTATGCTTTTCCAATTTTCCATTCCAATTCTTAAAAAATATAATTCAGCCTTTCAACGAAAACAAATTATTTTCCTTCGGGGAATAGTAAAATTATATGAGAAGTGACGATGATTTTATTGAATTCCATGATATGATAAGATATAAATTGCATAAGCATGATAGAAGTGAAAAAATAATAAAAAAAATAAATTAAACAAAACATAAATTGAGTTGATGTTTAATTATAAATTATTTGTTTTCTTCAGGAACTCGAAATATGTGGCAACATTTTAATTGAAACATTTCAACTTCATAATACCTGATTCGCTCACAGTGATAATTCTTTAATGAAAATTTCGAAAATATGAAAACATGTTTTCACTTTACTTCATATTTCTTGTGATGTTCAAAGCCTGGATTATGCTGATGGATTACGCTGGGGATCTTCATTTGTTTAGATGTGTGGCTGATTTGATGACAATTTAGGGTAGGGAATTCTACTATGGAAATTTTCTTTATTTTTAAAATTGTTAACTGCATAAATTCTCTGTTATCTAATCAAAAAAATGACAAAGAGTTATTAAAGTTAATTACTATGCTTAATACCGTATCGGCATATCGCACTCAATCTATAAATAGATAAGAACCGGATCCAGAAGAAAAACTTCAAATCAACACATTCATGCTCGCGTGATATAAACACACGAATATTTAGATTTTAGATTTAGTTTCTTTTCTGAAATTGTTTGTAAAGCATCATGGAACAATTGGCGGTATTTTTACAAACTCCTCCGTCGTGGTTAGACCAAAGTTTCTTTGAAAAAGTTATTAAGAAACATGAGAATGATCCAGACGGGCAAGTTATAGACTTTAAAGTAGTTCCGGGATCACAAATCGGCGATAATTTTGCAAGTGCTGTTTTCCGCTGTTCAATTACATACAAATCAAAGTATACGAAAGAACCGAAAGTTCTTTCTACATTTATTAAGGTTCAGCCACAATTTCCACCGGAAATGTCGCATTTCCAGAACGTTACATTATTTACAAACGAAATCGAAATGTTCTCTAAAGTGTTGCCTGAAATTCAATCACTTTGGACTTCAATTAATGACAAAGATATTCTTTGTCCGCAGTAAGTTATTAATCTTTGTAATTTGAAGACTTTTTTTTCTTAAAAAGTCAATTTAAGGTTGATTTACCAATCAACTGACCCCGCACTGGTTTTGATCTTGAAAGATGTAAGTGGCGATGGTTTTGCAATAACTCAGAAACCACCAGAGGATTACGAAGTCTCTAAGCGAATCTTTCGTCGATTAGCCAAATATCATGCCTCGACTTTCTTCCTTGCAAATGAAAAGGTTTAAAAGTTCTTAAATGTAATTTTTTTCATGGTCTTGATTGTAAATTTATTTTTAGAAATATAATTTTGAACACTTCAACTTCACCATGATTAAAAATCCTATGATGCACGGAATGTTCTCACAAATTTTCAACGCGTTTTGTGAAAATGCTAAAGCTTGGGATGGATTTGAAAAGTTCATTCCACATTTGGAAAATTTTAAAAAAGATTTGATAGAAAAAACTGGAAAAGTTTTTACAGCAAATACTGGCGAATTTTCGTTCAACATTTTGAATCATGCTGACTTTCATCTTAAAAATATTCTGTTTAAAAATAAGAGTGATGGATCGATGGAAGATTTTTATATCGTAAGAACACTTTTGAATGCAATTTTTGATATTTTACAATTAAAGTTTCTTCTTTAGATCGACTACCAACTTTGCTTTTACGGAACTCCAGCAATTGATTTAATTTACGCTCTTTACTATTTTGTTACGCCTCAGAATCGTCTTAAATACCGAGCCGAATTAATTGCATTATATTACGAAGAATTTGCTGATTCATTGAAGAAATTTGGCTATCTGAAGGCTCCACCATCACTAATCGACTTACAAGTTGAATTATTACGTAATGGTTCATTCGAAGTTGTTCTTGCAATTTGCATGAGTATTTTCTTTTTCATCGATTTCGGAAAATTGCGTGAGATGGGAATTGATTTCATCCCATCAGCGCCAGGTGAAGGAATGAAGAAAATATTTAATATTGTTGCTGGTTTTAAAGACAACATTCTGCAGGAATTACCACGATGGTGTTACAATGGATTCATTTGAGTTTAATAAAATTATTGTGCAGTATTCGATGTGAGCTTATAAATAATTGTCGTCGCATTTGACATTACAACTTAACTTTTATGCTAATAAATTAACAAAAACTGGTCGATTATTTATATTTTAATAAATAATTAATTATTTTATAACACTTCATATGTGTTGCTATCCAACTGGCTGTTAATTCTGTTTTTATCTAGAAGCGCGAGCAATTTTTTTTTCTCATCAACTTTACAATTCACCTTGAACATCAAACTGACATTCAAATATTCACTTTCGATCATATTCAACGAACGCTTCTAAACGAAAAAAAAAGTTGAATTAATATTCATTAACGCAGAATGAAAGTAAATAATTGAATTTCAAATTGCCGAACTCAACAACAAAATTAAATTCATTTAGTTTTGATCAATTTCGGAAAGTGGAAGTGTTAAAATAATGGCTGAAGTAAAAAAAAATCTTCCATCATCCATCTACGAATTCACAATAAAAGATTTGGAAAACAGAGACGTAGAACTATCAAAATATGATAACAATCAAGTGTTATTGATAATGAATTTTGCAACAAACGATGATTTGGCCGATAAAAATTTCCTAGAATTGCGGGATTTGAAGCAGAGATATCCTGATGGCAAGAATTATTGAATGGAGTTTATTTAAAGAAATTTCTTCAATGATCATACATCAACAGATATTTCCATTCTCCTTGTTCCGTGTAATCAATTTGGCAAGCCTATGCAAGAGAAAGAAAATTTGGAAATTTTTTGCTGGTGTAAATTTGAAGGAATCGAATTTGGAGACATTTTTTCAATGGCAAGTTTTATAATTTTATTCTTATTCGTAGACTCGCTTCATATAAATATTTAGGTTGATGTCAAAGGTCTAAACGCTCATCCTTTGTTCACTTTCCTGACTCAAGATGGACCAGAAATCAACTGGAATTTCACAAAGTTTCTGATCAACAAACGTGGCCAATTATTCAAACGCTTTGGGCATAAAGTTTCGTTTAATGAAATTGAAGATGCTTTAAAAATGCTTTTGTAGACAAAAATGACAGCCGAAATGAAGTTTCAACAATTTTTTGGGTACTTTAAAATAAGGTCAAAGTTTAAAAAATAAATATTTTACGAATTTCAAATATCTGTTTGTTCTTTTTTCCATTTATTTTATTAAACCATCACATTGCAATGTATGCATATAAAAGGCATTTGAATAAGGTTTTTCAAAATCTTTAGGAATTCTTACCCTGCATATTTATGGAGTGTTAATTTCCTGATTAGAATTTTCTAAATTGCTTTATCCTTTCAGAAATATTCATAAAGTATGAACACTTGCAGATGCTTTCCAACAGTTATGAGAAAATTGTTTATTGATGGAATGTTTGAAGTGCAATATGAAATGTTGATGCTGGCTGTTGTGGTACTAAATTATGATTATTTTCGTTGATTCCCAAACTATTAACATTTTAATTAGAATTGTCATTGAAAAAGGTTTTTATTCATCAAAACGTTGAATATTTATTCCATGTTTACTAACTCTGAGACAAGAACCAATTAGGCGCAATTAATTAATAGTGATACAACTTCTTTATTGTCATTAATATTTCCGCTTGCCTCAGTGTGTTCATAGTCTTACATGCATTGTTTAATTTCATTTTCCATATACAAGAATAAATTTCTATGACTGAAGCGTTCAACCTTCTGTCCACTTTTACTAACGAGAAACTTGTGATAATTCCAAGAAATTATACCAGGTCGTTCTCGTTTAAGATATTTGAAAAGACCGTCCGCCTCTGTTCCATTCACACAAACCATTGCAAATGTTTCAGCAAAATCCACATTTTCCCGATCCAAAAAACCAATGATTTCTGATGAATCCTTTTGAGGCATTCCCATAAACTGATTCGATGGAAAGAATAAAATTGCGAGATCTAAAATATCATGCAAATGATGATGAATCTTCTAAAAATAATATTTTGTTGTTAAATTGTTCTACCATTGGAAAACTTTTTTTTCAAAGCCCGAAGTCTCGCAAAATTTTCTTTCATTAATTTACATTCTGATGCTATATTAACAATTAACATGCACTTTCCTCGATATTTATCCAATTTCACATCATTACTATGAAGATCTTTTACCGTAATATCGTAAATTGATGTTGGAATTTCTACGTCTGTCATCATTTTTAAGAAAACTATTCACACCGAGTTTTAAGTTTTGAATGAAAAAATGTTCATAGTATACGACTAAATATAGGTACAAGTACGACATAACAACGCAGACTAATTAATTATACATAGTCTTGTACGTTTATATTATTTACTGTTTTTATTGGCTAGCCAACGTGAAAAGTTCAAGTTTAAGTCGAATTACTGAAAATAAGGAAACAAATTGATACAGTTGACAAAGTATTGAAAATTATCGAATTTAATGTTTAAAAATATTTGATGAACAAGAAAACTTTTATTTTTAAGGATTTTCCAAATGTTTAGTTCCTTTTTTATGTAGCTAATTGTCAAAATCAAAACTAGTCTGATTTAATACATTTATGAAACTGATTACCTGATTCTAAATGTTGAAATTCTTAATCGAAGTATTTATGTCACACATTGAAATTATTTCTAATTCATTTTAAAAGCTTTTATTTAGCTGTCTAGTTCATTCTCTTTTTGTAATTTTTCTTGTCTCTTAAAATTTTGAAGCGACATCTAGTGGTGAAAAGCAGAAATTTTTAATAATCTTTTTAACAATACTTTGTAGTAGGTATTAAGTCAGTGAAAGCTTTCATAAATTGAAAATTGAATATTTTAATTTGTTATTTATTATTCTAAAGGGCTTTTTATAGATTAAACAAAAGATTACAGATGACAACTTTCTTGAATAAACCCTCTTGTACATATCTATATATCTATCTACATATTTAATTTTAAATGAATACAAATGAATTGTTTTACTTCTTATAATTATGCAAATAAGAACTGAGCTATTTATAGGAAAATTCATTGAAAATGTTTACTTACAGCATATTTACAAAAAACAAAACGTCGTTACTTAGAAACATATGTTGATTGTTAGTTTAAAATACTTTTTGTATTTATTTATCCTTCATCTTGGCCCCAAGCAAAATTGCCTTCATTCCTTTTAAGCTTGTGCTGTCAAGACGTTTCAATTTCCTTTATTTTCCTCCTTCTACAAAAATATCAAGCTTCATGAAGTTTCAGTAAATATTTTATTTTTCAGTTATGATCCTTACTGTCAGAAAGAAAAGGAGTAAAAACATTTCTGACATCACTTTAATTATTTCCTTCCATATCAACCCATTGAAGATGATGTGAATGCAGTTTAAAATTTTGTTGTCTGATACAATGAATTGTTCTTCGCAATCAATTTTGATATCGCAAGTTTAATTTTTTTACTTATGCTTGCTGGGCAATATCACATTCATGTTGAATCTATTTAAGGAAATTGTTTAATCTTAATCTTAACAAGTAAAAAACTTTAAGTCTTTCATCTTGCAAATTGCAATAAATATTGCTTTAATAATTGAATAAGTTAATTCACTCTTTTTTCTATGGCTTAAAATTCATCCATTTGAGAAAATCATTTTAAAGTGACAAATAATTTTGTTGTTTATAAAACGCTTTCGGATACAATTAAAAACACATTTTGTGAAAGCTTCGAAATATAAATAAATTACAAACGAGTTTTATGTGTATATTTTCATTTAATTACAGTATGCAATGAAATGTAAACATTAACTGAAGCTGTGGGGAAAATATCTGTCTACTTCAGCCCAAGGGAAAAAATTCTGTGAAATATTGCGCCCCGTGATATTTAATTATCCGTGGCAATTTCCACATGTCATCCCAAATTTACATTTTTTAACAAATAAATGATGTTAATGGACATTGATTGAATAATGAATAAAAAAAAGTTATTTTGTCAGGTCTCGAATATAATAAAATTAAAGTTTGAATTAAATTTTCTTCAGTGTTGTTCAAATGAAACTTTAGTTCACTGAAACAACCCTTCGTTCTGGAAATGAATTATGAATTAATAATGAACCCTAATTGGGCATCTGATAATAATTTATCTTAATTTCAATTAAATTGAAAATTATGATATCACAAACTTGACTGATTTATATATGATAAAATTAATAATTTATATCTCGTTCCGAGAGGTCAACCCTTTGATTTATGATATTAAAATATGAGAATAACATTAAAGATTGTTCAATCTGGTATATGATTTCAATATTTAGTTTTGAATCACGAAAAGTTTTCAAAATAGTTTCTATCTCATGTGCCAAACTTAGACATTCAATTTAACAAGATAATTTTGTGGAAACTCAAAGAGACATTCGAGAAGTTTAATGAAAACATCTTTCTTGTGATATGAATAATTTTCTAAACATTAGTCTATCTCATTTGAATATTAAATTTACTCCACTTAATGTAATCTGATGTGAACATCAATAATGAATGTAAACAAGCCCAGCTCATTTATGTTATTTAGAATTAATGAATTATGTGAGTATATGGTGAAATGAAGGAATGATAAGAAAATATAAAATATTTAGAAATTCAAGAATGAACTGAATTAAGACTTTTGACTTATTCATCAAGAATATAAGAGGAAAAGATATTTGAAAATTTTATTCAATTCGTTTCAATTCTTAAGAAGAATTTTTATTTGTTTCATCAACTTTTCTGTTCGTTTCTGTTTTTCAAATTATGAAAATAACTTTTCCTCCGTCAACACAAATTTTCCTTTACTTCTCTTGTTTACAAAGCCGGAAAAACTGGAAAGATTAAAATAAATTAAATTAAAATTTTCAAATGATGGGTTCAACGCAAATTTTCGCCGCCAGCAATATAATTAAAAATTTTAATGAGATTTTGTTTCGAAATTGAATTTAATAAAATATCGTCTGAGTCAGTCTGAGTGAATTGAGTGGAAAGTCGATTAATATTGGAGGTGAACTCTTTACAATAACAACGCTTAACTGATAATATGAGTTTGTAATTAATTCCGAATTAAATGAACTGGAAACTAAATGTTAAATTAACCACACGAGAAAAGAGTCGTTTGCTGACGCAACAATACACAAATCTACTCGCAAATAAATTTTAAATAGATAACAGAATAAATTATTATCGAGATAAAATATCTGGTAAATATTGACTCAATAAATATATGAAATCATTGTTCATCATCGATGTTTTTTTTGTTTTCAACAACCCAACGCTTGTTATTATCGAAAAATGTCTCTTGAGAACAATTTAAATGAAAAGATTTGGTGATTGTTTCAAAATTGATTTCATTTCTTTATTCTTATCAATTGAACTCTAATTAAATAAGCATTACCATAACACTTACCACAAGTACATAGTTTAAACTTAACACTTTTCACTTACATATAGAATTGTCAAGTGACACTCATTTCGATTTAACCTCATGAAAATTATTAAAATCATTTCAAATCAATCAACAAATTTTAAAGGACCGAAGATTAATTTTTACTTAATCTCAATTTTCTTGTAGCAAAAAATGCTTCAAAATATCAAAGCTTTAATATTTTATGTTATACAATTAGGTATCTATTTAATTTATTTTATGTACCTAATTCAGAAAACAAGATTTTCAATTTGTTTAAAAAAAAAGTTTTAATAGATGTTTAAATAAGTTGAACATGAAATGGATTGTTGGGGTGATATTATTTAATACTTTCCTAAATATCTACACAAGTGCATACTCACATATTGCATTCAATATTATTTATATAAAACCTTTATGCAGATAGCCTGGCAATTCTTTTTTAATCATTTCCAAAAATTCAGAGTTTCTGTACAATTTCTTTTTAGCATCTTTCATACCGTCACCCATTGGCATATCTTCAGAAGTCATTGTCGAAAAGTCAATATAAAAGAAAATCGTCATACAAAGCGCAATCAAAACTTCAAGGTGCCCATTCCTTAGCAATTCGATTTGTACATCAATCAATGATGGTGGGCTTTTAAGGTAACCAAAACTTTTCAAAGATTTCACAAGTTGTTGATGATAAGTTGCGATTAATTCATCTCGGTGGTTAAGACGGTTTTGAGATGAAACCATAAATTGAAGGCAGTAATTTAAATCAATCGCTGGTGAGGCGAAAACACAAATTTGAAAATCAATCTGTAAACATAAGCATAATTAGCATAATTAATTACTTGTTAGGAACCAACATAAACAAATGAAATCTTACAAAGCAGAACTTTTCAACTTTGTCTTCGTCGTTCTTTTTAAGCAACAAATTTTTAGTATGAAAATCACCATGATTTAAAACATTAAATGCATGTCCTTTCGATGAATAACTTTCTAGGGCTTTATTCAAATATGTTTTCTTGAAAGCTTCAAGTTTTGGAATGAAACGTTCGAAACCTCCTTCTTCCTTTGCAACTTCAATGAATGCATCAAGTCCTTGATCAAACATCATATCAGCCATCGTTGGAATTTGAAAGAGGCTGCCGTTAAAGTTTCCATAATCCAATTTCTGTAATTAATAATCAGTTGTTAAATGTTTCTTATTTTTGAAATTCTAATCTTCGTACTTTTTCATCAAGCAAATAGAAATTTGAAGCATGAAACTTCGCTAAACGACGAAAAATATCTTTACTAAACTCTAAATCTTCAAGTGGTTTCCCAACAATGCCAAATCCTTGAACACTCAAATCTTCTAAAATAATCAAAGGTACGGGCTCGGTTGATTGATAAATCAATCTGAAACACATTTTTCTATCTAGTGAACTTTATGAAATTATTACACAATTTACTTGGGACATAAGAAATCATCATCGCCGATTGATGACCAAAGTTCTTTAATGGCTGGCAAAACTTTTCCATACATTTCCATCTCGTTGCGGAAAAGTGGGTATTCATTCAATACATCATGGACACCCTCAATTCCACTGACCAATTGTGTCTTGATAATCAACGAGAGTTTCTTTGATTCATTCTTTGTAAACTTTGATTTATAAGAGATTGTTCCACGAAAAAGAGAACTCGCGAAATTATCACCGGGGTTTGATCCGGCCTTGACATTAAATTCTTCAACTTTGGCCTTTGGGTCATTTTCCATGTGACGGATGACCTTGTCAAAAAAACTTTGGTTCATCCATTCCGGAACTATTTTAGCAAAATTAAAAACATCAGACATAATTACACTGAAGCGAGATTTTTTCAAACCACAATTTACAAATGCTTATTGAAAACTAAAATATTTTTAAAATTGCGTGTAGTTTCTTGATTTGATGTCATGATGTGTGATGTAAAAATAAAAACTTGTACATATAAAGATAGATATGAACGCTATTGTCTGTGTAGATATTTAGTATTTTATTTTCTATTCTTTTATTCCTTGATATCACTTCAGATTCTCAAATGTTTGTGGCTGTGTGTCGCGTGGCTGATAAGTGGATTTGATTACTTCGCATTTTCTATATATGGAAGTCATTTTCACAAAGATTAATTCTAGACTTTTTACTGTTTAAGCACAAAAACTCATTAACTCAAGTGTAATTCTACAATTAAGTATAAAAATTATAATTAATTAACCTTTGGAAAACTCAGGATGAATAAATAAAGCATCATATTACAAAGCATAAAAGTGTAACAAAATATTAGACATCTTATCTAAAAACAACATTTTCAAAGAACTAATTAAGAATGTTTAAAAGCTTCTGAAAATTTAGCTTAAAGCACTTTAATAAAGTTTTCATAATTCTTTGGAAAATTTCTTTCTCATGTTCATTTTTGTTAAATTAGGCGAATGATAAGAAATGCCCGTTGGGTTTGCGCTTAAAATTTAAATTTTCGACTATCGACAATCGGTCGATTTACTGAGAATTTTCACACATTCAATACATTATTATCTTCGTATTTCTGTGTTTACATTTTAGTTTTGTTTCCACTACGTGCTACTTTTTTTGAAATTTCTTTTTTAATCATATTTACAAAGTATTGCAGAAAAGTTATAAAGTACATTAATGTTTGAAAAAGGATATGGAAGATAAGCTTGAAGAATATAGATTACGAAAAAGAAGACAAAAAGTTGTTGAAGGATTTAAGGAAAGAATTTTTAAAATGATAGCATTTAGCACGTCACAAAATAATGAAAGTTCTAAAGACACAAATGTTGAGATAGAGGAAGTAAGTTACATTAGATACTTTTTAGTAATATGAAGTACATGTATTGGAGTCAAAGACATGGTAATTAGCATTACAATTTTCAATTAATTAGACCGCTAAACAAGACGAAATCGATATTCAATCATTGTCAACAGACACTGAAATAACAGAATCAACAGAACCTGCTCCCCGTTCTTGGCTTACTTACTGTACCTGGCTCATCTACTTTCTCATTTGGGCAACACTTTTTGCCATCGCAGTAGAACTTAAATTTGGTTCAGTATTTTTCATCATTTCACTTTTAATTGGCATCTGTATCAACACACGAGTTAAACCAAAAGGTGTGAGAGAAGTCAGTGCTTACAGTGTTTTCAATGAAAATTGTGAAGCAATCGATGGAACGTTTAAGGCTGAAATGTTTGAAAAACAATTGGGATTAAGGCGTTTATAAAAATTTTATAAAAAAAAGTTCTCAAAGAATTTTTGTGATGTTTCGAAAAAATCAAATGAAAGAATAAATTTCGAATGATTTAATTTCTTGTATAAATTTCCAATTTTTTATTTCATGTTATAATAATCTTATTTTTAATTATATGTTTTTAAAAGCAAAGTCTTTTATCGATAAGCCTCAGCTGAAACAATTTCATATTCAATTTAATTTTAAGCGTTGCAATAACTCTGAAAGCGTTCATTATTTATACGGCGAGGTCATCATATCAAATATCAAGAAAGAATCAGAAAATATTTATTTAACATCCATTTTATTCGCGTTCTTTACAGCTGTCATAAAACCATGAAAGATGAGAAATATCCAAACATAATCAAGACAGGAAGTGGAGTCGACATAACAATAAAATTAAACAACTCTTCATAAAGCTCTTTCAAATAAAAATGTTTCTTCGTTTTCCATGACCTCAGATGATGTGATTATTTGTTATGAGTATTAAGGAGACGAGGGACATTTCATTAAAGCTTTTCTCAACACTTAACTTAATATCTAGAAATAACCGAATGTTTCTTTTGTGTTCACGAAAATTCCCCGGACAAAGTAAATACTTCCGGTAATTGTGGTGTCGCATCACGTATTCCAATTCCCATTGAGAATCATAAAAAGAAATAGAAAATTTATTATGATCATCCAGTTGTGAAAAATATGAACTCAATTGATGAAACGTTTCGATATTTAATGTAACAACATTAACCTCGATATTTAACTTTATAACTCTCCAACAGGTACTCGAAGGTAATAAAAATTTTCCCTTCTACATGTTTTTGACCAGTTTTCATAAACATTCTTCCTTTTTAATATTCGTATCCAATTTCATTTCTGCGCAAACAACAAACAAAGCAAATAGAGATAAAATATTCCAAAATAACATATCGTTTATTCGATTTGAAATTAAACACAGGCAACGATGCAATTTTCCTGAAGCAGTGAACTTGCAAAAAAAAACTTTTGTTTGAGGAATTATGTTCAATTCCAATTTAAACTTGTTCATAAATTTATTCACATTGTGAAAAGTTTACAATAATATTTGTAAGCTTTTGTCATGTACTATTGAATAAAATTTGATGAAACGTCTCTTCCTACATCAGTGACAATAAATTCAATTAACTTAATTAATGAATAATGAAAAGTTTTTCTTCTCAAGTTGTTGAATTCCCTTGATGGTAATTAGGGTGTTGCAAAATATTAAATTGATTTTGCTTTGAATCAAACTTCTTCATGAAAAGGAAACCACATGAAGCTAATTTACATGTCATCATTAATGAACGTAATAATTACTAAAATTAATATTTCTAATAAGTTCATGAAAATTTCAAGGGAATAATTATAATGAAGTACTTATTAAAGACAAACTTTGTTTGATTAACAAGTCAATTATTGTAACCACCTCAAAATAGAGAGCAGGAAGACGATTTCATATCACAATACATTGCATAAAGTTCAAAGTTAAAGCGCATGATCCAACGCACGAACATGTGTTCGAAGTTTCTGTTGTGTGTTTGGCAATGAGAGAGAAATTGCTGTGAATTTCCTTCATGTTAGAACGAGAAGTTCATGTAAACATGAAAATTTTCTCTCATCACTGACACACAATCAAAGAGCTTTTCTCAATTTCTCGAAGAATATTTTTAGTCTTTCTGTTTCGACGTTCATAAAGTTTAATCATTCAATTCGAGAGGTTTAAAAGACATCAACATCCTGCGAGAAATTAGAAAAATATTTTCCTCCATTCAATCGTCGTCAGTAGCTGTGAGTTTAGTGTTGTGACAAATTGTGAAGAAGTTTTGAGTCAGAACTTCATTTAAAGCGAAAGAAACACTTGAACTACATTCAGCTCTGCACGAGTGATTCAGCGTTGTGAAAAAGATCAAATAAAAGTGAATTTTCTCTCTTGAATCTCAAATCTCCTTTCACAAGTCGTGATAAAGACAAAACTCAGTAATCGAGGAAGCAGCTTTTCGAATGTACGACTTCGTTTGTTTGCATAAATAATAAATTCAATAACGACTTAAGCTTGTCACCAGACTCTGAAAATGTGAAGGCTGAGTGAATCAATTTCATAAGCTCAGTAAGGCGTTAAATTATTTCGATTTCATTTATCAGCTTATTGTGCAGTGCTCGGAAGAAGTGGTGATGAAGGGCAAGAGATAGAAGGATAGAAAATCGAAAAAGGATGAAGAAAGTTTGAATGTGAAGCGTGAACTCGTTGTTGTAATCGCAAGACGCAAAGTAAAAAGTCAAGAAAGGATAAAAGAAGTAATTTCCGTCCCCAACCAAAACAAGCCATGAAAAGCATGAACACAAGAAAGGGAAAATGTGAAAAGTGTTAGTGAATCTAATTTTGATAAAGGTCAGATTTTCGGTAGAAGATAAAAGGCGAACAAAGTTTCCTTAATTATGTCGCACGAAGCACAAGTGACGAGTCATGAGAGAAAATAGATTTAACATCGAAAAGTGCAATTGGTAAGTTAAGCATCGTTGAAAACAAAAGAAAATTTTCAATTCATCCAAAATTCAAATAGGCTTTTAAAAGAAAAGCTTTCCATTTACAAATTTATGTTGATGGCATACAAAAAGAAATTCTCTGTTTGATATATTGAAATGAATTTGAAAATCAAACGAGCAGAAGTTCATTTCACCTCATTGATAATCAAATGTTAATCGTTTCGATATCAAGACCGAGTTTCACGTTCAATGAAAGAAAAATAAGTTCTCGCTCATAAATTTCACAACGGGAATGATTGATATTAAAAGCTTGGTAGCGACTCGATGTCGCAGTCATCTTGCTATGACAATATGGAATTTATGGAACATTCACGATTTTGCTGACTTTAAAGTTTTTAACGCGAAAATAAAATAGAAAAATATTGCCTGATATAAAAAATAATTTAAAAACGTTTCGTCAATAAAGCTTCGAATCATGTTTTCTTATGTTTAGAGACNAATTTTTGTTAAATTATTTACTGATTAAAAATGTTATAAATAAAATTTATTTGATTAAGAATGAAATAAAAAATGAGGTTTTTATGTTGGTAAGGTAGATGAATTGTTTTTTAATTCAATTTAAAATAATATCAATGGTTAACATCAACATACTTACATGCAATGAGATCAAAAGGAGTGCTGTGGATCTAAACCAACCAAACCAAGTATAAATTTATGAGTTAAACGGAAGTTTACAGCTTGTGTTCGTGCAGAGCATAGTGAAATGGAAATATTATTGCAAGTTTTCTTCAATACTCTATCCATATGCATCATTTCATTTTTCCGATAAATATTGTTTATTCAGAACACGTTTGAAAGTAGTTGATGCATGTCTGATGATAAACCTCCTGCATAAATTGACTTTTCCTTCTTTATAATTTAAATGCTTCGTTGCAATCATGATCCGAGTTGTCAGTTGACGATAGTTGAACTTTTTAATTTCCTGCAACTATTTCTTTCTAAAGACAATTAAATCTTGTTAGAAGTTTTTCAACTAGAAAATTTAATTAAAATTGTTGTCACAAATTTGCTTGTACCAGAATTGCGACAATCACGCACACCTCATAATCGTTCAATTGATTTGTATTTGTTAACAAGTGAAATATTTTATCTTTGTTCATTCTACGTGATTTATTACTGGCACAATGCTGTGATGATCGAATCGGTAAAATAATCGCTTGACACATAAAACACCATCAGGATATGTGGCGATGGTTATCGATGGACCAAAAGTAATCAATAAAATCGTCTACGTCCGGTAGTTTGTTACGTTGTAAGATTTATTTTCCGTCAGCTATAACAATTCTATTTCCTTTAAGTACACAGGAAAAGTCATTAAAAATGTGTTGGTTGACTGCCCCAACAAAAGCATCAATCAGAAATTGTTAAATAATTGTGCTACTTTGTCAATGTTCAACGTTTATTTATTGATGAAATTTATACGTGTAGGTGGGGAAACAAGATAAATATTATGAGAAGAGTTTGCCCCAAATTAGATATAAATTTAACATTAAAGAAAAATAAAGTAAAATCTAGTTAATTTCAATGCATTCCACTCTACATTTAAATACGCTTCATAACTTTTAATAATTAATTAAAACATTTTTACCATCACAATTCGTTGCTTAGTTTCGTGGTGGAAAAACTTTTCTATTCAAATATGCAGATATCTACAGCAATACTTGAACTAGTTATTGATTTATTTTATGTCCAAAGGATATTTATTTAAGTTCAGTTCATTTATAAAAAATTTAACCGCTGTACATAAATCATGTATGCAATGCAATTAAATTCCTAGCGATACAAATCTTAACATTTTCATTAACATTACTGTTTTAATTATTTATTAAATGATATATCACTTAAACACAAAGAAAGTGTTTGTTAAGTAATCAAGTTTCAACTTTTACTTACTGAAAAGACAACAATGTCTTCACCACACCGACAAAATCAAATTTAATTTTCATACCAACAACTCCCTGAATCTTAACAATGAATCAGACAAAACATTTGATTGACTTTATTATTATTGTAACCACCTCAAAATAGAGAGCAAGAAGACGATTTCATATCACAATAAAAATGCATAAAGTTCAAAGTTAAAGCGCATGATCCAACGCACGAACATGTGTTCGAAGTTTCTGTTGTGTGTTTGGCAATGAGAGAGAAATTGCTGTGAATTTCCTTCATGTTAGAACGAGAAGTTCATGTAAACATGAAAATTTTCTCTCATCACTGACACACAATCAAAGAGCTTTTCTCAATTTCTCGAAGAATTTTTTAGTCTTTCTGTTTCGACGTTCATAAAGTTTAATCATTCAATTCGAGAGGTTTAAAAGACATCAACATCCTGCGAGAAATTAGAAAAATATTTTCCTCCATTCAATCGTCGTCAGTAGCTGTGAGTTTAGTGTTGTGACAAATTGTGAAGAAGTTTTGAGTCAGAACTTCATTTAAAGCGAAAGAAACACTTGAACTACATTCAGCTCTGCACGAGTGATTCAGCGTTGTGAAAAAGATCAAATAAAAGTGAATTTTCTCTCTTGAATCTCAAATCTCCTTTCACAAGTCGTGATAAAGACAAAACTCAGTAATCGAGGAAGCAGCTTTTGTACCGAATGTACGACTTCGTTTGTTTGCATAAATAATAAATTCAATAACGACTTAAGCTTGTCACCAGACTCTGAAAATGTGAAGGCTGAGTGAATCAATTTCATAAGCTCAGTAAGGCGTTAAATTATTTCGATTTCATTTATCAGCTTATTGTGCAGTGCTCGGAAGAAGTGGTGATGAAGGGCAAGAGATAGAAGGATAGAAAATCGAAAAAGGATGAAGAAAGTTTGAATGTGAAGCGTGAACTCGTTGTTGTAATCGCAAGACGCAAAGTAAAAAGTCAAGAAAGGATAAAAGAAGTAATTTCCGTCCCCAACCAAAACAAGCCATGAAAAGCATGAACACAAGAAAGGGAAAATGTGAAAAGTGTTAGTGAATCTAATTTTGATAAAGGTCAGATTTTCGGTAGAAGATAAAAGGCGAACAAAGTTTCCTTAATTATGTCGCACGAAGCACAAGTGACGAGTCATGAGAGAAAATAGATTTAACATCGAGTGCAATTGGTAAGTTGAGCATCGTTGAAAACAAAAGAAAATTTTCAATTCATCCAAATTCAAATAGGCTTAAAAGAAAAGCTTTCCATATACAAATTTATGTTGATGGCATACAAAAAGAAATTCTCTGTTTGATATATTGAAATGAATTTGAAAATCAAACGAGCAGAAGTTCATTTCACCTCATTGATAATCAAATGTTAATCGTTTCGATATCAAGACCGAGTTTCACGTTCAATGAAAGAAAAATAAGTTCTCGCTCATAAATTTCACAACGGGAATGATTGATATTAAAAGCTTGGTAGCGACTCGATGTCGCAGTCATCTTGCTATGACAATATGGAATTTATGGAACATTCACGATTTTGCTGACTTTAAAGTTTTTAACGCGAAAATAAAATAGAAAAATATTGCCTGATATAAAAAATAATTTAAAAACGTTTCGTCAATAAAGCTTCGAATCATGTTTTCTTATGTTTAGAGACAACATAATGGAAGAGAAATATCTAATTTCAAGTATCGACAAACAATCTTTGAGGTGGCAAATTGTGTAACATTCTTTATGTGATTTATTGTTTATCCACATTGTCGCTTTCACATAAGGCATCAACTTGATAGCAAATAATGTTGCCAAATGCAGCTGAGTCATTTACTCCCGATATCTGATAAAAATGATTTTCCTTAATATTATTCTTTCGATGACTTTGCTTATTGTTGTTTGCTGATATATTGATCGATTTGTAGATTTTATGGTGTTTAGTTGGAGATGAATATGCAAGAAATCTTTTTCCGAAAGGTTTGAATAATTAGAAATTCGCAGAGAATGTCTTGAATTAAATTATTTTGGCAAACTGTTGAGTCTCTGAATAAAATGATGAGAATCTATCAGCTGCCACGGATAATCTTAAACTTCTTATCCGATTTCTCTACAACTTTTATTGAATCATTTCTTCTATTCAAGTTTTTGAACCTGTTCTACTTTTTCTTATCTTTTCACAGAATCGAGAAAACGGAACGTTATTGCCGTATTAGAAGAAGTCAACTTTAGATAAGTATCACATGAACACAAATGACTCCTTTGAGCTTATTGATTCTTTCAGACACGTTTTTTTATCACCCGTTTACAGATTACTTCTTCATCAAAAAAGGAAATTCGACTAAATTACTTTTAGGACTTCGAGGCGACATGCTTAGAAACGTTTTCAGTTGCTATAGAAATTTATTTTTTATTTAGTCACCATGGAGATTATCCAACATTAAATTCAATATTTTCTTTTTTTTATGAAAAGAAATTCCACGAAGGAGAAAATTCTTTGAAAACAAAAATGGATAAAATTACTGAAAAGGAAATAAAACAATTGACTGAAGATTGCCTTAGCAAAATCAAATCTGACGATCTGTATCGAATTCGAAACGATGCTAAATTGAGAGCTGTGAACTTCTCAAAAACCTACGATGAATTCAAGTTGAAATTTTATTACTTACAAACCATTTCCGAATAATCTTTTTGTTCAATCTGATTCTCTTTTCAATTTCAGAGACATTGTTGATGCAGCACACTTACAGCCTCTAACGCGTAAAGACAAGATGAACCCACAAACCACGAAATCTCGTTGGAATCCATCAATCTAAGCTTGATGTTGTGTTTATCCATGGAGTCTGAAAAAATATTTTCTTACTTAAAAATCAATAAATTAATTTTCCCTCAAATTTTGTGACGCAATTAACATAATCATGACAATTTTCAATTGAGATAATTATCTTGTTCTGAACTTTTATAACCATTTAGATAAGCTTTTAGTTGATTGTTTTTAATTATTAATAAAGTTATAATCACTTAAACTTGAATACAATTTTGAATTTGGTATTTCCAAGAAATTTCGGCAGCTTAATTCTCAATAAATTTATCATATCGAAAAGTTATTCAAAGTGCTGAAAATTCAAAACATTTCGACTGAAGTAACATCAAATTGACGATCTGTTAATTCAATATCCAAGTCAGAAGTTGAGTTTTCCTTCCATTTCTCTTGAGAAATTCTCATGAAAATTAATGTCGGTAATATCAGTAATCTGAAAGAATCTGGAAAGAAGCCCATCGAAATAAATTTAAATGTGAAAAGGAAATGGTCAATTTGGCATGTGCCGAACCTTTCGACTCAAGACCAAAAGCTCTATAATAGAGAGCATTGCTAACCAAAGGAAATAAAGAAAGAGCAGAAGGTGCCTTTGAATGGTTAAAAGTTTAAATTGCTTTCGTTCTTCTTCTAAAGCTTCCATTTGACCCATTTTGTTGAGTAAACAAGAGAAAATTGTGAACAAGTAGAATGAGAAAAGTTATGAATTTTCCTTTTTATTCTGCATTATTTTAAACATTGTTTCAAAAAGATTTCATCCAGGAATTAATTTTTTTAACTTATAATAAGAGATGATTAACTTTAATGGCTTTTCATCAACAAACCAACATTAGACTACAGGGAATATAATTTTACCTGAGCTTGCGAGATAAGAGCTTCAATTATTTACAGCCGTGGTTTCTTCGTGATGTCTTATTCGGCAATAAAATTAATCACCACTATAAGTAAACGTAAACAAGAAGTTTAACTTCAGTTTATATTCTCCACAATCACAATCGAAACACTTTTCATTTAACTAGTGTCTATAACAAAACCAAAGAAAATAATAAACAAAGAAACTGGTTTGAAACATATCAAGCAAAAATCTTGGATTTTAAATGCACATCAGTTCTACTTTCAACGTAAGAGAAGTTGTAAGCAGAATAAAACTTTTTACTTTTCAAAATGAACATCATTTCAATATTTACTTTTTGTTATTTACTTCTTACATTCACTTATTCAGGTAATTTGAAAAGTTTCAACAATTGAATTATTTCAACAATTTAAAGACGTTTCTTCAAATAAATTTTAAAAATTTATTAAACAAGATTCTGCCTCTGTGAAAGTGGGACTAGAAAGTAAACGAGAGAAGAGAACATTACAGAATAATTCAACAATAATTGAAGTTCTTTTTTCAACTACGACAGAACAAATATTAACTGTTGATACAACTACTAAGCCTACAGTTCCAGTAAGTGGAGACGAAGGAACTGAAGATCAATATGAGGTTTGATTTCAAACATTATAAACCCAAAATAAAAACAAATATTTTTCAGAAAGTCGAAGGTAATATTAAAGAATCTAGCTTTGGATATTTTATGAATGAGAAGGTCTCCAACTTACTGTCTTAGGAATGTTTAAGAATATTCCACTCATGATTATTAAAGATATAAAAAATCTTTTCCTTCCCTAGAATTCCTTTCGATTACGAACATGGACGAAATAGGAAATGAGAACCCTCCGAAGAATACATCAATTGAAATTGTGAATCGATTCGAATTTTATGATGAACTTTCAGGCATAAGTGCGGCATGTGTAGCGTCATTGTGTGGAATAGGCAAATGAAAGAATAATCAACTATTGTATACAATTTTTAATAATAAAACAATTAAATATACCATCATTTCTTTGTTATTATTATTATCCTCCCAACACCAACAATACTACGATAAAATAATTTATGCAGCTTAACTTTGACTGCCACCAACTCAAACAAAGTCAGACTCCATAAATTTTCAATGTAAATTTAATGCAAATATTTTTCTTAAGCAAACTGAAGAAGGGAAAAGTTTCTTCTTTGCTTGGAGTTATAGCCGTTCCCTAAAATAAATTTCACGTATTTAATTTAATTTATTTTTATTCGTCTCCTGTCGAGTCCTAAAGCAATCTTGCTATGCTTTTCATCGTCGTCTGTCAAGATGTTTCAATTTTATTTTCAAGTCATTATTCCACTACATTTTTCCTCATGATGTTGTCAGCAGAAGAATCTCAGATGGAAGATGAAGATAAGAGCAAGTAGTTGAAATAATTTCCCATTTCTCGACTTTGTCTCGACAACAATAAATTCAATTTGTTGAGAAAGAAATAAATGCTCACCAGCCACCCAGAACTAATGCAACAAGTCTTGTGAAACTTATTTCTTAAAGAATTTACAACAACACTTTGAAGCTCAATTTGTCAAAAGCTATTAAAGGAATTTGCTTTCGCTTGATGATTCGAATTCGAATTAAATATATAATGTGAAGAATTTTAATTAAATATTTTCCTGGACATGAAATAAACAACAAAGTAAGTAATAAAACAGAAAATTGTTTATTATTCACAATATTTAAAGATATCACAACAACAAAAGTAGAAGCTAAGAGAACATCGCTCTATGTGTATACACATCCATACAAATCTTATGAAAGATTAATATTTCATTGTCACTTATCGTCGGAAAAAGTTCATCTATCAAAAGCAACATAAACCGGAAGGCATACATTATGTTTGTTAATTAATATTCAAACATTCAGAAGCTTTCAGAAAAGGTTCCTTGGTATGCCTTAAAAGTCAGAAATGAATAAATAACGATTCATAATTGAATTTATGATGTTAAACATTCATGATGATGTTCGATGTTGTAGATAAGGAAAATGATTCTAAAATGAGTTTTGGCTTTCAAAAACCGAAAATAACTCAATAATTGAGCCGGATTATGATGACGCTATGTAACTTGATGTGATGGTAAATGATTGATGTTTCAAAATTTAAATTAACAATTATATTGCTTTCAATCAAATAATTTGATGTTGATAATTGAACACTTACCAGCATGAAATATCTAAAACATTGTCACACTGACAATCTTCGATAATAAAGTTGTAAGCAAATTATTTCTTAATTTAAAAGCTGATAAGATGCAAAAGTTTTGTTGAGAAGAAGTAAAATCCTCGTGGGAAGTAAATGCAGACGTTTTTAAGCTTTGAATTAAATCTGACGTTGAAATAACTGAGTGTCAAATGGTTTTAAACATTTTTATTTCTCAAGAGACGAAATAATGTATTTTCTGTTCTCTTTTTCTTTACGAATTCAAAGAAATTATAACAATGGAAAAGAAAGTAATCCTATGAGACTACATAAATGCATGAATCCCACACAAATCGTCTGAGCATACATAAAAACATGAAATTCTCTGCCATTTCGTTTCAGAATCTTCTAAAAAGAAGAAACTTTTAAGTCTGACAGCAGGATAGAAATTGAATAATCTTCCTTTTCATGCATAGTTCGATCATTTAGATTGAATCTGTGATGAACCAAAAAGATAATTCGAGAACGATGCAAATGTGAAAGTTTAAAAACGACTTGAACAAATCTTCTCTTAAAAGATTACTTAAAATTTTTATTTATTGTTTATTCCGCAGGAAAGAGAAATTAAGCTTCTTCCTACATCTTTTTTGTTTAGCATTCGAGCAACAAAAAGCACAAAAGCTTTTATAAAAATTAAAAACAAAGCGGAAATTTACATTTTGCTTTTGTTTTGTGTTGAAACGGGTCATGAGGGGCATTTTCTTTAATGAGGGTAAAGAGGACTTTTTTATTTCTATTTTCCAGCAACACAACCTTTAACATTTCCATTGTTCTCTTATAAAATATCTCGTAAGTGACGCTTTTAAAAAGATTAAACAGATACAATTTGAAACTTAGTTGTTGTTGAGTATTAAAGTAAATAATAAAATATTTCCATTTATTCAAATTGGATTACCTTTGAGATTAAATTTTCTGAAATGTTTCTTGCTTTTGCGTGTCAATAAACAATATATTCTTGAGGGCAAGCAATTGTTATCTTTGGACTTGTGCAGCAAACATTTTTCTCAATCACATTTCATCCTAAAGCAACGAAGATTAATTCGATTTCAGATTCCTCATGTGTAAACTGACTTTTATTTTCTTTCGTAAACAGAGCATCGAAGTTTCTTTTCAAATTTCCTGCAAACATCAATCAACAGAAATTAATCAATATTTGAGCGGGATTGTTGGTTGGGATGGGAGGGTTTAGGTGAAAAGCCATTAAGGCTGCTTTCCGACAACTCACCAAATCTTCAACTCCCCTTTTGACCAATTCCATCTAGGAAATTGCTTCCATTTCACTTCCGATTACATTTTACTGTATCATTCTATGTAAATAAATTTTTATTCCCTGCAATATCCAAAAAAGAGATAGAAAAAAGAAAAGTTTCATCATTCCTGTAATTTTCTGTTGAAAAAAAAAATTTAATCTGAAAAGGTTTCTCAACCTTTTCTCGAGTCTTGGAAGCGTGTAGTAATGCGGTTCATTTCTCATTTTAAAACTCTTAACTTTTGCCATTTAAATTCAATTTTCATTTCGATCCCTGGTTTTTCTTACGCATCCTTGTCTCAATTTTCCATCAAGAAGATTTTTGGGTAGAAAACATTTATAATTTTCACACTTTCACGCTCATCCTTTTAAGAAGAATTTTGCAATAAATTTTGATAACTGAGGATGAAAATCAATCTGATATTTCATGTTAAGTCGTTACGTAAATCTTTTTTTATTTCACGACTCGTATTTTATTGTTTTCTTTTTTGTCCTTTTTACTTCAGATCAACACACAAAGATAAAAAGGCTACTCGCTCATATATTTCATGCAAAGCTTTGATCTCGTTACCAAAAATAAATATCAAAGAAAAATTCTCGTTGAGATTTTATGGGATATGAGAATTTTTTTCCGTATTTTCCTTGGGATGGTCACAAACGTTTCATAAAATATGCTTTTGTATAGGCACAGACAAAGTTTTTGGGTCATGCATGAAATACGGAGAGAAAGCCAAGGCGAAGCACTTTGTCGTATCATAAAATCAGATATTCCCATATAAAGCTAAATACGAAATTTATGAGATTTCTGAAGCCAAGTGTTATTCGGAAAAACTTATTAATTACTTTTACCCAACGAAGCATAAAGTCCAAAAGCTTATGCTTCCATTTGATTTGGCATTGACAATAATCGAGCTAGCGGTGTTAGGAAAAGTTGTGTTTATGGTAGGAGGATTTGCTTAACATTTATAGATATGTGCATTTAAGATTATTCATGAAAAATATCAGCTCATATTTAGTTGATGTTTGATTCTGTACTTTCGTATAGACAATTTATGAATAAACTTATGCATCAAATTATTTTCTCTTTTAAATCCTTTTCAAATCTTCAAACACTCTTGTCTAGACTTTGATCTTGTTTATTTTATAACTCTCTTTGAAAGCTGTGACCATCAGACCCATAAGAGAAAACATTTCAATTCCAAATAATAATTTTCTAGTTTCAAATGCTTTTGAATATTCATCTTATATAATATTATCATAAACATATGGTTTCACCCTTGGGAAACATCAACAATGAAATTATGCTTTGAACTTTTGATTTTATGCTACATATTATTTTATATTATTCAACCAATAAAGACGAAAAGGATGTAGCCAACCTCTGTTAGTGTTCATGAATGCTGTTGTCATGGAAGCTCATAAAATTATTTTACGATCAAACCTAAATGAAGAAATGTCCTTAATTGATGATGACATGCCTTATGTAATAAGCTTTGAAACCATTTCAAATAATTTTTTTTCCAGCTCAACATGTGACAGCTCGTTGGGGTCGTAAAGTTCTCATAAGGCTTCTTCATCGTCGTTAAAACATTTTGTGTTTTTAATAATAATGGAGTGCCAAAATTTAGCAATTTTTCGATATAAACTTCTTCCGCCATTTGAGCTTACCACCAAAAAGAAGCAGAAAAAAATTTAAAGAACTTCATACAGAATTTGTCAAACTTTGGTCATAAAGTTGCTGACCCTTTTAAAATTCCAAACTTCAATGAGTCGAAAACGCTTTTTTATAACAATAAAAAAGTTTTTCTCGCTTCGATGTTGAAGAGGCCATAAAATAATTTTCAGATGGCGAAGTTCTTTTCATTGAGTTTTTGGTTGTTATTCGTGGTTGATGATGTGAGTCGGAAAATGCTTTTTTGGTGAACTGAACTATCTGGAAAAGTTGTTGGAATAATAATAGAAATGTAGAATTTAGCTATGAAAGCTTCGATAGCTTTTAAGCCATAAAGTTTGATGTTATCGATTAAATTGTTGGAAGTTTCATTATTCTCGACGTTGAAGACGTTATCGAAGAAATGCACGAATAAATTTCCAGGTTTCATTGAAGCCAAAAGCTACCCTAGGGATCCTTACTTAGGAAACTTTGAGAGAAACTCGAATCAATCAAGCGTTAAACCGTCGTGAAAATTTACAAACTTTTGTCATTAATCAAATGCAAATTTTCTACTCGTCACATGCAGAGTTTCTATGTTGAAATATCTATAAGAGATGAAGCATAAGATTAGAATTTTCTTTTTTTTATTTTCTAAAATGTTTTTATCTCATTTTTTCAGCTTTCTCCTTTAACGTTTCCCCTTGACATATCAAATTGTTCTTGAAACATCTCCACTGCTTCATAGAATATTTAATGTTCACGGAATATCATAAAAAATAGAGCGAGACTTGATTTTTCCAGCGACATGTGTGCGCCAAGGAAACATAATTTGTTATTCATCTCGACAACTGTACGAGTGGGAAAAGCAAAAGCGAGATGAAAAAAAAGAAAAAAGTTGGAGAGTAAAAATGTGATGAAATAAAAATGAAAATTTACACACATAATGTCGTATATTTGAGGGAAAAATCTATTCTACGTGAACGAGCTAACGGTAGCGTTGAAGCATTGAAATAAACTGAATCATGCTGGCGTTTTATTTAGCTTTTGCTGCGAGGAATGAAACCAAATAATTCATTTCAAAAACTTCAAAAATGCAAATGAAAATTCTTGATGAAAAATTTTTGAAAACTTTTCATCGGTAAATTCTTTCGCATTGTGAATCAAATTATTTCACTTGTGAGCCATTTTATCGTTCGCTCGAGCGCTTCTGGCATGCGGGATGAAATTGAATTACTTTATTGATGCCGAAGAATAAATAGTTGATAGAACAAAGTTACGATAGCATCACGTTTTAAACGTTGATAGGAAATGAAGTGAAAAAAACGTCAATCAGTGTAATTAATTATATAAAAGGCTCCCCCATTTGTTTAAACGCTCTTCACCCCTTTTCTGAATTATTTTTGGACGAGCTAAAGTCTTTAAAGTAATTTCTCACGCCCTTTCATCGTTTACAGCAACAACTTCTTCATTTCAACCAGCAGTTGAGCTTCCAAAAGCCTGAAAAGGAAGAAAAACTTTCAACTTTTACTTATTTTTTCTTATTTTCCCTTCCATTTATTTTACTTTATTCTTCTTTCTTAAACAAATACACTTTTTTTATAATTCTTCTTTTTGTTACGTTTCGGTTAATTATTGTGCATTAACAAAGGAATTGAAAGTCTTTACCTTTTCAACATAAATAAGTAACTATGCAGGGATATTTCAGTTTCAATACGTACAAACAATAAACATTTAATAATTGAAACGACAGAGATTTAGGTCAAGTTGTAATGAGAACTCCACCCTTGCATGAATATAAACGTTTTGTTTTCTTCGTAAATGAACAAAATATCTATGAAAACAAAGTTGACTTATGTGGTGATGGTGGTGAACTTTCTGTTTGTTTCAATTTTTTAAAAACTACATTCATGACTCTCTCTCGAGTGCTACAATATTCTTTCTTACTTATTTTTAATTCCTGTTTGCTTTACTCACAATGTGTTTATGTCATTTTAATCATTGGAAAAAATATATGTATATGTATAGAGAAGAGTGTTGACAAAGGGAAGAGTGTGCCAGTTATTTTGTTTGACTTTTTTTTAAGCCTAAATGATAGCGATCAGAGTTTAGAACTACATAAGGCTTATGACTTTTATGCTAGAACTTTACATGACATGGAATGAAAGAGTAAATGTTTCAGCATTAATTAAACTCTTTTCTTCGCACAGTGTAAGCCTGCTAAGGGAAAATTAAATGTGAGAACATGCTGTGTTGTCAGTTGTAAGTATTATTGAGATTTTGGAAAAGAAAATACTTTAACAGAATCTTTAACTCTCTTTAAATTTCCACTTTCTTGCATTACTTATATATCAGTCGACAACATAAATTTTTCAAAGCTTTTCGAATTATCATATAAATTAAAATAAATACCAGTGAGTTGGAAAATATTTTAACTTCAACCTTTTTCAACAAACTTTTTCTTTTGCTTTCAAATGATTCACACAATTAAGTTTCGTTTGCAAGTGAAAGTTTTGGGTTTCATTTTACACTTTACGAATTTATTTATTTATGATTGCGACAAAATGTATTTAAATATGTATTCAGAGAGGATAATGAAAGTTTTTCGATAAGCTGCTTTGACTGCACTTTGTGCTGTAAGAGAATGAAGAAAGTTAATTATAGAATCAAGCTTACACTGTAGGAATGTTAATCAACTTGCTGCTGCTAATTAATGCACAGTAATTTTCTATTAAATTAATTCATATATCTTTCGATCTCAATATCAATTCGCCACTCGTTGAACGTCAAAGTTCAAAGTCTCTCTAGAGAGGGTTTTTATTTGTCTCGACATTATGTCAAAGATCAAGATGCCAATGTTGATCCCGAGTTGAACGAATTGTCCGAGTCTAAAAGATATATCGTGGCCTTCTGCTAGCATTTTGTTTCGAAAACTTTCCGCTTTGGTAACAAACATAAAATACTCAGTGCCATCACCATATGCCAGATTGAATGAACGATGTGATAGTTCTGCTTTGTTTGTAGGAAAGCATAGCAAACCTAGCAGATGTTAAAGGAGAAAAAAAGAAGAGATAAAGAAAAGTATTTATTAGTTTTTCAAGTTTCATCGAAGCTCGAATGAACATGTGTGTAAGTGGAGCTTTTATTTTTTTAAAAAGAGAAAAATAATAAAAAGAGAATGTTTGAGTGTCTCTTACCAAGCCAATCATGACGAGGACGCTTCCAAGTGGCAAATTGAGCGCCAAGTACTTCTTCGAGGGATAAAGCTGCTTTTTCTTCCGACACTTCATGCCCCAGCTCACAGATATAATGCAGATTCCTGTTAACGCTGGCGCCAAAAACACCCATAAGGATTGTTTGTTCAACTCAGTTCCAAATGCTAATAATATCGCTCCGAACATGTGAAGGAGGGACACGAACGTTTGTCTTACATTCGCCATAGCAATGAGCGTCACCCATATAGCCAACAACCCACAATAGAAATCGCAGAATTGCAAAACGCTTATCTTCACCAAACAAAAACTAAATTCTTCTTCTCCAGAATCACAAGCGTGATAAAAGGTCGAAAAAAACATGGCAAAGAAGTAAATGACAGCCTCTGTGTAATATTTTCGTCGAACAGCATAGTAAATGCTTGGAATGAATAACAGATTGCTTAATGTCAGCAATAAAGAAGCAGCTAAAATCGATACACTTGATGGAACCTGTGAGTCTTCTGTACAATCCCAGCCGCGATAAAATTTCAAACACAAACAAGTTGAGAATACAAAACCACCTGACATGTAGTGGTAACAGCGACCATTCCGACCGCAACGACCTGTCACACAAGGATTCGATGCAAGCGTGAAAACAACACTTGAATTACAACTTCCATCAACACAACCAAGCGTCTTTCCACTTATAGAATGTTCCGTCACCCACTTGTAATGTGTGTCAAAAGCTCTTGAGAATTTCGTGTGTTCCACGCCCGTGCATTTTACATCCATTAAACATTCTTTTATCTTGAATATATCTGAATCCCGAAGCGCATTTAAACAAACATCATTCAATAAGCAATCTTTCTGAATTGTCGTATTCATACCAACAGCACATGAACATGGCGGTTTGAAAGACGTCAGAGTTTGTGCGTTATGTCGTATGAATGTTTTAACGCTATCAATGATGGTTGTTCCAGCTGTTTGCGTGGCAAGATTGTCATTGTGACAGAACAGTCCAATGGTAACATACCAAGTGCCTGTTTCTGGAAATGGCACATGAATGACGCCCGTTCCTGTTTCAGCGTCAGTATTGTTAATGACGCTATTAGCTGGGAAATTTTGTCGACCATAAATACATCGATCAGGCCATGTAGGCAATCCTGGTTCATTTAGATGAAGACAAATTACGACCGTTTGATTTGCCTGCTTTGTCTCTTCGGCGACGAGTTTTTCCGCTATCGCACCTTCGCCATTCATATCAAGTGTCGTTGATGTCACAGGCATTGAGTCAATTAAACCTCCTGAAATATCATGACGCATCGCGATAGCGAAACTTAAAGTGCCACCAATGTCATAAACATCACCAATGTGAAATTTCATCAAAGCCGGAATGCCGGCTGTCAAGTTGATTGAGATCGGTACGGTTCCGTTAATATCCGGAACTAAATCATAATCGTACATGAAGAATTCTCGGTATGTTTGACGTAGTAAAGGATATTCTTCAAAGTTGCGAGTTTTTGATGGAACGTACTTGACGAAATCATCTGAATTGTCCTCATCCTTGTCAGTCACTTCAATTTTCACGGTTTCGTCTTCTGTTTGTTCACTGATGTGATTATAACGAAACTCTAACATGGCACTGTACGCGACAGATTGGACGGCAGAATTATTAAGTGTTTGTGTCCTTGACGATGATGTTGACGCATTAAATTTCATCGATGGTTCCTTCGGTTCAGCAAATTTCAAGTCAACATAATGCCACGCATTCTCATGTGGATAAAACTCAATCACCGTCTCGCTCGTTTCATTCGCGTTAATATCTTTACTGTTCAAATAATTTTTTGATGTTGGAAGTGAATGCGCTTGAACGGCGAAGTTGATTTTTTCGCATCTTTCGCAAAGCTTTTTGATTGTCAACTTAAACGAACAAATGTCAACATTTCGTGGCACGAAAAATTTATAGCTGTTGCCAACGGTCATGTTTGTTGATAAGAAGTCAACAAAGTCAACATCCGAATTGAGAATTTTCAATGAAGCGCGTGTTACAGTCATTTCAGATAGCAGAAGTGTCTCGCAAGACGGTGACAAGCCTGCGAACGAGAAAGAAACGTTTGATAATGAAAGTTTTCGAAAAATAATAATTCATCTTCACTCGCTCTCTTATTTAGTCTTTTGTCTTCGTGAAGAACAATGGACGTGAATGTCTAATAATTTAATATCGTTATTGCCTGTCATGGATTCTGACAAGACAACTCAATTCTCTAATTTTCTATTCTCTTCGCTCAGCTTAGCTTAAGAACGAAGGAAAAGAAAGAAAATTTATCATTATTTTAATAATAATCATTTGTCAACTTTAATCAAAAATTTTCTTCCTTTTTCCATTAATCATGATACTGCAGAAGCTTCTCATTGTCTTCTTAATGAATTGAGCAATAATTTTAAAGGAAAGTTGTCATGGAGAGACTCCAATTGTTCATGTCTCTGGTAGAATGTTTTGTTTATGGAAATTAAAAGTTAAATAGAATCAAAAGCTTCCTTTTGAGAAAAACTTTTCCTTCGAAACAGAAAAATTTTCTTTCTGGTTTTCTCTTTAGACATTTTCAGATGAAATATCTGAGAAAAGTTTTATTCATTTTAGATATCTGCGCGTTCTAATACGAACGAATGAATGAAATAATAATAAATAAATGATGTATAATTGTCATGTTATCTATAATGGAAATTTTCTTATGTAATCATTTTCATTAGCGTTTTCTCATCATATTTATTCAGCCCTTTGAGTTTTAAGTATGAAAATTTCCATCTTTATGCCTCTAAGGTAATCATTTTCAATCCTTGTACCATTAAGCGATGAAACATCCCCCAACGCGCTTCCCGCTTTGCTTTTATCTGCTTTTCTAAAAGTCATTAAATGTCTAAAAACAGTTTAAAAAGTTGATGACGCTAATTTCCCTTTGTTTTCTATGTTCTTTCTTGGATGAAATTTTGCCCCCCGAAGCTGTTTTGTGGAACAGCAGGAAGCGAAGCTGCTTTTTCTCGTTATCTTTCGACTCATTTTGAAGCTTAATGAAACGGTAATTAATGATTCTGTTCCATGATTCGAATTTTTTTTAACTTCGTGTCGTTTCATTGACGTAAAAAGGAAGACAAAAACAAAATCGCTTAATTACATTTTTAATTACGCATTCCGATGGGACTCGTGAAAAATCAATAAATTAACATGAATAAATATTTGAATCGTGAAATTAATGATATTACCTTGCTGTTCAATTCTTTCATTGTTGGGATCAGTCCATGAGATGAATGCAACCCCAAACCAATTTCCTGGATGCGGCCCATCAACTGTCATCCGACGTGTCACACCATCCGATTTGAATTGAAGTGTAAAAATTTCAAATCTAGACGGAAATGAAATTAATCTCAGTGAATTGATTTCAAATCTTAATTGACAGTTTTCGTAATGCGTACCTTTGTTGAGCACTGAGAAAATGCTTAGGGAATGTGATGTTCTCGGGACTTATCACTGGATAGCTTCCAGCTTTCAAGTGTAATGTTACATCTTGTGGTTGACAAACTCGAGCTGTGAGAAATGAAATGGAAAACACAAATTGCTCTTAACATTCTTAACAGTTTTTTAAAGCAATAAAATTGTGGTTTTGGAATCAATTCATCTTCGTAGAACTTCAGCAGTTAATAAGACAAGATAAAAAATCCTTTCTACGTAATCAACTAAATTGTGCAATTCTTAAACTTCTTCTTTTTGTCATCATGTATTTCATTCATTTCTAAGCATTAACACAGAAATTTCAACGGGATTTTCACATTCATCAATTTTTATTGGCGTCTCTACGGCGTCATCGCATCGAAGTTATTCCTTACGAATGAGATTTGTATCCGTTATTCAATCCATTTAACTTCTTCTCCAACATAATCTCACTCCAAAATCCGCTCTTATTTTCTTTCTTTCGTCTGCTGCTTTTCATTCCGTCGAAAAGACGAAAAATATGTTTTTATCGTTTAGCTCGTCTTTAATCAATTTGGTTTATTGTAAAAGATTTCATTCAGAAAATTGACTTTATTATGTCGCAGCTTGGTGAATCGTTTTGCCCAGTTTATCTTTTTTATGTTGTTGATTATTCTGATGAGCATATATTGTATTAAATGATGTTGATAAGAAATGAATACTTACAAAAGGTTCAACTTATTTGTAAATCTTGCTTAATTTCATCGTATAATATTAAAAGAGTTAATTTACAAATTAATTCTATGTCATGAGTCATAAATGCGAACCATAAAAAATTGTAATTGCGTATCACTATGAATGATACTACAAGTTGTAATCTGACTCTTTTTAGCTTTTATGGGCGTCAAATATATGATTATTAAGTGGCTTAAAGCAAAACATACAAGCAGAAGAATATTTTTTCATATTATTCAAATTTCAGCATGGATTTCGCTTCGTACAAGATTACTTTGAAAGCATATAAAATTTAATCTCGTTCGTATGCATGATGAGAAAATCAGCAAATGGAGACAAGTATATGGATATCTACATAAATATATATGTAGACATGCTAAAATAGTTGTTTTTCTTTTATCTCTTTTTATTTTCTTCTGTCTTTCCATTCACATCTTTTATGTGCTAGAAGCGAATTTAATACAAGCTTTCCATCTCATCTTTGTTTAAGCATTACGGAGAGGAAACATGAAAAATTTGATTAATTATTGAGTACTTACTTAAGGCACTTTTAGATTCTTCGTATGCTTTGAAACTGAACATAGCACTTCGTGAATCCATTGGCATGAGAAAATGTTGTATCGAAACATCTTTGTAAGCAGTGTACTTCAATAATGTATTAGATGGCAGTCTAACTAATGGTATTTGGTGGCTATTCTGTATATCCTCGCTTGTAAATGTCGCTTGATTGTTGTTGCTGTTGCTACTATCGATTCCTGCTTTGATGTTCGTCTTCGTATTGACGATAAAGTTATTTGTGACATTTACAGAACCTGACGATAGATTACTATCGCTATTATCACATCGATAAGAACTCATTAGTATGAATAATATCAAAAGAGTTGATGTACAAGATGATACAGACTTCCTCGAAGAAAATGATGATGATGAGAAAATGAATGTAATCATTTTATGTCTTTCTGTTTCTTTTTATTTTATTTTTTTTTATAACGAGCTACTCGAAGAATATTTTTCTCCTTGAAAGCCTTTCTTTGCCTTATGATTCTTACTCGTTATTTAAAATTGATAGCTCCAAATGATAGCATTTTCTTTAGCTTCAATTTTATTCCTTTTTCGAGAAGATCAAAAGAAACATCTCGAGTTCTCACAACAATTTTTCACCCACTTTTCCTCGATGTAATTTTCTTATGTATTTTCTAAAGAGAATAAAGAAAAGAAAGAACGAGAAAAATGATAAGAGTTTATCTTGAAATTTCTTTGAGATGTAAAGAAATGGGAATTCTATGATGATATGATTATATTTTGTGTTTTGATATCGTGTTAATAAAGCATATTTATAATTATTCCACGAAATAATGGATGGCTCAAGCCGAATGCTTTCTGCCAGCTTCCAAATGTTAATTAGATTATATTGTACCCTCTGACAAACCACTAACATGATAAACATACAGTAAAAGCCTTTCAGTTCCACGATTCGACCCAAATCATCCCGAAGTGACATTGACTTCAAACAACCACCAACCAAATAAATCTCATTTATCTATCTTTTCTCATCTAATTTATGATATTGCAAAAATAATCATGGTGTGGCAGTGGCAGTGAGAAGCGTCCCATGCCACTAATAAACTAAGAATAATGAATAATATTTATGTAGTGCTTCTACACATAAAAGTAAATCTAAGCACAACATAAAAACGTACAACATATTTCCTCGTTATGTGATCTGACACTTGAAACATAAATCAAATTGCGTTTATTATTATTCATGTCAAATACTGCGGCGTATTCAATTACTTGTGTTCATGCTTGTCATTATTCATAAAAGCCTCAATGAAGATTATAATCAAACTCCGAAAATATTGGCATTGCAATAAGTTCACTAGCATAAATATGATTCAACTATAAATGATAAAAACTGGATGATTTCATCTGCTTTTGACACGTTATTAAATAAATATATAGAACACCTCTTATCACAGTTAACAAACGAGAGAAACTGAGTTATTGATATGACTGATTTCGTGGTTTGCGTGAGGAGAGAAATGTTTATTGTGATGAGAGAATCATCGCGATATGTTATCAACAACTTTACTCATTGTTTGCTCGTAATTTTCTTACTAAATCATTCGCTCAGTTCTCACCATTTCAAATATTTATTATAAGTAAAAATAAAGCTGATGCTCCAATTAACTTTGAAAAAGTCTCGTTAATCAGAAGTTAAACACCATGAAATCTCCCAATCAATCATTTGTGTTAGCTCCAATAAGGCGAGAAAAATCATTTCGGAAAGGCATGAAATGAAAACAAATAAAATCCTGAATCATTTTTAGATTCTTTGTTATCGAGTAAAAAATAAATGATTCAGCTGGAAATTTGAAGCAAAACAACAATTGTTAGCTGGTGTTTTGAAAGCATAAGCGAAAGTGACAACAACAGATCCGAGAGAATAACAATAAATCACACGCGAATTTTCTACTTTTTCTCGCTTCACGAGTCATTTGTGACATGATGTAGTGAGTTAACACGAAATTATATCACATCTTGAAGTGTATGGAAGTATCACAACAGACTTGAATGTTCTTAAGAGACTGATAGATTCAAAATATTAAGTCGTTCCCCATGAATAGCTCTCAAGTGCATTAAACAATTTAAATTTCTTTAATAAAATAAGAACTTCATATCGCTATGCTAACTTAATTAATTAACCACTTCTTAAAGCAAATAATAGTAATTAAAAGTATTCATTCATTCATATTATTATTCAGATAAGCGAGTATCGCTTGTCAATTTCATTTGTCGTGCCTTGAATTAAATTCACTTTTCTTATAAGAATAAAGAAAATTATGTAGCATAAGTTGAATTTAATTTCCTACCCACGCTTTTCCCTCCTAAGAAGATTTAAATTAAAACCTTTTTGTTTATTAATATTCCCCAACTAATTTATGTAGATTGAAATTATTTTCTCTTTTGACATTTTCCACCCACGTCCATTGAGACGATCTCATTAAAATCTCATGCAATTTTCTACTTCCGTAGAGAGTTTTTTCCAATATTTATTCATTCTCCCCTCACAGGGAGTGTTACTTGAAATCACAGGTTTATGAAATTCAATTGAATTCTTTCCCTACACCATGTAAAGCCTTGTTACACATTTCACTTCGATCGTGAGACTCATGAGAATTTACCAAAATGAAAGTCTCGCTTTTTATTCAAGTAACATCATTATTTATTCTACGTTCATTGCAAAAACTCAACGTGGGATTTGAATGGAAATGTTTTAATAAAAAAAGAAAAGTTGAAGGAAAAAAGAAAATATTTCAATTTTCATGTATTTCTTTTGATAAATATTTGAACAAATTTTCTGTGAAGAATTTAAAAATCAAACTTTTTTATAACATTATGTTATGAAAATTTTAATGAATTTTTTTGGACGCGATGAAAGTTGCTGACATGAAAATTGAAAACTCATTCCGATTTCATGCCAGATCTCGAGTCTGAATGCGCCCACGTCATGCCTGAATGAGAGCGTGAAATTCTCGTCAAGGATTTTTTTTGAATGCCATAAAATCAATCATTAGCGATAAAAATATTTAAAAGCAGCACTTTCGGTAGCGAAAATATTCTTCATCGATTTTTAATGAGTTTTTATCTGACTGGTTCAGTGACTTTCCAAGTAAACGTAATCTTCTCTTTTTTCTTAAACAGAACATGAAGAAAGGAAGAATTCAAAAGGATTTTAATATAATCTTGGGATTAAAAATTCAATCACATTTAAAGTTAAGCAAATGGTAGGAAGTTTAAAGAAATCATGAGGGAAATGAAAAGAAGAATTGAAGAATTTTCTTTTCCTGTGAAAGTGTAAAAAATATTACGAACAGACTTTAAACGTCACAACGGCAGGTTGGGTAAGCGAAAATGTTTAAATATGTCAGAAAGCTCAAAACAATTTCATAAAATTTTAATAAATATGTAGAAAAGGTGAATAGAACGAAAGCTTTCCGAGTTGGCAAAATACAAGAAATATAATTTTTTTGAACAAACAGTTGAAAGAATGACAAACAAAAAGCGATAACAAAAATCGATGGAAAGGAGAAACTGAAAGCGCTTTAGGATGAACTAAAAATGGAAATTTGCATGAATTTATTATTCGCTACAATCACAAAATGAAAATCTTTCCTCCACTTACCGGAGCTTTTGGAATGCGCTTTGCGATGTTAAATCCATTTTCTCTCATGACTCGTCACTTGTGCCTCGTGCGACATAATTAAGGAAACTTTGTTCGCCTTTTATCTTCTACCGAAAATCTGACCTTTATCAAAATTAGATTCACTAACACTTTTCACATTTTCCCTTTCTTGTGTTCATGCTTTTCATGGCTTGTTTTGGTTGGGGACGGAAATTACTTCTTTTATCCTTTCTTGACTTTTTACTTTGCGTCTTGCGATTACAACAACGAGTTCACGCTTCACATTCAAACTTTCTTCATCCTTTTTCGATTTTCTATCCTTCTATCTCTTGCCCTTCATCACCACTTCTTCCGAGCACTGCACAATAAGCTGATAAATGAAATCGAAATAATTTAACGCCTTACTGAGCTTATGAAATTGATTCACTCAGCCTTCACATTTTCAGAGTCTGGTGACAAGCTTAAGTCGTTATTGAATTTATTATTTATGCAAACAAACGAAGTCGTACATTCGAAAAGCTGCTTCCTCGATTACTGAGTTTTGTCTTTATCACGACTTGTGAAAGGAGATTTGAGATTCAAGAGAGAAAATTCACTTTTATTTGATCTTTTTCACAACGCTGAATCACTCGTGCAGAGCTGAATGTAGTTCAAGTGTTTCTTTCGCTTTAAATGAAGTTCTGACTCAAAACTTCTTCACAATTTGTCACAACACTAAACTCACAGCTACTGACGACGATTGAATGGAGGAAAATATTTTTCTAATTTCTCGCAGGATGTTGATGTCTTTTAAACCTCTCGAATTGAATGATTAAACTTTATGAACGTCGAAACAGAAAGACTAAAAATATTCTTCGAGAAATTGAGAAAAGCTCTTTGATTGTGTGTCAGTGATGAGAGAAAATTTTCATGTTTACATGAACTTCTCGTTCTAACATGAAGGAAATTCACAGCAATTTCTCTCTCATTGCCAAACACACAACAGAAACTTCGAACACATGTTCGTGCGTTGGATCATGCGCTTTAACTTTGAACTTTATGCAATGTATTGTGATATGAAATCGTCTTCTTGCTCTCTATTTTGAGGTGGTTACAATAATAATAAAGTCAATCAAATGTTTTGTCTGATTCATTGTTAAGATTCAGGGAGTTGTTGGTATGAAAATTAAATTTGATTTTGTCGGTGTGGTGAAGACATTGTTGTCTTTTCAGTAAGTAAAAGTTGAAACTTGATTACTTAACAAACACTTTCTTTGTGTTTAAGTGATATATCATTTAATAAATAATTAAAACAGTAATGTTAATGAAAATGTTAAGATTTGTATCGCTAGGAATTTAATTGCATTGCATACATGATTTATGTACAGCGGTTAAATTTTTTATAAATGAACTGAACTTAAATAAATATCCTTTGGACATAAAATAAATCAATAACTAGTTCAAGTATTGCTGTAGATATCTGCATATTTGAATAGAAAAGTTTTTCCACCACGAAACTAAGCAACGAATTGTGATGGTAAAAATGTTTTAATTAATTATTAAAAGTTGTGAAGCGTATTTAAATGTAGAGTGGAATGAATTGAAATTAACTAGATTTTACTTTATTTTTCTTTAATGTTAAATTTATATCTAATTTGGGGCAAACTCTTCTCATAATATTTATCTTGTTTCCCCACCTACACGTATAAATTTCATCAATAAATAAACGTTGAACATTGACAAAGTAGCACAATTATTTAACAATTTCTGATTGATGCTTTTGTTGGGGCAGTCAACCAACACATTTTTAATGACTTTTCCTGTGTACTTAAAGGAAATAGAATTGTTATAGCTGACGGAAAATAAATCTTACAACGTAACAAACTACCGGACGTAGACGATTTTATTGATTACTTTTGGTCCATCGATAACCATCGCCACATATCCTGATGGTGTTTTATGTGTCAAGCGATTATTTTACCGATTCGATCATCACAGCATTGTGCCAGTAATAAATCACGTAGAATGAACAAAGATAAAATATTTCACTTGTTAACAAATACAAATCAATTGAACGATTATGAGGTGTGCGTGATTGTCGCAATTCTGGAACAAGCAAATTTGTGACAACAATTTTAATTAAATTTTCTAGTTGAAAAACTTCTAACAAGATTTAATTGTCTTTAGAAAGAAATAGTTGCAGGAAATTAAAAAGTTCAACTATCGTCAACTGACAACTCGGATCATGATTGCAACGAAGCATTTAAATTATAAAGAAGGAAAAGTCAATTTATGCAGGAGGTTTATCATCAGACATGCATCAACTACTTTCAAACGTGTTCTGAATAAACAATATTTATCGGAAAAATGAAATGATGCATATGGATAGAGTATTGAAGAAAACTTGCAATAATATTTCCATTTCACTATGCTCTGCACGAACACAAGCTGTAAACTTCCGTTTAACTCATAAATTTATACTTGGTTTGGTTGGTTTAGATCCACAGCACTCCTTTTGATCTCATTGCATGTAAGTATGTTGATGTTAACCATTGATATTATTTTAAATTGAATTAAAAAACAATTCATCTACCTTACCAACATAAAAACCTCATTTTTTATTTCATTCTTAATCAAATAAATTTTATTTATAACATTTTTAATCAGTAAATAATTTAACAAAAATTTATTTTAAATATTTTAATTAATCTCGAAGTTTAAAACTTTTATTATCATTGCATTCAACTTTCATAGATAAATAAATAAATAAATAATTTCTGCTCATAATTTTTCCATTAAAATTCTCATATTAATGCTAAGTGGAAATATTTCATTGAAACGATGCAGCATACCGCTGGTTTTACTGCTATAACTCACGAAATTTTCATTCTATCTGAAGAGAGAATTCTCTGCATTTTTCAATAAATCATAGCTTTTAATCACCACTCAAAACTCCCACGATTCCAGCCACCGTAATCCAAACATTGTTGAATTGCTTTCAGTAGAAGCATCTGCGAATCCGTAGGCTAATGGTTGGAATAGTTTGAAGCTATAAGAGAGAATACCGAAAATTGTGCCAATTGCTACGTGCTTCATCCAATTTGGCATCCTTTCAGCAAGATAGTTAAACATTACGCCTGAAATAGTTTGAGTTTGATTATTTACAATCTTCGCACCGAAATGCTTTCAACATAAATTCACATTTTCACTCAGGTTCATTCGAATAAGTTTCATTCATTGTACAAATGAATGGTATTGTTTGAATGAATGAAAATCTTTTTCTTTTCTCTCCTTTATATTTTCGAGTGAAAATTTAATTAAAATTCTTTTCGTGATTGTTTAAGAAAACTTTCAACGACGATTTTCCTTGCAAGTTGTACTTATGTGTAAATGAAAAAATGAAAACTTCTTTGTGCTTCTTCGTTTTAAGTTTTCTTAATTGAGTTGCAAACTTTCTTGTCTTTGAAGCAATAACAAATTTTAATGAACGTGAAAGATTTTCATGGTATTATTGCAAACAGAAATTATTATATCTTTAAGTTGAAAAGCATTTAATGCAGGGCTTGGAAATTATTTGAAAATGTTGAGCTTCAGGGATTCTGAATAATTTAAGAAAAAACTTTTAATGAAAACCTCCAAGCTCTGTTTTAAAGTTTCCTGAGAATTTTCCTTTTAATGTTTTCTGAACTTTTCACTCTTTAGTTATTTTGAGATGAAAAGGAAAATCAAATATTTAGAGATATTTATGCAAGAAGTCTGAGTGGAAACGAGTTGAAACATTAATTTTGTGTATGAAATGCAATGTATTTGTAATGCAAATAATTTTATTATGAAGTTTCAAAGGAAAATTTGCTTTTCTGAAAATAAACACTCCGCTGTATCAGCTCAAACACATTTCATTGATGATTTTCAAGTTTCATATAAAATTTAATTCGTTCTAAATCCTTTATTACTTACCTGTCAACATAGAATTGAAAATGACAGCTGGGAAATAGTGATGGAAATAAAGAACTCGTCCCATTGCCCAGAATGGCAAATAGTGCAAAATCCATCCCATGAACAGCCACATTCCAGCATTCAGTGATCTCCATTTATACTCTGCAGGTGAAAATGAAAATCATGACAATATTTTTATCGATAAGAACGCAAACAAAGCTTCAGGTATTAAAGTGAAACGTGATGCGACATCATAATGATCGAAAGCATTTAACAAGTTCTCTTCAATCTTTCATGCAACAAAAAAAAGAAAAGAAACCCCCGGAAATCTCACAGGAATGGACAGCAATAATTGAGTGAATAAAATATTGTATCAAGTTATGTGAGTTTGTCAAATGAAGATTAAATGAAATGAAGACGCCTCATGTGCACTTAATGGCCATAAGATTTAATCGTGTCATAAAATGTCAAGAAGATCAAGCGATGTTAGCTTTCTTGGGAGACTTTAATGTGATTTCTTTCCTTTAAGTACAACTCAACCCGACAACTCACTCATCTTCCTTTTCATTTACCTTTCTTTTGAATCTCCTCTGATTCTTCGTATCCCCGTTGCTGTTTTACGGCTGCTATAAAATAAGTCAATAAAAACAACGCCATGAACACTAAGTTGCTCCACCAGATGATAGGATTGCCCAACAGATAAATACGGAAGTTTCCACCCGAGAAAAATTGACCCTGACAAGTGAAAGCGAAAAGAAAATGATAAAAATGAATGGCGATGATGATGTTGTTGCTACACAAAGGCCAGATTTATGCTATAAAATTTTCATAACCATATAAAATACAGAAAAAAGGGACAAAAGGATTCGATAATAAAAAGGGAAAATAACATGAAAAACACGAGTCTCGCTCGTTTCTGAATTTAATGTCGAATGCAAAACGTTTTTCATTAAAATGAACATGAGAAAATAAAAAAAGGGAAAGAAAAATATTTTTAAAGCACTTCAAACACATTTAACATCGCGTTGCGTTTTATTGCATTTGTTGAAAGCATTTCCACTCGCAACAAACATAAAATTTGTTTGTTTATGCATCACGCGTTTCTTTGAAAACTTTTAAAAAAATTAACTTTTGATAAGAAAAATTTTAAAATTTGATGAAGAAAGAAAGAAAAAATATTTAAAAACTTATGCTGCAACTTATGTTGTTCTGAATTTGATTGAGTAGAAGACATGCAAACAATTGCTCTTATTTACAAAGAGAAAAGATTGACTAAGAGGCTCTTGAGTGCGTTTTCTCACTCATTCAAAACCATCCTGAGATGAGCAATCATGAGAGTGAAAAGCTTGCAGAAAAAAGGAAAATTTAATTAGGTTCTTGTTCATGATAGCAGGGAACTCTGTTTGGCTTACAAATTGCTGCTGCGATGATGAATAATTGTAGTTATATACGGTAAGCTTATGCGGTAACCGAAAAAAAAACTGATAAATGACTAAAAACTCACCTTGTAGTTAATTGGCCATTGCCATGGTCTGCTGGTGATCTCGCCCTCCTTTGGCTTCAAGCCAGCATTGCCCTGCAACATAACCGCATGTGATTCTAAGAATCTTGAAATAAAACTGGGCGCATAAACGTGAAAGCTCACATTTGGCACTGGCGACGTGAAAACAAGAAAAAGAGAAAAACATAAATTAGAAAAATCATCAATTTTCTTTTATGCATCTGGAGTCATGTTTTTTGAACACGAAGCAAAAGGTGAACAGAACAAAAAAATATTAATGGATTTTTCATGTTTTTCATTCAGTTTCTCAACCATTTTTCCGTTGCTTAGAGGTAAAGGTAGAAAGAAAGAATTGTAACAGAAAAAATCTCATTATTTACTCTGACAAGATGTTCCACTTTCATTTAGGAAAACTTGCACCGCAGCAAAACATTGATTGAAGTGCATACAGAATGCTGAACAAATTTCTCGCTTGTGAAGCGAAAAAAAGAAAGAAATATTCAACTTTTCTAGCGAATTCTTTTTTGCAAATGCAGCAGATGTTCGCGTTCAAGTTGGTACGCTTCATGAAACTTCTCCGTGAAGTTTTTTTATTTTGTCAGAATTGCAAGAAAATTTTAATGGAACGTCACTTTGATATTGCGTCAAATGCATTACTTTGTATTATTTGTGAACGTTTTTGTTCCAATTTAAACAACGACTTTAGTTGCAGTAAGAAGAATAAATTTTAAATGATTTTTAGTGATTCTTCAGGTCATGAAATGGAACATAAAAACTTCATCATTAATTAATTAACTACACAAAAGTTTTCACATAAACTATGAACGAATTTTCATTTTCTCTAGTAAATATTTGTGTATGAAAGTTTGAAACCAAAGTCAAAGAGATTTTCACTCTCGAACATGTGTTGCATGAATTAAACTTCTACAACATCCAGCAACAGGATTGAATTAATTATTTGTTTGCGGTTACTTACACATCTCAAAGTAATTATCTTCGACATTCCAAAGCACATTTTTGTCGCGTAAATTTGGATTGCATGACACTTCCTGTTGCTCAAAACCCCATTTCGGCAATTGCTTTCCAGGTGACGTTACAGCACAATGTTGAAAGTAATGAATCAATTTGAATTTTGTGCTGACTGTTTCGATTGGGTCGCCTTCTCTTCCATTCACAATAAGAATTTTAAAAATGTCATTAGCATCACCAGTTCCATTCTAAGATTGACAAATGTTAATGTTTTTAATAAAGAAATTGAAATTAAAGAAGTCCCCTCGCCATATCCTGTCACTTGGAAATGTTTCACAGTAATCGGAGCTTTCTCATTGTGAGAATGGAGATTTCTTCTTGTCTGAAAATGTTCGAGTCGAACTAAGTCGCCGTTTTTAACAATCGTCACATTTTTCTTTCCAAACGTTTCACGATCATAAGGTTTGATGAGCCACTTATTGTTATCGTCTTTATGTGTATAAGTTGTGACTTGTTGTTGTCGAGCTCCAACAGTCTTCGGATACAAATGAAAGTGAGAGTGAAGATATCCTCCACCTGTTTTATGGTTCTTGAGTGTGATGATAGCACCGTAAGCAACTTCTCTTGGCATGCTGGCATTATAAAGTGAATTTCCAATTAATCTACTTTGAAAACCTGAACTGTAAAATCCATCGCCATTTCCACTTTTATTGAGAACTGATAAATGAATGTAGAAGAAGAAAATGTAGAGGATTATCGGCCACAGAATCAGAGCAAAGGCCCTTGCTGCTAATTGATAGATGGAATAAAAAATTGGCTTCGATAAATCTCCAAGAACGTTCCATAAATCAGAAATTGTTTGAAATCCCACAAGCAGGACGACAAAAAGTCCAACAAATTTAACACTAATCGTACAAGCTATCATTGTTCCTGTAAACATCAACCATTGCCACCATCTTCTTGTAAAACTTTGGTTTTGGGTGAATTTTGATACTTTCACCATTCCCATGACACTCGCAGCCATAAAGAAAAGCAGAGGTGGGTCAAGTAAGATGTACTGATTAAGTGTAATCATTCCAACGTCTAAAATTATTCCAAACTTTAGTAAACAGTTAAAAATGAATGTCAGAATTTACCAAAAATAATATATCCAGCAGAGATGAAAGCAGCTTGAACAGAGCCAGTAAGATCTGAAACTGTCTCAAAAGCCATTGGCACGATTGCAGCACCAAGTGCAGTACAAAACTTGAAAGATTCAAACGAATAAATAATCTATTCGACAGTCAAATTTATGCAACTCACAACTCTCATTCCTTCGTAGTTTGTTCCGTTATATTTGTCAGCTGGTTTCTCAAATGGATAAGTTCCATTGTATCCCGTAAGCTTACCAGAAAGAGCAATCAGCATTTTTCCCAGTGGTGGATGTACATCGAAAAAGAATGTTCGATTTATATACCAGCTTCCCATTTTTCCAAAATGTGTTTCATCCCAACTAATGTTTATAAAATACCTAGTTTAGATTAAAAAAACATTAGAAATTTTATTTTTCTTCTTACCACACATGATCTGGCTCCAGAACTTTGTGGAATCGTGTGACAACTGTGAGTAATATAACAACACTTAGTGCTATTCTGTACCATTTGTCCTTCTCTTGGGAATCCTTCGTTGTTGAGTTTTTCATTGAAGATTCCTTTGTTTTCGTCAACGTCATCTTCTTACCCTTGCATTGAACTCTTTAGTTGTGAGGCAAAAATTATTCGTCAGTGATGGGAACAGAAATTTTTATTCGGCTCAACTTCTCAAATGATTAAAAAATGAAATAGATATTTAAACTACTTTTATTATTTTTATATTTATACCTTTGCTCACTACTTATTGAATTTTATTTTATTTTTCTAGTTGTATTGACGGAACTAACGAATGTTCCCTTAACAGTTTTGCCTCATTTTATGTCTTCAGAGCTTTTATTTAACATTCGATTGAAAAGTGGGCTTTCGTAAAAGCTTTACCCAAGACACATTTTGAAACGAAATTCGGCCGTTACTATTAGCAACAACGAAAATTGTTTTGTCTATAAATAAAAAAATTCATTTCGTCATATCAACGTATGTTGTTAGTAAAATAATAAAAATTTGTAACAAGTGTCCTCTTATAACAATTAAAAGCAATATGTCACAGTTGAAAGAAATTTCTAACGCGTTAATGAGTTCGGTTTTGAGTTCAGTTGGCAGTTTTCGTTTATTTGGATTGGAAGAAGAAACTAAAGAAGAAAAGCCGGTTGAATCTGAAGTCGAAGTTTATAATCCTCCTGAACCAATTACAATCGATAAGTTGAGAAATGTTAATCGCGAATTCGGGGTCATTTATACATGTTTTCCTGAAAATCGTGACGAAAAATTTTCTCATCATCCTGAATCTTACTTCACGTTGAGTTCAAAGGAAAAACTTTTGCTTCTGTTTGCTGAAAATTTCCGGAGACAGTTCAAAGAACATTATGCTTCACGTCGTCCATTGGTGCTTGCTGTTGAAAACGAATGTCAAGTACAAAAGTTTGTTAGCACAACGATCCGTCCAACTACTCTTGTAGAATTTTCCGAATTAATCGACAATTGGAGAGCATGTGCAAGTTTTTTGGCAGATCACATCTTATATGAGCCTCTTGAAAATCCGACTAAAATCGTAAGTGAAAATGTTTAAACAAATTTTTAACATAGAAAAAAAACAATTTTATTTTTTATTTTTCGAATTTTCATCTCATTTTTATTCTTTCATGTTCATTTAAATAGGAATTTTAAATCACATTGATTTACAAGTGTCTGTATGTTTGTTGGTGTGAATGATATCAATTATTTTAAAAGTTTTAATGATTTGTGGGATGGAAATGTTTTCAAGAAAGTAAGATGATAACATGAGAAGAAAGTTCAACTAACTTTTTAGTTCCATTTTTAATTATGCCTCAATTATCGCCTTCATTTTCCAACTTTAATCTTAAATAAAAAAATCTTTGGAACGTTTTCTTTGTTCTCTTTGTATGCTTTCTTAAATTCGCTCATAATCAAAAGAAATAAAAATCAAACTAATTCGAATTTGGCAAACAGAAGTTTTCAGTTGTTGAGCATTTTGTTTGGTTTAATAACTTAAACTTAATCACCTTATAAACGTAACTTCATGTCTTTTTATGAGAAGGTGGAAAGAGAGAAAAAAATTGAATTTCTATTTATAAAAGATTCAACTACTTATTAATAACTTGGGCTTTTTTCTTCCTTTCTAATGTCTTTTTTTTTAATAAGTCATTTAATTTATTTTTCTTCTATTTTCCTCTTCAATGGAAAATTTATAAGTTTTTTTTTTTGGATTTTTTTTATATTATTTAATTTACAAAAGTCAAGTTTGTATTGAACTAAAAGAAAGAGACATTGAATGATTTTACAACGTCGAAAGTACAAGTTTATCAGTAATAAAAATATTCGTCATTATAATTGTAATCCATTTCATCTTCATCTGAATCACTTTCTTCGTTGTTGTACTGAATGTTATCGTACACAAAATTGTCAAAATCTTGTCTTACCGGCGTTGCAAAATCTTCCAATTCGTCATGGACCATTGGAATACAAACACAAATGTCCATTCTCAACGGCATTCCCTATTTTCGTTTACGATGGCGAGTCTTTTCACCATCAGCTGAAGACGCTCCTGAAGAAGACCCACTGATATTATTTTGAGCACGATCTACGCTTGCTTTAATGCTGTTTAGAAGATACCGAAATTGCATGACTTGCATGGCCGTCAGCGATGGATCGCTGTATGATTCCAGGTACTTCAGGAACTTTTCGCCGTATTCGAGAGCTTCTGAAGGAGACTTTATATCATCATCACCATTTTTGTTATTGTTGTTACTATCATTATGCCCATGAACGCTTGAAGCATCATCACCACTTTTTTCACCATTATCAGGAGACTGATTCATCAGTGCATCGTCAAGTTGACTCTTAGCCTTTTCCATTTGTTGGTGTTGGTCCTCATCTTCGTCAGTCATCTTTTGTTCATCACCTGGAATCGGCGAAATGTTATTAATAGAATCTTCTTCATCATGAAATCCATTAGGTTCATGTTGATGGTTTGAAAGATCTTCTGGCTTTTGAGCGTCTTCTCCATCGCCTGATGTGATATTAAAATTATCACTAATGGTGTTGTTATTAATGGTACCATTACCAGTTCCACTGGATGTTGATCCCTTTGTGAGTTGAGAGTAAAGGATATTTTCATATGAATCCTTGCTGCTTCCTGGCAATTTTGCTTTGTCACCCATTAAAGACGCTCCGAATGTTTTGTACCATTGCCAGAACCAAGCGGAACTTTGACCTTTACCTTCATCTGGTGTTCCAAGAGGTGGTGTTGCGCTAGATGCTGGTGGTGCAGGCGAATTTATCTCGGGAGTTGGCGTTTGTGACGTACCTGATGGATGTTGAGACATGGAATGATGTTGTGGTGATGTTTTAGGACTTGACGACCGAGGTGGAAGTTGAGCTTGATTATATAGCGAATTAAGTCCAATCATAGCTTGTTGTGATTTAAGCCAATACCATAGTGTGTCATCTCCACTTAAGTCAGGTTGTGGCATAGCATGAGCCTTCTTATATTTTTCCAACATTGCACCTCGCATAATGTCGCTTGATGATGTTTTTTGAAGTTTGGCAATATTCTTGACAGTAAGAGATGGCTTGTCTGTTCCCTCAGCACCACTTGATGACCTGGGTGAAGAAACAGGACTTGTTGTTGTTTTTACTCGCGGTCCACGCTGAGACGATTGAGGGGAACCATTCATTGGCGCTGATCCCATTAAACCTGACATAGCAGCTAATGACGGATTCATTTGCGCCAGAATATTTAAATTAGTTGCAATCTCGTTAAAACTTAAAGCTAATGGACTTTGACCCAACCCAGACATGCCTGATAAATGCGAGAGACTGGTAAGTGGTGATATGGCGGCCATTGACAACTCAGACTTTGAAGGGTCGTTCTGTTTGTTATGATCATTTCCATAGTTTTTGTTTTTTGAAAGAGATTTGCTGAGTTCAGCTGATGTTTTAGCAAATGCACTAAAATCTGGCGATTGAAATCCACTCATGTTCATATCGTTGTGATCCATTGAAAGTCTCTTATCGCTACCAGACAGATCCAATCCACTAAGTGACGATCGACCATTCTTAAAGTGTGCATAATCTTCATATTTCAACTTTCCGTTACCAAATAATGAAGCAGTATCAAGTTTCATTCGTTTTGGATCAGGACCGTTAAAAAGATCTGACATTGCAGACATATTAGGATCTTGCAGTTTATCAGCATTTTCCAATGATTGTCGTGACATGCATCTTAGTTTATCTTCATTTTTGCACCAGCCGCGAAGTGTTGATTCTGGTACACCAATGTCACGAGCGACAGAAGCTTTCGATTCACCATCATGGATTCTTTGAATGGCCATAATCTTGTCACATGCAGAGAGATGACGTAACGGACGTTTGCCTTTCGTGGCTGTTGCCATTTTCATGGGTCCTATGAGAAGTAAAAAAGAAAGAAAAATATTAATATTATTTTTTTACTAAAATTCATATTATTTAGACGAAAATAAAACTTTCTCCAAATTCTTGACCAAGATTGAGCAGACAACATTGAGACGGGGCTTAAATGCCTATTTGGTGATACATCTTTATTTTATTGCATTTGAAATAAAAATTCATCTTCTCGAAAATAAGAAGAAAAAACAGGCAATAAATCGTCTGCGAGGCTCTCATTCCCTTTTAATACGAAGAAAGATTTTTATTATGCTGTGCTTGAGAAAGAAAAAAAAATCCCCGAACTTCATAAAAGAGAAGCACGTGCTTCGAAAAATGTTGCAAAAAAAAAAAACGTTCGTGAGAGAACTTCTCTTCAGTGGGGTGAAATTTTTCTCTCAATTTCCCCTTTAACACAAATACCATTAAACAAGTGCAATAAGCTGCATTTTTGCCTTCTTTTGAGGTTTTTCTTCTCACATCGTACATTTTTACTCTTGTGTTGCTTTTTTCCAGAGTGGTTCTTCGTTAACTTTCATTTTTATTACTATGATTTTTATTTCAACATTCAATGTCTGTCGTAAAAAATTATAAACTTCGCACTCATACTCCATAAAGGGCGAGATGTGATGATGATGGAAACAAGAATATTTTGACTACCGGCGTGTGATTTTATTTTCTTGATTCTTTATTTTCACGTTGTTCAAGAAAAAATTCATGTTTACTTATCAAATATTTTCACTAATTATGAAATGTTCAAGTTGATTAATTCACAAAACATATTTAAAATGTAAACATCTTGCATTTTCAATACATAATCGGTAGAAAATATTTAATAGCATTATCGCTATAAAATATTTTCGAATGGAAATTTTCCTCCATCATATTAATTCTACTTCAGCCGATAAGATAATATAACGCGTTATATTTTTCGTCACAACACAGCGTTAGAAAAGAAGGAAATAAACATTCAACAAGTTGTGGAGCTTTAAAAAAGTGACTCACGTTAAATGGAAATATGGAAAAGTGTTGAGAGGGATTTTCCATGCAGATGAAAAAGAAAATGATTCATGAAATATTTCATATGGTTTGTTTTATTTTTTAAGGGTTAAATTAAAAACGGTTCCAGTTTATTAATCACTAAGCTCATCACTTTACATTATGTACTAAACGAGAATATTTTAAAATTCTATTTCAAAATAATCACTTAAATATCACTTAATTAATAGATATTTTTTTAATTGATGATATTTTATCAATAACTACCTATTTATATTCATATCTATTTGTTAACATTTTCATTTCATATTCACAGAATTCACTTTGTTAATTGAATTTTAATGATTGAGACTACCTAGGAAAAGATTCTTTTTTTTTGATAACTGTTAAAGTCAGTCAAGTGAAGAATTATTCTAAGTCATAAAATAATTTTGTAAATTCTAAGATTTATTGATATTTTTCTGGACATTTAAAAGATTGTCTGGACACAACTTGACATCCTTTTTAAAAAATGGAAATGCGTTGAGAAAATCTTCAAGATTTGTTCTGTAGCTTTGTATAGAATTTATAAGCAAACAGAACGAGGTTTATGGAACATTTTCAGAGACAGTTTTATCACTTCCGGTCAAAGGTCGACCGTCTCGAAAAAATATTCACTAGCACTCTTATCACACTTAAAACAAGTTTTATTTACCGTTTTTCTGCGAAATGAAATTTCGGTAATCGATATGCTGTTGGTAATCCACAATTAAGCCGTTAAAGTTATCCAGTGTTCAAAAGTTCATGTGAGCTTAACACTCACACCCACAGTTGTTTTTTTGAGATGTTCAAAATTCTTTTTTATTTTATGCCAACGCTTTTTATCCTTTTTTTCAACGCGTTTTAATCCTTTTTTCACACTTTGCTGATCACTTAATTTCGTTAACACCACGTATCAGCACCGCTTCGCTTTGTACCTTTTTTTATTATCGCGTTCAACAGTAACTCGGCGATGGAAACAAAAGCAGAAAAAAAACGAAATAAAATAATGAGAAGGAAATAAACAAAGAAAGGTTGTGAGTTTGAAATAATCCTTTCACTTAAATGCGTTAATTGTCTTCTGATAATCGTTTATAGTATCTCATATTTTTTTAAGTTTAAGCGCTGAGAAAATAATTCACGCTACGCGACTGTTCACTTCAAATGTTCAACACTGAATGAGACGTGTTTTTTTCTGCTGTATATGATTCTTGTCTCCTTTTCTGGTTTGCTTCTGTCGTCTGTTGGTGGTCGTTTACACTAATACGTAAACGAAACTTTAGAGAACGGGGAGATTCACGGCTCTTGCAATTTCTTCTCTTCCTTTTCGAATTTCTTTTCGCCTTTGATTTTTTTCGTCTTTTAATTTTTTTCTGCTTGTTTATATGTGTTTTATCCTCCAACACGTTGCCGAGGCTTCAAAGCAAATCAAAAACATCTGTTTTATATTTTCGTTATGTGCACTTTTTATTATTCGCTGTAGTTTTGTTCCGTCTTTTTTTGTTTTTATTCTTGAAACTTAAATTTTACGCAGAAACTTTTTTATTTTAAATTTCCCACTAAGCCAAATATCTCTAGGAAATTTGCTAGACTTTTATTTTGGAATACTTAATTTATAACATTTTTCGTTATAACGATAAAGCATAAAACACCACTTAGGAATAATTTTATAATTTAAGAAGCCAAGTTCCAAAAACGTGTCCTTTCTCGTTGAACGGTGAGCGATTTCTGACGATGCGATACATTGCGGACGGAAGAAAAGAAAGCGAGAAAAACATCACACACATCACATAAAGACCGAAATTCGAGAAAATCCTCAATATATTTTTGCGAAGAATAAAGAAACAAACCTTTCTATCCATCCCATTGCCTTTTTATGTATGTAATTTTCCCTTCTTCGTCTTATTGTTTTTGTTGTTGTACTCTGTGCGAGTATACATACATAGCCATTGTACAGCGGACCCGAAGGCATCACATCTTTGGAGGATGAGGAGACGAACAGAATTAAGCAACCTTTCTTCGGCTTTCTAAAGCGAGTACATAAGGAAAAACTACACATATCGCTGTGAATCTTGTGTGTGATGGTGAATGAATGAAAATGTGTTTGAGTGCCCACTAGCACTAGCCATTTCGCGATAATAAATTGCTTCAACAAGGGAAACACGATGTTGTTCAAAAGTTGAGTCGGGTAGTGGGTGGATGGAGAGAAGATGATTTTCATTTTCTATTTTACGAATGGTGGTGGCGATCGTCTTCAAACGGTGTGAGCTGACGTTGTATACGCGAGGCTGTAGATATGATGTTAGATTGGGAAATCCTGTAGAAAATTTCGCCTCGCATTTTCTCGAGGAGTCCGAGTTTGAATAATTTTACCCGACATGTGAGTTGGGAGTGAGATGGGTCGAGAAAATGTTGATGCTTCCACCCACGCACAAAACTACTTCGTTTCGTTGATAAGACAGAGATGAAAAACTGTAAAATATCTAGCGTAGGAACGTGTACTACACACACGGCACATGATTATGGAAATGAAGGCAGAATTTTAATGAAATGATTTCTTGAAATGCTCCGTGTGTGGAATGAATGTAAAAGGGTTGATGTTGAGAAAACGCTACAGAAGATGTCGCCTCATATTCTCATCTTCTCGCCTTTGGTCATCTTTCGCTATTTTTATTCGTTTGTCGCAATGCGCTCCGTCTATGGATTATTGATTTTCCCATCCATCTCAAAAAACGGAAAAGCAGCACCATAAGCACCCCTTTTCGCCGTTTTCCCGCGATTCCCCCTCCACTCACTGCCAAGATATTTTCAATCCAACTCACTCACTCGCGTGTGTTGGTCATCGAAGTAAAGTCGAGAATTTTCGGGAGGGTGGAAGTCCACACATGTGTGTATATAATTCATTCTTAAGATACTAGAGTATAATACCCGTCTTGAGGAATGAACCTGAAGGTTAGCAACTGCTTCTAAACATTTCAAATTTTGACTTTTATATTCTTCAAAATGAATGCCTTCTATTGCTTCTGTTGCTGTTTTTTTGTGCTACGTAACATTATTCGTATGAATTTATGAAGAAAATCCGTCTCAACTTGTTCATGTATGTTCTAGCTTTTCTTCATTTTCCAACTCTCAGCGAACGGAGAAAAGTTCCTCAACCTTCTTTTCTTCTTTTCTCAAACCTTGCTTGACCTCTTCCTACCCCACAACTCACTGGACCGCAATTTAAATTTTCGAAAATTCTTGCCGTCTCGCTCTGGTCAGTTTTTGGAAAAAACAGTTTTTCCTCTTTTCTTACACGAAACGCTTAAGCGCAAAATGGGCGGGCGAGAGTTGAAATAGTTTTTAATTAATCGTAATCATTGACCAACCTCCTGAGTTTACTCCTGCGTTTGACAATATTAAGAAAAGTTCGTGCTCGCGAACGCGAGTTTGAATTGACTGTACACCGTAGAAAAGATGGTAAAAGAACATCAGCAGCAGCGAGGCTGAAACTGCAGGAGGGTGAAATTCGTTCTTTGATATAAGAAAAAGCAACGGGAGAAAAAAACCGGCTTGCTTTTTGGAAACATGCGAGGCGGAATGTGTGGGTGGTGAAAGTTTTTTTTTTATATTTTTGCGCTAGCTCATGTCCATTACTATAGAATTGTCTTTGTTAGTACGAAGTGAAACGTTGAAAAACATTTTCTTCGAAACGTAAAGAAAATATTTTTTGTTGGCATCGCAGATTTTTCAACAAGAAAATAAAATGGAATGAGAACGAACGTAGCATTTGCAGCAACATTTCTTTTGTTGACGACTAAGAAAAAACATTGAGGATTAAAAGAAACGGTGTCAAGGAGATGGAGAAGAAATGCGATGCGATTTTTGTTCTTTTCTTTGCTTTCGCGAGACTCGATGCTCTGCAAGGTAAAATAAATTTATGACAAAGAAGTTGGAGAACTTCCAGGTTGATTATTAAAAGAAATAAAAACTGTGGGTGGATGTTGAAGGTGGCTTGAATTCTCCAACTTTCAATTCAATGAAATTTATTCTCAAGATGTTAAACTTTTTTTCTGTAAACATAAAAATTATTCACTAGAAATCTTTAAAACGTTTCAGTGATATTTCAATTTGTCGAATTATTTCCTTGATATCTGGCAGAGATTGCTTTTAATCAATGAATATTTTGAAACCTCTTTTTTTCACACTAAGCAAATGAAAGCAAAGAAGTAAGAAAAGAATTTAATGTCATATTCAAATTAAAAGAAATATAATTTACCCAAACTTTTCTGTAGTGATGGCTTTGTTAAGTTCAAACTACACAGAAGAAAAGGTCTCACTCATCTCTAGTAAAGAGACTTTTATTTAGCTGATAGCATCAAAACTGGACTCAATAAGGTTCGTGAGAAATGTTTCATTGAATTGAAAGTTCAACCTTTCATTGATTATTCGAAATAAAGGAAAACAACAGCCTACTCGTCCATAAAGCGAAACAAAAAACTAAACTAATGACTATCTACTTATGTAAGAAGATGACAACATCAGCATCAACATCTCCAGGATGTAAACGAAGCCATCGTCATGTTATATGTACAAAAGAAGAAAAAACCTTTTTTCCTTTTGTATTTTGTCGCTATTTCTATAGAAATTGCTTGATCTCACTCCACTTGTTCATTCGAAAAAGTTGTGTAAATGAAAATATCTGATGGCATTCGAGTATGTATGATAGTGGAAAAAGGTTCATTTTTCTGAGGAAAATTTTCCATGTACGGTCGATAAAAAAACACACGACAACGATTTTTCTTAAACAGAGTCCAAGCATGCAGAGAATGAAAACGAGAAATCACCCAAAGGGCTTTCTCCCTTAAACGTATCTTTCAGCTCTCGCGAAAATGGCTTTTCACATATCCGACGCTGTTTTCCTTTCTCCCGCTTCTTCACATGTGTAAAGATGCTGCGCTAGAGAAAAAGAGGGTCATTTTCACGAAAGGATAAGTGTGGGTGGTGATTTCAAGCCTCTTTTTTGCGTCTCATTCCACTCCTCATCGCGCTCGTTCAGTCATCAGTTCTTTTGATATGTGCGAGAAGATGGAAATAAAGGGAGAAAAGAAAAGCCCGGGGTTCCGGTGGGACTAAACGACGACTACGCTTTTTGTTAAAATTATCCTGTAAAAATATTTTTCGCCTCCTTTCAATCCATGCATGAATGAATTTCGATGGTGTGAGAAATTAAAAGTAGAAGCAAGTTACAATTTTACAAGAGAAAATGATGGAGAGTGTCACAGATCTTCATAGTTGAATCTCTAAAGAAATATTTTCCTTTCCCCCATTATGCGCTAGAAAAATTTATATGAAAAGCTTTCTCTGACCATGCAAGAGTGAAATTTACTTAACGCTACTTCACACATGTTATTCTCGCTCTGTTGGATCATGATGATGATGACTATGATGATATTGTTGTTATTATGATACTGAGAAAGATTCTTGCAGATAATCGACTTTGCATGTAGAGACGAATATAAAAAGTTTTTAATTCTATTTTTTTTTCATTCGTGGACATGTTGCGAGAAAATTTTTGTTTTTGTCTTTCTTCGCCCTTATTGTTAGCTTAGATACTTATTTACTTACATTGATGTTAGAATTGTTATGCCCAAAGGTGTCATAAATTTTGAGAAACTCTCCATAGTCTCCATGCCTTAATATGTTTATGCCCTTTCGTTGAAACAACAGCAACAACTCGTAAATCATGAAGACGATGTGTAAATGGGTCCATCGGCAAGATGATTTTTGATAGGAACGAAATGATAATCAGAATAAATTTTCTATATTTATGTTGATTAAGTCAAGAAGTTCTCATGAATGTGAACTAGTTTTGATTTGCTGATTACACCCTGAGAAACGTCAGCATAAAAACGATCTCCAGCAGTCCCTTGGAATACTCATGCGGAACACGTCATAACTCATGTGATTTTATGATGTTTTAATGAGATTTGACAGGAAAATTGTTGGTTTCAAGTTCAAGACTGTGTGTTCAACTATTTTTATTTGAAGGAAATCAATTAATAGCATCTTACTAAGCCCTCATAAAACTAACGACTCCTTACGATCAACAACGATTTTTATGTCTTTGAACTGTTGCACAATTATTGCTTTTCACATAAATATTTGCCATTCATGTGAATTTATGGACAAATCATAAAGCAAAAAAAAAAACTTCCCATTAAACATAAAGTTAGGGCATCTTCTTGGAAATCGGTGTTCGAGTGAGTTTCTCTTCTTTCTTTATTTATTTATCGCGAAACTTTACCTCAAAAATGAAACCCTGGGAAGAATTCCATGAATTGCAATGCTTTAGTTATTGTTACATTGCGTTTACCTTCAAAATACATTGTTAATAGGTTTTCTTCTGTTCTCTTGCACTTTAATTTCGGTGATTCTCAATTTTTTTTGGTGTATTTATGTTAGTCATTCTGAATGGTGGAAGAAATACGTCGTCATCGCAGGTAGTAAATTGTGATCCTTTTTTCTTCATCTATTTACCGGTTGCGCTCATCCATTTATTTTGCATCGTCGTGTTCGATATTCCATTCCGTGATTTGTGATGTACCCTGACAACTAAACATGAAAAAGAAGAACAAGAAAAAGAAGAAGGGCAAGAAGGAAATTGTAATTTAGAGACTCGTTTGTTGAATTACTGAAATGTGAAAAATGCATTCGCAAAACAGCCTTGTCCTGAGAGCCATAAATTTAAAATCAACACAAAAATGAAATGAGACAAATTTCTTTTAATGATTTTCACCGAAAAAGCGATTTGAAAAGAAAAGAAATTTTTACTCGGTATCGTAACAATGGCAGTAGCAGCAGCTTCGAAATCGGGATAAAATGTGAACTGTGCAGTTGAATGGAGGCCAATTTTCTACACGATATCATAAATTTTCACTCGCTTTCGCTTTAAGTCTATTGAATTGGAATCAATTTCTTCATGACAAAAACGTCGATGGAAGTTGGAAGTCGGAAGGGAAGTTTCTGTGGATGCAAAGTCGAATCATCCAATCGCGACGTAAGTCGATAGTTAACATCTGTTCATGCTATAATGGAGAAGTTTTAAGAATTATGACGAAAGTGTCGTGTCAAAAGAGCGCTGCTATTGTCCCACGACGCATATTGCATTTTACGATCAGCTTGAGCACAGCGAAGATTCCAAAGAAATGGGAAAAAAGGATAATATTTTATTCATTCAGTCGCGTTTCTTTTGAGGTCAAACAATTGTCTCGTATCGTCGTTTCCAACCACATCCTGAACCCTTAAACTAGTTTCTTCTATTGTGTTGATCCAACCACCCGATTATCAGAGACAAATCACGGATGAAGTCGCATAGAATAATTTGAACATTAATTTTTGTTCACGTCATGGAACAAAACGCAGTTACAAGATGAGTGAGAGATTGTGATCGAAACGACTCCTTAAAATAACTTTTTTCTTTTTTATTTCATTTTAATTTGTAAATGAAAGTCTATGATGACGATTTATCAGTGTCATGAACATTTCAATGTTATTATTCTCCACTCCGAATTATGCACATACCCGTTCTTCTCGATTCCATTTTACTTTTATTTTTGTGACGAATTGCGGACCTTTGGGATGAAAACGACGACGTCCACTATTCAGTTGTGTTTGTGTTTGAAGGATTGCGATAGCATCGTCCACTGGCAAGAAGGATCATGTTTTGTTCTCTTAACATTTCTTTTTTCCTTGGAACATGTTGATGTTTATTTCTTTAGTGTAGCTACAAAAATGGTTGAAAACGGTTACAAGGAAAAGCAACCTCGAAGACCTTTCAATGCACTTCGAAGATATGTAAAAAGATTCCATTCCTTAAATCTTTAAACAGTAATGTGGAAAAAAGGAAAGAAGGAAATGACGCAAAGATATTTTATGCCGCCAAATGAGAGAGTGAGACTAGCAACTGCATCCAAAACGGAAGAAAATGGCGCATTGAGGAATAGCGGAATATAATAATGAATGGAATTGTTTTTCTGTTGTTAATGTAAATTTATAGGAGCCAGAAAAGATATCATTTTAGTCAGAGATAGAAATTAATTGTCTTTAAAGGAATCAGCAACTCAAACGTGTGCTTGCATTAAAATTTCACTTGAAGTTTCTTCTTCGTTTAAACAAACAACTTTCCTTTCAAGAAGATTCAAAAATTTCTTATGAATTGAATGAATCTCACAAGAAGTAACGTACGTTGTGTTCATAGCGAAAATTTCTAAGAACTTCATTATTTTTTCTGCACCATAATCCAATGACTAACTAATAAATGGCAAACGAAATTCCTTTTTCAACATGTGCCTTCTTAAAGCTCATGTATCAGCATGTTGCAGTCGATTTCCTTCTTCTTACAACTCACATTCTTACACTCCATCGATATTTGACGTTTCTCTCCTTCCTTTGTTATCTTATGACGGTTTGTTATTCATCGATGCACCCATAAAAGATGATTGAAGGACTTTGCTTCTCACATAGGCAAACAGAAATGATGTTTGGATTCATTGTTATATTGTCACACGAATTTTCCCTTGATTTTCAAAAGATTTCTTTAAATTTATGAAGTAACGAGAATTCACAACTCTATTAACCGTGCTAAAATCGTAAATTCAACTCACCCTGAAACCATTTCCGTCATTCAATGCTTTCGTCAACATTTCTTTTCCCTATTTCTTTTTTTTCGCATACATTTCTCACATTCCGACTCGATAATCCGACTGATGAAAGTCTTTTAAACTACCTGCAAATCTGAGCTTGAAGTAATAATCGTAAATCTTTTCTATTTTCTTTCACGTTTCACGGGAGAGTTCTTACTTACTTCACTTACTTAGCCTTAGTTCTAATACTTGCAAAAAGGAATTATGAGGAATGTAATCTGAACATCAAATAAATAACAGCAATAATCATAAATAAACAACAGACAGAGATTTTCTTCTAAATATTCCCCGTGTTGATGTCAATGTGAATGGTGAATGGTAAGAAAGTGCAACGACAACAATCGCCTTAAAAAGATTTCAATTTCCTTCATTCTTTCCATTGCATTCAAATGCTTTCACTCTTTTAGTTCTTAAATCAAAACTTTAATTACTTTCGATCCCATTTAACCCCTTTTACCTTCATAATGTGTTGAACATCGAAGCGAGTCTTCTAATCCATGTGAACACAAACCAAAACACGCCGATGTTGTTTCTGCTTCACTGAAATTTGATCGCGATTATCACAACAAAAAAGTAAAGAAAGTCGAGTCGAGTCGATTTCAAGCGTTGCTGACACCAGCGATGAATGATCATAAAGCAAAACCAGTTACTTTCCATGAACGATAAATGGTTCTGTAAATTATCCATCAAAACAAAAGTAAACAAAAACAAATTAAGTTTCTCACTGACATCGCAACCGATATCAAGGAAGATGAAAGTAAATGCAAATGTGTGCTAGAATCGTAACTTCCAACCGTATCAAAAAGGATCATGTTTGTAGCGGAATGTCGTCATTGTCGTCATCGTCAGGGAATGAAAACACGAACATTTAAATGAAATATGCATTTAATTTGCCTGTCTTTGATGATGGGAATGAGGTTGACATCGAATGAAGTACAAACCTGAAATCATCTCGGGACACTTTCTTCGTCTTCAAAAAAAAATTAATAACAAAAACTTCTTTTCTTCCTTTCACTTCCCCGTGAGCCCTTTAATGTCAATTAAGATTCCCTCCTTTCTCGCTCGCAGCCGTTCCCCGTCTTCAAAATCGCAGTTCAAAATTGTAAATCATTCTTCCTTTTTTTCGGGTGATGTTACGATCGCATTGTATTCATTGCACTTTTTTGCCCCGTCAAACAGAAAAGCGAAATGAATGCAAAGCCCATAAATTGGCCTGAAGAAGGCAACCCGATTGACGACACCCTTTTTTCAACTTTAACATTGCTTTACTTTGACAAGGGAATTTTTTTTTTTCCTTTCAGATTAAAGAGAAATTGTTCATTATTTATTCCTTTAAATATAAGAAGAAAAAAGAAATCGAAATGGCAATTAAGTTGTTTTCATTTTGGCCGGTCTTTTTTTCTTGAAAATCAAGACTGATTTCTTTCAAACGATTCCAAGAAATGATAAAAATAACGCTCAGATAGTCAATCAATGTCGTCTGGAATGACAGACAATTTACATTGATGCAATCCTTGAGCAGCAATTGTGCGCATAATTTTCAAAGCTTTACCCCGTGAATCCTTTTTGAAACGAGAATTAAACGTGAAAATTTTTTTTTTCTGTCGAGATTCAAGAATGAAAGAAGCAGAAATTCAACTGTGATGAAACATGAGAAATGTTTTCGCTTTGAGAATCTTCACTCTTCAGATTTTTTATGTCCTTTTATTTCGAAAGTTTCTGCAGTGTTAGTCATGAATTTTCCTTTTTTCTGAATAAGTCAGTCACTGGTGAAATTCTACGGCGCCCACGTTTAATTAAAAGTCTGCATTCATTGTTGAGCGAAGGATATTTTTACTTTTTTTCATTCGTTTTCAATGGAAGTCGTCTGCGGTTTTATTGTACACGTTCTCAGTAGAGTCTTACGATATTTTCTATGCGCCTTGATTGCCTTTCATAAACCTAAATAAACATTGACAGCGCTCTCTTAAACGTCTTGTAGCATTTTCTTATTTTCTCGCCACATAATCCCCATTAGTCGCTAAACATGAACAAGTCGTCACTTAATATTTTCGTCCTAATAACCGGCACGACGCTGTATTAAACTTTTATATAAATTGTAATCCTATTAAAAGTTATGAAAAATATTTCTTCCCTTATGAGCATCTTGAAGCTGCTGGGTGAAGTGATAAAGTAAAAAATGTTTGGCTTGGGTGAGAACCAGTTCGTTGCTATTAAATTCACATTAAAATAGAAATGATTGAAGTTTTAGTTCTTTTCATAAGTCGTTGGAAGGATCTTATTATTATTTTTACCATAAGAGAATTATTTAATAAGCAATTCAAATAATAATAATAATTTCTTTCGTTTACTTGAACCCATGTCAAGAGCAATTTCTTTTTTGTTATGTTGTTATTATAACATGGAGTTGAAAGGTAGCAAGACAGCGAAAATTTTGGAAACACAGCAAAATAATTCAAAACATATTCATGAAAACGTGTAAAACATGCAACAAGATGTTTCGAATTTTTTCTTCTTTTATTCAAGACTAGACTCGGGGAAAACGTCAGGTTTGAACGGGATTTGGTTTTGTTATTGTTTCGGAAAACATTTCTCTATTTGAGATTATTCTGATTCAACTTTCAACATAGATTTGAAACATGTCAAGGCCTGTTTCGAATAAATTGTAAACTGTCATGAATTTAGCAGTTCACTCCATTGGCATTCCAAAAAACACAAATGCAAAGCTTTCTTCACATTCATTTTTACCACTGATAAAAAAAGAAGCTTTTCGGGGTTGTATTATGTGCTTTTGTACATAAGTAGCAACACTTCTCGTCGACTTAGTGGAATGAGAGACGTTAAATATTTACATAAAAGTTGTAACGAAAAAAAATCCATTCATAAAATGAGAAGTGCAACAAGTTGTATTTTTTTCTTCCTTTCTCCACAATCAACAGTACATGATACAGAGAATAAAAAATCAGATTACATAAAAGTATTTTTATTTATTTTTCATTTTATTATGTTTTGTTGTTGCTTCGTTGTTCTTGTGTGAGGATAAACTTTGTTTTGTTTACTGAATAAATGATTGTCATTACGTCCTCGACCTTAGAACTTGATAAAAATGTGTTTTGAATAATGAAACGATGTTAATCTGATATTTCTCTTATCTAAGAATATTCTTGGAAAAAAAATTCATTACCATGTTCTACTTACAACTTTCGATTTAGAAGCGTGTGAATGCGTAACAAAACCAGTGAATGAAATAGAATTGAATGAATTTAAAAGTTTGAGAAGTCAAAAGTTATCAGAAAAACTCGAAATGAATTTACTTATTCTATTTGACATATTAAATTCACCTTCATGAAGACACCGCAAATTTTAAGCGTTGAAATTCATTACACCGGAAATGTCGACAATCAAAGCACCGGAAATAAATAAATTGAAAAGCTTCTTTTCAATGACGGTTCAAACTTTTGATTAAATGCTTCAATGTTGCAATTTTTAGACTATCATAATATATTTTCTAGTAACAATTATCGTGGTTCAATTATCAGTGTCACAGTTTTGTAGTCCACATTTGTGTAAAGTTCGAATAGAAATACATCGAATTGTATTGTTCAAACATGTTTTGCCTTTACTGCTTTTCAAATGGACAAAGTTTTCCTTCTCCAATGTCGTAGATATAAGTACGTCTATAGAAGGAAGCATCTCATCTACTTTTGCCCCGTTGACGACGACGACAACGACGACGTTCGTTGTCCGCTTTTAGATGTATGCACATACATATATTTTGGGGATGCTTGGGTTTTGGTTATTTTGAAGCAGCAAAGCAAAGCACAGCATCACAGCAGAGAACACATCGGACGGTCATTCGAGCATAAATTGAACGATGGTGGGGTGAGTGAAGTGAGATGAGAAAAGGGAAAATAATTTTCATGTGTACATGACATCATCTCCACCATCGTTCACCATCTTCCCTTCTACTTCTACTTCTGCCTTTGCTTTTGCTTCTACAACTCCTTGAAATTCTCTACTGCTCTCAAACAATATGAAAACGAAAAAGACCGTTTGGTTTCTAACAACGACGACGTTGTACATGTGCTGGACAAAGGAAGGCATCCGCAATGTTATATGAAAAGCAGAGTAAGGTGGAGAGAAATTGATGGAATGGGAAACGATGATGATTCTCCAACGCTGAAAAACGTGTACTCAACTCTTACGAATGAGAATAGAAATTTTTCTGCTGTGGTCATTCTTACCCTGGGCAGTTGAGCTCTTAAATGAAGGAGCTCAATTTTACGATGGAAGGGGAAATTTGAAATGAATTTTCCAACCGAGTATCTACTGACCAAAGACTGAGTTTTCGGAATTTTAGGTAAATTTTTGTTGGGGTTCGTCTTGGGCAGAAATGAAGTGAAGAAGGAGTTGTTTTAGGAACACACACGAAAATTTATGCTGTTTCTTGCTGCTTGAAAATTACATTATCAAAATTTTCCACAGCCAACCCTTTCATTATTTTCTGAGATAAAAAGAAAAACTTTACTCGGTAACATGTTTGTTTTGCCCGGGAGTTAAAACTTTTCTGATGAGCATTGGAAATGACCAACAGAAAACTCAGGCGAAAGAGAAATTTACATATTTTTAAGATAAACTAAACGTACGAGAAAATTGTTAATGAAGATTCATGCTTGCGTAATTTTAAGATGATCGAATGAAATCAAAAATATGCTTGAAGCTTCATTTCAATCAGTCTCGTAGAGTTTCGTTTGAAGTAATCAAAGTTTCAGCATGTTTTGCAGTGACTTTATTTGTTAGCAGGCAAAGTTTAATTCATAAAATAAGCAATTATTGAATCGAAATAAAGTAAACATCTGCTAAAGAAAATATTGAATTTATTTGGAAAATATTATTAACCCTTCATGTCAAGTTATTGTTGCTGAGGAAGTTTAATTTCACAAGAATAACAATCCAATCGATTGGTAAGAATAAAAAAAACTTCTTTAAATTCAACAAGAAAATTTAATGCCAATCGAAACAGAACGAGGAGTTTAGTGGCATAAATGGAACAGAACTTAGCATCAGAAATTTGATAAAAATCTCTGTGAAAATCGTTTGAAATTTCCTCCCATTCAACATCAAATTCGCTCAGTGAAATAAAAGAAACTAAACTCAAATTCATCCTTTTTTCGATTAAATAAACAGAGCCTCATAAAAACTAAACATGAACTTTTAGAAAGACGGTTTAATTCTCCTCTACATTATGAAATGTATATTTTTTAATTACGTAGTTTCAAACATAAATTAAGCATACACACAAAAACTGATCCCTTTTTCTAGCTCGTTTCTCTTTTTCGCTAAGCTTTTACCTCTTTTTCTTCACCACCCACACACAACAGTTCTAAAAGAGATAAAAATTATTAGAAAAAGCAAAATCGTCTTTTTTTGTAGCATTCATTCGCCACACACCGCCATCTCCGTCTCATTCCAATGGAAAAATACTTTTGGACCTTTTCAAAAATCCATTTTCATGTACACATTCGGGGAGGGAGAAAAACTTTCAGCCAACTAACATTTACATTAGCATTTGGATACCGTAAAAAAAGTTAATTTATCTTTTTCCTCTCGTATATGTTTTTGTGTTTTTAATCCCGAATCCTAGAGAATTCATAATTTTTTGTTTGCCTTCTTCTTCGTTGCTTGTACAATATTAGATGTGTGTTTAAATGAGTAAAAGGATCTTTTATGACTACACCCATTGGTCGCTAAAGCACTAACATGAGCTTTCTCCGAGATAGCTATTAAGACAAACACGCATGGACATGAGAAAACCATTTGAATTTTCAGTCTTCTTGTTTCATGCTTGGTGTGAGTGTGGTGTTGGGATGGAAAGCAGAAACCAGAAACCATAACCGCGAAAACTTTTCTTCGTTGTGTATCTTGTTGTTGACGGCTAGGAAAGGATTTAAACTTAACATTTTAAAAGGCATAAGATGTGACACTTTTCTCAAATATTCCCGAAACACACAAAAGTTTCTTTCAATTGCTTCACAAGTTAAATGATTTTATTCCACATCTCATTCTCAAACTTCCTTCGTCCATCTTTGAAGTACTGGACAGCAATTTTCAACGAGAAATTTATTCAACTATCCTTTCGCAAATACCGCACATCCCAGACTTTTACCATCTCAAAAAGTTTTCTCGCTCATTCCACAGCAGTCAGCAATTGAAATTATGTGGGTGAATGTGTTGTACATGCTTTGAAAAATCTTTCATCTAGCATCGAATGAAAATATTGGCCCGCTATAAAATTCATTAGAAGTTGAATGCTTGCTGCTGTTTTTTGAACGATACGACGCTGATTGCTTTTCTAGGGAGGGAAAAACTTTAACATTATGCTTGAGCACACAGATTTATTGACATTTTGGAATCGGTGCGGACTATCGTTGGGTGTGGAGTGTTGGAGTTTGTGAAGATTTAGTTTTCCCTCAACTTGCACCTCTAAGACTACGTAGATTAACAAAACGACAACGACGACTATCGCATACGACCAATCGCAAGATGTACAGACTCATGTTGTCCGAACGAAAGTTTATTTATGGCACTTTTGTTCCATTTCTGCTTCACATTCCACCTCCCGCCTCCTAAACATCGAGCTACGAGTCTCGGACATTAGAAAATTCACCATCTTTTGAATATGCAAAATAGTTCAAAATTTTCCTACTTTTACTCTTCTTACTATTCCTTTCGTCCGCAATAGAACACCACACCATATCGTGCAAAGGCGAAACAACAGCAGCAAGAAGTTTTAATATGCTGTCGTTGCAATCAAGAACCAACCACCCCCAAAACTGACCAAAAACTATTCTCCTCACATTCAATCTAAATTGAAGTTCGCCTTTCTACTTGTATCTAAGCGCTTTGTCCTTAGATACGAGGGTGAAACCTCATCACCACCCACACGTTGTATCATCTCAAACCCATGCACGAAATTTTCCTCAATTTCACATTACTCTCAGCTTTTGCTCTGAATAACAATTTCATGTCAATGACGGTGAAATAACGGAAACGAAAGCGCGGTCGAATCATCAAATTTTAGGTTCATTTGTTTCTTTTTAAATGATGCTGTCATGTCAATGAAGTTCCTCCCTTTTTTGGAAGATAAAATTTAACATTTAACTAACTTGTATTTATTTACAATTCCGAGAGCTTTTTGTGTTTTGAAATATTCATTTGAAACTAACATTTTAACTCAATTTTCCTTTGTGATAACATTAAACCGCGAGCCAAGTATCTTCAATTTTAACATGGGGACGACACTAACGGTCAAATGGAATACACAAAAGCAAAGGCAACAAATTTTATAGTCATCTAAATAAATAAAATTGGTATACTCAAGTGGCCATACTCAAGAAAAGGCTTCAGCATGGAGTCGAATGGCTGACGGTAGCGAAATCAAAAGATTGTGGAATGAGAAATAAATGGCGAAGTGAAGTGTAGTGAAGTGAGGGAAGAGAACGTAAATTGTGACTAGGAAAAAGTTTTCTTAGCTTAAACGAATAAGCGAATGTAGAAATGCCGTTCCTATAGTCACGTTCACATATTTTTCAGCCTCTTTCTTTTCTCAATATAATGCCAGCCATTCTTTTCCATAACTAAAGCAATAAGTGCAATAATAGATGTGTGAGGGCTTGAAAACCTTCCACTCTTCTCGATGTATCTAAGAGCATTGGAGTTTGTGGAAACAAGACAAGAATTATTTAATCGCTTTTTACTGACACGAAAGGAAACGACGAAAAATTATTCTCAGCTCTCAGGCTTTATCACAACATGTCATGAACACATTTATAAAATCAACTAACCGCCTGATTTCTATTATCATTTGAACCACATTCACCAGACGCAATTGTTTGCACAACATGAAACGTTGGCATGTTTGAAGAAAAATCTTCTTCAACAAAATTTCTATCGCCATTTACCAATTTCGGATGAAAATGATAAGAAAAGAAAATCTTCATCATCTGTTATTATATTTATTGATTTAGAGATTGTTTAACGATAAATTGAGTTGGTGTTTCATCAAATTACGTTCGTCTTTTTAGTTTTCCTATTTATAGGATTTGTGTGAAGTGAAGAAAAGAATTCGGAAATGAAAAAGTAAATTTCTTGAAAAACTTTTTGTCTTCTTCCGTTTTCTTTAGATATTTTTATTCTCTTCTACAAAAAAACAAGAAAAAGAGAAGAAGAAAAAGCTACAATCGAATGAAAACAGAAAGGAAAGAAATTCAATGTTTGTTGCTTGTTGTTCGATACGTAAACACGAAGAATGCTGAATATAATACAAGACTAATGGCAAAAAAAAATACATAAATGAAATTCATTCCATTCTCGTACTCTAATGTTGCCCCCGAAAAAAAAAAACATAAATACATAAACATAAACGTTATGTGTTTCTTTTTCGAAATATAACTTGTTGTTGTTGTGATTTAGAGATATCTGTACACATTTTTATTTTTATGTGTTTTATGATTTTCGTATTTCTCTTCTTGCTTCTGAACGAATTTTTTTTCTTTCTTTCTCGTCATCATCCCCATCCACGTTCAATATCTAAACAGTTGACTAAGGTCAGTGTTTTAATAATAAAAATGTGCTTGGATTTTTTTATAGCATCCTCAATTTGTTTCTCCCTCTGCTATCAAAATCTCTGCCGACTTAGTGGGGTTTTATTTTTTTCGATGTTATGAAGTAGAAAGAGTGAGAGTAGAATTAAAGGATTGCAAATTGAATGAGTGAATCTGTAAATGGATTTATTGAAATAGATGACTCAAACTCATGTGTACGTACATACATGTAACTGTTGATGAAGTGAAACTCGAAACTTTTCCCTCATTCAACAATTGCAAATCGTTTTTTTTTTCATTCTTTTGGCTGCTCAACATAAAGCGCTTTGTTTATTACAACAGAAATCCTAAAAAAACATTCGCCGAAGTGCATAATACGCATTTAGTCACACGAAGCCATTTGGCATTCATGTGAAACGCACATTTATAGATGTTTAGAATGAACGAATGGTGTAAAAAGAGAAAAAGCTAAAAAAATCAGCGGGTGCAAAAAAAGCAAAACTCGTTGAAAGAATCTCGTTTGACTGCGAGGGTCGCAAAATGGAAAATTTCTAGGTAGAAAATAAGAAGAGATTACTCGTTGCTCGTCAATACAAACACAAGATGCACATTCCACGCATTTACGCATTTAGTGAGTTTCAATGTTGAGTTGGCCTCATAAAAGATTTTTAAGGGTTTTCATTTTTCTGGGTAATTTTTATGACCAATTTCTACGGACAGTGTGGGTAGAAATAAAAGGCAAGAATTCGACGACAGTTAAAAGCGTAAAATGCGATTATGTTCAAAAATTATTTGTTCTCTTGCCCATTATCAGCTGAAAATAATGCAACGACATTGTCGAATGACGAACGACTAATGGCACAAATAGAAAACCGAACAGCGATCACGTAAAAACATTTAAAACTTTATCGTTTGAACGACTGCTGTTTACACATTGATAAAGCGATAGATTTATTTGCTTTTATGGTCAGTCGAGTTCTTGGAAGATTTTCTAAATCTAATTACAATGATTCATCGAAAGCAACCAATATGCCGTTGTTTATTACTCAAATGCCATTCAATGATGACTTGTAGGTTTCGCTTTCGCACAATAAATAATTTCTCTTTCTATTGCCATCGAATGCAGCTGCGAGGGTGCAAAAATTGTCATTTTAAAATCCTATTGTTAGACACATCGCGCGCTCAATCCCCGGCTTCATGTTCATAATATTATAAATGAGACGAGTATCTTTGTGTAAGTGTTTGTGAGGCTGCATGATTAGGAAATTGATTCAAATTAATTCTTAATTTCTTCCATTGATGTTGGACCATCGATGTGGTGATTGTTCGACAGTGTGTCATATGAGGGTGACAGTCTTCGTCATTTCCACTCTTTTTCGTTGACACAATCGCCGAAAATCAATACATAATTGTTCCATTTATAATCTCAACCAATTGGCTTTGTACAATGAAAGAGCCAAAGCTCAAAATTGATCCCCGAGATGAGAAAAATTATCTTTCTTTTGTGACATTAACGTTTGATGCTCAATGCAGCATGATATTTGGTTGTAAAAAATTATCTCTCTCTCTCTCTCGCCAATGAATTTTCGAAGAAAAATCTTTTGTTTGTTCGTGCCTGCTGGTATTGTTAGAAGGCTTTAAGGTCTCATCAAAACAAAAACATAGATTCTAAACTTAAACTTACACACGCACACACAAAATTAAATGTCGAGAAGGAAAAAGCATAAAAACGGTCGAAAATATAAACTGAAATTGCTTTGAAGATAAGCATAAATTACGAGACTTTAAGAAAATGAAGTGCTATTTGCGAGTGCATGTTGAATCATCCCAGAGTTATGACAAAGCAACTGCAATGTTCGCTTATCTAATTTTTAAGAAATGTTAAATCATAAAACAATTAAATTTTATTTAGTTAAATCTTTTGCTTGATAGTAAGGAGAAGGCTTATGAGTAATTGATGAACTTATTTAAATTATTATCATCAGTTTCTTCTTTACTGGGCTTTTCTTTGTTTTCTTTTCCTTTTCACAATTTCAAATCCCGTCCGAGAAGTTTTTTTGTCTTTCATATCCCGAGATGGATCATTGTCATCTTTTTTTTTGTTTTCCCTTATAACGATATTTGCCACAGATCCAAGTCGTCGTCTTAACGATGTCCATCGGTTAAAATAGCTTCAGGAATCTGATTTTTGTCTCTTCCTCTTCATCTCAATTTCCACCAACTCTAAAACATGTTTTTGTATGCTTTGTTCAATCCATTCAATCCTCGAGGGTGATTCTAGCAAAAAAATGTTGAATTTCGAACGAAGAAGTTTCTCTTGTCATGTAATTGAAAGTGCTTTTCTGAATTTCTGGCGAACAATGCAATTTTCCTAACTTTTTGCATGTCCGAAAACAAAGCGGCACGAATGCGACTCTCATCGTCGTTTTTTATTATTTTCGCTGGGTTCATCTCCGATGGAAGATGTTGATTAATCAAATGAGGGTTGCTTGCTGCAATATCATATATGTAATCATTTCCACGCACGGTAGGGATCTTTAACATAAAAGTGATAAACAAAAAAATTGTCAAATAAAACGCAATAAAAAACCCTCGCAAAAAATCGATGCTCTTCGTAGAATTATGTCTGAAATGTCTGAATGCATCGATGGTAATATTTTATGAAAACTGTTAATTCAAAGGGCTGTTAATTTAGTGGCAGGTCGACCGATTTGCTTGATTTTCTTTTTCAATTCTCAGTGGCTTACGACAATCATTCATGATATTGAAAGATTATCGAACCGGCTGAAACGAAGTTTAGTTCTACGCTAAATTTATGTTATCAGTTCTTCGATATTTAAAACATTTCTTTATTTAATTTCTTAATTCAATGCCAAAACAGACATTTTTATTCTTTTATAATTGCTTTCATATCAAATGTTGAATTAGTGTAAGTTTTAAACAAAAAGAAAAGATGAGCGATAAGCTATCTTGGCCATAAACATTTAGATTATTCTTGATTTATATATTAAAAGTACAAACTGTGTACAAATGTATCAGTGATTAAGAGAGAACTGTTGTAAGCAAACAGAATAAATAATCAATGACTTATGCCCTTGAAAATATTTCTTAAATTCATATTTGTCTCCCTTCAACTTGATTATTAAAATCTTTGCTTAATTTATTGACAAATCTCGTTGTGAAAAGTTCTCAAAAGATTTTTTTCAAATGAATTATCCTTTATGTGGAAACGTCTTCATATTTTAGTTCTTATTAATAAAAATTATTATTTGAAAGAGTGAAAATTATTTACATTGACACACTTGAATAAATATGTAAGAAGTGTGTCAAAAAATAAAATTTTTGTAAACAACATGATCATCAAATTTGTATTTCTTACGCGTAACTTTAACTTACGACAAGTTAATAATAAGCATCAAATAAGTGAAATAAAATTAAAATTTAAATGAGCGACACATCTTACGAATTGATTTGATCATCAACGTTCGTATAAACCCACGAAAAAATCTTTTTATCAATAACGATTTCATAAGATTCGAAATATTTATTTAACAATTCTTAGAAATTTGAGGCAATACAATTGTAGTTCTATTTTATTTTTTTCTATTTATTTAAAAGCCCTTAAAATGCAGCAGATGAGATTTTTCATGTGTGTTGTATGTAAGCAAATTTAATTATTGTAACAATAATTTTTAAGTGAAAAGTTAAGAAAATTTCTCAAATAATTTTTAAATTTAACAACAAAACACTTTAGTCAATATTTTTATGTAGATATTTTTTATGTGTTTGAGAAAAAGGTTACTGGTTAATGCTTCTAGGGGTAAGCTCCATTTTACTCCCTCCAGTAACGGAGAAAAAACTCAAACATTAGAATTATGATTTATAATGGACAATCCTCTACTGGTATACATTCGCCATTTGAATTTCGAACAGTCCCGTCTTTACAGAAGCAACCAGGTTCACAGGGTTCACTACATTCAACAGGCTCAGGTTCATCACAACTCAATTCGCAAACAGAACCACATTCAAAATATTTTTCATTCGGAGTTTGTTTGCACTCTAAATGTATGTATAAAAAATTAATCACTTCAAATTAACAAAAAAGGAATCTAAAATTTCATTTGATACCAACTTCGATTTTTGCATTTAAACTCCAAAGTACATCCGCGACCACTCCTTAAATAACCATTTTCGCAAACACAACCAGGATTGCAAGGGCAATTATCAGATACAATTGCAAATGGATCGCCACATTGTAACTCGCAGCCAGCACCGCATTGACTGAAGCGTTGGTTCGCTCTTGTACACAGACCACTACAATCCCCTTCAGGGATGCAATTTCCTTGTGGACCTATCACAAATCCTTCTTTACAGAAACAACCTTTAACGCATTCTTCTGTACAGGTCGTTGATTGTCCAAGTGTTTCACAATTAACAGGACATGCAGAGCCACACGTGCTATATTCTTCATCCTCGCCACATGAGCCTTTACGAGGGAAGTGATAAGAAATTTTTCTATCCGTAAATTTGATAAAATTAAAAAACTTACATGGACCTGTTTGACAGTCAGTGCAAGGAACGCAGTTTTCATTTGAATCCCTGACATATCCTGCGCTACAGAAACATCCTTTTTGACAGATTTCAGGACAAGTAAGTCCATCATGACTTGGTACTTCACATGTTAGGTCACCGCAACCTGATCCGCAGTTTGTGAATGTTTCGAGAGACTTACAAGTTGCTGTCAAGTATAGAAATAAAAATTTGCATTAAACTTTAGTAAAAAGTTTCGATCATTCTTACATGGACAATCTTCTATAAGGACGCAATTTCTGTCGATGTTGTTATCTCTTACATATCCTGCTTTACAGACACATTTAGTTAACACACCAACTTCGGGACATTCGTTTGGAGTAAGTTTTCGACATGTTGGTTCACATTCATCAGGTTTTCCGTTGGTAACTAATTCTGCATTAAGCCCGCATACATCTGTGAATTCACAAATTCCGTATAAATAATAATAATTTGTTATAAGATTGATTATAAGTCAAAACTTCACTTGGACAATCTTCCAGAGGAACACAAATATTTGCACTGTTTCTGACTAGCCACAAATCACAGAAACATTGCGCTAGGCAATCAGGAGGACAAATTCTACTAGCATCGTTTGGAACTTCGCATGTTAAATCTCCACATCCTGAACCACAGCTTTCAAAATGTTCATTAGCAGGACAATTATCTGAAAATAAGATGAAATTTTGATATCGATTTAATAATAATTTCATTCTTACTTGCACTTGACGTGGAAAAGGAGAAAACTGAAACGAAATTTTAAAATTTTTAATTTGACGAATGGAAATTTAATTAAACTCACTTGCTACGATTGCAATGTAAGCAAAAAGACTTCTTGTAGTCATTCTTGATAACGAAGAAATATCAAACTGAATGAAATGAAGTTTTGTTTCAGACTAAATTGATGATCTCAATTTTAGTCTCAAATAATTTTCGTCAAGTTTTTCTGCGTTGTAAGTCTCAACCTTGGAAATATTTGCTTTACAGTATTGTTCTGTTTTTTATCTGTTTAACATATTTTCTGATAATGCGTAGTTAAACACTTGTGTTCATATTTTTCAGATAAATTATCAGCTTCCATAACTTCATGTAACATTATTCGAAGTTTCTTTACTGAATTCTTATCTCTTTTCTTCAATAAATCAAATTTAATCTTTTCCTTCTTGATTATCCATCTGAAGCATTCACTCGCAAGCTTTTCTGAATTTCTCGCGAAATGCAATTTTCCTAACTTTTTGCATGTCCGAAAACAAAGCGGCACGAATGCGACTCTCATCGTCGTTTTTTTATTATTTTCGCTGGGTTCATCTCCGATGGAAGATGTTGATTAATCAAATGAGGGTTGCTTGCTGCAATATCATAAAATCATTTCCATGGTAAGGATCCTTAACATAAAAGTGATAAACAAAAAATTGTCAAATAAAACGCAATAAAAAACCCTCGCAAAAAAATAAACACATTTTTACGACTTGCATTTCGCGATATTGATGAATTTTTTTATTGATATTTTATGTCTGGGTTGAAAATAGGGAAAGTCACTACCAAAAGATGTAAGAAGTCCGATTTGTAATAAAACACGTAAAATTTTCCCTAAAGAGAAAGCAATTAAACGTTGGAATTTCTCGTGAAATCGTCAATAAGAAATCTTTGGACTCGATCAACTGTCACTGGTTTGCCAAAACTGTACTTCTGTTTAGGTCGTTTTGAGTCTGGTTTAGGCGTACAATTTCGGCCATTCATTTCAATGATATTATCGCAGTCAAAAGAAAGACAGAAACTTGAAATTTGAAACACGAGAGTCACAAATACAAACGAGGGTGAAGAATAGAATGACGAGAGTGTGTCATCGTTTGAAAATTGTTCACCGTGCTTAATATTTATTACCTGCGAAATTCTAAGTAAACAAATCCATACCTACAGATGCACACATCTTTTAATATCCTCACTCTCTTGTAGGTATCCTTCATCAGTGAATATTTTCATTTACAAACTTAAATGATTTTGTTGTTGTATTCTTCGCCCCCTTCTTATGGTTTTGTAACAAATTCTTTTTACAAGCAACTAAAAGTTTTCGGCGCGATCCGTTAAGAATCAATGAACAACAAAAGGAAAAGTTTAAATTTGATTCACATTGGAAAGAAACTGAATCGTTGCAAATGATTCATCATATTTTTAATATCAAAAAATATAAAGAAAGATGCTTCCGAATCTTGTTGAGGGAACAATAGAAAAAGAACCTTTGAATTGTGAAGGAGTTTCTTTCGACAATCTTTTCTTTAATTAGATACTGCTATGAATGATAGTTTCAAAGAATGCCGTTGTTGCGAAATTTTAATAAACTTTCCTTCATTTTCCGGTATGCTATGAAAGGCGTAAGAAACAGGACGTTCATGCATAATCAAAAAGGAAATACTTTGTGACAGTTATGGCGTTTGAATCGCTTTAATTTACATGACAAGAGACATTTCAACACTTTTTCCTCTAGCGACATAATTGAGAGTGTGAGTGAAGAATAGATTTTCAATTAAATTGCGCACATACAAGGAGGTGTTGTTAATTAAATTTCATCGTTGTTTTGTGTAAATTGGTGATGAAATTTCATGTTCATCATGATGTTTTAAATAAATGTTCACAGACACTTTTCAATTCCAATAAATCAATATTTCTTTCCTTTAATTTCCATTGATCCCCGAATTACAATTCATGAATGAAGTGAACATTAAATCACCGTTGCACCCTGCTCTGCTTCCCAAGACAATCTTTTTATCTTCGAATCAGTCGAGGAAAGAAAATCAATCGCTAATTTATTTCGGGGTAAAGAAAGCTCATTGATTTCACTTTTTCAATGACTTCAGTTCGCCTTCATTCCTTTCAATTGATATTTTATTTATTCCTTAATAATACCGCTAGCAAATTTATTACCATTCCCGGACTACATTTTGCGCCTTTTTCTCTGATTGCTAAAAGACCGTTTGCAAAAGGCAAATCGTTAGTTTCACAACGAGAAGAAGTTTGTGAGATTTATCAAGATCATCGCAGGTAGATATCGCAAGTAAAATCAATGGCGTAATGATACCATTTAAACCCCGAAAAGTTTCATTTCAATTTTTCTTCATTCTTTCTCGTTTTGTTTCCCTTTGCTACGATTTTGTTATTTTTTTTTCTTATTCATTCAGGAAAAATTTCGAGAAATGTATTTGTTGCAATTTATCGATATATAGATCGGAGATTCTCGATCACGAATCACAACGAGGGAATGAGAAAACGGAAAGCCCTTTAAGAAGCCAAGCGAGGAAAGAAATCGGTAAAATTAAATTTATGAACATCGATTACTCAAGATTGGGCCACAGGTCACGTGGGCTTGCAGCTGCTTGAGAGTTAAAGGAGAAATTTCCATTGAAAATTGTTGATGCTGAATCAGGAAATCAAGGTAGAGATAAATTTCACTCTCGTTTCTTTCTTCAACCCCTCGACTCGACTCGACTCGATTCATTTGTTCATTCTTTTGACTCGAGAAAACAATCGTGATTAAAATTGGATTTTCTTAAAGTGATTTCACTTCTTGCATCTCGCGAAATCAAGAACCATTCATGGGATGAAAAATATCTTTTGTTTCCTTCTTCCAGTAAACATCTCATCCATTTCTATCGGGCATTTACCAAATTCTATCCCTTTTCTCTCTGATTTCTCGTAGAATATTTTCTAATTCGGCAAATTGGTATGAAGTGGAGAAACAATTGAAGAAATCAATAAAATGTCGAACCCTTATCTCAACTCGTTTAGAAGGCCTATTTATTCATGATAGAGATATTTGTTTTAATTTTATTACATTTAACTGATAGTCGATTTGATATTATTGAATTGGAAGGGTGGCTGGCTACTTTTGAATGTCTTTTAGATTGAGATTTGATATTTGTTTGTTTGTTTTCAAAATCACTTTCCTTCTTATTAATTTAAGTTTTTAATGTTGAACTTCTTCTTGAGCGCCACATTTATTCACTGTCGTCATCATAGTCAACCAATAGCCTTAAAAACGTGAGAATATGATGAAACATTCTCGTAAATATATGTTAAGAGAATTTCGTAACGAGTGAATATTATGTAGAAGTTGATAACTCAATACTTGGATGTTATTCAATAAAATATTCATTTAAGTTGAATCGAACAGTTTCTGTCAGTTGCAAACTGTTAAAAGTAAAACGCGCAATAAATTATTGAATATGAAGTGATTGGTAAAGAAACAAGCCATCAACGTGCAACATTCTAAAAACGAGTAATTAACGTAAATTTCATCTATAGATTCATGAAGTGGATTGACAACCTTGGTGTGTCCAAAAATATCAATGAAAAGAGAAGCAGAATATCATTTTGTCGCGTATTGGAGTGAATCAAGTGACATAAAAGCTGCTGATGGTTTGGAGATGAATGCGCCAAGATAAGCAACATTTGATGTACAGTTTGTGAAGATTATTATTATTATTATTGGAAACTTATCCCGCGTTATTTCTGTATATCGGGTTGTAATTTCATAAAAAGCAAGCCACTGTTAACATCCATGGCATTGCACTCGAAATGAACGATGCGATGCGTCTGTGTAATAAAACGAAGAGTTTTATTTATTTCTCATTGTTGGCTTGCAATTTAACGTTTCTCGTTCGCGTCAAAGTGAACTTTGTTGTTAGCGTGTAGTTAAAATGAAGAGATGAAGACATTTGAAATTGAAACATGAGCAAGAAGTCTTTATTACTTACAACATTGGTCGTTGTTAAATGTAGTGATTTAGAGAAATATGTAGCATTCGATTCGCGTTTAAAGATTTATATTTCACTGGTTCATGGTTGTTGAAAGAAGAATCACGAAGGTCGTAAGTTTTATATGTTGAGCAAGCGTGAATCTTTAAACGATACTTTGTCGCGATTCACAATGTTAACATCAATGACTTGTTTTAACAGCAACGATGATATTTTAAATGGCAGACATTCATTACTGCAGATAACGCGGTTGACAGTGAATGTGGATTCATTTATGTGGCATAAACTCGTCTTAAAATGAGAATTACATTTATCTCAATGATTCTGATTTTTTCTCAAATATTTATCACTCGCTTCCGTCGCGAGATTGTTGTGTTTGTGTTTGGACAATGGTCGATGAATTGATAAGCAAACAAATTTGATATTAAAACTCTCGAACATTTCCTTTCGCTTGTGAATGCATTCATGACGAGATGTTGACAGAATCTGAATAAGCGAAGAGAAGAAAGTAAACAAAGAAGCAAAATTTTACATAGATAGTCGAGAATGTTGAGCGCCACAATTGACTATCGCATTAAGGAGAAAGGAAAATGGTCAACTAGCGAATTGAATGACGCCATACTGACGGCAATATGACGACTCGCTGTTGTCTTTTCATTCACATTTCTCAGCCACAAAGTTCTCTCATATTGAAGTTTAACCAAACACGTCTCACAAACAAGATGATTCAATGAATTCAAGAATTGATTGTAAATACAAATTGTCTTCATAAACTCGTTAGTCATTGACTTGAAACATTTGTTTACGCATTTTCAAGAGCTAATCAGCTTGTTAAAAAGATTGTAGACAAACATTTCTTCTAAATTCAATTTCACAGTTCAGCTCAAAAATCAACTTGGCACTAAAATTTCATTGATTTCGAATAAATAAGCAGAAAGGAAAATTCCAACAATTTTTATTTAGTGAGGGTGATGTTTAGACTAAACAACAAAGAGAAATTCAGTTTCATTAATTAACAGATAGAAGTTTTATTCGACGAGGGAAAATTCAACGATTGTCACATCAAATTCCAAACAACAGTCAAAGATTTTTATTACCATGCAGGACATCGTGATCATCATCATCATCATCCATATGTCCGAAAAAAAACAACATCAAAACCAAATCAAACAGAAGCAAAGAATGAAGAATAAAAATTAATGACATTTATATTTGATTCAAAAGCTGAGTGACTTTGGCACCATTAAGAATCACACAATTCTCATCTCGCCAACGGAAAATAAATTGCTGAATGGAAGAAGGCAAACCTCTAAATGCTGGTAAAAGTTTACGCACTGCGGCATGTTTCTGTTGCAAATGATAAATGATGAATCGAGCGAGAAATCGAGACATAAAAAATGTGTGATCTTTGTTGGAATAAAACAATTTTTTCCTTTTTTCCTCTCAACACACCACGTTATGCATATTAGGCAATTAATGAATTATTTTTTTATGCGCCTTTTGCAGATTTCAATGTCGATTGTTCAACTTCTAAAGGGTCTTCAAATTGCATCAGATAACAAAAAATAAGAATGAAAGGAAAACTTTATTCCGTTAATTTTTGACCCGATCACACGCAAAACTTCGGTTGATTAATCGACAGATTAGAAGACAAGAGCGAAGACTTTTGTGTGTTTGCTTCACCGTCTTTTTTTTTAGCCCCGTAAGCGATAACATCAACAAATAAAAGTGATGATGCATAAATGTTTAAATTTGAATGTGAATAGAATTGAAGGAATGAAAAAAAAAAGAATTTACTTGCACCGTCCCGTCATCATTATTTAGGACTTTGCTTAGCTGCTCTAGAAAAGCAGCAAAATCATAGCAGCGAAACCAGTAAAGCCCTTCGGGTCTAAAGACAACAGGGAAGAAAACATTTTTCTCGTCACAAGACGAATGAAAGCAAAGTTAACCGTCACCGTCTTAATTCGTTCTTAAAATGTTTATTTAGTTGGCAATTGAACAAAAACAACAATTACAATGGGGAAGAAAAGGCTACGGGACCCCGAGAAGTCGCTCTCATTTTGAATAGGAACCAAATTATCTTTTTTTCTTCTTTTAATTTTCTATCCCTACAAAGAAATGAAACGACGAAAGAGTTGAATCAACTTTAATCCGTTGTTACCCATTGTTGAACGACGACACATGAAAACACACAAGACAACTCGTTTGAAGAGAAAATCTTCTTATGAGGCGCATGTGAAAACATAAATAGACACATCAATTTTTCATGTTTTCCATTCTTGGGAACTGAACTGGTTCAAGAAGAAAGCCCTTGGAAAGATTCCGAAAAGAAATGAGAAACGGGACCGCAGTTGTCGTGGCAAACAAACCATTAACCGATCCTGATGATCATCATATTTTGATGAATGGTTGCAAGGCGAAATTCATCGTCTTTTGTTGATTTTATAAACAGTTAGTGTTGTTGCTTTTGATGCGTCGTCAGCATTTGAAAAAGGAGATTGTGTTGTGAATGATGAAGGACACAAAAGCCTCGTCACTATCATGTGAAAATCCCGTTTGAAGATAAATATTTTCTGTAATGTCGTTGCTTGCTTTTTGGAGAAATTCATCATCAACTTTACATCTATCTATCTATCCCACCGTAATCAACTGAAAACGGGCCAAAAGACTGTCAGAACTGGATCTGCTTAACAAATGTGTCTTCAAAAAAAAACAGAAAAAGTAAAAACACTGCTGAAGTAGTGGAAAGAACTGACATGTTCTTATGCGATATGATAATGCGTTTTAAATCTTTATAAATTTGATTTTTTTTCTTCTATTGTTGTATAGTTTAGTTGTCAAAAGGCCCAGGACGACGGCTGGTTGATGAAATATAGTGATGAATGAGATCGCAGTTCCTTCTTGAAGTTTTAAGAGAAAGAAATAAAAAATTATGAATTTTTAATTGCCACTTAAGAAGTTTTCCGGATTTTCTTGAATCTCCTAAGAATTGAAAGAAAACTGACGAAATGATATTGCAATAACATAAAATAATAAAGAGAAAATCGTTGATTTTTGATTCCAGTGAAAGGTTTCAATTCAATCAAAAGAACAAAAAAAAAAGTCCAATCTTTGTACAACTTCCAACTCAATCACCACCGACGAACGAAGCGACGTTATATAAGTAAAATAAAATCGAAGGGTGAAATGTAATACAAGTAAAGAACGAACATAAACAGCGCGAAATAATGACCAGTGTGCAGTGTATTTGGGTGAAATTGAAATTGGAATGGGCAGATGAGAAAGATTCATTCCCTCGCTTTATTTACTTTCTTTTTCCCCGTCGTCGATGCTGACGTTTTGGGATTATGTGCTTCCATTTCAACCGCTTGGCGCATTGTATAAACGATTTTATTTTATTGTGTTTTATAACATCTTTTAAAAATATTGAACCTTCGCAAATGGACGTAACTGGAAGAGAGAAGAAAAATAAATCGATATCGTGTTTATTTTCGGGTGAAATGGCAAACAAAGGACACCGTCGTTCTAAAAGTCACTGAAATATCTCTTGGCTGCTTGTTTGGTCGGCGTCACATCTTATTTGGCTTTTGGAAAGGGAATTTGATGTGAAAAATAAATAATTTAACCGTCCAGTTGGCAAAAGCAAATGCCCTGCCCTCGTAAACTAAAACATCGACATGGAGAAAGAAGAATCGTTGAAGATGGCTCTTCTCGATGGACACAATTGCAACCGCATCGTACGAAAACGAATACAGTGAAGGAAAAGAAAGAACGCGAAGTGAAATGTTAGTCAAGCATGAATTTTCCGCACAACGGATGTTGGCGAAAAAAAAAATATAAATTTTTACTGCTTGCACAACGACATGCAGAGAATCATTTCAACTGAAATTTCTTGGCCGTTCTTCTCTTTCTTTTCAACGAAGTTCGCTTCACGTTTAATTACAATTGAATGTCGAGTCGGGAAGAGAATGAAAAGCGATGTTAATGGTTACTTAAATGGAGGTCCCATTGCTAAATGATTTATAGTTGGAAACGATTTGATTTATGGCCAAGGTATTTACTTAACCTTTTCGTCCTTTTTTTTCTTTTGGCTTCCTTCCCCATGCTCGCCTCGTCTTGGTGTCAATAAGAAAGCACAACACTCACTTTGGTGCATTCGTAATCGTCATGCAAATGAGGTAGATAAGTAAAGGTGCACCAGTCAAGCGAGAAAATTTTTTCTTTTTTTTGTTCTTCCACCATTAACAAGACACATCAGAGTTGATCGTTTCATTGCACAGAAATTGTCTATTTTATGGATGAAAATTGTCTTCAACAGTGATTTATGTCGTCGATGAAACTGGTTTTTATGTTCTGTGGATTTAAAGTAAATATTTATCTAACAATTGTTAACTGCTTGAAGTCGGTTTTATGAGAAATGAGTTGCTATGCAATATTTAATCACTAAACGGGGCAAATGAAGGCTGGCTAAAGATTCAAATATTTTCCTAGGGTCCCAACCACGATCTACAAGAAATGCTAATCAATGGGACGATTCCTTGTCTTCATTGAAGACAAAGGGAATGAAAGCAAATCTCATTGAAGATATTAATCAATGTTGGTGAATTTTATGTGCGTTGCTTGTGATAAATTGATGGGCTTTACCGAGTCGAAAGAAGAAAATAAAAATGTCGCATAATTCTTTGTCATTGTAATTAATGAGAATGGATATTGTCACTACCTAATAAGTATTTAAATATGAAATGCAAAGACATTGAAATATTTCAAAGTGTAAAAGAATTCGCGAGACCTCCAAGCAAACAATCGTCAGAAACAACCACACAATAGCATCATGATGCTTGATTATCACACAAACCAACACTCGCCCTTCGAGCAACTCAAATTAGCCACTTACAAAATTATATTCTTAAGCAAAAGTAGCATAAAAATTGCATAAACACACGAAAGATGTGCACGTTAAACGAAATCCACAAATAATAAAAAAAAATGAAATTTTTGCATAAATTTAGCACAGCTGAATGATTTTTCAAGTGTTTCATTAAATATTTTTTATGCTCTGTGCAATGAAAAAAAACATAAGAAACGCAAATTTGAAACTGAAAATGAATTTTTTTTTCGATTCAGCAGGGAGGCGAGCGGCTGTTTGATTTCTTTTTCCTTTTTCGCCTATTGATTAGTAATGAGCTTAGCGTACTGAGTATCCTTTCAATAAATCACTCGTGCAGCGTATCGGAACAGGAAATTTTTTAATTATTTCCAAGTCTATTGTCCTTTTGAACCCCCTCTACAAAACATTCTGAGGAAGTTGCCTTTTCAATTGATTTCGTTGCGCGCTGCTTCGGACGTAATTTCATTTAATAGCCCTTAGCTAAAATGTTTTTTGTGCACATATCGCTGAACAAAAGAAGGATCGCGAATCGCGTTTTTTGCTGCCGGCCTTCTCTCATTTTCTTTCTTTTCAGTCAATTTTTTCCCTGCTTGCTTGCCACGGCGCGTCAGGCAACAATGCATCAGTAAAATATTAATAAAAGCAGTTTGAATGTAACACGAAAACAGAATAAAAAAAATTAGTCGCGTGCATACGCGATATTTTATTGTTCTCCGTTTTTTGCTGCTTCTTTCATTTTCCCCCTGCTTTTAATTTCTTCTTACCGCGGTGCTTAACGATGATTTACATTTTATAAGTTTTCGTCGTTCTTTGTTGTGTGGAATTGAGAACTGAAATTTACACAAGCATATCAATGATGATGACGACCCAGGAAAGTCGATCAGGTTTAAACTGACATGAAAGAATATTTACTCACATAACAAATGAATGAGTTTCGCGGACTCACAAGTGAATGAGTTTTATTCAAAGATTGTATCTAAATATTTGAACTTAAAGGGTTCAGAAACTTTGTAATTTAATCTATAATTGAAGATTCCTTTCACGCGTCACATCGCGTCGCGGAAGATCATTTCAATGACTTTCCTGTCACTTTAGATTGAAATGAAAACTTAAAGAAAATTGTTGGTAAATCAAATTGCTGCGAATGTTTACATTACACTTCGTGAAAAGAGGGACAAATATGCGATGCAATGTTTAAAGTTAAAACCAAAACCCTCAACTTGTTTTGTTGATGAACAAGTAACACGAAACCCCACATTTTAACGAGAGCATTATTTAATCTTTTTCGTTGTTGTTCCTGTTGTCAGACAATCGCGATATTGTGTCAGTTGCATCACTACATATGGTTGGTAGTTGATACACATTACACATGACGGTCTTTTGCATCGCAACTTATCTTTCTTATTTCTTTTTTTGTGTGTTTAATTATAATAATAATGTTGCTTCGATAACATGCACTTTAGTTTCTTTCTCTTCATTCTCCACTCTTTTTCATTTAATTTTTTTTTTTTGCGAGACAATAAACGTTTTCGGTTACTGTCGCTTTTTTTTCTTTCTTATAGCTTTTAGGGTTTCTCATGATGAACGATTACACTTCGCTGGTCATCACGAAAGCGTTGGATGTTTAAAAATATTTTGATGCACTTGTTGTGTATGCACATTTAACTTAAAGTTGAAGTTCTTGTGAAAGGAAACAAAATTTTCGAGGAAAAATGATTAAATTCATATAATGTTTTACATTTTTGATATCATGCAATGGCAATTGAAGCAGTTTTTTTGTCCATTAAGTTGATCTTCCTTCAACATTCTGTGTTTGTCGATAATCATCGCTAAGTCTCACTGCTGTTCTTTTGCATGTTTGCTGATGTTTTTTTATGGATTTACGTTAATCTATGTGCCCAATTTTCACTGTCTGACGCTCTCGGAGAAAATCAAAATAAAGAAAGAAACAATAAAATAAATAATTGAAGAACTCTTGAAAAGAGAATAAGAATCATCGCGAAAAATTATAATTATTATGCGAGTCTTCATTATACGTAGAAATTCTTTAAGTTATCATTCTTCGGAATCATTATGTTGAACATGCACGGTTGAAACACAAAAAATAATTAGTGAAGCACAAAAGGCGAAAATGTAATTAATGGAAGCACTTTGGCGTGATACTTGTCTAAAGAATCGAGTAGAAAAACATCAATCAATTCGCTAAAACCATTTCAATGATGCGGGGTTGTTCATTCAAGATAAGTGTATCGATTCTCAATGTTTCTCATAATGAATGCCAACCATAAATGATACCGAAGATTAATTGGACTGATTGGTGAAAAGATTGTACGCTATGAGATATTATCAATGAGTTCACAAGAAGCATCTTCGAACTTCACAAACTGTCAAACATGCCTTGTTAATGTCGGTAAACTAAAAAATATCCGCCTTGTGAAAATGGGAAATTTGTCTGTGATATCAAACAATTCCATTAGGGTTATCGATTATTTGGGTTTTTTGCCGATCCAATTAATTGTCCAAATATTTTAGGTTGAACCAAAGTATTTGCCAATTAATTGGATAGAATAAAAATCTTAATTTTTTTAAAAAAAATCCATCTTTATTTATTTGAATATATTTTTTTTATAATTTAAAGTAATAACTTTTAAGCCACAAAAGGGCATTGAGCTTGGGAGGGCTCATTCTGTTTCTAATTTTTGTTTTTAATGAACCTGCTATTGAGAACACTTGCTCGCATGATGTTGATGTCGGTTGAATAGAAAGGAGAGCATCGTGGATTTTTTGAAGTCGTTGGCTTTTTTCACCAGATGCCTTGAAATGAAGTAATAAGGTCCCATATTTTTTCGTTTCCTTTAGGCATTTCATATCCTTTCATCCGAACATATCCTTTAATTGCTGTTGATTGAGAAATAGCATTGACTGAAAATCCATCTTTTGCAGCACATTCGGCAAGAATCTCAGCTAAGGTTGGTTTTTTTATATAATTCGCGATAGATGGTGTAAGCATGACTGGTCTTTCAATAGAAGATGCGACATTAGAAGATGATTTCGGTTTAATTATCTCTATTTCTTCGCCTTCTGATGAACCCTTGGTTTCTTCTTTTTTCTCTGATAATTTATGCTTCACCGTTAAATGATTAGCCATCGCAGTTGTTCCATAAGCTGCTCATTGAATTTCTCTTTTGCATGCTTGCACTTTGCAACATTTTTACTTTCAGCTTCAAAGTGCCGCCAAACCCAGGATTTTCTTGCTTTTGGCATCTGAATGGGTGAAAAATTAGTGAAATAGTAAGTGAAAAATGTATAAAAAGTCGAATCAAAACTTACGTTGAATAATTCAATCCACAGCAATATTAGGCAGACAGCAGCTTGCAATTACAATTTACAATTGAATATTTATTTAAACTCCTTTTACTTTCTTCTCTGGTTTTATTTTAAATTAACTTTTAATTTCCGAAAGCTAACATATGTAATTTTCCCTCGCTAAAGGGGTGCAATAATAAGGATTATCCCGGTCATCCACCGTCCGTGTATAAGGGGTAAAAACTTACGCGGGACAAAAGTGTTTGTTATCAAATCTTTAACATTTTTTTTTGTATTTTTTTCAAAATCTGGTCGATATTCAAATATTTGCTATTTGCATAAGTTTTTACAATTATTTGTATATATGCAAATAATTGCAAAAAGTATGCAAATAGCAAATATTTGTAATTGTATGTCGATAACTCTAAATTCCATTAAGTGAGAAAAAATGTAAAATCATCACACCATTTACCTTTCTTTGTGCTTTCAATTGAATGGAATTAATGAAAGATTCTTCAATCACAATGTGCTTTCATTCTGAAAAGAATGAACGCCAAAAACGACCACTAACATCACGCGCTTGAGTTCTTTTGTTGTTGGTGGTTAAACGAACTTTTCCCCCCAAGTGTTAAAAAGATTATTCTTTTCCTTTATAAAAATAACACATTGCAATAAGGAATAACAGGAAAAATGAAATAGAATTTTCCTTCCATCGTCACATGTCCGCACAGAAGGTTTGACCACTTCGCTTGATGCATGTGATTGAAGAGAGAATAAAATCCAGATTACAATTTTCTTCACGGATGACACATCACATTTTCCAATTTTTCTGACTTTTCAAGCACATTGAACGTCGAGAAAAGAGAAATGAAATGAAACAAGATGAAATGTTTCCCAACAGAAGTAACTGAAGCATGTTGTGCGGCATTAAAAATGTCCATTATTGATCCGCGAAAAGGAAATGAAATTCGACGACCGAACATAAACTTTTTTTTTCTATTTCGTCGTTCTCTTGCAATTTTGCTTTCTCGTTTCTTCCACCCTCACATCTAACATCCATCACATTCAGCTGCTTCGGCTATTCAGCTAAAATCACCCTTTTCTTTCCTTCTTTTTCCCTCCATCCAACTCCCAACTTCAAAACAAGAAAAGCGATTGTCCTCACACCATTCTCAGCGAGAAAAAAATGCCAAACCATCATTTAGGATGTGGATATGTGGATGTTTGGTCGAGGGTGATGTTATTACAATTTCCATCAGAACGAAGAAAAAAAATTTTTTCGCCTTCTTTCTTCATTTTTTTCCTTTTGCGCCTCTCAACCCCCGCGCTCTCGTGAAGAGGAAAATTGTGTATTTTTTGGACATTCTCTCGACGCTATTTCGCCTCGTGTATTCAACCATTCCGTCCGTCCCTTTGCTTTTCATCCGTCTCAGAAAATGTTCTTTTTTTGCTGGCTGCTGCTGTACTTCGAACCCGAAAAAAGAAAAACATGTAGCGGCACAATGGAGCAAGAAAATTGCAAGTTGAGATGAATTGTTAGTTAACTGAGGAAACATAAAGTTTTATGAAGAGTTTTGGAAATTTCAGACAGTCATAAACCAACACCGACATTGATTTAATCTTAATCCTTATCCATCAACAATTTTTTTCCACCAACTCGCATGCATGCTGTGTGTACATTTGGGATATTTCGCGAGAAAAAAAATATATTGAAAGTTGATTGATAGAGCGAGGGTGATTTGAGAGATTGGAAGGCGTTGTTATTGCCTTTTTTCCTTTCATTCCTCGTCGGACCCTTCTCCTTCGAACAAAAGTTCAATTTTCGCTTGGGCATGTGATTGAGTTGCATATTTTAATTTTTTTTTCTTTTTCATCCTTTTTATTTTTGTACTTCTCTCAATGTACATGACGAAGCGAAAAAAAAACTCATCGCTTCAAGGGATCTGTTTGAGATCTTTGGAAAATTAAATAAAATAATTTTCTTAACTTTTGCGTCTTATTCGCACTAAATTCATATTTAACTTTAGTATTCCAATGAAATCAGAGCCTCGTGAGTTTATTTCAATATCACAGTCAATTTGCGTCAACTTTCTTATTACTTGTCGGAATTTGATCCATACAAATGGAAAAAAATCTATTATCTAAATGTACAATGCAATGCAAGATTATTATCAATAGAGAAATGCTCACTTGAAATTTGGCAGTAAACAAGTCCTTAAAAAAAATACTTCCGAAGCTTCTTCAACCGCGCTGTTAGATTTTAAGCTTTGTTTGCTGCCAAATTTCAAGTGTACACCTCTCTATTACTTTATGTTAAAGTCAACCACAATTAACGATTTTAATTTGAAGATTGTCATTATTTATAAATGAAAGGTCACAGTCACAATGTTAAATAGTTTGACGGATCAAATGAAGAAACTTAATACGAAGAAGCTTTTCTGAATCTCATTTTCTCGACAAATTTCTTATCTTTACGGAAGCCACTCAAGCTTTTTCTAAAAAATCATCATCATCATCATCACAACACTTCTCAAATCTGTCCTGTTCGTTGATGGACTTCTGACAAAAAGGAAAATCTCCGATAACAGAAGCACATGCTTTTGTTATTTCCTTTTTTTCTTTCATTCTTGGGTGGCATGAGGTGCTGCTGGGGTTTTTTTTCCGTTAACATTTTTCATTTGATTTTTTTTCTCCGCACACACAGACACAAAGTGTAATTATGTAATTTAATACTGTGGAAAAATGTGTTTTCACTTTTGTCGGACGATTTTTTTTTCGTCTTCTCGATTCATGAATGGGAAAAAAAAGTTGTACACATTTTTTATGTGGGTGCCATGAATGCTGATAGTAAAGTTTTTTTTTCTCTTCTCCTTTCACTTCTGCATGCAAAAATGTGCTTTTTTATTTTATTTACTCTCTTTTCATTGAATGAAGTCGAGTAAGACATAAAAAAGTTTATTACTGTCTCCTTTCCTCTCATAGTTTCCACATGCCGCAACTTTTCCTCTTTATTGTTTTTATTCTTTTATTTATTCAATCATTTCAACAAAAAATATGCTAATTTCCATGACACCTTTCTTCATTATCACACTTCATAGCCTACACGTCTTTATTCCCCCGAAATGGTGCTAAAATTACGTAAAGGAAATTCCTTCGAAATGGCAACATTGCTGTGTAGCATTTTGATTGGTTTCGGATTTCCAGCGTTGGTTGTTTCGGGATACGCTACAAGAGAAGTAACAACAAATGATCAGAAACGAGTCAAATGTCCCTACATTCCTCGTGAAAAGGTTGATAAAGTTCAAGTTGCAGAACCAAATCCTAAATATAATTTAAAAGAAAAACCATTTCTGAAGAGTCAATTTTTGGAGAATGTTGAACAGAGAAAAATCGATGCTGAAAATGAAATTCTTGATGAAATTCAACGTGAAAAGCAATTGGAACTTGACAAACTGGAACGACCTCCAATAGATCCAGAAAATGGTCTTCGAACTCATGCATGGATTGTGATGCTTAAAACCGCTCCGTGGTGTTACAAAGAAGAATTTCAACTTCCTGAAGAACAAGACGATGATGATGAGAATATCGAGCCGGTAGCTTTCTTCATCGAACCATCAACTGGCTTCATACATGAAATTGCAGATCCTTGCTATCAAGGAATTGAAAGTATCTGGAATCATCAAAACTATTACGTTAATCGACAATATCCAAACATCAGCATCAAAGAGATGAAATGGGATTTATCGGACACTGAAAAATGGGAACATTTCTTACCCGGTGAACCTTTGGAGTTGAGGAAAGAATTAAAGTTGGACGAAGGAGAAGAAGTAACACCTGAAGATGAAATATTGGCAGTTGAAAAGCATCTTGATATGCCATCTTCATGGGTACAATTATTGCATATCAGCGCTACAGATTTCGAAGAACGTTTCATAGATGGCGAGAAAAAAGAATTTTACAAATACGCAATTTATGAAAGATTTGCGCCTTACAAGAAAGTCGATGGATTGATGAAAGGCTTGACACTTTATGAAACGCTTGAATATGAAAATCCACACACAGTTTTTGAATGGTATAAGAATCGCGATGATTTAATGAAGAGCGTTAACCGAAATTTAAAGACTGGCGAAGTTATTGAAGAGTTTCATAAAGGACGATGTGACAGTTTAAAGACTTTCATTTACTTTCCCCAAGATGAAAATCATGAAATCATTATGAAGTTCTACTCGAAAAGTCGCTTTGATTGTACGAAAGAAATTGTTTATCATTCGACATACATCGAAGAGTTCTATGAGAAACGACGTGATTTGTAAGTTGATTGAACTATGATATTTGAACATTTTATATTTCATGTTGAAACTCACTAACGGTTGTAGATTGCACTATCGGAAGTTCTTCGTAAAAGATTCACATCTTGACTCTGTTTCACTGTGCATCGAGGTAATTTTTGAGATCGTTTTTCAGATAAACTTTAAAGGAAAATTCTTCTCTAGAAAATTATTGAGAAATTTCATCGGAATGAAACGAAAAGTGCTAATCATGACATAGCAACACGCCACTTCAACCGTAACGACAACAAGATTTTCGTTCAATTCCATTACGATGACGATGCAATCACCGCAACAACGAAACTCTTCAGAAAACCACCGCGATGTGATGAAGATTTTGAGTTTGATTCCAAAATGGTTGACGGATATGTTGCTGATCCATGGGCACCACAAACGAATGACTTGAAACTTTATTATTTGTTGCAAAGTCTTTTAAAAGATGAAGAAAAGTGTGTCGATTTCTTTCACACACGTGACGCCGAAATGAAGGAAATCCTTGAAGTCCGAAAGTCACAACTTGCAAAGCCTTTACTTAAATTCAGTATTTTTGATCCTTTGCGAAATGATTCCGCACGAAAGCTTAGGATACAACGTGTAAGTTGATATCTTACATATTTAATTAACATTGCTATTTATTATAGATTTCTTCTTATTTTGCAGTATGAGCAAATGAAGACACGTGAGTTGTTGGCAAAGAACCAACAAGCTGACTTCCTTGCACCATATTTAGTACGTTTCGAAAACAAACAACCAAATTCTAGTGAAGTTGAAATTGCTATCCAAGACTGTTTACGTGATTTCAAGAAGGGCTACACCGATATGGAAAACGAATTGCAACGTCGTTATGACGAATCGACATCAGAAATGAATTCTTTGAAACGATTTTTGCATCGATACATGGATCAGTTTTCAGTTCAAGAATATGAAAACTTTATTGTTGAAGGGTAAGAAAATATTTTCTTATGTGAGTTCATAACAATCTTTATCTCTTTTATTTCATTTACAGTGAAAACATCGAACGATATCGGAAAATTATTCAGCAACGTATTGTTGCTGTCAAAGAAGAAGCGAATCGTAAATATAAAAATTTAATTGACGCAATTCCACTTCGTGTAAAAGAAATTCTTAAAACTTAAACTAAAAAATGAAATTTATTCAAAAAAAATTAAAAATTTTGAATTTTAAATATTTTCTAATGAAAAGCGTCGGGAAAATTTTCAAATTTTCTTTCTTCCTTCGCTTATTCTTGTTCTTAAAAGGTCATCAGAGTTCTATGTATGTTTCTATCCACATCTTTGCTACACCAAAGCGTCTCGTAATGTGGCCGGTTTATTTGTGTGAAAAGATGATACATGCGTACAACTGACCGTTTTCTAAAGGCGAATGCTGTTGTGGACATTTGTTGATGGAATGAGATCGCCTTCATCCCCCACGGCATCTTCTGGCAAGATGTATATGGAAACTAGGGATAACTACACACGTAATAAATTCACTCGCTGATGTAGATGTGTTGGTTGCTTGTGCACTAGCCATATCTCGCGATTATAAATATCATTCAAGTGAGGGTTGGTATGGTTGTAAGTGACTGGGCAACGACATGGCATGAGTATAAGAAGCATTTTTAGCTCGTCCTATAAGACAGAGATGAAAATTGTATTCAAGGAATGTGAAATCGTGATGTGCCGTGTGCACGTTCGTATCCTATTCGTGTGTATGACGGTCGAAAGGCAGCACATAGTGATTATATTTCCATTTGAATTGGAACGAGATGAACGTGTGATGAGCGAAGAACATATTTCTGTCCGCTTTTTCGTCAAATGCTACACAAACATGAATTTCCATTTTCTTATCGTAATCGTTTTTCTTTTCTTTTCCTTTCTTTTCTTTGGAAATCGTTTCGCCCACTGAACATTATTTTCTCCTTTCTTTTCTTTTCTTTTGCTGCAGATCTGAAAATATTGGACAATGAGTTTTTGCTATTCGTCGTTTCATCTCTCGAAAGTGAAGTATTTTTTGCTGACCGTTCGGTGGAAATATTGATTTTTCTTCCCACCCTTTTCTCGCTCAAACATCTCAAACATCGCGCTTTTTGTCACTCGTTAAGATAGAAAAGACGAGAAGACGAAGTTGAGGGGAAAAATGTTTCTTCGTAAAACTTTTCTTCTCGTTTCGTTGGATGCATTTCAATTCAAGCAGTAAAAGAAAGTTTCTCTGAGTTCGACACTGAAATCCTCGCGAATATGGGACGCGACTTCAATTTCCTTTTTTTCCATCGTCAAGAGACATAAAACACGGAACGAAAAGATTTGAGGATGATGATATGAAACGTAATAAATGAAAGCATTGAGTTCATTTTTATTACACAAACTTGCAGACGATTGAAATTCGATTTTATTTTCTCAGTGCGGAGCTTGGACTAAATTTCGGAGACAATCTCAATAATTTTATTTCAATCTTTGCTTTCGTCTCCACATTTTCTCGATAGAAGCAACGAAAATTCCATCAGATGATTGGAAAAAGAAAATATCGCAAATGTTCACAATCCCTCGAGGATAGAAAAAGATTACAGACAATACATAATTAACAAATTAATGGTCGTAAATAGAGATGGAAAAAAGAAAAATTGAAGCAGACAATAAATTTTCATGCTCCATAAGAGCTCATTAAATATTGAGAGGGTCTGTAAATCATACAATTTTATGACGATGGGATAAACGAGACTTTATCAAGTTGGTAAAGTTCAAGTTCAATCTTGTTATCAGTTTTCTTTCACTTCCAAGCGATTGATCTTAAATAAAATGAGTGATCAATCAAAACTTTTCTCCATTGCATAAATGACTTCAACTTTATTTAGATTCCGATTCGGAACTTTTCATTTCAACAAGGAACTTCTTCAATGAGTAAAAAAATTAATTCCTTGACAAGACATGAATGTTGAGTTAATTTTCTATCAGATATTTTTCATTCTATTTGTAATCAACAAAAGAATTTGTTTCGAAAAAGGGAATTCATAACTTACATGGCACATAAAAAAACATTGATGAACCCTAAAGGTAAACTTTGTATAACATTTTAAAATCTTGACTGCTTTCGATCAAAAGAAAAAGTGCAATGAATACAATGCGATCGTAACATCACCCGAAAAAAAGGAAGAATGATTTACAATTTTGAACTGCGATTTTGAAGACGGGGAACGGCTGCGAGCGAGAAAGGAGGGAATCTTAATTGACATTAAAGGGCTCACGGGGAAGTGAAAAGAAGAAAAGAAGTTTTTGTTATTAATTTTTTTTTGAAGACGAAGAAAGTGTCCCGAGATGATTTCAGGTTTGTACTTCATTCGATGTCAACCTCATTCCCATCATCAAAGACAGGCAAATTAAATGCATATTTCATTTAAATGTTCGTGTTTTCATTCCCTGACGATGACGACAATGACGACATTCCGCTACAAACATGATCCTTTTTGATACGGTTGGAAGTTACGATTCTAGCACACATTTGCATTTACTTTCATCTTCCTTGATATCGGTTGCGATGTCAGTGAGAAACTTAATTTGTTTTTGTTTACTTTTGTTTTGATGGATAATTTACAGAACCATTTATCGTTGATGGAAAGTAACTGGTTTTGCTTTATGATCATTCATCGCTGGTGTCAGCAACGCTTGAAATCGACTCGACTCGACTTTCTTTGCTTTTTTGTTGTGATAATCGCGATCAAATTTCAGTGAAGCAGAAACAACATCGCCGTGTTTTGGTTTGTGTTCACATGGATTAGAAGACTCGCTTCGATGTTCAACACATTATGAAGGTAAAAGGGGTTAAATGGGATCGAAAGTAATTAAAGTTTTGATTTAAGAACTAAAAGAGTGAAAGCATTTGAATGCAATGGAAAGAATGAAGGAAATTGAAATCTTTTTAAGGCGATTGTTGTCGTTGCACTTTCTTACCATTCACCATTCACATTGACATCAACACGGGGAATATTTAGAAGAAAATCTCTGTCTGTTGTTTATTTATGATTATTGCTGTTATTTATTTGATGTTTAGATTACATTCCTCATAATTCCTTTTTGCAAGTATTAGAACTAAGGCTAAGTAAGTGAAGTAAGTAAGAACTCTCCCGTGAAACGTGAAAGAAAATAGAAAAGATTTACGATTATTGCTTCAGCTTTATTGGGTGACTGTCATTGAAATATTCTTCATGTCAAACTGCTGATGTACTTTTGAACATTCAAGATGTGTTTTAATTGAAATGTAAGAAACAATTTTCAATGTTTACTACAATAGAAGAACGAAGAAATTCATTTATCGAACATGCCGAAGATATCGTTCCATGTTCAATATTTGATGAAATTTTAATAGAAAATTCGAAGTCGCTTGTTCACCTTCTTACAAAGAGTTCGAATGAAGAAAGGTAATCAACATCATTGAATGCATTAGCCATAGAACTTAGAACAAGACGTCTTAAGACTAACGTCCAAGCAATCTAATGCGAAGATGTTGTACATTTTCTATTCTTCATTATTATTTCTTCTTAGACTTCTTGTCCCTCCACAACAAATCTCCGGGAACAAGATTCTCTCCACTGCACAAACAAAGATATGTGTATTCAAATTGAAGCTCAATAGAAGCATATCGAGTTGTATCATCATAATGTTCATACATGTTTTGCCTTTACTGCTTTTCAAATGGACAAAGTTTTCCTTCTCCAATGTCGTAGATATAAGTACGTCTATAGAAGGAAGCATCTCATCTACTTTTGCCCCGTTGACGACGACGACAACGACGACGTTCGTTGTCCGCTTTTAGATGTATGCACATACATATATTTTGGGGATGCTTGGGTTTTGGTTATTTTGAAGCAGCAAAGCAAAGCACAGCATCACAGCAGAGAACACATCGGACGGTCATTCGAGCATAAATTGAACGATGGTGGGGTGAGTGAAGTGAGATGAGAAAAGGGAAAATAATTTTCATGTGTACATGACATCATCTCCACCATCGTTCACCATCTTCCCTTCTACTTCTACTTCTGCCTTTGCTTTTGCTTCTACAACTCCTTGAAATTCTCTACTGCTCTCAAACAATATGAAAACGAAAAAGACCGCTTGGTTTCTAACAACGACGACGTTGTACATGTGCTGGACAAAGGAAGGCATCCGCAATGTTATATGAAAAGCAGAGTAAGGTGGAGAGAAATTGATGGAATGGGAAACGATGATGATTCTCCAACGCTGAATAACGTGTACTCAACTCTTACGAATGAGAATAGAAATTTTTCTGCTGTGGTCATTCTTACCCTGGGCAGTTGAGTTTCTAATGAAAAATATTTCTACGAAAAAGCTCAGGTTTCTGTGCACGAATGTAGTTTCGTAATAGTTGTGAATGCAATTTCTTATGTTACAGCAGAATTCTATTTCATCAAATTCGCACTAATAACTGAAATATATATAATTAAACTGTTAATCACAAGTTTAATCATACAAAAATATAAGATTAAACTCGTGCATTCAATTATTTGTAATCTTTACAAAACAAACGTAAGACATTTTCTTCTTTACTTTATAAATTTCAATTCTTTGTCAAGTATTGTTGATCATCCATCAACTTTACGAAAAAGGGAACCTTTTCAAAACTTAAGCTTCTATCAAGGCTGGTCCCATGATGAAAAGAATAAAAAAAAGTCAACTCGAAATGATATCCAATGGCTCATAAAAAAATCTATGAAGCATTTATGTCAAAAACCTTTTTTCATTAAGTAAACATACTCAAAGCTTTTTGTTGCCTACGTACACGGTTTTATGTTTTATAATTAGCTCCGCTTTCAGATATAAATTAGACAAAAACTAAACCCTTTTTCGCCTAGTTTTGGCTCCTTTTTATGAGCGATCCCTCCCTTGAAAAAACGGTAGCAAGATTAAAAAAACCATTAGAAAAAGAGCTAGTTTTGGGTCCCTTTTGCCTTTCATGAAGTGTGGGACGAGAGCGGCGTTTTTTTATATTTTGAGAAAGAAAAGCATACACATCGTCAATTGCGTATGTGTAGATTTTATCAAGGAATGGAAATGTTAAGAAAAAAGTAATGAAACGGAAAGTTTACTCAAGCACAAGTATTTAAATAAGTCGCTTGAATTTTCTGCGTACTTGGGAGAGATTTAAACGTATTCGATTTATTGAGATTTTACTGTATAAAATTGTCTACATAAATTGGAAAGAAAATTTCTTGCAGACCAACATAATGTTAATAATAATTCACTCAATTTCTAGCACATGAAATACATTTCCGTTCCTTGAAGCGACCAAACTCAATTTATCTTTTCTACTCATAATCGGATCCTCGAAACCATGTGAAACCCCCTTTCGCACCACTATTGAAGAAGAAGAAGAAAAATTTCCAAATATTACATAGATGTATGTTAATGACTCACATCTTTTCCATTCATCCCTCTTTTTCCTCCCCCGCATGACCAAATGGGGCCACTTGAAGCGAGGTTTTTGAACGCGAAACGTTGCAGAGTATGAGGACATGAGAAACCATTAATATGTAAATTTCTGACAACCGAGAAGGAGGAAAAGGACTGCCCGGGAAACCGCTTCTGAGATCTCAACCCGCTTTCTCCCTTTTTCGTTCTTCGCCTACACACAACTATCAATTTAGAAATTTTCATTTTCATTCGAAAGAATTTTTATGATTATTTCTCGGCTTCCAGCATCTATTTATGACCGTCGTATAAATGTGTAATCTCCATCATCTGAAAAGAACTCGATGTTTAAACAAAAAGCGCCCAGAAGGGTGAGATGTAGTTTGTAGGGTTTTATAAAGGACTTGGGATGGAACTCATTTATGCTTTTGAGCTTTTTCACTACAGTGGACATTAGTTTTCACTCAGAGCAACATGGATACTTTTTAGGTTTGTAATGAACAACAAATAGATAGTCAGGGCATAAACTTTTACATTTGAAAGAGTTTTTTTTAAACTTGAAGTTTCTTTTTCATTGGAAAAATCTTTTTCATTAGTTGAAAATGTTTGTTCAGTGGAAAGCTCATGTTTATTTCTTTTAATGTTTTTATTTAAAAATATTTTCACAAAAACCTCATGATGTGAACCTTTTTGTAAGCATTTGAATATGTAAAGGTGAAGTGGAGAGGTTGGTAAGATTTTAGAGTCCATTTCTGCCCGACAGGCATGGACAGGAAGAAATAAGAGAAGCATTTACTGTTGTTAAAACCAGAAAAGGTAAAGAAAAACTTTTAGTTTTTAGACGTCAGAAATTTTCGAAAAACTCTCATTTCGTTTCCTAAAATTCTTCCCCACTGATGATGTTACATTTTGTGAACACAAATGAGAAACTCAACTATCCCTTACAAACACCACAATTTACCTTCCTTATCATTCCACATCAGCAACAGTAGCCACCGTAAAACCTTTGCCGTCCACTTTTCATCAAAACTTGAAACATGAGTGTTCTCTAGCTTATGAAATATATTAGATACCTGCTTAAAGTATGACCACGTCAATATGAATATCTATGAAGATAGTAATTTGTAGAGAAAAGTTTGAAGTTTCTATGCTTGCGTTGTTACTAAAAATGATGACTTTTCAAAAGTTGTACGTCCGAAAAGAAATTTATTTTTCATAGAAGCTGAGAAGTTAAAATAAGGCAGAGTTGTAGTCACAACTTTTTTTGCTGACTTAGATTTGATCAAACTTTTAAATTTAATCAAATGTCCAACAAATTCTTCAAGAAACATTTCAGATATGAAAATTTTTGACATTTTACAAACCTGTCTTTGAATTTTCCACAATTTTCAAATTAGTGCTTTTGCCTTGCATATCAAGATATCATTTCCATCCTTCGCTCTCCATTTATCTCTCTCTCTCTCTATCTCTCATTCATTCTTTTCTCGTCGTTGCTGTTAAATATATTGTGAAAAGACATTTTCCTATGCCAATCCCTAGGATATCTGCCATAATGGTGCTACGCTTGCTTATACTTATACATGTTGACAAAAAGTGGACGATGAAGAAAATATTGTATGACATTTCAGATCTTTCCTCCACCTAACGTTACCCCCAAACGCCATCACAATATTCATGTCCTATATCGCAAGGCTTCGAAAGATACAAATGTACATTTTCTTCACCCAGCCGTTTCACTTGCCTTCCTATCTCAGCAAGAAGGGTGAAGATATGTTTGGAATGATGAAAGTTTAAAATGAGATTTTTAGATTTTCGGGCGGTTTATGATGGGAGGCAAACATTTTCAACCCTTTTTATGCTTCTTTCTAACTCCATTTTATCGTCATCCTCCAAGACCAAACCACCGTTCATCAAATATTGTCCGAAAATGCTACGATTTTCCTCTTTCAATATCCTTACAAATGAAAATCCTTGTGAAAATCCTTTTAGTTTTTGTTTGCGAAAATCATTTCGTTGTCCAACCTTAACGTCTCCCTTTCATTCTTCTTCACTCTCCCGCTTCAAACACAACAACAATACACTCACCGTTTGTCATCCGCTCGAATACAGAAAACCCGCTTTTTTGGTCTTCCGCTTTTCTGAAGCAAAACAAATTTCCCTGCCAAACAATCTTTGTCCGAAATCACCTCACACCACGTCACATTCATATCCATTTATTTTCTCGGAAAATTCAAAAGCAGCGGTCCAAGCAGCGGCCATCTTTATACTGAATCTCGAATGTGACATTGATGTGATTTCGATTTATTTTTTGAATGGCATGAGTTCATCTTGGCTTATAAATTATAAGTAATGCATTGGAAGAAAAGAGTTGAGCTAGAAATGTTTGTAGCCGTCGTATTTGTTTTAACTTTTCTTTTATTTTCCAATAAATAATTTCCAAAAATAAATAAATTTTCAGTGACTGTTTGGGAGAATAAAACATGCTTTCAAGAAGACATTTTACCCGGGGGATTAACAGAGAAAAAGACTTTCACAGATGAAAACAACAAAAAGAAAAAGTTAAATTGAAAGGAAGAAGAATTCTTTATCAACTCGTAATTGTTTTAAGTTTGGGGGAAGACTTTCTTGAGAAATTGTTTTTTTTGTGACTCATAAATGATTGCATTTGATTCATATTTTGGCATTGTTGTTAAACATTTCCAACCCATATTTAGAATTTCATTCATATTGAGAAATTTAAAGACATATTAGAGAATAACTTCAGCCGTCTTTCTTGAAGTTAATTTAGCAAACTTTTACCTATCCAACCTTTAACTCTCGCTTCAGGTTTCAAAGTTATTCACAGCCAGTATAAAACGCTTTATTCACTTAATTTTTACAGACTTTCGGCAATTTGCTTAGGACACATTGTATGGTTCATTGAATAAACCGGAGCTGAGAAGACAGAAGGAGAAGAAAAGCCTTAGAAGGAAGGAAAAACTTTCCAATACGATTTATATTCTTTCTTTTACATAAAGAAGGCGAAGGAAGAGAATAAAAATTCAAAGTCTTTCTCGACTTCTTTTCTCCCTGGCTGCCGTCTCCTTTTTGGATACATAAAAACGAAGTAATAATATAAAAGATTAATGGCAATATTTCTGCTCCATGCTATATACTTTTTCTCTCTTCTCGGGTATTTTTTTTTTCTTTTTCGAGCCACAACTTGTTGTTGTGATTCAGATACTTATTTTTATTTTTATGTGTTTTATGTTCATCATCCCTTTCATAATATCAAAATTATTGGCATAGGTCAGTGTCGTAATCATAAAATATACAGCTTTTTTGTCTTCAAATTTTTTTTCCTCTTCCCAACGAAATGAATTTTCATTTGCTGGTTTTTTTTATGCTTCGGAAGTGGAGTTAGAGAGAAAAAATCCTGTTTCCGAGTAAACTTTATTTACCGCAATTGTCGTTGACTGCGAGAGTAAAACAAACCGAGAGTAAAATAAATGCCAATATTAACATGTTAATTAAAATTCCTTTGATATGCAGCATTCATAGTTATTGTAGATCTTCGTTTTAAATAAAATCTCTTGACATAAACAAGAGTTATTAACACACCAGACACAGCAAGATATTCAGTAATGGAAAACCCATTAATTCGATTTATCAGGTTGAAAATTCACTTTCTTTCTACATGATCAGACAACTGTAAATTAAAAATGTAGGAATGGTCAACGTGTTGATTTCAGACGTCAAATTAATTCCTTTCGCTGTGTGATAATTTCCGTTATTAACTGAAATGTTTAGCCTGTCACAAATTAGCATTTAATTAGGCGACGACTGTCAAATTTAAATGAACTTTTTCGTCTACTGCTTCAGTAATTGCAAGCGCCAACAAGCGCCAAAAATTCTGAAGAAATCAATTATTTTGTCACTGTTTTGGCACTAATACAGACAATAATGGCAATGCAGGTCAATTATTGCTATTGAAGCTTAAGTAGGCGGTTTCAAACTAACTATCTACCTCGCTATCAAAATTTCCACTCATTAGCAAACATGCATTTCAACTTTTTCATGTTAATCATTTTAAACGAACAAAAAAAAATCATGTCATAAATAATTATGACCACCGTCTAATTAAGTTTTCTGATTCCCATCATAAAACATAATTATCATAGCAACGTGTTGTTGATTTGGTGATGAACTTCATTTTGTACATGACCATTTGGAAATGTTCATTCGTTTAATATCATTATTTGCTAATTAAATATGTCGATGGCTGTTTGTTCATTGTTGTTTCTGGAAAAAAGAAAATTCTAGAACTCTCCAATTCTTTTGACATGATTCGAGAAAATATTCAAATTCTCATTGCTTATGACTTCAATCAATCTACAAAGACGATGAACTAATCTCACTCCAAAAGCATTTTTTAATGTAATAAAAATTAAAACAAAGCTTAAAAATCTAGTAAAAAAATTTTTTATTCATCATAATTCTGTGTTTGAATTTATTCAATTTTAATTTGTGACAACATTTTTGTGACATTTGAAGTCAAAAATGAAATTAAAATTTATTTGCTTCATTTCAAAAATGATTTTTATATTATTTGATGATTGGTTTGGTTTGCAGTTTGCATTTCCCTACCTGAATGTTCGTCATAATCTCAAAAGTATAAATCCGCAGATGCATTTTGGGAATTATCCTTTGAGTTTTTGGCGAATCTTTCTTCAAACCTTTCTCTTCTGACAAATTCTTAAAACTTCAAGAGAAAAGCGACCGTTAGTTGCCAGTCATTCTTCAGCTGAATCTTCAACTCCATTATGATGATAATTTTTTGCCTCGGGACACAAAATAAAATTGCTTTGCAATTGTTCTCCCCCGAGGATCGGGAGTCGATGAACAATGTCAGTATTTGGATTATGTTTCCATTCTCTAGCAATGAAAAAGATTTTTCACTCGACAAAAGGATCAGTAATGATGAAATTGAAGGAGTTTAAATTTTGTGGTTGTTTGTGTGTGTTTGTGAGCAGGTAGAATAAAAGAAATGAAATGACATTTAAGTCTTGCAATGCTCGTTACAATTTTTTATGAATAAATAAATCACGCCGGCAGTAAATAAGAAGAACTTTTAATTAAATGATTCATTTCAATACTCATGTACTTCCCGTAATCTTAAATCAATAAATATAAAATATAAGTAACCATCGAATCTGTTCGAAACTGGTTATGAAATAATCTTATTGAAAAGATTCTCTCATGAAATTAATTAGCTTGTGTCAACAAGCGTAAATCGAAGTGATATCTTCAGACATAAAAATGCGTTTAAACGACTTGATGACAGAAGAAGATAAGCGAAGTTATTAAATGTTCGTTGAGACATTGAAAACATTGTTGCAGAAATAAAATCTTTCTTTTTTTTCGGGTTCATGCACGTGATTTACATTTTAAAGTGTTCATATACATTTTTATTTACTTTAATAAGACAGCTAAATTTGATTTTCTTGCTTATGTTATTGCATTCAGATATTCGACTCGCGTAGTTGAGATTTTGCAAACTAAACTGTGAGACAAAGTGATACTGATCTTAAATATTTGCCACAATCCCTATGGAGAGAATAATTTTCTTGAAAGTGCATTGGAGTTTAAAAAGGGATTTACCAGCAATAAATCACACACCGATGGGGACGAAGAATGATAGAAAAAAAACTTCTTCTCAGGAATTTAACGGTGGAAAGCGACACATGACAAATGATGATTCCCTGATTTATTTTTGTTTCTGCGGTGTCCTTTTCATTTCCTGTCCCCGATCTGAAACAGTATTGTGTTCACTCAAATGTTTTATCTATGATCAGGCATCGTAGTTCGTGTGAAAACAAAGCAAATGTCGTATGTGCAGCCCTTAATTTCTGACCTAAATGCATGCAACATCTTTGATTAATCGACAATTTTTAATCTTTTTCTCTTTCTTAAATGTTTTCTTAAAGAGGGTTTACGGGTAATTGCGATAACATCAGCAAATAAAAGTGATGATGCATGAAAGTATTTAAATTGAATTCAGAGGGATTCGTTTCTTGTGCAGTTTCAATGGAACTTGGTGGTTTCTTTGATTTACTTTTTTATTATTTATTTCATGCATAAAGATGCAGACAAGAATTTTTACAAGGGGAATGAGTTGAAATTAAAATCTAAAATTCATGTCGTTTCAATCAAATTTCAATCCTTTTAAACAATTCAATACATCGAATCGAAATCAAAACTTGACTCATAATTAGTTACATTAATTTCCATTAAACACAATTAAATTATAAAAAATCGGATGAGCAAAAAACTATTTTTTCCATTTCAAAAATTGATTTAATTGACATGCTAAAATTATTTTTTATGCCAATTATTTGCCATTGTTCAGCTTTCGATGCACAGCATAAAATGTTTTAAAATTGTGCGAGGATTCAATTTTATATCTTGCGAATTTTTAATAAATGCTCGTCGCAACATGCAGCCAGAACTCAGAACTAAGTTTTTCTCCCTTTTGCTGTCTTTTACATAAATATTTCGACTGACGATGAAGAGATTATTTACCTCGAGGCGTTGTAAATGAGTTTCGCGAAACTTATTTCGTTATGTGCTGAATGTGATCAGGGATTTCAAAAAAATGTGTCTAGCGAATGCCTGATTACACTGCGGAACTTCTTATGCTCGAATCATTCCATTAACGAAAGCAACTTTGTGTTAGTGACTTCAAAAAAAAACCTGCAGCTCGAAATTGAAGGGTATGATGATTAAAATGAAATTTATTCCACATTTTTTGCCTTACGCGATTGCTATAATGACCATTGAATCAATTCACTCGCTCTTTCTCATGTACAACTTCAATTTCCCCCTTTTTTGCTGCAAACGATGCTGATTGTAAGAAATTTTTTTATTGCGATTCCGAATTGTTAGGAGGGAGATTCGAGAAGGATGAAAAAGTCTCGTTGCATTCATGTTGTGTCCTTTTGGAAGAACAAAACAGCGAGGCAAAGACCAGGAAGAAATACAAGAATGGGAAAATCGATAATGTATTTATTCTCGCTGAATCGCAAGCTAAGGAAGAAAAGCGCTTGTCTCCCCATCGCCACCACCTCAACATCACCGTTGATTTGAGCAGGTTTCCCCTTGTAGATGGGCGAAAGTGAGGGCGGACATTATGTGCTCTTGGAGAGACGAGAAATGATGATAAATTCTTTACTCGGTCAGCTCTGTCTCGTTCAATACAAACACAACTCTTCATTCCCACTTCTCATGCTTCTTATGGACACAAAACGCAGCCATACATGAAAGAGTGGAATATCTGCACAAAATAAACGCGAAGACGAAACATTAGTCAAGCATAAATTTTCCGCAAAGACGGAAGGGAGAAAGCAAAAGAATTTTATCGCATATGCACGATATGTGGGAAATAAGAAGAAGACGTCACTGACTGCTGCCCTTTATGTCGTTACAAATCGCTGATCATGAACAGAAATTAAAAGAACTCAGCTTCAAAAGGCGTTATAATTTTGGACGGTCTGAACTTTTGAACTTTTCTTAAAATGGTGATTATAAAACAGCGTGGCTTTGTCGAGCATCATCGACTTCTTCCATTTCCATAATTAGATCGTTAAGAAATCTTATCTTTTGTTGAAAATCTAAACAAAGTTCATTTTGGCTCGCGACTAAACGCGCTTTCAATTGAGATGAAGAAAATCTGGTTTTTGCTAAACGAAATTGATGTTAACGACCCTCCTGTTAATAACTAGCTTCAACAATCGTGAATTCTTTTGTTAGTCGTTGATTCATTATGAAGTTTCAATGACGGTGATGTTAAGAGAAAAAAGAAGGAAATATGAAACCCTCGGCATTTATTCAATCACGTTTTCATTGTTCACATCCCGTTCTTTGGACATCACACAGATCGCGATCACAAACGCGTCAGTTGCTGAATGCGTGTTTTAGTGTTGCCTGTAACAGCAGCTCGTTGCACTTAAATTTAAATATAAATTTAAGCTCAAGTTACACATGACGATTCTTTTTTTATTTCTTTTCTTTACATTTCTTCACATTAAAAACATTGCAAACTTCTTCCGCACCATCTCAGTTTAATTATAACTTACAAAATACTTTTTTTTCCAAAGTAAATTGCGTGAAAATAAAATTGGACAACAGATGATGTTTGAATTGTCGAGTGTTGCGTTGCATTTATCCATTATCTGAGAGCAATATAAATGAGGTCATTTAGAAGCATTCTTGGTGAACATGTTGTTTGGAAATTTCATGAGATTACAAATACATGACAAATAGCATCAATTTTTCTTCTGATCAAAATATGTACGAACGGACAAAGCAATGGAAATTTCCTTTGTTTATTTATCAAAGATTTAGATTCTCACATGTGGAGTAGATACTTATGCTGCTGCATATTAAAAGCTTCCAATTACTACCTCCTACTGGTTGAAGCTTTGATATTCGTGTTTTCATAAAATAAGAAGACTCGACTACTGTTTAATCATATCATAGGATGAAGGGAAATGTTTTCATCCATCGAAACTTGGAAAATGGAAAAGAAAAGCCGTTTATTCAATGCATTGGAGTTGTTGGGAAATTGAAGAAAGAAAGAAAAAAATCCAATTTCATACTCGACGCCCTCCTTTCAATTCACAACCCAATCCGCCCATCGGATATCTTTTCTCGGACAATATAGCGAGAGTAGAAAATGTAACCCTCGTGCTTCGAAATTATTCATCTCTTCACGTAATGTCAGCAAAAATACGTGCATGTATGGATGTAACCTGCTATTGCTGCGATGATGGCAGAAGGAGAAAAAGAATAAAGAAATTTCCATTCTATACATTTCGAAAACACCTCCATCGTCTCATTCCCAACGATTTCTCGTGTACACAATCAATACAGAAGTCTATTCAATGTTCTTCTCTCTCTCTCAAGTTCAGCCACCATCACATTACGCCAAAGAAAGTGGAAAAAAAATTATTCTCCCCTTTGGTCACCAATCTTTCCCTGCCGTTTTTCGTGTATTTATTGATGCCGAAAAGAGAAGGATAAACAGCAGTGTATTGAGGAAAATTTAATCCCTTTATCGAGATGGTTCTTTTTAGACGTTACATATTTTCACTTCATCTCCTTCAGCCTAATCTACGCACATTTCGCGTGAAAGCGTATTTTCGGTTGATTGATAGAAAAGCGGGGAGGGTGATTCGTGAGATTCTATTTTTGTTGAGATGTAATCAATAATTCAAGCTGGTTGTGTGTGAACACTGAAATGGCAAATGGACAGAAAAAGATTTTCTTTTTTTTTTGTTGACGTACATCGACTAAGTATTCCTGCTTCAATGAATATTGTTACAACAATATTTCTTGCAGCCTCACAGAATTCATATGCAGATTAGCTAAAGAAGGTTTCACGGTTGTTATAATAACATTCAAACTAGTTAATCGAATTTTCCACGTAATGAATTTTAACAATCTATTTCAAAGTTCATGAATAATAAAGTTATTTGAGTTAAATATTACAAAAGCAGTCAGCAAGCAGCGGCATCGTGAATCAGGGCGCTAAAGAAAGGAAAGTAAACGGTGAAAAGTCTTAAGAAATCAATCGAGGGATTTTTGCTTTGTTATGTAAACCTGACAAGAAATTGTAACAATTTTTTTAATCACAATTGATTCGTTCGTTACTTCATGTTTATGTTTGAAATATTTGTGAATAAATTATTCAATCAATTAGAATGAGAATAAACGGCAATAAAAAAGCAATTCGTATGTATGAAACTATGAGATAATCATCGGAAGTAGATGTTCGAGTTGAATATCAGAGTTAATAATTTAATAATATCAGCTGCAGTTGAGAAATTCTTGAAATCTTTCATGAATTTGGATATCTAATAATTTGCAAATTAATTTAAATATGTCAAAAAACAAAATCTGTTTTGTAAAGAATGAAGTTTACAATTTCTCTTGTATCATGTTAATGTCATAAAAATGTACTAAAACTTCAACACAATTATCATAACATTTCATTGGCAATAAATAATCAATTTAACGCAGGATTATGAATCAATTATCCCTGGTTGTTGTAATTTTTGAAGCTTTCAATCATGAATTGATTTTAACGGCCCTCGCTTCTTATGCAAATTTCTCTTCACAGTCAATTGAACTTAAAGGATTCATCAGAGGCATGTAAATATTTTTCTAACATATTTCAATGAAATGATTTGTTAGTTACCTACATGTTGGCATTTGTGAAGTTCTCAACCGTTAAATTATAAATGCTATTGAGATTATCATTAAATCAATCATTGGTTTAGTATAAGCAGATGATATGCAATATGTTGTCATCGTAAAATGTAAGAATAATTTAAATTATATTAAATTTAAAAGAAGTTAATGTTAAACAGCGTCAGTCTCAAAACTTATCTTAATAACAACAAATTATTTTAAGTCTCACTTCCCGTTCATGCATCATTTGCATGTGTTTGTGTTAAAAGCCGAAAATATTCGTTCAAACAACGAATATGTGTGCGAGTACACGAAGAGAACCGAAGGAAAATTGGAGAGAGTGGAATGAGAGAAAATGTTTTCCTTCAAAATGCTTCTTTCGGATATTCATCGGCCGGTTGACGGTTGTATATAACCGAAACGATGTAGGTGGGAGTGCGGGTGGAATGATGAAGAAACAGAAAGATGTGAATGCAAGGAGGGAAAACTACTCATATCACAATAAATTCTAGCATGTCTTGATTGTGTTTGTAGTGCCCACTAGCCATCTCGCGATAATAAATTGCTTCAAAAGGAGATGCGAAAAGCAGAAATTGAGGGAGCGAGTGAAAAAAGGATAAAAGCGAAAGATGATTTTCAGTTTTGAGCAGTGAAGCAAAAACGAGAACATTGAGGTGGCAGTTTAAGGAGGGAAAATTTCCTCGCTTTTGAAGGCGATTTCTGTGAGATGTGTTTTTCGTTTTGAATGGATGGGCTGTGGGCGCATACAGTATAACATGTTGAAGGGTGAGGCGGGTCGAATAATATAATATTTTCCATCTCCATACGCCATTTATCCTTAACGATGATAAGACACAAAGATAAAACTACATATTTTGGCGTTGAATTTCTCATCTCACTGGCACATGTATGGATGATTATGGAAATTGAGTTGGAATGAAAACGGGCAAAAAACAACAACAGCATGATACGTGAGCCATGTTTCGTTCGTATCTTAATGTTCCCTTTTACTTTGTCTCCTCCGCTCTCGAGAATGAAAGCAATTGTTTCTGCCAAATTAGATGGACAATTGCTTTGCAGCATCTGCCCTGTTTGACCGTCCTTAGATTATTGATTTTTGCTTCACTTCACAACATGGACATGCTTTTCGCGTGTGTCTAATGTGTGTTGGTCAAGTCGACTACTCTTATTTACTCATATCTTCAACTTGTGAATCGTATGCTTATATTCTACGTATAAATTGAAGTGGAAACAAGAGAAGAAGAACTTGCTTTTGATGCACATCGTTAAACTTTAGATATGAATTTGAATTTCATCTCTATATTCGTTTGGAAAGTTCAACTGAAAGAAAAGTTCTTGCACAAGACTCTCAGTCGGTAAGAAACGACTTAGGAATATGCGCTCAACTTTTGTAGAATGAAAAAGCTGAAAATCATGTCTCATAAAATTCCAAGATGATGAAAGCAGAAGCGACGCAAAGGGTCGCTATGAAACATATCATAAGCATACGGACGCGTGTGTGTCCGTGCATAGATAATGTGGATAAAGAAAATTGTTCTTCCTTCGATACGGCTTGCTTACCCAATATATTTAAATCAAACGACGGAAAACGTCGAAGGCGAAACTTGAACGAGAAATGATGCAAAAAAGAAAATAGACTTGTCATCTACTGCGAGGGCCGCTACGCTATGGATGATGAAGAGTTTTTTTCAGAGAGTTGGGGAAGAAGAAAAGCTGCAGAACACGGAAGAAATGAAATGTGTGTAGATATATCTTGATGATGCCAAAGGCGAAAGCCATGCATGAATGTTTCTGATGTGTATTGAGCCATGATGGGATATTTTTTTCCTTACTTTTTTTTTCTCCATACTATGATGGCGAAAATAGGGAGATTCGAATAGTGTGAGAAAGGACAACGGGAATGTAATCAGCAAACCTTAAAATATCATCAGAAAACCACCCATCGATTTAAGCCATGTGTATTTTTCATCATATCTGCCTTCATGTGCCTTCATTATTCTTCTTTTTTCCTTTTCTTTTTACTTCAACGTTACTTCTTCATCTCATTTGTGCCATGCTAGGAGATTGCCGAGACATTTATTTCGTGATCTTTGTAGCTAACCGTTGGCGCAATTTGGTAAGAATGTTTCTTTCCTTTCTCTCCCTTTTCTCGGTACACGAACGAACATATGATGGCGATGCGATAAATGAGTGTCGCATTTTGTTGTTGATGAAGAAACTAAAACGCCAGAAATATTGGCATGATAAAAATAAATGTTCACTCAAAAGCGAAATAGTGAAAGTGAATTGACTGTGTAGATGATAGAAATAAAATGAAATAGATACATCTGCGAAAATATTTCATCAAATAGCAAAGGTAGTTGAGGATTCGAAAGCTTTGATGAAAGTAAGAAGTTTGTTTCAATATCTGAACTCTTCTTCCATGATCTTGTTCAAATACCGCACTTTGACACTCAACGAAGCTTGGTACCGGCCCATTCTGAAATGGAGCAATGGACACGTTTTAAAATTCATTAGAAGTTTCATTACATATTCTCTTCCTTCGAGCAGTGAATGTGTGTAGTTGTCCGAGTAAAAAACCTTTTCAGAAATATGGTTTTCGTTTTAACTTGAACCTCACACCAGGACGTTCTTAGTTGGGCTACATTTCTCCCATCTTTTCCCAGCATGAAGGAGAAAACTACGGTGGTCATGAAAGCACATAAGCACATTTAATTTTCTTCCTCAAATCCACCTTTTGCTTCCCTTAAAAACCCTTTCACAGCAGAATCTAATGTATTTAGAAGATATTTGAAGCAATTTCTGTTCCACGTTTGCCCACCAAATGTGTTCGCACTCACTCCACACGTCTTTGTCGTCTTCTCATTCCTTTCTTTTTACATTTGATCCCTTTTCAAAAATATCCATCGTTGATTAAAAACCGTCGGAATAGAACAACCACAAAAACTATCCTTTCGCCTCCCCCACACATACTCCACCTAACTTAAAATATATCCTTTCTCAACTGTTTACAGAAAACCCTTTTTTTTCTCTCCATAAGCAGCGCCTCATACTGCTTCTGTATCCGGCTTTTTTGTTGGCCTTTTTCGAAAAAGGCGACCACCGACGATTTCAGAAAAGGAAAACTCCCTCGCCTGTTCCGCTTTTAACATTTCTTCTTGCCTCCACACCATATATTTTATATACATATTTCTCGAACTCAAAACTATTCTCTTCGGTCAAGCGGCCATCTTTGTTGGCTAGAAAACGGGTATCCATCGGCTCTATGTTTCTCAAAGCGGGGGTGCAAAAGATGTATACTTTTATGCTATATCATGATGATGATTCGTATTCTGACTTCAATTTAAATGGGCAACCATATGATACCGAAAAGGATGGAAGGAAGAGTTCATTTCGTAGCACATGAAGCTGTTGTTCTTGTGGGTGGTTGAAGCTACAAAAAGAAAAAGGAAGAACAATCTGAGTATTAGTTTCATAGATTTCGGTCTTGCTATTAATTGTTGCATATCAAAATATATTCTACTAAAAGAAAGAAAATTTGATAGACAGTTTCATAGATAAAAGAAAGAAAAATATTTCCGCAAAATTTCACAACTTTCCTTTGTTCTTTTATTGATTATTTTAATTATTTTTACCTACGACGCGATTTGAATTTCATGATTTAATTTGTTGATTTTAAATGTGTTTGTGCTATTAATTGAGTTGGGAAAAATTAAGTTGAATCGTGTGTTATTTCAGTCTGACTCAATGGAAGCTTCAAATATTTATCCATTAGTTGTTTTGTCTCTATGTCTAATAAAATTAGCCTTTCCGTTGTTTACCTTAATTTTCCACTTCCATGGATTAACCATGTCGACCATTTTTGTTTCGAAGCAATTGTCAAGATTATAGCGGAGTTGTAAGAATTTTAGTGGACGATTAATAAGAAAAACTTTTTCTTGACAATATTTTCATACTTTAGGAATCTTTAATATCAACTTCAATCTTCTTGATGATTTCATCCCCTTTACTTACTCATAAAAAATCGTCCAATTTACGATAGTGGGTGAAATGTAAAGCAGAGAAAATTGAGATCGCCAAAGCCAATCTATCAAACAGCCCTCGATAGCTAAACCTACGATTTTTTTTTGTGTGTTTGTAAAATGAATGAAGATGAATCGAAGGAATAAACATCGACACTTAAAGATATTCATCTTGGCTTTATTTTCTTCCGAATTTGCACCATTGGCGAGCGGTATCGACTTATGTTTACGATCAATCCCCGCACTTGTTTTCATCTCATATGTATGTAGTTCATCTTGATGGTGATGAATTTTTTTAAGCGAAAAAAATTACTGGAAAGGTTCATCACATTGACGAGACTCAATCGTAAGAGAAGAAAAGAAATCGCAAACAAAAAAAAATAGGAAAACTCCAAAGGGATGAAAATCCAATTTATTTCCCCATCGCTAGAGCGACTTTCACAATCAAAAGCGGGCGAAAAAGGAAATGAGGTTTCCTTGCGAAATTGCAAATCTACATACAATCAAATCGCAAATGTCCAGAAATATATCTTGAAATGTCCGGAAAAAATTTCTTTCTCCTTCTTTTCTTCGATTGGAAAACATCTCAAGTGAGAGTGATGTGAATCAAGATGGTTGAATGAAAAATTGCGAAACATTTTAAAGGGTGATTTATGTATACGAGTGGATAAGATAATGCTGGGAAAATTGCGATACTTAACATTTACAAAATGGGATTGGCTCGATATCTTGTCAAAATCACGATAGCGGAGAATTCATTTTACAATAACATCTCTCAGGTGTCTGCATTAAATCTTTCTTTAAAATCATAAAATTTGCTTGTGCTCAGCATATGATGCTTAATAACATAATGTAATCAACTTTCTGTGTCCGTTGGCAACACATGCTGTAATCTTCAACCGTCAGAGAAAAAGACGGAAGAAAAAAAACATCAATTTGACCGTTTCATGTTTTTTTTTCTTCCTTCTTTTCTGTCTGTTTTCTCACCCCCACACACGTTATATTTCATACTGGATCCAACGATATATCAAACGCTTTACTTAACGTCCTTCTTTTTATCTCGCAGCAAAAAAAAGGAGAAAAAAAATAAAGAATGAAACGAAAGATTGGAAGCGGTTCATGCATGGCATGCCATGTAAGGTAAGGATGTTATTGACAAATTCACTTCTCTTTCTTCCACCTTTCCATTCCCTTAAAACATCGTCAACGTTATGTGGCCTTAGGAGCGCAAAAAAAAGAAATTGTATTATGGATCTGCCGGACGATAATGCTAAATCCTCGATGTGAGACGAATAAATTTTCTTTTTTTTTCTTTCTCATCCACCGCTTCTGCCGATGTGGACATAACGCTGAAGAAAACGGGTCTCCTTGGTGTCCAATCAGCAGAAAAAAAATTCGTTACACAAAAAAAGAATGAAAGAAAGAAGGAAAAGTTTCTTTTCGGTGGGTTGAATAACATCAGCATTTTGCAGCATTATACGCGAGTAAGGCATGTGCACAAATATATGAACATACATACATATATGCTTGTTATTCGATGTGGATACTTTCTTTTCTTACATTTGCTTTCTTTCGCCATCAAAAAAAGAAGGAAAAATTCTGAATAAACACACGAGAGAATGATTTTCGCTCGACGACTCATACTCCACTTTGACGATTTCCTTTCTTTCTTCTCGCCTTCGAGGGATTTTTTGATGAGGGTTGAAAAGATGGATAAAAGTTTGCAACGCAAATGGACATTTTTTTTTCGCTGGATCATGGAGAAGTAAAAACGATAGAACTCCGGGAAAAAATCGCGTTTGGATTTGATTTTCTTATTTTGCAGAAATTTCTATTGTTGTGGAGGTGGAGAAATTCCAGTTGGAAATTTACAGCTTCAACTATTGAACATGGAAAATCGAATAGCTAAGCGAAATGTGAAATCTTTTGTTTTTATACATAATCGAATAATTACTTTGACCTTTCGGAAGTTTCTTCATGATTGAATTCACAACTGGGTGAGATTGGTTTTCACAGCAGCGCCAGCACCATTTCGATTTTGTCATTTTCAGCTTCACTTCATGCTGCGATTGTCGCGCTGACTTCTTGCTTTCTCGTGAATCATTAATGATTGTCGCATACTGCGAAATCGAGGGAGAAGAAAATGAAAACTTAAATTAAACTAACGAAGGGAGGACGCGAAGATAAATCCTCTATTGATTTTGTGTGTGTATGTGTGTGCATTTGAAAGGCGTCAATAAATTTCTTCTCTTTTCGCTATCGCTTATTCAAGCGATGATGTAGAGAAAAGCGAGGATTGCAAAATTAATTTCAACTCCCCATTGAGCGTCTACGATCCCGCTAAGGTTTGCAATTTTCTCAAAGGCGAGTTTCCCAGGGTGAATCGACGATATTTATAAAACAAAATGAAGAGAAATAGCTGAAAGCTTAGCGAAAACTCACTGGGTCGGTTTTGAGTTCGCCATCACAAGTCGTTAGTAAAAAAATCGAGAAGAAATCAAATTCGATTGAAATTTCTCAGTTCAAACTCTCTTATGAGTTAAAATTTCATAAATTGCCATTGACATTTCCTTTTCCCCTTTGTTGATCTAGCTCCAAGGCTATCAAATCTCAAACAAAATCCTTTTCAGAATGTTGAAGAAAAGTTTTTCCATTTTATTTATCATACAAACGTTAGATAAGCTTGCTTTATTTGATTTAAATAATTCAATGGATTCATTTTCTCGGACATGATTTTATTTATCTCGCGACAATTGTTTGTTCATTTTCATTTATAAACTGAAAGTCTAGGAAAATGCATTTTCATTCAATTTTTTCTTTCTTTCTTTTCGTGACTTGGGAATCAAATGATTTGTACAATTCATCAAGCATTAAATGCATTTCATAGAATTTATTTTCTTTCATCTTACGTACAAACTTATTTTACTTTTAATGAAGCTGAAAATATGTTTCATTGAAATTATCATAAAACGACATACATCTATGGAATGAATGGAAAAGTGTTGGCGGTGGAGAGATTCGCAAATCGAGTCGGTCAAACAACGATCCATCAAATATACAAGTAAAAATAAAAATGTGAATAGAAGCGAACACAAAGTGTTTTCATGTTTTTTTCTCCTCTTTTCTTTTCATTTATTCATTCAACCATGTTTACTATTAATTCAGGCTGCAGACAAGAAAAAAAGGAAAAACGAAATAAGAGAACGAACTCATAAAAAACCCATTCATAAGATAAAACCCATTCCAAGTTTATACTTGGCAAATTTTTTGCCTCGAGTATAGTGTGGGTGTAGGTTTTGTAAGGACAGAAAGATCATTTATGTTATTTCTTTTATTATTCTACTGGATATTTTCTTCTACGTGAAATTGTTATCCCGTGGCTCTTTTAATATGTTATTTTTCCTATCGTGAATTGCTTTCAATAGCATGATCGAATAAATAAAGCGAAAAGACATTAACATCAATATTCAAATGATATATCTGCAAGTTCGCTTTATCATTTAAAAATCGCGCATTTGATAAATAAAAACACGAGAAGCAACGAAACTTCCCATAATATTCAACTCGTAAATAAAAAGTTGAGAAAATAAAAGAAAAATAATAAAAGATTAATGACTTTTTAAATATTTCTTTTTTTATATACTTTTATGTCTAAGTTCCCATCATTGAAATTCTCTGGTAATATCCTGCGTCTTGCTTCTTTTCTTTCCTTTTTTACAGACATAATTTTATGTTTTTAAAAAAGAAAGAAGAAACAAACTCTCTTGACTAGGTCAGGGCTGAAAGAAATTGAAAGAAAAGTTATTATGAGACTAAATAAAGCTTTAAGAACAACAAGTTGAACAAAGTATTGAATTGAGTCGCCAAGTGACTTTAAAAGTGACCTTTTGATTTTTCTAATACGTTTATTGGATAGAGAAAATAAAACTTTCAATAATGACATCAAAGTTTTTAAAGTTTGTGGTATTAAATCTTTTGCAATTGTCAAAGTTGATAAGAATTGAAGTTCGGAAGTTTAAATATGAAATCAATCATTATTGTTAGGACCTTTTTCAAATAACTTTTATTAAGATATGAAGAAATATTTTTCCTTATTGGGAATTTAACACTTCCTTAGAATTTCTTAGAAGCAGATTTCATTATCTTCTAAAATTAATTATGGATTGTTTCGATGAAGGGTTTAAGTTGAAAACCTGTCGGTTTATTAAGCTTACCAACTTTATGAAGAGTCATGGAAACAGACCTGAGAAGTTATTCTGACGTCAATCCACTGTAGAATTATGTGACACTTGTGTCAGGAAAAGCAAATGCAAGTGGATATAAAAATAGTTCAAAATGAAATATTTTACTTAGGAAAAATCACATTTTCATTATTGATTGTCTTTTTTATAATTTGTCTTTCATTTTTAGTAAACTTACATTAATGACTGACACATGAAATGTTAGCATAAATACTCCAGACAATTCAATATTTTTAAGTCACTAAGTTACGTTACGATACTTTTATTGTTCTCAACGTGCTTTATCGCCTACTCTCCGAAAAATCTCACATTCAATGAAACAGAAAAAGAATTTCTACTATAAGGACATTCACAACCATTGACAGAGAAGAATAAAAGAGCTTAAAAAACTTTTCCTAGAATGGATAAAGTTTTTTCTACCATCTATCTTTATGTGCTTTTTCGTTACACTTGGCGGCGTCTGAAGCTTTCACTGCTGTTTGAGCAGCGCAATCCGTCCGTTCAACTTAATCACCAGAATTGTTTCCATTTCGCGTGTTTTTCCTCTCTTACCCATGTGAGCTTAGCTTTGTTTTTAAGACATGTTGAGGACGACGACGACGGCAACGATAAAATAATAGAAAATGATACTCGTTTCATTTCACATCATGTGAACAGCGACTGCTTCTGTATATGTCGTATTTATATACATATCAAGCTTTCCACTGGTATGAACAAGAACTTTTTTTTTCTTTTGTGTTTTTCATATCCGTAAAAGGCGACTACTTGTAATTATTGTGAGAGGATGAAAATTTCATTTTTATCTTTTAATTATTCAACATGTCTTTTGTCTTTCAATATTATGTGGAAAAAGCGAGGGTTATGCTATGAATGCGACGGACATATAGCGATGAAATGTATTACGATGATGAGAAGCTACCACGACTATATTTAAACTTTTGAATTATTCATTACTTCCATTTCATTGCGGATGAAAGACGCGATTTTGATGGTTTTTCTGCTTTCAACTTCTCCACAATATTTTTATTTAACATCTTTTCCTGAATGAGAGGTCGTGAAATGGTACGATAACTGAATCTCTCCAACATCACAAGCAATGGCTTAATATTTCAATGCAGTGACTATGGATGTTTGTCTAACATCATTCACTTTTTTTCTGTTGTTTAAACAACTTCTCACTTTCATAATTGTTGAGGCAAACTCATGAAGTTCTAAAGTTGCATTTTAATATTTTTTTATCTCTTTCACTCATAGAAAGTCGCGTTTTTGTCCACAAAATTTTAATATTCACAACACATGTTTGCAAATTTCTACAATTGGATTATCACCCTCAATAGACAAATAATATTAGATGTCGCCTTCAGACGCTTTTCAAGAAGTTTTCAACAACACAATAAAATATATTTAGACGAGAATAATTCCATTCATTTCCAATTAAACTTTTCATCGTCCCTTGTAAATTACATTTCGCGACTATTCAAATACGCTTTTACATGCGAAGAAAACGTGATTTCAGCGAGTGAGAGTGAGAAAAGGGATTTCGGAAATGTTAGATATATGTTGTGAAGGAGATTTTCGCACGTTTTACCTTCAGTAATTTTAATTAATGGATTTATGAGAGGTTTTTAACTTAATTTATCTATTCGGTGAAAGCGTAGGCAGGAAATTATCATTATTTGTTACAATCGAAGGCGATCTTTATGATTAGAGAGTTGAACCAACACTTTAAAACTGAATCCTTTATGATTTCTCTTCATCTACATCACATTCACTTACCCTTCAAGCTTCGAGTGTTTGCAAAAATTTTCCTAAATAAAAACCATTTTCCTCCTTCTTTTTTTACATTTTCCAACAGCTTCAAAGATATGATGAGGGTAGTTTTCCGGTTACTAGTAAATCTAATATGTTTTTAATCGTGAAAGATGTAAATGATGAGGGTTTTCAGATAGATAGAGGAAAAATCTTTTTTCTATTTGAGGGATTTCATAATTTTCTCAAAGTTTTTATCAAAATTCATGACGATGTTTAAGGCAAAAGAAAAATTCGAAGAAAGTTTTCGTTGTTGTTTTTTACTTATTGAAACTTTGACTATAATTATAAATTAGGCGTAAGATATTCTTTTGAGATGAACCCTTTTGATCGAATTTTTATGATTTAGTTAGATTATAATTAATCAAAACTCAAGGGTGAGTGAGTAAAAGTTAGAAAAAATGTTCTACAACACTGCGAAGAACTTTTTTAAAGTTTTCTCCTTTTCCATTGTCTTATTGAACTCTCAGAAGTATTCATGACAATTATACTTTATGATTAAAAGAGATTTATTATTTCCCCAAATTAGTAATAACATATCAGAACTTTTCATTGTAATCGTAAACTTTTCATTCAACGCGCTTCGGAAAATTTTCAGTTTTATTTGTAATTTAAGTTGCCATAGTGATTTTCTGAATAGGTTTTCCGGTTCTTGTGACTTAACGATTAAATTTTCTTGAGCTAACCCTTTTTGCGGAGATTTTCGAAAAATATTATGACATAAACTAGTGAACAGCCATAAATCAACGGGGGTAAGGCTCTTCACATCTCAAACTATATTTTTTTATCTTTAAATAAGCTCTAGTAACAGAGAAAGCATCATTAAGAGCTTTATAGCGTTTCGAGGACCATTTAATCTCATCCCTTTTAGTCGCAAAACGCCACTAAAAATCCCACACACATGTACATGAATCTAAAGATTCATCTTTCTCCGTATATGTTTAAGCTCCGTCAACCCTCGCCAACTATACAATTTCGCGATATCACGTCGTGGAATTCCTAGGGCGATTCTACATATTCTCTTGATATCATGTCCCCGAATGTCGACTTGTATTCCAAATAAATGTACATACATAAGAAAATGTACAGTTTTTGCTTATTTATCGACCCACAGCAGCACATAGTCAGAAACGAAAACGGCAAGAAAGAAAAAGAAATCTTCTCTTCGATCAATGTAGCTTCACGTTTTATCTTCGCACCCATGTCATCTATTCTTATGAAACAACACCAAGGCGAAATGAACAAGAGAACATTTCCTTCTCTTGTCATTAAAACAAGTAGAAATATCTCACGCGTTAGTTACACTTTCAATCCACGTTCTCATCAATTTACTCTCTCGTCTTGATTTATTTAATCAATTTTCTCCACCGTTTTAAAGTTATGAATGAATTTGTAAAATTGTTGCATTATATTCCTTGGAGAAAATATTATGTTGCCTATGATAAATGATGTCTTCAGCACATATGAACCAATGAGTAAGATGCAAAGAAATAGATTTAAAACATTCATAACTTTAAACGTTTTTAAATTAAATTAATACAGTATAAGCTTGAAAACGATATTGAAAGTACCGAAAAAAATTAAATTTTATAAATATATTGAGGATGATCACCTTTAACAAAGTCCTTAATGAAAGCTATCAGAAAAAGTCAGAAAAAGTATTCTAAGAAGTGCGAGTGACGTGTGATTGACCAAATAATGCGCCTTTAAATTAATTAACCAATTCACTTTATCCATGAATTTTTTGAAAATAACTTTAACAATTTACATGACTTTTGCTTCCCTATTTAAACTATTAATGAATCTCTAGAAATGTAATTTGCTGTGATGTTTTGAATGTGATGATTTAAATGTCTAAAATTTATGTGTAAATATCTTAAAAATCAATTTGCATGGAATATAAAAATTTCTTAATAAATGTGAAAATTCTTATCCAACCTAATCAAAAAAGCATCACTTTCATTGATAGTGTGCTTGTGAATTTTTTTTTGTGGATGGTTGTGAGAACTAAATTGAATGTGAACGTTAAATTTGTTGTTAGTGTTACTAAAAAAATAAACTTTTATCTAATAATCAACTTAAACTATAAAATTTGTGGTTGATTGTAATGATTTGTGTCGTCATGAAAACTTTGACTAATAATGATCTATCGTTTTGAAAAATAATATATTTATAGTGACGTTTTGCTGCCAAAGAATTCAAAAGTTTCTCGATATGCGATCTGACAAAAAGGGCGACATCTATTGTTCGGAAAGAGCAAGTTCAACAAAATACTCCCAAGTTCCCTCGTCTTCATTTTTTTATTTGCTTATCACTGGAAGTATCACAAAATCTGATTTTTTCTAAGAGACTTCATAATATGACGCGTGTGGTTCGATTTTGCTCCTGAAAAGACAAATAAATTAATTTAATGTCATTATTAGATAAATACTTTGCAACTTACCAAATAAGTTCGGACATGAACCACAAAAAATTAATGTTGTTGCCTTTAAATTCTGAGCAAACGCTTTCAGTTTTCAATGTCGACGATGTTGTATTCTTGTGTGTACTAAAGTGATTAAGTTGATCTTTGAGTCTTCCAGGATGAAACGTTGTAACGTTATTGTCAGTAAAACAGTTTTCAGAATTACGGCTCATTACACTTGAAAAGCACTTTAATTAAAAATGATTTTAGATAGCAGATGAATTAAAATATCACTTCATTTTAGACTACATATACTCATTGTTAGATGACTGACTTGACATTAAGTTCATTTAGTCAGCACGATGAAGATACTTGTCGTGTTTTTATTCTCCTGGATTAATTTTACAGAAAGTGCTGTAAGTGCTGAAAAATTTCAAATGCTTCTAAATTTGAGTTATTATTTTTTGAACTTTATTTGACTAATTTAGCAACGATCTGCTCGCAAGTTTAATCCTTTGAAATGGGAAAATTGTCCAATGCACCTACCAGCTAAAGGATACATAAACTTACCCGAATCATTCACTAAGGAAGTGAACATCTCTGGTACTTTGGTTGTTTCTGAAGAAATAGCGGGAGATGTTATTTTCATAATAGATACGAACAAATGCTTGCAAACTAAACTTGAAATCATGCGAGA